GGCTAGTTTCCCTGCTGCTACCGAGGCCCACGGTTAGGCTATGGCACCCCAGGCATGCATATGGCAACACAGCTCCTTTCAACACTGCAGCTATAAAGCTTTGAACTCCTGCCCTCTAACCATCCAGCCGGTGAACTTGCATCATGAGGAATTATTGCAGCATGCACTGGCACAGATGATGTGCTAAAACAACAAAGAGCATCCCCCTTGAACGATGCGGGCCTTCATCCATCCTCAAGACTGCGCCACCTTTCCCTTTTTGTTGGGACCAGAATTGCCGAGAAAGAGACTCAAGCGCAGATCAGCTGGGCGTTGTAGTTCCGCACCATATCGCTGGTGCAGGTGCTCAGGATTAGCGAGGAAACAATTGTGGTGCCTCCTGGCGTGCGGCAGCCGCAGGTTAGCTTGCAGTTGCCATTGATTGGAGCGAGGTTGCAATTCGAGCAACTGCCCGTGTACGAGCCTCCCGGGTAGCTGCATACTGCAAGTCCGGCACAAACTTCAAGTCAGCTCTGTGCAACGCTCAACTTCTGCCAATGGGGCACAAAGGGAACTGCCCACCATCAATCGCTGATTGGACGGGACAGAAAGGTGCTCTGGCAGAGTTTCCGACTCGGACGCGTGATGAAGAACAGATGCACTCGGGTTGGGCAAGCTCTTCTGCAGCTTAAAGATTTTATAATTGATAAACGGATAAGAATCCCACCAGCAGCTGCCGAGGAAGCCTGTAGGGCAACTACGATGGCGACAAGGAAGCACAGGAGCACCTTCTTCGACATCGCCATCCTGAACGACTGAACCTGCACAGTTAGCGCAGGGCATCGTCAAGCTGATTGCAGAATTGAAAGATGCAAATACACTAGTCTGTGCCGAGCTGAAGAGGTCAATTTGTCTGAACAATTCGCGATATCATATATTAGACGATATGCGATGGGATGGGCTTACCGGCTGCAGTCGGTGAGGGAAGGAGGTAGCTGAGCGGCGCAAGAGGTGAGCGAGACGTGAACTTTGCGATGGGTATCCCGAATTAGATTGCCGTCCCATATTTACACCCAGGTAGCTCTTGGACTACCTTGGACTTTGGACGCCTCAGCATGGGCCGGGGACAGAAGCTCCGATTTGGCTGCATGCATGCCTCTGGGCTCACTAGTCAAGGAGCTGCAATGGAAGCTGTCACTGGTAAGGACCAGTGACTTCAATTGCACCTCATTTGGTTCTCCTCGCCAGATAAACAGCACTTTGGTGCCACGAAAAAACAACTTGCATGTTCTCTTTGGCGCATGCCGTCGCTTGAAATTTCCGCGCTCTTTGGGAGCTTACTGTCTGAGCAGGTTGTATGCAACACACCGGCCCATTCTTCATCTCACAGCTTCTTCAGGGGCAGCGTCAGAAGCAGCTCCTACGGGCAGTGCTTATTATATATCCGGGGTGTTCTGACTACAAATATATCCTGCCAAGGGGCAAGGTGCGTCCTGCAGACAAGCTGCAATAAAAGGCTCCTACAATCCTACCCCTTGATGACCTTGCCATCCAAGCAAGACCTTATCAACCATGAGCACGGTGCTTAATACTTACACTGCCCCCCTCCAGCCGGGGCATTGGGCACACCCAAACCCCTAAACCTCTTCCTTGAGCTCGGGTGAAGCTCAAGGGGCAGCAGCGGAAGCGGCTGGCCTTCTACCATGCAGGGAGTAAACGAACAAGCTGCTGTGGAGCTGCCCTGATGCGCTGGGGAGTGCGGCTCATGGCAGCTGGCGGCTGGCGGTTGCGGCTCCTGGGAAATCCGGGCAATCTGAGAGCTGGCCTTGGCAACTGACTTCTGGCTTCTGAGACTCTGACAATCGCATGAAAGTGGCGGGTGAAATTTGGCCGATAAGCTGGTCTCAGGGAAGCATTAGCTGAAGAAAGAAGACCTTCTGTGTAGGCGTTGACAAGGGCCTTCCTTCTAGTACTCTAGGAATATAGGTTTCTAGGTCCGAGAGGATCTCAGGCCAGCCCCTAGATGTGACAGGGCAGGGCGGGGCTTTGGGGGTCCTGCCTTGGGGCCCTCATATCAGATTAGTGAATATCATTTGGCGCGACCCGGAAATTCTGCCCTGAGCCCTCAATCCCTTGGGGATCCCCTAGGGGCTGCAAAAGACCTGGTTCTGTGGATAGTAGATAAAGTGGAGAGCCAGAGCTAATTCCAGGTGTTTGACAGAGCAGATGTGTGCTGCTTGCGTGGCTTGTATACGGCATACGCGCATCGCACGAACACCTTAGAAGGTCAGGCATGCTGTGTGCTAGTATTTGTGCTTGTGTTGTTTTGCTGCTTTCCAGAAGTATGCTTCTGAAGGCACGGCATCATGAACGCGTTTGAACATGCACGGGGCAAATGCTGATGCCTTGGCAAATGCTGATGCATGATTGGACAAGATTCCCACCCAGTGGTGGCAGCTCTTCAAAAGCCAGACCCTATCAACACAGCTACATTACTAAAGGGGTTCTGGATGTAACACAGTGAGACAATGAAACCCCTGATGTACACTGGCTAAATTCAATGAAGATAGAGGCACACAGAGACATTGCAGACAGTGCTATGGGCATGTGCCTGTTCAATGCCGGTCAGGTTGTCTGCGCTGCACATCAAGGAACAATGGCCCAGCACACCCTCCTCGAAGAAAGAAGATAAAGTCTTGACTCAATCTACCTAGAATCGGATCTACCTACAACCGCACTGTGGCATGTCTTGACCCAGGACTCGCGCGTCCGAATGCAACTCGCTTGTTGAACAGCAAGCTGTTGAATAACCAGCCAACACCTCCTTCCTGGCTTCAGGATATCAATAAAGATCTTCTTGTCCTTGTACCTATACTTGCACCTATACTGCCCCTTGGAAAATGCCATGCCACGGCTGCACGGATGTGCTGATGTCAGCAGGGCTTCAAACACAGACGAGCTGGGCGTTGTAGTTCTGCACACGGTTGCTGGTGCAGGTGCTCAGCAGCAGCGAGGTCGTCACTGTTGTGCCGCCTGGTGTGAAGCAACCGCAGGTCAGCTGGCAATCGTTGTTGACTGGGTGCATCGTGCAGTCCTTGCAACTCCCTGAGTACGAGCCGTCCGGGAAGCTGCAGGCTGCAAATTTAACACTACACTGAAATCATCTCGTGCACAAGAAAAAGGTTCCACGCAGGAAGGATATTGAAGATAAATTCGACACGAGTAGGGATGGGACATGAAGCTGCTCCAGGGATGTCCCTAAACTGTGACGCGATTGGATACAGGGTGACAGAGCACTAGGGTGGGTTGGCTGCTCTACGAACTCATTTGTATACAGTGGATAAACAGATATATTGAGACTTGCTCGACTGTCTGCATAAGAAAGAACCCACATGCAGCTGGCGTAGAAGCCATGAGCGCGACGACGATGGCGACAAGGAAACACAACAGAACCTTCGTCATCATCGCCATCCTGGAGCTGCACGTCAAAAAAAGCTTTTCAACCATGTTCTCGAATTTGGAGACAGCCCACTCAAAGGGTACGACTCGATGTCCCGCATGGCGATGGATTGCTCACCGGTTGCTTTCTGTGACAGAAGGACGCGACAGGTAGCAGATGGACCTGGGCGGCGGAAATATGAGCGAGAAGTGAGCTTTGCGCTCACATCTCCAGTGCAGGCTCTTAGCCGAAAATTATCACTTTACGGACATCGTGTCTACCTTGGAACTCTCTAGACGGCGACACCTCAACTTCTGCTTCCGGCAAGAGGCTCTAATTGGCTGCATGCGCTTGAGGGGATGCTGACGTGCTATCTTTGCATGGCCCTACTTTCCTCGGAAGGGGTTTAGCAGGTGCTTTGGAAGCTGCACTCCCTCTCGTAATTACTTTCAAAGCCTCACAGCACCAAGCGCTGAAATTCAAAATGCACATGCGGCAATTCTTCAGGCGTACTACGGGGGATGGTAGGCTGATGAATTTTGGCCACACTGTTCTTGGCAACGTTTGCTTGCTTAAATTACTGCAGTAATCGCATGACATTGACCTGTTATAATCAAAATGGAGCCGCCAAAACCTGGTGGCCCCAAAATCGCTGCAATGATACAGGAACAGGGGTTGTGGTTCAACGTATCCGAAAGCTGCAGCTGCTTTGCAATAGAGCACCTATCCAATGTTATTAAAGAACATTTTTCAGGTTTTGCTTTGGCACAATACTTGCAATGCCCAAACAGCCTAAAGCCTGCCAATCCTATCTCGCTGTATACGCACACATACTCTGGCTCTGCACTCTCACTTGGAAGTCTACAACATGCATATGTCAGTCTTGCCACATTGGAGTTCGAAGCCAACCTTCAGCAATGGACAGATCTTGCAAGAATAAAAAGGAATATCATGCTAGCCTGCACTGCTAGCACATATGCTGAATGCACCAAAAGAAGGCTGTAAGAAAGAAGAGCAGACAATATTATTTGGCACTGGCACTGGCCCTGACCTATTATTTACCTTTTCCAGAGCAAGCAGCCTTAAGGTACAGTGACATACTTTTCTTACCAATGTAACCAGGCCAATTTCACCTCTCCAGGACTTAAAGCCACTGAAAGCACGCTGCACAATCTACCTAACCTACAGCAAGAGCTGCAAAACAAAACAATATGCTTCTGCAGAAAATGCACGCCCCCTGAACTTGCTGTGCTCGAAATTGGTCTTCCAATTTGTAAACCCATCTGTCCTTGGCAAATAGCGCTCATTCTTTAGCCGGCTGCTGCGTGTCTCTGAATTAGCCAGTCTGCCCTCCGACATGCGTCCTCTCTAGCTATAAATGTTAGCACCTATGCTCAGAACCTGTCACTTTTACTTCAACACACCGTCGCCTCATCGGGCGCGCTGCTGGCCTAACAGCTGAAACGCGCGCATGCTGACAGGGCGCGCTGCTGACTTGGCAGCTGACATGTGCAGATGCTGACTAGGTGCGTGTTGATGTGGCACCTGGTGACGGTGTGTCATCTGATTTCATATTTGCAGCTCAGATGCGGTGGCGTCCGATGGAGGAAGATTGGACGCGGCCGCTGCCACCTATGATCTGGATACCGTCGAGGCAGAAGGACACCAGCTGCCCATCCGCATTCTGGAAGCTCACCTGCGCACCCATGAATATGTCTTTCAGCCACCGTGTTACAAAAGAGCAAGCACACATGGATGTTCGTCTCCTTATAGCCTCTGTAAAAGGGATCACTATGCTGCAAAAGACCTAACTCTCACAAATGAGGACGTGAATTTCTGTGAACAAATTTCTGTGAACAATGCACAGATTATCACGAGGAAGCATACTGCTCTGTAGACAGGGGTGCAGGTGTCTTGACGGCTAGCTTGCATGATTACTGAAAGCTCCCAACAAAGCCCCGCAGACTTGGAGATAGATAGCAAAGCAAAGTACTCCACTGGGAAACTTCCTACCGCACGACATGCGGAGTGCTTCTTGCAGAGCAGAACCATGCATACATTCAGGTCTTGTGATTGTGACATTGTGCGCATACCTGGGTGATTTGGTCCTGCGCGAAGGGGCATGAGAATGATGACAGGGGGACGCTGAATTTGGCGTACAGCCCCTGTCGCTCCACTGGGGAGAGGGAACCCGTCTTCACAGACGCGCAGTACTGCTTCTTGTCATAGTCTCCCGCGCCCACCTGCAATTCACAAAAGCTCCTTTGGCTCATGTACATTTTGGGTGACACTCCATAGTGCTGAGACTTTCATTTGGTGAGTGTTGCACACGAAATTGGAAGTTTAGATTAAGCCCTTCCAACACCGTCCCCAGGCTTGATATGCAAGGCCTCAGCTGCAGGCCACCCATCGTCTCTGCTTCTGCACGTTGCTTCCGCTTGGCCTGTGAATGCTTGCGCTGCAGGTGATAATAATTTTCAAAGGCAAGCTTCTACAGGGACAAGTGCACCAATAGTGCCAGTTTCACTCATTATTGCTATTATTATTATACGCTTGTCCTGCCGAAGGCAAGGTGCGTCTGCAGACAAGCTGCATTTCACTCATTGCTAGGTATCAAATACAACAGATCAGGCAGCTTGCCGCTCCTAGGACCAGATGCGTGCCTTGGAAAATTGTGTTCGTGATGATGCCTGTGACACTTACAAGGGTAATTGGAGGCAGGGAACGCGCCTGCACGTCGTGGTTGGTGGAGCTTTTAGGACCGCTCTGGGTCAAAGCACAAGATATTCTTGGTTCCTGTTGGTTAGAAACCTCTCTAAGTGTCAGGATGTTTAAGAAAGAGGGATCGCGCCTGCACGTCGGGGATCGTGGAGCTGCCGTTCTGGTCACGGATCCAGAACTCCAGAGCAGAAGCGCCCTTGAACGGCTGGTACCCGGATCTGCCGCACTCCCGGCACGCCAATGTGATTCCTCCCTGCTTGGGCCCCAGGGAGATGCATGTCGCGTTGCTGCCACCCACCCCGTACCCCTGAAGAAAAGAAGGAAGTTAAGCTTCAGAGGAGTGCTTGTTGTGTGCACTGTGAGCCTCTCTCATAAGATTCCATATGTTGCCAGCTGAACTGCCAGTTGAGGGCGGTCACGAGGCAAAGGAAGGTAGGCATGCAAAGGTAGACCTCACACTTGCTAGCCAGCTGTCATTTTGCACAGAAGAGGTCAGCGCCCTTGCATTTTAGTACTTGTGCATGCAGCTGTGCCACTTCTCTGATGTGGAAGAGCAACCTGTTTCCAGTCACCAAAAATATGATAAAACTGGTTTTGGCTGGCATCATGGTCTCCCAAGAATCCCTTGTGGAGACAGGCACCTTCAGGTTGGGGCAAAAAAAAGCCTGACGGCGCTAGCCAAATCAGGCAGCACCGCCAGCTGGCAATTATGGACACGGTCTGCGTGCGCGTACCTGTGACCAGAAGGTAACGGTGTTGTGCTTGTATGGGAACCAGCCCCAGCCAGTCTCCACCTTGTCACCGTAGATGGTCTGATTAATGAATCCGGGGCTGAACTGCAGGGGCTGCTTGCTGTTGCAGTCCACTGGTCTGAAGCTGGTGCTGATGATGCCGTTGAGTGGGTGCGCCAGCTTCTGGAATCCCCAGTAGGTCAAATCCCTGGCAAGGGGCACACACCTCAAATTTGCGCGAATAAGCTTAATGCAATGAGAATGAGTTCGAAAGTGCTTTGCCATTTGACTCATAAAACATTTGTATGCTTTGGTCCGGCCCTGTGCGAGTATACTTAAAGCGTATGTGCCTGATATTAGACAGATGCAATGGCGTGTCAAATGCAAAAAAAAGGCTAAGAAAAGCTAGGATGCATATAGACTAAAGGTCTGCAAAGCCGAGGTAGGCTTGAGAAGGCAAGTGTGCAGCGAGGATGCTTGGAGAGCTACACAATTTGTGTAGCATCCCAGCTTTGCTCTACATCAAATTGCAAGAACAGAGATCGTACAATGACTTTTCAGCCGCACAGCAACAGGGATGAAAAGGGGGTGCAGCTCACATATGGTAGATGTCACCGCAGCAGGGCGGATTCGTGCCGGTGACTGCGCCGGTGTTGACGTCTGTCTGGATGCAGGGGCAACTGTCAGTCACAACCACGTAGATCGAGGCGTCGTCATCCCAGCACTGCACGCTCTGCTGCGACTGGTTCGCCGTCGGGTTTCCCAGCCACCTGCGCCAGATTTCGAATTTGAAGTTAGATTTTGACATGCACGCCGATTGGTGCAGATACTGTGCAGCACTCTTTGTCCTCCGCTGCAAAGACAGACATGTGCCTCGGTCAGCCAGCCTATTGGGTCTCCACTCAAGAGAAGGGTGAGGTGCCCCCTCTGCATTGCTTTGCAACGGGCTGGCCGAGCTTCTATAGTGCAGGGAAGAAATTCTTGTGTGCTGGTGTGCAAGAGAAGGTAAGCCGCTCAAAACTTGCAACCCCTCTTCCCCTTTGGCACTCTAGCTTCCACAGCACTGACATCAATGTCGGATCATACCAGCTGTTCTGCTGAGCACAGCGGTCACAGCGCAAAGCATCACTCCTATAAAAAGGAAGGCTAAGAGAAGGACAGAGAGGCCCACCTGCGGCCGAAGTCATCCAGGGCATTGGGCGCCTTGGCGGGCAGGCTATAACCCAGTGAGGTGTTGTAGATTTCTGTCCCGTTGGAAAGCACGAACCCGCTGCGGCAGCGGACCTCGTAGCATCGACCGCAGCTGCCGGGGAAATCGGCGTCGATATTCGCGACCGCCATCAGCATGTCCTTTGGATAGGGAACGTTGTCGTACGTCACGCCCTCCGTGAAATTCTGCGCGCGCATGCAACACCGGCGTCATATATGTACGCAAAACTCTCTAGGCAAGGTCCTGCTTGCTGCCTTTGACTCAGCTCTTGAGCTGACTTGCTTGGCACAGATTGCTGAGCTGTTTGCAGCCCAAACAGAGGCATGGAAGATTAGGCAAAGCAACAAAACAGGGAGTTTTTGAGTGGGCACGGATGAGATTTTGATGTGGTGGTCTACATTTTGATGCAGACAGCTCACGCCACTGGGCCCGGGGCATTCGCCGTGAAACAAAAACAACAAAACCTGCCCACGGGCCGCAACCAGAGGACACAGCCAACACAATGGACCTTGGATATAAGACCCCAGCATGACTCTCGTCATAAGCAAACTAGAGTCTTTGCTCAACAAGGTACTCGAGGTGGTGGCAGGCTCCGATTGCGTATTCAATTCAGAACCAACTTCATAACGAGTAGCTTGGTAGAACACCTGTTGCGTGTAGCCGCAGCTCCCGTAAACAGCGCTGCCGAATCCGTATTCTGGCGGCGGTCCGCGGTCGTCAAAGTTCTGCAGGAAGGACTCCGGACCCCCGTAAAATGTCGCACGCCCCTGCCGCCAGCCGCCGGCTGCTCCGGGCACTTCGGGCGCGTTGGCCTGCCCGGCCGCCTGCCCGGCCAATAGCAGCGCGGCCAGCAGGAACGCCGCCGGTGCCCATTGAGCACACCCCATTTCTAGCCTGCACCGCAGCCAATGCAAAGATTATTAACACCAAGTGATGAAATTTGAATGAAGTGTATCAGCCTTAGCACCCCTTCCCTAGGCTCAACCACAGCTAAGCGCCCAGTGAATGGCATCTTGCTTGTTTGCTTCTCCATGTGCTGCAGTCAAGGGAACTAGGGGTCGCTATTTTTTTATCACGTCCTTCCTCTTTGCAACTGTGGCTTGCAGTGCACCCCAGGAAGGCTGTTGGACATTTTAAGGGTCTTAAGGAGTCATGATGAGCGTTGCATTTGCCAAAGCGCTGGGCTGCACTGTAATCGTGGCTGCCCTTTTCAAGGGTAACTTTCTGGCCCGCTGTGCACCCCAAAACGGGATTTAAAACGCCTGATAAATACACGATTCGAGGGTCTGTAAGCCACGTTGTAATATCTGCCTTGCGTGGACAAATGTGCGATTGGGCTACACTCTTACACTGGCTGCCAAGTGCACGATGCTGGGGCTCTGACTGGTACTGTGGCCAGCACAGCTACAAAGAAGGGGTCTTGTGTTATCAGACACAGGCGGTGGCTTCCTCTTCCCCAAGAATCGTACGTGACTGGCAGGCATGGGGAACCTTAGCCATCACGACGTCCTGTTAGCCCAGCACATGCCAGGGCACTGGGGCTTCGTCACGAATCGTCCGAGCCCTTCCTTAAATAAAATACTACAGCAGAAACCACCAACGGTGCCTGACACGCCGTGCATGCCCCCTTCCTAGTGTTTTCTGCAATGTAAGGTTGGGCCAAAGGAGTGAAATCTTGGGAATGTGCTGAAAGGATCCCCGGAAACAACATGGCAGAAGGCAAACAACAAACAATTACAGCAGAATGCGATGTACGGATGTCCATTATGAGGTTGATTTGGCAAAGAGCAAGCTCAGCAGGATGAAAAGCGATCAGGATGATCGGAAACCTTCCTGGGCATTAGAGGTCACTGACGGGCTCCGACTGGGCGCAGGTCCATCTAATATGATCAGACGCTAGTGTCGAAACGTCTAGTTTCACCGATATTCTGTGATTTGAGGATGGGCTGTACCTGGCGCGCCTACTGCTCCGTGTCAAAGCTCCCTTCCTGCTTCCGGAAGCCCGCAACAATCCCAAGATTACGTCTTGTAGGCCCTGTGACTCTCTATTGAACTTATAAGATGATATTTAGGATTGCTGGAAGGGTCTGCTCGTCCTGAATTTCGGGGCGACTGGGACAGCTTCCGGGCCTGCCAAGTGGTGCAAGGCCCGAAACGCCGCTAAACGTCGAACGGCGGTGCCTCCGACTGACATGACAAATCAGCCCCTCCAGAGCAACATCCTCTTGGTATAAGGCTGTTCTTGTCATGCTCGATAATTTACAGGTACAATGCCTTTAGCCAAGCCAAGAAAGGGAGAAAGCACTGAAAGCTTTGCTGCGTACAGACCTGGCTACCTCAACTTGTGTGTTTTCCTCAACACAAATCTCAGTGACACCTTCGAGTTGTCAGCCTTTGGGCACACCAAGGCAGATTATCTGCTGTTCACCGTGTGACACAAGTGGCATCGCGCAACAGCCTGATCACTCTGAAAGAAACAAAAAAAGCCTGCTAGGGGTCTTCCTGCCACAGGCAACTGCTGTTGTACAAACCCTGTGCCTTGAGAGCTCGAAAAACTGCAAATTCTTCATGATTCCTCACGGCAGCCCCCGGCAAAATAGCTCACGCAAATGGCTGCGCGCACATTGATCTGGCTTTCCCATCAGCATAAAAGATGCTCCTGAAGAGCGCAAGCAGTAATTCCACTATTCACCGGCTGCCTGCAGGCTGTGAGTGACCCCAATCCAGCTGGACTGTTCCACTTCTTAACGCCAATCTTTACCCCTTGTAGTCTCCATCGAAGTCAAAGGAGTCCCCGCCCTGCACGCAACCAACAATGCGTATTAAATATTTAAGAGGCTTCCTAGAGGGAGAAATTGGACTTTATAAAGTGGAAACAACCCTGAACAGGTGGTGGTACTGGCACCAATGCCACCAACCTAAGGAGTCCCTCTGTCACGGCCCCACAGATCAGTAATTTCTCACGTCATCACATATCAGTCATTTCTCAACCTTGGCAATATAAGAATAAGAAGAAAAAAAACAGAGGGCGCAGTGCAAGTGCCAGGGAGGACAAAGTGCATTGCCTTTTATATGCAGCACGTGTAAAAAGACAACCACGGGAAGAGGAGCACAGAGTGACCCCTTCTTAATGAGCAGGACTGGACTTTTGAAACCCTGAATTTTTCTGAAGCCTGACCTGCTGGCGTGCAGAGGGGGCCTTGTCATTGCCATAGAAGCGCTCGTCCTCATCCCTCTGCTGCAGCCTCTTCAGCGCCTCTGTTGCTTGCACGTCCGCCTCTGCATACACCTTCTCCTGCACACATGCAGGATACTGCTAAGCCCCTGTTGGCAATCAAATCATCGGCACCCTCCAAACAAAGAAGGTGCCCGGATTAACAGTGCTCCCATGTGGATGTGTTGATCGACAGGACAATACCGTAGTCAGCACCATATTTCCCGCATAAAATAATCTCTTTTCTTGAAAAGGGCCGAAAATTAAGACTCGAACATGCAGAATATAAACCCTATGACAATTTTGAGACCAGTTTTGGAAAGCTCTCGCTGAACCCAATCCATTGGTGATGATGGAACATAATTTCAATGAAGACAGGACTCTTAAAAACAGGTCCAATGATTTCATGCATTTTTAGGGTTGCGGGAATTACAGTTCTGACTATGGTACTTTTCCGACACAGATGAGAACCTATCTTCCAGTCAAGAGGCTTCCCACATGGAGCATTCTTTTTCATGTTAGAGCTTTGACGGGTTCTGTCATCAGACGAGCATATATGGTAGCATCCAGTGTCCAAAGATAATGAAGCTTAGAATAGCGGCAGGCTCACCTTGGAAAAAAGCATGTCGCCTGGGGCGGCTTCCAGCTCGGATGTTGACAGTGAGATGCGGGAGAATCCCTCGTCCATGCCGATCAGCATCGCGCGCACGCGGTCGCCCACCGAGAACATATCCTGCCGCATGCACGCATTAAAAATAAAGCTCCGCGCCAAATCAGGCATTTTTTATGGTGAGCCAAATTAGGGTGTCTATTTTGGCACCCGTTGAGGGAACAAATCAGCCCTCGTGGGAGATCGGGCATCGTTCCATACTACAGCCAAAAGAAGCACCACAAGGCGGCACACCCTGACACCTACTTGTAAACCACGTGGAAAATAGACCCTAGAATGAAAGAGGCACTGAATGGCAGGAGAAACCAGGCCGTTTTGTCAGATCTTCAGTCAGGATAAGGCACATGTAAAATTACCAATTGTAAAATTACCAATTTCCACGACAGGGGAGCCTGGACTGCAGCTCGCTGCATGCACAGCGCAATACCAGCCCAGGCACCAAAATTCCCACACACCTCCACAACCTGTCTTTCTTTTACAGGGAGAAGGATTCACACCTCCACAGACTCGATGTGCGCGCGGGAGATGCTGGATATGTGAAGCAGGCCAGAGAAGCGCGTGTCCTCAAGGCCCACAAAAACTCCATACGGCTCCACCCGGCGCACCGTGCCCCACACCAGCGACCCCACCTGCGCAATCCACCCCACCCGGATTATTACACCCTACCTGCACGATCCACCCCACCCAGGATGATTCACTCCATCCCGATATGTCCACCCGTATGAGTTCACCCCGCCCGCATGGTCCACCCCCACCCAATTTACCCCTTCCACACTCAGTCGTCAAAAAATGGACATCTCTGCGAGCGCAGGCCTGGCTGCAAGCCTTTCTCGAAATGCGGGCTGTCCTTCTGAGGAGGATCCAGGGAGTGGGACCCTTGTTGTGGGACTAGGACGAGACCGAGGCCCAGACAGCAAAGAACACAAGAAGAAATTCGCATAGAGGGGAAATTGGAGAACATAGCAATGCAAACGCAGCCAAAAACCAGAGCCACAGGGACAGAATGTGACATGGAGTTTTCTTGCATGCAAGGACGTCTTGAGCAAGAAAGAAACGCTCCTTTAGCTCCCCGCCAACAACAACAGGAGAGGGAAAAGGAGTGGGATGCGCACCGTGAGTTTCTTGAGGAGGCGGTTGGTGATGGCCTGCTGCATATTGAGCACAACCTTTCGAAGCTGCGGCGATACATCCTTGATGCCCACCTCAATTGTCTTATTGAGGTACTTTTTCTTCACGTCCTGCCACACACAGGGGACTTTCAGCACTCAAAGAAGCAGCTAGCAAATTTTTACATGCTATCTCAAAGGGATTTTAGTGGGGTGTATTTGTGCACCATTTTGAGGTTGCTTTACTCACCAGAACAGCCCTATATCTGCAGCATATCATAAAAAGAGGGGTGCAAAAGACAAGTGGTGGCCACCCTTGGAATGTAAAGATTGGTGCCCGGAACGGGGCCAATTGGTGACATGACTAACAGTACGAAACGGGGCCAATTACTAACGTGGCCAGCAATACAAATCTGAAGTACATTTCTGCTCCGCATCCGGCAATTTTCCAGAAACTTAATCGTGAACAGGCGCTTCAAGATATAAGAACGGTATGTGCAGCAGCCGGGCGCACCTCGATGCTCATCCAGGAGTCCTCGCGGTTCTTGGCCATGAGGGAGTAGGGCAGGAATGCTGGCAGCGACTCCATCGTCGCCAGCAGGCCACCAGAGTTCACGTCCGTCACCACAACCGTGAATATCTCCTTGTCCTGCGCCCAGTCAACAAAACTAATCAGGAATTGGCAAAAACAATATATATAATTCCTCCTTGTATTAGTCACCTTTGACTGCATGTGTGTAGTGTGGTCTCTTGTGCTCCTGGGCCAGAGGTGCCTTGTATTTAAACAGCATTGCATACACGCTGTGAGGCAGCCCATTCTCCCTTATTGGCGCTCGAACAGCCTTGCATGTTCTGCATCTCTCTTCTCTTGAGCTCTGATCTCTTGGTTCCATAGCGTTCTCATTTACAACCCGATTTGCTGTTCTTCCACCCTGCCGCTGATATGATGTTGCTGCTTTATGCGCCTGTGGCAGAAGGGAATGCTTCCTGCCATGCTCCGCTCAAATTCACTTCCAGCAAGCCTGCGCTGCTGTAACCCTACTCTTGACTATCCCTGATTTGAAATTTCTTCGGACACACTGTCAGGGCCATGATGGGATGTAAGGCATGCTGCACTTCGATACATCACAGAGCCGCTCTTAGCAATTTGGGAGACTCGTGGCAGACACACGAGCATTCTCTCAGCTCTGTTGTGTCTGCACACACGCGCAACTCTGCACAGAGAGCGGAGCTCAAAGTGAGCTTGCATAGCTGCAGGCATATATTGGAGCTTTGCCAAAATGACCTACACGGAGAAGGATGTAGGAAATGGATGAGTCACCTCCTCGCATGCATGCTTCATCTGGCGTGCCCTCTCCCAGGCCACCGCAATGTCCAGCTCCTTGGCTGTCAGCAGCGGCCCCTTGCCATAGTACTCCATATTCTCTGGGATGGCTTTCACCTGTGCCAGGCGGACAAGGGCTAATTTGAAAGAATGCCTGTCTGTATGTGGCTTGCTTTGATTACGGTAAATTCAGCTCTCAAGACCCTTGAAGATTCTGTTGTTTAGGAGATTCAGCCTTCAAGACACACACATGGCCTGTCAGTCATGGCCGTCTTGCAACCAACCACACATTCTCATCAGGATATCGACGCTTGAGCGCAAACTGCTGCAAGAAGATAGATGGAATGACTCACGAGGAACTCGCGTACGAGGCCATTGGGCAGCAGCATGTTGGTCTGGTTGTAGCCCACGCGGTCGCGCATCAGGTAAGGACCATCCACCGCCAGTGAGAACCTGCACCGCCGAACACACATCAGGGTCAGAAACTAAGAACATTCGTCCTTGCAGCTGCATCTGCTGCAGCTCCATGTCACTGTGCTGGCTATGCCTCAAGAGCAGCATGCTGGCGCTCACTGCGCCATCGCAAGAAACCTATCTATGTTCGGGGAAAAATCTGCTGCAGCCCCGTGTTGCTGTACTGGCTATCAAGGCAGCTTTCAAGGCAGCATGATGGCGCTCGGTGCACCATGGAAAGAAACATCTTCTATGCTTGGGAGGAGCAGGATCAACTGCCCGCACAGAGCCCACCCTCCCAGATACTCTGTCCATGAGGGCACTCCATACAGATGCAACTGGACATAGTGGACCATATCATGATGCGAGTCGACAGCAGAAGAGCTGCATGAAACACAAAAGAGGGCTCACCCGATGATGCGCGGGTCATCCACGAGCTCGATGTTGGACCCCTTGCCCTGCGACCTGACCACCCGCCCCAGCACTGTGTCGCCAATCTTCAGGTTGTGCTCTGTGCACGGCGCCCTCCGCGCATCCTGCAAGCGCGAATCGAAAGTCAGACCATTGCTGCCTGCCTGTAGTGGGCGCAGAAAGCAATGTTGCCGCAGTTTTGCTGCTTGGTGAACACCATAGTGGGCGCTGGAAGCCACATTTGCTTACAAAGTTGCTCCATTGTATGCTCAAATCCAGCCAGATATTTGTTGCGAAGAACACCTAAAACCAGCAGCTGCTTAAGTTCTCGGGGAATATGGCAGGGAGCCGTGGAAGCTTGCCAAGCAATGCAGGCGGTAAGGGGAGTATCTGGAATCACATGCACACCTCGTATCTTGAGGCCCTGGATTCCCTTGGCTCCCTTCTGCCATCACCTCCTCCCCTGCTACCCCTGCCTCTGCCCCTGCTGTCCCGGCCCCTGCCTCCGTAGTTTTCCCGCCTGTCAGACTGCTCGTGCATCCTCTCATGCGCGACCTCTGGCACTGCACCTGCCTGGGCGGTGCTGGCTGAAGCATCGTCTGTGGCATCTTGGCGGACACCTGTCACATGCAAATAGTCAGAAGAGCGAAAGGCGATCTCTTTTTTACGGACGTTGAAATATGACAGGATACAGTCGTTACAAGAGAATCGTTAGTACAAAAGGCTTCAAGATTTGGCCAGTTACACCAAACAAGGGCACAGAAAAGAGACTCACGTTCTGAAGAGATCGGCCTGTCCAGGTGCAATCCAGCGCCATTTAGCGACTGCGATGGTGTATCCTGTGCAGCTTCCTCCACCTGGGCAATGCAAATTGCTGCTGCCCTGGCGACCTGGAGCTTTGGGTGTGCTAGCCTTGCGCTTCCATTGCTCCCTTTTAAGAACTGAGCCTTGCCATGTGCTTGGAAGGGAATTGCAACGATGCCTGATGCTGATAACTTAGCGACACATGGCCTGGCAATTGGGCCCTGCGGCAAGAAATTACTTAGAATCGTCATTTCTGCCAACACAGCTGGCACAGTTCTACACACCAAACTGTATCAAGATGACGCAGAAAACTCTATATTGAATTAGGTGAGATGTATTTGACCTTCGATCATGTGCTCTAACTCCTTATCTTGCTTTTTATGATCTTTGAAAAGGCAATCTTGGCCGCCTCAGCAAATTCTATCTCTAGGTTATTGTTATAATATCTGGGTTGACATAGATACCCTATGCTTGTGCTCATTTCTTCAATCGTGTCTTCTCCCATTAGATTCATCAGACATCACCTTCATTAACATCGGCATTAGAGCACTTGAATAAGACATCTTAAAATTGCGTCCAATAAAAGCTAACGTGCCTACCTTTCTCTCTTACGATACACCTGACACCCAGGACAGGCAACTTTCCCTGGTATAAGTTGACTCTGAAGCCAGAGGAATACAACTTTATATTGGAACTGGTGCTTGAAATTTTTCCCTAGCAGCAGCACGCGGAGAGGGGGTCGAGGGTCTGATTGACCTGGCTGTGAGTGAGACCGAAACTCTGCACTGCTGGTCATCACCCTAGAAGACGTCATCATAGGATGGCAGTGGATCTGGACGCTTGGATAGAAAAGCTCAGGCGATGCGAGTACCTTGCAGAAGACGAGCTCAAGGCTCTCTGTGAATATGTAAGCAAACACATCCGTGCTTTCTGTTTCATCAGCTTGTCTTTTCTGTTATTCCAGGTGTAGAGGCTTGAGTGTGATTATGGATGAGTTTTGTGCTCATGGGATGTATCGAACAGGTGTTAAGGAAGGTTTGCGTGTGTTGTACTTCTTCTTATAGCCATTCCCTGACAGCTTCCCTATGTGTCCTGCAGATCAAAGAAATCCTGGTGGAAGAGTCTAACGTGCAGCCCGTTAACAGCCCAGTCACGGTGAGCGAAGCACCGGCAGCATGCTTCAGAAGAAAAAGACCCTTCTCCCACCTTCGCCTGTTTCCATTGCTTCCCACCCTTCTTGTTCACCAAATCAAGCAGGGCCTGGCAGCGGTTATTTGTACCACGTCGTATTCTCTCCCTTGACCTGTGACTGCATCAAGCTGTGCAGCTTGTGTCGCCCTGAAGCTCCATGGTCGCCTGTTTGCAGGTCAGCACCTTGGTGGCCATCTGAGTAATTTTGTCATGCCTGTGACAGGTGTGCGGGGACATCCACGGGCAGTTCCACGACCTGCTGAAGCTATTTTCAACAGGTGGCGAGGTGCCGGCGACGAACTACATCTTCATGGGGGATTTTGTGGATAGGGGCTATAATTCGCTGGAGTCCTTCACGCTGCTCATGCTGCTGAAGGCCAGGTATCCTGCGCACATGACGCTGCTGCGCGGCAACCATGAGTCACGGCAGATCACGCAGGCGCGTTCCTCTTCTTAGCTGTTGCATTCTCACCACGTGCATGCATAATCCATGTGAATGTTGATAGTCTTGTAAAAAGGGCGTAAAGGGATGCTGATCTTCGTGCCCCATTAAAATCTGCCAGGGTTATTAGTATACAAACTGAAAATGCAGCGTCTGTCCAGTAATACTTAGCTGCAGAAGGTGGGGTGTTGTGGGTTGTCTACTGAAGTTTCTTAAAGCTTCACATTGACAGAGGTTTCCCGGAGTCACCCTCATGTGCGTAGGAATTTCTTAGGGAACGTGAAGGATGTGCCTGTATTGTCTCGAGATTGATGTCTGTGCTGATGAAGTCTGTGCTGATTATGTGTGTGGATACAGGTGTATGGCTTCTATGACGAGTGCCAGAGGAAATATGGCAACGCCAACGCATGGCGATACTGCACAGAGGTCTTTGACTTCCTAACGCTCTCGGTGCGCCACCGAAGCCTCTGTATCTCAGGGTCCTGCGCCCTGTATCTGCAATTACATGCCTGAGAAGCCTGGGTATGTATTCAAGCAAAGAGATCTGTAGAGGATATGGGTTGATTCCTATTTTCTGCTCAAAGTAGGTTCATGATTTGGAGGGGGCAAATCCCTTGTTTCCCTAGGGAATGAAATGGGCCTGACACTTGCTATGAACGCTTGAATAATAGTTTGTGTTCAACCTCGAGCTAATGAAAACTTACATGTGCAGGCCTTGGTGGATGGCCGAGTGCTGTGTGTACATGGCGGCCTCTCTCCAGACCTGCGGACGCTAGATCAAGTGAGGCTCCTTACATGGCATCTCATCTGCCACAGACTTGCATGTGTGGCCCATTGGAATTTGTGAGGCCGAGCTGAGGCAGGCTAGAAGCATGGCCTACCTGGGTCAATGGCACTTTTTAAAACCCACTGCAAATATATGTCAGCCCTCCATAAGCTCTCTGGACATCATCAGTGCCGCAGAACACGAAAACATAATCCAGCAGGATGTGGTGGGATAGAGCAGCCGGAGGGAAGCCTTTTCGTCTTGCTCATGAATCAATGAATTTGCTCATGCATCAAGGGCTGATGTGGAGTCAAGGGTCCATGGATATGCGAAGTGCTGTCTGAGGGGTTAGGAATCGGGCATATATGTGGATGACAACCCTGCATGAAGGGCTAGTCCCGCTCTAAGATGTCACGAGTGAGAACCTGTTTTTGAGGACATAATGGTCATGCCTAATCTGAGGTCCAGGGTCTACAAGTATCTACAGTGCAATCTGGGATTTGAACGGTGGGAGTTTTCCCGGCGCGCAGGTGCGGACGATAGAGCGCGTGTGTGAGATTCCGCACGAGGGCCCCTTCTGCGACCTAATGTGGAGCGACCCAGAGGACATCGAGACCTGGGCCGTCTCTCCGCGCGGCGCCGGCTGGCTCTTCGGCTCCAAGGTGGCTCTTGTGATATTATGCTTGCATGCAGGCATTGTGTATTGTAGTTTGCACCGCAGGGAGAGTGCTTTAGGGAATCTTGGGCCACCCTGTGTTTTGGTTCATGTTTCCCATCTCAGTGGAAGTAGCAGGGGATTATCAATGGCATCTTGTTGACTGGCTGTGCCGCCTTGGGGTGCTCCTGTACTTTCAAGCATTAAAAATGCTTCAAGGAGTATGTACAAAAGCCGGAATTGCAAGAAATTCCTGCAAGAAGCATCCGGGGGTATCCTGCCATTTGGCGTGCTCGTGTCTGCCTTCAACCTGAAGCCGTCAAGCATTGCGCAAGACGGAATTGTCACACCCTCCTGCTGACCGTCTGTGCAGCTATGGAGTCGGCTCTATCACTAGAACAGGATGTGTGCGCCAAGCATCTCGAGGCAGGATGTGGCAATCACCAACATGCAACGCTCATGGGAAATTTTCCTGCCGTGTGGCTGACTGGCTCTTTTACTCCCCTCAGGTGACTGCGGAGTTCAACCACATAAATGGCCTGTCTCTGGTCTGCCGCGCGCACCAGCTTGTGCAGGAGGGCCTCAAGTACATGTTCCAGGGTGCGCCATGGCCCCTTCCTCTAAATCGACCGCATGAATAATGGTTCATGAGTAATCTGCAGGCTGATCTCATCTCTTCCCAATATACGTTTGCGCAGCATGTCCGAAGAGGTGCAATACTTCCTTTTACGGACGTGTGAGGGTAGACCTGCCATGGTTTTCTCCTCTGAACTTGTTGGGGAGCCTGTGGCAATTTTGCAAGGGAGGCCCCTTTGCAGTTGATGCAGAGAGGGAGCTGACATCTCCATAGAAGCCCTGCTCGTGCTGCTGCTGCTTTGTGCACTTTCTTGCCCGGGGGGCAGAGTCACGCGCTTGCATGCATGCACGTGGGAACAAATCGATGACTGGTAATGTGTCATGTGCGCATGCAGAGAGGTCCCTGGTCACCGTGTGGTCTGCACCCAACTACTGCTACCGCTGCGGCAACGTGGCATCCATCCTGTGCTTCGACGAGAACCTGGAACGAGAGGTGAGTCCGAGAATCAGTCACGTTTAGAGAAGGGAAAATTCAAGACTCGGAAGGCGTTGCGAGCGCCAAAGGAGGAGAAAGGGCTACAATGCGGTTTAAAGAGTCAGATTGCAAGTCTTTCAGCCAACTCGAGAGTGGTCAATGCCGGAATTTGATTCAGAGATTCAGCGCCCAGCTTGAAGTAAAACAATCAATATATGTATTTGTTTGCACCACGCTCTGCTTTGCGCTCGCACTGACTTTCTTGTATGCACTATCGCCGAATTTTGGATTGGCAGAGCACAGGAATCAGTCTGGCCAAAGACTGGCATCGCAGTAGGAAACAGTACCTCGCAGCATTACAAGTGGTCCTTGATGTCTTGGCTGCGGTGTCCTGCAGGTAAAGTACTTCACAGAGACAGAGGAGAATTCGACCACGATGGCGCCGCGCAACGCAGTCCCCTATTTCTTGTGACAGCTGCCAGGCGGAACAGCTGCTTTGCTGGACGTGCATGGGCAGGCTGTCACTCGTTTACAAAGCTGGACTGCGCATCTTTCGGCAATCGACATCCTTTTGAAAGCGGTGATGCGCTGGGATAGCCCTAGTGTTTCCTGAGTTCAGGGGAAGCAGGAAATAAGCCGATATGAAGTTTCCTCAAGATGCCGCGCGAGGGGATTGCGCACTTGGAAAGGGGCGCTGAGCTGATTCAAAATGTTGAGCTGATTCTTTGCATTGCCCCGCGCCCTGGAACCCTCTGCTCTGTGTTATTGTCTAGCAGATGCTTGGGCAGCACAAGTAAGGGTGATGTCCTGCAGCTTGAGGAAAGTCCCGGCATCAGCACTGAGTTGCGCTGTGACTGGTCTCATCGAAAGTCCCTGTGGCGACTTGTATCGCTTGTGGGGCACAAGTATAGCAGCAGAGCAGCAGACATCTTTATTTGCTGGAAGCAGCCAGAAATGCATTTGGTGCTCCAGTTGCAGATTGGGCCAGGCTTTGGTACTGCTGCTGGATTGTTAATCAAGTGGCCCCATGTGGGCTGCATCTGGTTTAGCAGGAAGCACATGCGCTCTTGACCAGTGGTCAATTCGGGAGGACCTTGCAGATATGGAGTAATTCGATTCATTGCTGTTTTTCGGCATTCATTTGGATGAGCAACTGCATTTGGTGCTCTTTCTGCAGGGTTGGTAGTTGATTTTTACTGCCTGCACTGCATCGGCGCAAGCTGACAGCAGCAGGCAAGCCCAGTCCCCATTATCAGAGGTGGCCAGGCAGCTGAGTTTCCTGCCCATGCAGCTTCAGCGTCTGTTAGAGCTCTCCTACCGTTGTTTCTTGTGCATACCAGCAAAAGGGTTCGATGTGCCACTACTACGCTGTATAAGCACACGGGGATTCTCTCTGTGCATCCCCCCTCTCGAGCTCCATACCGTGCTCAGCGGTCTGATGTGGTAGTGAAAGATCGGCAATTGTAATTGTTTTGCTCTGCTCGACTGTAACTTGGAGGGATCCTCGTTTTTTCTATTCCGGAAGGGTTGATAAACACAGCATATGGCCTTAGAGATATGAGCCACCGATACTCCAAGGCCGATCTGCATCGCCCATTCACCGCCCTTTCCATACGTTTTTAGCATAATTTTCTATCCTCCAGTTCCTTGTACCCAAGGTTCGGAAAGAATTTGTCCAGGGCGTTTCGGAAGGAAGGGAGCTGAATATCTAGAAGGGTGTACACTTGTGCCAGTTGCTTGAAAGGTTTCACCCAAATTGGAGGGCAACCCATGCAGATTTGTAGTCGCGGTCCCCAGCAGACACCCGAATTGTGGATACTTTTAGCATCTGAAAGCTGGGCTGCGGACACCCAGTGCAGAGTCGGCTCACAGGTGGCACAGATCGTTTCGCAGGCATCTTGAATAAAGAGACATCTGCAGGCGGAAAAAGTCTTGGGGTGGTGGTGCAGAGAAGACACCACAGTACACAAACGAAATCAGAGGCATCTACGCCCCTCAGAACAGTGACAACATAATGAGGCAGCCCGCTGCAGCCGCGGGACTGAGTAGGCGGTGGGGAGCGCTGGTTGCAGCATTACTGTGCAGCACAGCTCTTGTTCAGTCAGCTAGCACAGGTAGGACACCTACAAGCGCAGCATCTCTTCAGAAAGCAGACTATCCAAGGGCAGATGTAAAATTCAGTGAGGACCCTTCTGGCGCGCAGTGCAGTCTGGCGCTTCGTCAGGGTTTGCAGATGGCTGCCATCTTTGTCGCTGTCGCATCCCGATGGGCCTGTGATTGATGCTGCAGACAATTGCATGATATCGAGCAGTCAGTCACAGCAGCACAGAGCTTGCGACGCCGAGATTGATGACGCTTTGACCAGTCATGCCTCCGCGATGCGCAGGTGGCAGATGGCCCGAGTGCATCATACAAATCGTGGGGTCAAAGGAGATAGTAGCAGCCACGAGCCTGCAGGCCAAGCGCAGTGTGGCGAGCAATGCCCCGCAGGGCACCGGCCCTCCTACTGTGGCGAGGATCGACTGTGTGCCTGGAACGGAGACCGCACAAGTGGCGTTGACCGGAGGAATGGGCTTTGCAAACTTTGCAGACAACTTCACAGGTGTGTTTCCTTTGCATAAGATCTGGTGCTGTAATCGCCAATCCCGTGAGTACTCCGAGCGCCGTGCTTGACACCTGGACGTGCTTTGGCAGCCCCGGATGTTTCGTAAATCTTCCCATGATTTGACTATCCTCTCCTTTGTAAGCATACATGTGCTCCTCCTGTTTCCATTTATGGAGCACACCTCCGGTTTAATTGTTCTGACCCTTGATCTTGGCAAAGCATGGACCGTCCGTCAGAATGCAGCTTTCAGCTGGCACCTGGCATAGACAGGACATGCAGCTTTTCAGTAGGAGCAGCATACTTACCACCTACATGTACCATCATCTCGCACTAAGTGTGTGGAGTACTTTACTTTAGTACACTAGGAGCAAAAGTGAGAGGGTACTTGCGCAATGGCTGTGACACTCAGTGCCTGACAGCTTGGCCTGGATTCTTCTTGTGGGCAGTGGTTGCCTCTATCATGGTTTGATCAGACGATGGGGTTCCTTCCTTGCAGATCGTCCCAGATCCTTGATGCACCCTGTCATCAATGCTAGGCACAACTCGAGTCATCAGATCAGCTCAATATCTTGGCAATTCACATCTGTGCACCGGTTCAGCCAGGGCTGCGGGTATTTTGGACAGCATCAGCATCAGCTCTTCAGCAGTCATGCTTGGCGGATGCTTCTAGCTTTCAGGCCGTCATCTGTCCTGCAGTGCTCAGCATGGGGAGCATTTTGAGCGCGCACACTTCTCACAAGCCCTGAAGATTGCCACAGTGGCGTGCCATATAGTCTGATGATCACTACACTACTTTCATATAGCATGGCGGTCAAATCCCCATGCATGCATGCCAGTTTGAACTCAATTTTGAAAGCCTTCACAAGCCTTTTGGGGCATGAATATAATTATAAGTCTTCAGGCCTGTTCTTAAGCTGAAATATTGCGCCTGCTCTTGCGCACAGGCGTGGACTTCACACAGGACGACACGCTGCCGGGGGCTATCCTGAAGCTGGAGGGCCAGAACTTAGTCATCCGCGACTCAACCTTTAGTAACCTCGCGAACGGCGCCCCGGGCACCGTCATCGTGATCAATTCAACTCTTTCCATCATCAACACCACATTCGCGTCCAACACCCAGGCCGCTGCGGGCGCCCTGTTCCTCAACGGCTCCTCTGTCACTATATATGACTCGCTGTTTGATCGCAACAAAGGTGCGCCCTGGCCTCTCAGACTTCGACTGTATGCATGCAGTGATCTTTAATGCTCCTGGGCCAAGAAATAAGTGTCTTGAAAATGCACAATGGTTCTGAAGGAGCCGCTATCCCCTTTCATGCATGCACTCTTCCATGCATGCACTCTCTCCTGAATTATCATCTCTGCTGGAGACTTTCATTCTGTCGTCCTTGATTCCTCCTGATCTTGACGTCTGGCCAGCACTTGTGTCGGAGAGTGCCTTGGACATGGCCAGCGGTTGCTTCTCAATATTCCGACAGCCCTCAGACTCCTAGCATGGGCGGTGCAGCAGTGTACATGTGGCGTCCGGCATGACAACCAATGCTGTCACATTGCCAACAGCAGATATTGGCCAGTCCCTGCATGTCAGAAAAATCAAGCAAAATTTCTGTGCGCATGCATGCAGGCTTCCAGGCAGGTGCCATCAACGCCATCGGGGAATCCAACCTGCTGGTCAACCTGACGGTCTTCCGCAGCAACAACGGATCCCAGGTGCGTTTGGAAACCCTCCTCTTTAGCACACATGTACTCTCTTCACAAGCTACTGTCAACCTGGTTCTTCACTGCAATTCTTCGATGACTTTTACGCACGTTGCTTGCTTTTTTGCATTGGTGCTATGGTCCATGCAAGATCGGCAACATGGCCTTGCTTGCTTCATGGGCACGCATTTAAGGGTCTAGAGTTGACAAAGACCTGTTCTGATATGTGCGATGCGAGCCACGACATGACAAGGGGTTTTGAAGACAAACATGTGAATGTACCGACAAATGATGTCTCTTCTGTGGTTCCTTTTCGTGACACCTGTGACCCGAGCCTGTTTTGGCGCTCATTTGTGAGTCTGTTTTGGCGCGAGTGCTGAGGAGAGAACGCCATGCTGCGCAGGGCGGGGGCATCGGCATGGCGGGCGGCGGGAAGCTGCGTGTCATCGAGTCGCTGTTCCTCAGGAACGCTGCGCAGAACGGGGGCGGCATCTTCGTGCAGAAGTGCGTTTTTCCCCTCTCCCCCTGCTCAGTTCGCCCCCTCAAACGCTTATCATTTGCTCTTACAACATGCCAATGAGCAACTCTCAGAAGTACCTGCTGCGTGCGATTCTACATCAACATAGTGGCAGATGTATTTGCTCTGTCGGCAACGTCACAATTCAGCGGCCTGCATGCTCCACCCGTGTATGTTTTGATCGAGAAATGACTCCACCTTGCGGCATGAGAAATCTCCTGGCTCCAGTGTGGGTGGCAGGAATGCTGAGTCGCACCGCAGGCTGCATGCAATGTCAGAAAACAACAAATATGTAAACGGCTTGTCACTGTGCGGCGCAGGTCTGCGGACTCGTACATCCAAAACTGCACCTTTTCTAGCAACACGGCGGCCGTGAATGGCGCGGGCGTGTTCCAGGAGCTGACCAAGGGGACTCTGGACGCATGCATCCTGCGTGCCAACAAGGCCCAGGTGAGATTTGGTGGTGGGGTGTCCCTGTTCAGCTACCTTTAGGGACCCTGGAAAAGTGGGGAAGGTTGTGAAGGATTGCGGGGCGTTCATCCATGGGGATCTGGCTGGGTTTCTTGGAAATGGTGGTGGTTGTTGATTTTCAACTTTGGCCAGGCTGCCCCGCTTGCCTCCTGTTCAACAAAAATTGATGTATGTGCGTAGTCAGCTTTGGTAGATCCTTGGTCCCACCAGCATGGGCCATGTTGCAAAGGAAGGTTGCCCAGTAGGCATGCAGAGAAGTCCTTCCAGAGTTTTTCACAGCTGCGTGCACTGCATGTTGCCCTGGCATCCGCTTTGGAAGGTCCTCAAAGGCAGCAAGCTATAGCCAAACTGAAAGAAGTGAAAGAAATCCCTGCCAAAACCACGCTGTTACTCACTTTGGGCAGTGTAGTGTCAGTTCTGCTGCTTCTTCACTGGTTTCAGAAATGGCTGCCCCGCTGAGCTGCTCACATGCTGCGCGCAGACGGGCGGGGGCGGATATTACAACAAGTGCCCTGACGTCTCGTTCGTGCGCAACCGCTTTGAGAACAACACGGCTGCCGCTGGCGGCGCCGGCCTCGAGCTGAACCAGTGCGTCGGTGACGTGGAAGCCTGCGTGTTCTCACGTAATCGGGTGACAAACCGCTGACTGAATGACCATTAGGCATGCATTGCCTCAATCGTCCATCTGTTCCCCTGCCTGTGCACCAGCACATCAGCGACACAGGACTGATCACTTGTTGGACATTCACAGCTGCATGGTGCAACAGAGGTAGGTCTATCAAAGGGCAATGATCATCAGGACAGGGCTGTTATAATCCCCGACGTCGCCCGCAGCTGCCTTCAGATTGCCTCAGAACCTTTCTCCCTAAATAACCCTAAATAATATTTTCTGTTTTTGAGCGTGGTTTGTTATGCATTCTGCAGGGTGAGAAGGGGGGCGGCCTGTTTATGGACCAGTGCTCGACCAATGTGGGCAACACAACGTTCGAGGCCAACACGGCCTCCCTGCTCGGTAACGCCCAAGTGCTTGGATCACATATTGACTGAAGATGTTGCGATATTTCCACTGAAGAATGGAGCAGGAAAGCTTCTAGCACCTGCCTGTGATGTTGCCACATGCTGTCTCGTCTCGACGGCCTCGTGTTCCTCTGGCCTTACTAATGCTCAGCAACCACGTGGCATGGATTCCCCCTGCACTTGTAAACCTGCAGACATATGTGAGCATGACTAAGAAATGCCGCATGCATCACATGCACACAATGGTCATGTGCCAGCACCTGCGCAGGCGGCGGCCTGTACCGCTCCTTCCCGAGCGAGCGCTCTGTGGTGCGCGGATGCAAGTTCCTCAAGAACCGGGCCAGCCAGTACGGAGGGGCCATCTATGAGCAGAATGTGGCCGACGGCGCAGTGCAGGTATTCAGATTTCCGCTGACTCGTTGATTTCTCTTGGTTTCACGTCGCAAAAACGGATCAAGGTGGGGCAGAAATGGTTTTTGTGAGACTGCAGCGTGCATGGCAGAGTGAAACAATGCTGGTTGCGCAGTGTCATTCGCTGAGAAGCACCATGCGTGTTCACCCTTCAGCATAATTCAGCAGAGGCCAGCGGGGTCTGCAGGCTTTGATCTGGGACCTATGCTCTTGTCTAGCACCAAGCCATGCACCAGCATCCTGCATGACCTGTTCAGCCTCGACTTGCCGACTGCTGTGTAAAGTGCATACTTTTAAAGGCAAGAGACAACACGTGTATCGGTCCTGTTTGCCATGGCTGCATGCTTCCTAGCACTGCCCGCTCAAAGCTGCAGTGTATGAATATAGGGGTGTGAAGAAGTCAGAGAGCAACCTGCGCCTGTGCATAGCCATCGAATTTTGCATCATCCGTGCCTGCCGCAATGCAGGGGTCGAAGTTCAGCGGCAATGAGGCGCCAACGGGGGCTGCCATCTATTCGCGCATGTCATCGACCGATGTCAACGCCAACACAAACCTGGACTCCGCTGACGTGGAGTTTGCGGATCACTGACCCCCTAAGGGCGTGCGGCGGCCGGGGGGATGGTGTCAGGGTTTTAAGGGGCGCTGAAATAGACGCTACAATGCCAAATTTGGGGCGTGTGGATTGCAGTTTCATGCGCAGACAGCTGCAAAGGCTTCTTGAAAGAATGCAGATCTTGAACGCATGCTGCATGATCCAGGAATAATGCAAGGAGTGCTGTCATGCTGCAGCTTCCATGCAGCAGACAGCGCTGGATCTTCGCTGAAGGAGCGCTGTTTCACATAGATATTTTTGGGCCCAACAGGAAAGGGCAACTTGCAGCCTGAAATTCTGGTGCAAGCAGTCCCTGGAGCGATGTTCTAAATGGAAAGGGATTGGCGGTGGAGTGCGGCAACATGGATAAAAAGTATCTGGAATGATAAGCATGCAAATGTCAAATTTTGGGGCGATTTGCCCTTGTCTAGCTGCTATTTTGAATGGTTGTTTGTTTGCGCGAATGATGTTCAAAATTGACTTTATGCACTTTCTGTTTTATGGTGCAGTCCTTTGGTCCCCTTGCTTCAGCCAGAAAACTGCAAGCAAGAGTGGTTTATGTGGTGAGACTGTCATTGCCAAGAGCGATAGCACCAAGCTTGAATTTTTGCTGCGATGCACCGAGCCGATGGGTGACCAAATGCAGAGGCGGCAAATTGCTGCGTCTGACATCAGTCTCTCCTTAATTAAAAGGGGGTGTTTTGTGGCTGCGAGTGCGCATGAGAATATGTTTGCGGCACTTCACGCCCAAAGGTCACTTCAATTGTTTTTAATGACTCGTGGTCATGCATGTGGATGGTGGAAAAGTGAGAGAGCTGTACCAGCATGAGCTGTACCTGTCAATGAACCTCTTCAAGACATCTGAGAGGTGGTGATGGATGGTTTGCTAGTGGATTGAGTCTTTGCAACAAGCTTGAGGAAACAGGCGCGCAATGCTATCGATCAAGTGAGTGCGTCAGTCCTCCCATTATCCAATTTGGTGCAAGGGAACAAAATTATGGACACGCCAGAAAGGGAAGGACTGGGAATGGTGTGTCCCAATTTATGCGTGTATTTGCGGTTGAATGTACTTTTGGAGGTACTATGAGCAAGATAGCTGTGCATGCTGATCATGATAGAATGATCAGCATGCAGAAATAATGGGTACATTTGGCTTTAATTGAGTGGGGAAAGTGGCGGATTTATGGTACCATGTTTCTGTGACAGAATAAGAGCTTTGCAGAGCTGTCATTCATGTCCAGATGGATACAATGATCGTTGCTTAGCGCCCTTCATTACTTAGGATGCGTTTCAAGCTGATAACTTACAGGATAGTCATGCAGCTCGGGCTCAAAACAAATAATCGTACATAGGGAGAGGCGCTTGACATATTGAGCACTGTAATACTAATCCAACAATGAGTCATATGAGTCAATTACATTCAGACAGCACCAAAAGGCCTCCAGAGTGGTTCCAATATTGCAATGTTTAAAATGTTAACGTTAACATCACGTTAATTAACAATATGATTATGGCCATGACCAAGATATACATCAAAGTTGGTCGCGGCGGTTTGCGGCAAACGCCGTATACCGCCGCCGCTGGCATGCACCGGTGGGGTACCCGGCTGGGATATATTGGTATGCCGCATTATTCTTAATATTACACGCTTTTCCTGCCAACAGGCACGGTGCGTTCTGCAGACAAGCTGCGCAGCATGCATTTAAAGGCTCCCACAATCCTACCCCTTGTTGGACTCGCCAGATCCAATCAAGACCCAATCAAGCGTGGGCACGGTGCTCAGTATTTGTACCGCCCCCTGCCAGCCCGGGCCGGGGCCGGTATGCCGCATCGGTGTACCATATATATACGGCGAATGGCATGCGGCTCAGGCAGGCAGTACCGTAGGGTCTGTACACCAGTATGACCCCTAGAAGAGCTGTGAAAGGCTTGCATTACCTGCAGGATGCTCGATGCTTTAACTAGGCCCGGGTTGGCCCGGGGCCGTATCTTAAACTTTTGGGTGTGGACCGGTTGGGAATTCTGCAAAGCCTACTCCTGTTGCCCTTGGTTGGTCATATTCTGATCCTCTGGCGCATGCATGGCCTATACATGCTTGCACTGTGCATGACTGAAACGGAAATTCTGCCCAGAAGAGGAATCTTTCTCGGGAAAGATGCTGGGGATGACACTATTCTGCTTTGGCGTTGAGGGTTTGACACCCTCGAGTTATACTCTGTTTTCCAGGGTTTCGCACCAGACTTGCGACTTTCTCCAAAGCAGAAACGCAAACAAGCTGAGTTGAATGATACCTGAGAGGTGGAGATGTGTATTCGTTGATCTGCGGAGAGTTTCGCATCGAGCATGGATCGGTAGAAGTGTGAAAGGTACGACCTTGTCCAGCCGTCCTGGGACAGGCTCTGTTCTGTCTAGAGGCTATAAAGCTGAGGTTGCTGCATCTCTATCGGTAAACTGTCGCGCATCTTTCAAAGTGTTTTCCTAATCAATGTCAGTTGGTCAAGTCTTACTTGATGAGAGGCATCGCAACCACCCATTCCGCCACAGGGCAAAATGCACTGTAAATATGGCGCATTATCAATGCCTGAGTGCAAATACAACAAGTTCGCATGTTGGCTCACGCTGTACCCGGCGCGGATTTCTTCGGCAGTTACATATTTTTGCAATCTCGAGGCATGAAACGCACGGGGTGGCACGGCCGACGAGTGAGTTTGAGGGCGGGCACATCATTTTGCTGCTCTCAGATCGTTCAGGTGTTGCTTGCAGGACTATCATTGCCGGAGCTGGCACGGAAGGTGCAGGCAGCCTTGCCTTTGCATCTCAGCCCCAAGTAGACAGCAGATTGATCTCTGAGGGCAGCACGCCAGGAGACTGTCCTCATGGCGGGAAGAGCCTCTCAGGCCCTGTATCTTTGAGAAGCAGCAGCAGGATGGCTACAGCTGCCCCCAGCCTTGCACCAGAGGCAGCCCATCAGCCCTCTCAGCTGCTCTCTTCCCCGGCAGACCAGGCAACACATTCTGCAGCAGCTGCTCCAGCAGCCGCCTCAGATCTATGCCTCCGCACCCTGCAAATTGGTGCAACCCCAGCCAGCATGATTGCAGTCTCCCAAGCAGCAGCTGATGCGCTGATCAGCAGACCCTCGGGGCCTATCACAGGTGGCCCTGACACGGTGCCCATAGCGGACCTGCCGTCCCGTAGCGGCGGCTCCGCGGCAGCTGCCGCACCCCGTAACGGGGCGGCGGCTGACGGCACGGTGGCCGAGGGGGAACCGGACGACGGGATGACCGAGGAGTGGTTTGCGTCTGAAGCGGAGACTCCGAGCCCGTACAGCTTGAACTTGCGGCAGCACCGGAAGGTGCATGGATATTTTGTGGAGCACGTCGCGCGCATGGTGTTCAAACACAGGTGACCCCACCCACCTTGCTGTTGGCGCTACCTTGTGGTATACGGCGGACTTTCCAGCTTGCAAACCTCTTGTGCTGCGACGGCCGCGCCTTGCTGGCAGGGAGGCATATGGTTGGCTTTGAAGGTCCAGTTCAAATATGCTCCACTGAGATGGAGACTTGTTCAATCGAGCCTTGGGGACGCCCAGCAAGAAACCTCTTGATCGCTCCACCTTTGCACAAAGCGGTGATGTCACCTTCCAAGAGCACATGTGGCTGAGCGCAGAAGACCGCTCTCAGTGCCACAAGAAGCTGTCAGGCAAAGTGCAAGCAAGGATATAAATGGCAAGGAAATGGGAAATACTGCCCTGTACTGATGTGCACCTTCTGCGCGCAGGCGGACGCATGACAGCGATGCGCGGCTGCGGCAGATAATAGCGCGGGCGCGCTGCCACGACATGGTGCCCCAAGTTCTGGCTCGGCTGCGAGTGCCGCTGCTCGTGCAGCTGCTCTACGAGCATCCTAACCCGTGCGTCGCCTTCTCAACCCTTGTCATCTGTCCGAGTTTCAGGGGTGATGTTTTAGGGTTCAGGTGGCGGGAATAATCTCGTCTGAGACATCCCTGACTGCCTGGGGAAATGCTTGCAGCACCGCTGCTGCCAGAGAGCCTGTGTTGAAAATGATGCGCTCTTGGCGATGGCTGCCCCTTGTGCTGCCGGCTATATATCCCTTGCTGATGCCCCTTCCCTTGTGGTTGCTCTGCGAATGTGTGCGACATGATGGCATCCTTTCAGCATTTTTGCAGTGTGGGATAGCTTTCATCCATGCAGGGATGTCTTGGCTTTGCCCTGGTGCATGCGGGTCACGCGCATTTGCAGAAGGCCTGAAGGAGCTCAAACCCGGTGTACTGAACACAGGTGACTGCCACAGCTTTGTTCTGAGGACCTTCTCAATATATATGTGGCTCGGTTGCATGCAGGCACGTGGCCAGTCAGGCGAGGGAGCTGAATAAGCGGGAGGAGTGGAAGACAGCGCTGCATCTCATGCGCGAGGAAGCCATCAAGCAGATGGGCATCACCCACAAGCAGGCAGACGCCATCGGTGCGCGGCTAGAGTGGAAACAAGTCTCCCATTAGGAGGAGGGTACAAGGTAGAGAATGCAAATGAACCATCAGGGTCATAATTGACAGGACAGTGGGTACCCTGACTACATTAAAGTCGTCCAGTATGCATGTACTATAAAGAGCCAGCAGTTTACGGTGAAATACGGTACTGCAACCCCGTTATGTGTGGGTACACGGGCAACTGGTACGTGTTACTGCCTGCAGAGCGTCTGAATCATTAAGCATTCTGATTTGTATCAGGCGCCCAAATGCTGCTGTGTTTTCGTTTTGTTTGCAGCGTCTGCCCAGTTTGGCAGCAAGCAACTTGTACACATCAGCTGTTGTATAAGCCTGTGCGGCCCTCTGCACTGTGATTCTGATCCAGTGCTGTGGTATCATGCAGCGGCGAGGATGGTCGAAGAGCACGCCGTCCCGGCAGCTGCCCCAGCCGCCGACAACGCTGACATCACCGCTGAGCTGGCATCTGATGTGGCGGATACGTTAGGGAACACCGGCCGCCGCCGCGGCGGCAAGCGTGGCAAGTGCTCCAACAAGCACGCCTCGCCGCCGCCTGCCGTGGATCGCGCGGCCACCGTCCCGGCCCGGGGTGAGTCCTCGATTACTACACACTCTCCGCACATTGAACACATCTTTTTTTTGGCACATGACCTTGCACATGTTGGCACATGAGAGCAGCGTTGACTAGTTCAATGCCCCTACATGGGAGGCCGGTGGGGCTTTCCCTATTGTCCTGCTGCGATGGTCTGTGGCGTCGAGCACTGCTAAAATTGATCTGCTGTGGCAAAAGCCCAACTTGTCCAAGGACATGAAACATGTTGTGTACACCTGATAATAAGGATATCTCCTTTTGAGTAAGCTGCTCGCGCTGGTCAGACCAGAGAGCATGGACATCCCAAGCCCGTATGCAAGTTTGACATTCATACCTGAACTTGAAGATATTATGCATCCATGGCATTCAAGGCTGAATGTGTACTGCCACAGGTGCTAGCAAGCGCCCCCAGACTGTTCTGGTTCCAGGCAGAAAGCGGCTCAGGACGCTATCACTCCGAGATGAAACAGCCCAGGCGGATCCTGCTGCAAAGGAGCAGGTACTCCTCATTTGCTATGCCAAATGCCCTGTCATGTGCACAAAACATGTTTCTCCCAGAGATGCCATGCTTCTCCACCATTCTTCGCTGGATGCCAGCGTACCAGACTTTCCAGAGAGTGTGGGAAACAGCGCTTATGCATGCACCTTTGCGGGGACACCAACTTTTATAACAAACGGGGACTCCTTTTTCTGTTACCAGGACTCACAGGATAAAAAAGTGTATTCTGGTGTGTGCAGGCTGCTGAGGATGCAGCGATGGACCTGACAACTGACGCAGATGTTGCCAAGGTGCAAGATCCTGCGCCTGTCAAGAGAGGGCCGGGACGGCCCAGAAAGGTGAGGAGGGCGTCATGGTGAACAAGCATTCCTCATGCTGCCTAATATGCTGCACAGTAAGTACGGAATAGTCATAGTTCGCAGCACTCGGAAAGCTCTTTGCAAGGTGCAGTCGGCTGTGTCTCATTGCGTTTGCAGCAAGGCCGGTGCAGCGAGCCACAAGGCTTCTTGTCTTGTTCTGATGAGTGCCAGTAAACTACTCAGCTTCAGAAAGGGGATGATGTGCGCAGGGTGAAAAGGTGGTGAAGCAGCAGCGGAAGCAGAAGCCGGCAGAATTGGCCGCTGTGGAAAGGCTCCGGAAGCGGCCGCTGCAAGACGAGGAAGAACAAACACTCCCTCCAGTAGCGAGCCAGGAAGCCGTGCCTGTGCTGCAGCAGCAGGCCGCGCCCCTTAGCAACAATGCAGCAACGCCTGCTGCGGAGGCTGTCAAATCGGCTGTGGCGTCTGTCAGGAAGCGCGCACGGCGGCTGCCGCACGCCGTGCAGGCGATTGTGCCGATGCACACGAAGGGCGCCACAGCTCGGGAGACGGCGGCGGCGATGGCGGCCGCACTGGTGGGGCCTGCTGCTCTCCCGAGCGCGCCGCAGCCGCCACCGCAGCCGCCGCATGTGCCGGAGCAGCCGCGCGAGCAGCTGCCGGGAAGCAGCCGCCTTGTCCTCTCGGGCAGCGGCCTGCCCGCGCGGCCGGCTTCGGCACCAGTCGCGCCGGCATTGCAGACGGCGGCCGCCGCAGCAGCTGTATCAGCACCTGCCGAGCCCCCATTGCTGCAGCACCGGTGCGAGCCGAGGAGCGAGTCGGCGCCGCCGTCACAGATAGAATCAGCGGCGGCCAAAGAGCGCGGCATGGAACCTGCCAGCGTGGCAACACCGGACCTGCAGGGCGCCGAAGACTCTGCAGACGATGCCGGCCGCAGCTTCAGCCGCAGCCCGTCCCTGCCGGCCGCCGCCGCCGCCGGCCCCTCCTCGTCGCTTCTGCTCCCGTTTTCCCCCGCAAATTTCACCACCGGCAACCCATCTGCCGCTGCTCACGTCCCCGCCTCTACAACCCAGAGCCGCACGGTGCCCGGGGTGCGCATCCAGGACGGCCAGGGCAGTCCCTTCCGCAGCTGCCCGGCAGTTGCCCCCAAGCCGGCAGCTCCGGGAAAGCTTCTGAGGCAGGGGGGATGCCAGATCCCCGCAGCTGCCGCCCCCGTTTCTATGAGCGCCCTCATGCCGGTGCCGGTTGCCGGCTCCGAGCGGCAGGATGAGGAAATGGGTTCCACTGCTGAGGCTGGAGGCGCATTTTACGAGCAGCGGGGAGGGGTGTTAGGGCAGCAGGGGGCTGTAGTAAGCCAGCAGCAAATGGGCGGAAGCCTGACAGAGCAAGGCATGCAGAGCTCCTGGTGGCAGGCGGACGGCTCCGTCCAGATCGCAGCCGGCGTCGGCCGCGCGGTTGCGGAAGCTGAGGACATGCAATCCGACAGCGAGGAAGATCAGCGAGCCGCCTGTGCAAATTCCGCCACAGCCGCCAGCCCGGCGTCGGCAGAGGCGGACGCAGCACCGGCTGCAATGGATTCAGAAACTGCGCCAGGCCCGGAGAAAGCTGATGGGCAGCAGGATATGGCCCCAGAGCCGGCTTCCCCACAGGCGCGGCCGGACAGAGGGGATACGCTCTGGGGTTGCTCGCGTGAACGGGCCGACTCCGAGCCGCTCGCCACAAAACTCGACGGCGTTCCCATCTCTCCGCCGCAGGTCCTGTTACGACGAGCGCAGTCTCTGCCGAAGGGCGTGGCGATGTGCGCGCCCGTAAAGGCCGGCTGGCTGATGGACAGCATTGCAGAAGACGCTGCAAATGTCAGCAGCAATCGGCAGGCCACAATTGGCGGGAACGCCGGCGAACCGCGCCCGGGCGACCGAGCCGCGCCTGATCAGGCGCAGCATGCAGCAATAGCCCAGGAGGATGCAGCGGGCGCTGCCGCAGTAGCCAGCACCGCCGCTGCCGCGCAGCTGTCTGCGGTCGAGGCACCTGGACTGATGGAGTCAGACCAGTCACCCGCCAGGGTGCAGGACAATCACAGGGATGCTGGCATGTCTGCTGTCGAGGCAATGAGTCACAGCGGGCTGCAGCTCTTAGAGGAAGGCGCTGATTCTTTGGCGCTTAGATCAGCCCAGCCGCCGCCGCCGCCTCCGCGCTCTGCGAGCGGCAGGGCGCTGCTGGCGCCCATTACTCTCAAGCCTCCCGGTATAATGCACAGCCTTGTAGCGCACAACCTTTTAAATTTTCGGCATTGACTCCCACTCTACCTCAGTACTGATTACACCTTGCTCTCTGACAAACCAGTGTGCCATATAGTCACGAAATTCTTCTTGGGTACTGTGTGGTCATAAACGCGAGCAGCTAAGGTTGTGTTGAACATGCAGGCCCTGCGACAGCTTTGTATATGCAAAAGCCCCCCGGGACAGCTCGCGGCGCCCCCCGCCCCAACCGCAGCCCTATCTCTCCCGGCCGCGGTGCATTCCCCAACCGCGGCGCATTCCAAGGCCGCGGTCATTTCCCCGGTCGCGGATCGGACCCGGCGCGGCCGGCCGCGCACCGGGGCGGCCGCGATTTTGGCGGACGGCGGTTCCCCTGGTCACGGGGTCCCCCACAGCAATGGCCACTACAGCCGCCACCGGCAGTCCCCCTGCCGGTATCACCAATCCCGTACTGGCTGGCTGGGCCCTTCCAGCAGGTTGTTGGGTGGGGGGCGCAGGTCTGGGGCCCCCCGGCGGCGCCACCAGTCCGGTATGTGGGGGCCCAACCAGCTCCCCCGGTGGCGCAATCGAGCGGCGGCGCCGGCGGGAGCAGCACTTGATTGTGCGCTGTCGGTAGGGGTCCAGTGCTGTGCGCATAATAGCTAATCTGCGTTGCTTTGGGTGGCACTCGGGGACACCAGCAGAGCTGAACATATGATGCAAAGAACCGGAAGCAGCCAGACGCGCCTGAGATTGGGGTGACGTAAGTTGGCAGTGCAACAGCTGTAACTACGGTGGTTGGGCTATATCAATATCTGCAACAGATGTGCATTATTCCCAGCATGTATATTGTTGACGTCATGAACGTGTGCGTTGAGACGACCCTGAAAGCATGTTGGTGCGTTTAGCTGACTTTAACTTTGCTTTGTTGATGCCGAGGTTGCTTTGAAATCACAAAGCTCAGTATTTTTGCATGAGGGAGTTTACATAATTAAGTTTACCACTGTAAAGTAGGGGTGAAGAGTGTACTGCAGTACCAACTATGGGCACGATCTTTGTAGTTAAGTGCACTGCAAAAATGTGCAAGTACCTGCGTTAATTGACTGTGAAAAAGATTATGGTCATGACGTCCTAAAGAAACTTTGAATGTAAAGCACGACCATTACACCAACAAAACTTTGCTAGGAGATCAACAGTGGCAATGGGGTGTTCCTGATTTGGGCCCCCCAGCCTCGAGCCTCGGACTTGGGACTTTAGGTTCCTTTTCATTTCACTGCCAAGCCCCCACTGTCAAGCCCACTGAGTGCACTTTGTGGCTGAGCAAATGCTGCACGACCAGTACCTGATGTTCCCCACAGACCAGGTCGACATCATTGATACTATACATGTTTACATGCAAAACAAAATTCCCGCTGCCCGCATTCAATCTCTTGAATGTTCATTGAAAAGGTTTGGAGCACAGTTCAAGAGCAGCACCGATACAATCGCACTCCACCCAGCTAGCGTATCCCCAAAAAATGCTAAGTGTACAGTCATTTTGTAGATAAATCGGTAAATGGCCTCCGGCACCGACCAGAATGAACACCGGTAATACCACCTCAAATTCATCCCCCTGTCAGTGACTTCTCGGAAAAAACACTGAACAGATGGGCGTGGGGCCTCACAGCGCTGATGTGCATCATTGTTTAGATCCAGAATCTGACTTCTGAATACAGCTGTCTGCCTGCAGGCAGAAGCAGATGGCAAGCCCTGGCATACACATCCTCTCAGAGCAGCCATCTAGGGATCACTGTCAGTCAGCTGCCTCATCAGGCAACTCTGCCATGTGTACAGCTGATATAAAATTAAGAAGGGAGCAGCCTGTCCAGGCAAGCCAGATGCCACATCAGTCGCTGAGGTGGCCGGAGCGCGGCGCGAGGCGTTCCCTGCTGCCGCTGCCAGAGGACGCCCCCGAACCCGCGCCCACGATGATGACTGATGCCGGCGACGGCCGCGGCGACTGCCCCGAGATCTTTGCATCGGCGCCCAGCGGGGGTGCGCCCACCCTCCTCCTGTCCCTCGGGAAATGCCTGTACAGCCCTGCACGTAAATCAGAGCAAGGCAGTAAGAGAAGGAATCCGCAGCAACTTGATGCCTGCATGCTAGCCAGTAGCTAGAAGCCTTTCATTCTTGTGCAAACGGTAATGAGGATGGCTTCTCTGGGGTGTTTAAGATGCAGCATCAAGTCCATACAGCTGCACTGTCACAAGGGGTTGCAAAAATAGCAAGGCGCTAGCCTGAAAAGCAAGGGAGGTTCTCTCTGTTGTACTATTAGGATGCACCAGCGGAACGGAGAGTTTGAAAGACTACACAGGAAGGAGAGGTTCCTGGCAGCAATCTTTTCTGATTTTTTTTTTGAGGGTTGAGTAGGCAACAGGAGTGGATACGGGACACTAAACTCATAGATAGTGCCTAAGGCTCCAGGTCCAAGAATGGAGGACACAAGAGGCGAGTGGGGATGTTCCAGGAATTCCAGGCGAACATCTCCGCTCGCCTGTTGTCATCACGGTTCCTGGACATGGAGTCTGGGGCAACATCCACAAACGCCCAGAGCCTCCATGCACTGCCTATACTATTGGCTTGGCTAGACAGATGACTTGGCTAGAGTGGCTTCACCGGTGTAGAAGATGAGGCAGAAGGTCCAGGGAACGAGCAGGCAGCACAGCAGCGCGTTGGCCAGCGCCTGCGCATTGACCGCGGCCTTGAGAGGATCCTTCACGCTCTCCTCCAAATGCCCCTCAAACCCAAACACCCGCTCCGCTATCATGCCTGCGGCGCGCACAAACCACAACGTCACCCACCTGCCAGCAATTTGTTGACTGCGTTGGAAACAGAACAGCTGCAAAAGAGGAGAGCGTCCCGATAATTTGCAGGAGAGATTTGTAGTGTATGCATGCACTCCTCGTTCGCCATAATTTTGTGGGTGCTTTCATGCTTGTCTGCCTCATCGGATGTGCAGTGCTGTTACTCATGACGGGGTGGACCCAAGAACAACACTTATGATGACACATCTTCTTCTTGGCAGGGCGTGGCAGGGCAGGCCATCTTGGGTCCACCAAATAAGAAGATGTCGTACCTACTAGGGGTGCAGCGCATGCAGCAATGGCACCCTCAAAGGAGCGGTCAAAAGCATACACCACCGATCGCAGCTGCTCCGGGACTATCTCTGCAAACATCACGCTGTTTGCCGACCCGCACCTGCGCATGCACCCAGAGTCACACTCAGCCAAGACACATTTCTAGGGTAGCGACCTTCCATGTGCACTATGCAAATTGGCCCACCATTTGCTGTGATGCTTTTGGGCCTATGCTTAGACCTAGCAGGCCAGCTGTAACAGGAGAGGCTTCAAGGACACCGCAGGGCAACAAAGGATCGCAAAATTGCCTTGAAGTAGAGTGCGGCACTCAAAAACTCAAAGAAAAGATTTCCGTTCTTGTCAATTTAGCAGACACACTCCATGTTGACTGCGCTGCTTGCACCATGCTGCAGTGGCTATACAAGTGGTGTAACCTCAATAAGCCTTTGAGGGGAGGCATGCGGTGCACGCACCAGCTGATGAGCAGGCCGAAGATGAGCATGACGGTGCCGTAGAGGGGGACCAGGCCGTCTGCGGCGTTCCCTCCGCCGCGCACAGGCAGCCCCTTCAGCAACAGCACCGACAGGGGCAGGCCACAAGCAACGCTGAACTGCGCCGCCATTATTCGCCCGCGCTCCGGCCAGATCCGCGCGCAGTAGTCCCCTGTTTCATCAATCGACGTGTAAGCACTGATATCTGCAAAAACAGACATGTGCAGCCAAATTTGGCGACTCTGCATGTGCAGGTGCCACCCTTGGCGATGTGAAGTTTATCGCCACCAAGGGGGTTATAACGTGAAGCATTTTTACCCCCCATCTCTGTCGCCACAGCTTGGCGGCAGTGGGATGTGCATTGATGGATGTGCATCCAAGCTGCTACTGATTGTGATTCAGCTTGTGTGTGCAGCCTGCACATTGTGAGCTACTGCCATGCACTGGGTCAGCCGCGCATGGCAATCCTTACAGCGCTAAATTAGAAGGCTTCTTTGTATGCAAATGCCCAAAAGCTTGGACTTGCACCGGACATCCGCCTACATTCAGCAAGCAGATGCGCGCACACAGGAAGTCTCCGAGCAAGACCTCCACAAGTGTCCTCATTTTTTTCATTCGATCTGACCCCTTTGCTCCCATCCTTCAATAGGTGAATGCATCCTGTAAAGGGGACTTTGGGTTTTTTTTGTTTGTGGAGCAGAGCGCGCACCCAGGTAGCCTCCTAGCAGGCCGCCAAGGGCGCAGCCGCCGGCAAAGACTGCCATGAGCGCAGCGGCGGCAAAATTGCTGAAGCCCGTCAGCTGCAGCCACAGTGTGAAGAACACCATCGCGTTCCACGGCGTGCTGCCCACTATCCCCTGCCGGGCAGCCCACAACATGAACATTTCAGAAAATCTTTCGTGTTGTTGTCAATCCCTCTCGTGCATGAGGGTTCTGTAGTACACACCCCTCTGACCCTGTACAACATGCACATATCTAAAAAGTCACCTCAGCCTCAGAGTCATAGCTGCTGGACAGCACACTGATAGTTGCCGGTAACCTGTAGCGGTCTCGCATCCCGCACCCTGTATTTTTGTACTCTCTTTCTTGGCTAGGAGATTGCCGGATACGACGTGCAACGATGCCCTTCATGACAGCTAAATATCCGTCTGTGAAAGGGCATTCTGCGGCGCACCTGCAGCACGATGATCTGGAAGGTGCGGATGCGCATGACGCTGAGCACCTCTGCCAGGACCTCCCCCGCCCTGCGCCTGCCGGGCGCCTCCCCCAGCCCGCCAATGTTCAGCCTGCAGGGAGGATATGCATCAGTCACCTTTTGTACACCCAAAATAAGCATTACTTTTCTATTCTGTTCAGCATGCAGGACGATGTAAAGCGATCATGTGCTCTCTGCTGAAAAATACCACTGCCTTCACATCATGAGGCAAGAGAGGGATACTGAGGGCAATTGCATTGTATGTAGCGCCCGCCCAGGACCTTAGCGTAGCTCTGACCAGGCCAACAAAGACTACCGGCAAGTACCATTCGTCTTCAATGTTCAAGTGATATTGAATTATTATGAGGTATCAATCAACCTATTTGATGCAACAGGTCAAATTGTTTCACTGACACATAAATCTACAGTGATGTAGAGAAAGGCACCACGAAAACAAGCTTGCCGCACCTGATGCGTGACTTGGCAGGAGTGTCCGCCTGCCCAGGCAATTTTAGCGAGGGGAAATTTGCCGCGGGCACCTCGCCGTCATCAGTCAGCCTCAGCTTTGACCCGTCGCCCAAATTCATCGGCGAGATCATCCCCTGCATTGACACCTGCCACATCAGCGCTTCAAGAATGCAAACCCTTCCATGCACCTTCTTGGTTTCCTCCCTGCTCCAATCCAGGAACTCTGAGAGCATTGAACACCAAGACTGCAACTTCTCTGAAGGATGTAACTTGATCCACAGAAGGTGCTGCTCTTTACAATGTGTCAGCAGCCAGCAGAACACGAGCATATGCACAGCTCACTTATGGGAATATCTGCATGGTCCCATGCAGCCTTTACTCAAAGGTACTCAAATAATGGATAATCTGCAGGTGCAGTGCACGGGAACAGGACGCACCGCAATTTTGCGGCGGGGATCGACAGCCAGCCACATCACAAGAACGCTGGTGACAATGGAAAGAGCTGCCACGAGGTGGAATGCGCAGCGCCAGCCCTCCAGCCCCAGAATCTGCATCCCGCCCAGATTGGTCGCGAAAAAGCCGCCCGCCATCCCCCCTGTGCCCGGCGATACTGTCATACTGACAGATGCGTGTAAAAGAAATCAGAGATGCATGTCGCTGCAAGGCTTGCAGGCAATCCAATCTGAACAGCTAAGCAAGCCTTGCTGGCCTGCAAGATGCAGTGACGTGTGACGGCCGCCACAGGGTTCTCTTTGCCAATCAATGGGCGAAGAGATCCTCGAGAGGATGCTACATGCCAGTGCGTGAAGATGTTGGCCTTCGTGTGATAAAAAGGGAATAAGGGGAGCCGCACCGAGTGCAGAGGTGAAGAACATGACCCCGAAGGCGCGGCCGCGGCTCTCCGGGGGATTGTAGTCTGCTATGAGGGACTGCACGCAGGGAATGACCAGCGCCAGTCCCACACCATTTGCAGCCGAGTACAGCATCGCCTATTTTGGGAGCCAAACACACCATGCATTTCACTCACCTGAAATGCCTGGCAAGAGGCAAGGTATATGCAGATTAAGAGAATGATCAAAGACATGTCTTGTGCTTGAAGTGCCCAATCCAAACAAGGAGGATTCAATTGTGGGCATCGGGCTCGTAGAAACTGCAGCGGACGTGACTGCTGCTGTAGATGCAAGGCAATGAGGAATGACACTTTATAAAGGGTGATTTGAAGGGAGAGAGAATGATTGGTCACCTGTGAGAGCGAGGTGCACATGCCCACAGCAGCTGTCATGACGCCCCACAGGAAGCATCCAAAGGAGACGATGGAGGTGCGGTCAAAGTTGTTGCCCAGGATCCCGCTGATGGGAGAACTCAACGCCTGCAGCAATTCCACACAGCCAGATCTCTCTCCCAGAAAGGCTGCACCCTTCTTGTCCGTGGCGCCATACCATGACACAAGAATGACATCCCCACTGGGCATGTCATATCAAGCAGCTTTCGTGTGGAAGTTCTCAGCCACGCCAGAATGCACTGTAGGGCACTGTTGCCCCTTCAAGGTGCTGCAATGATGCTGCTCGTTTTCCCATCGGATGCCTGGCAGCGCACCTGGACCATGGCTCTGCAGAGTGTGAGAGTGCCTAGCTGAGCAGGTGTGGCCCGCAGCGAGTGCCCAATGAACAGATACACCGCTGGCAGCACCTGTGATGGACACAGACATATCCCCCATTCACACGCATGGTCAAGATACTCCCAAATCTATATGCATGGCAGCACGTCACAGAGCAGTGCGATTATGGAAGCCAGCCTGCCTGTTCATCAGCCCGCTCCACAATGGCAGCCAGGTTGAGCAGCACGGTCGTCCTCATGCGTGCCAAAGCTGCCATCCTGGTAGTGGGGCTCTGTCACTGGTGTCAGGGCAATAGCCTTTCGTCCCCCATCACTGCCACCAGAAACCTCGTCTCTGCCCGGCTAACCTACAGCGCAAGAAAATCAGACTTCAATTTGGTTAAACTGGGACGTTTATCTGAAATATGCAGGTGGACAGGTGGACAGGTGGAGGTGCATCGGTGCCCATCAAAGTGTCAGGCTGAGTGTTCACCTAAGATCCGGCGCGCCAAGGTCTCTTCCACCTATGAATGTGAAATTTTCGTGTGACGGCAGACTGTGCCCTGAAATAACGTTGCAAGTCTGTCTGGCCAGAACCAATGGGTACAGATGTCCGGTACAACCAGCTTGCAACCTCAACAAAGGCCCGAGATCCCTTCTAATATCATTGTTCGGATTATAAATCGAGTTTAAAAGGATTTTCGGAGGTTAAGTGGGCAAGTGGATAGAATACAAGACTGATGGAATACCGATTGCGAAAGTTGGGAAGCACACAGATATTTTTAGAAGGAGGTAAATATAGAGATATCATCAACTTCGTAATGAAAGCTCAGAAAAGAGTGGGGAATGCAAAGGCTTTGCTGAGCAAAGCGCAATTGGTAATGGTCAAGGAACAGTCGTTGCATGCAAGCATTCCGGCACGCCATCGAATATGTGCACCATGTCAAGCCGTGGCTACGCGATTGCATTGCTATTGTCCGAGGTAAACGGTGCAGGTGAGTATCAGCTGTCGAAGATCAAGACAAAGGAATCGAATTGCGCCCTACTGCCTCCCTTAGTGAACAAGAACTCATCAGCAATAATCGTGGCTAGGTTCACTGTGCGAGTGTACTTGTCGAAAGGCACTCCTATGATATAGAACGCCTTGAGGAATAAAACTATCGTTCTCTATTCCTTCATTGAGCACCACGTGATTTATGGGAGAGGAAGGTGGCAAATCTTATGACGACATCCGTGCCGATGGGATAGTGCACAAGCAAAGATCGCCTTTCGATCTACTTCATACACACCACTGCACAGTGGTAATACTTTAGAAACTCTTTTCACCTTCAGACGCTTAGGGTATAATCATGGGCTACCATGGCCCTTACAGCCTGGGTGCTAGATGTGGAACAGAAGCACTGGCCACAGGGCTAATGGTCTTTCTGGGGGAGGGTTGCCTGGCCAATGAACTGCTGTCCAACACAAAGGGTCAGGGCATGGGCTTCGGCTGGACAGCGTTCGGTTTCGGCTTTGCTTTCTTTGTGAGCCTGGCAATCTGGAATGGTGTCAGCGCTCACATGAACCCTGCCTTTGTGCTGGGGCTGTGGCTCATCGGTGAAGTCGACGCCGGTAAGCCTCTCTCATTTTCATCCTGTGTTGTGTCTGTCATACCACACCATTAATCAAACAATGGTAAGAACGGCATTTCTGTCTACCTTTGCCACTTTCCTTCGTGGCCTTCTGGCTCTTTCAAGATGCACCACAACTTGGCATTGCTAGGCATTGCATACTTTGACCAGGTGCAATCCATTAGCTCTTGTTGAGGTCTGCTGCGGAGATTGAGGCTTTGATTTGTGCGTGTTGCAGCGGACTTCTTTGCACTGTCAGCTGCGGAGCTAGGCGGGGCGATGGTTGGCGCACTCCTTGTCTGGATCCACTACCTGCCGCACTTCAAGACTTTGCCTGAACCTCCAGGACACGGCACCCACGACTCCCTCCTCAGGAGCAGAGACAGCCTCCCACGCGATGCTCTCAAGTGCGCAAGCCGTCACTCGCACGGCGCATTGCATTCTGGTAGTAGTGCATTTGCCCTGCATGAGAGGTGTGCAACAGACACAATGTGTTTGGTGACAGAGGGTGACGGTGATTTGTTCTTGTGCAGTATCTCCTCATATGATACACGGCCGCACGCAGCAGCCAGCAAGGGCATTGCGGATGCTCTGAAGGACATCAGGTAAGACTGCGCACTGCTCCTGAGCATTGCCGGGATTGTGAGTGCTGTTCAATTTCTCTGCGCATGTTCTCAGCAAGCTTGGAGAAGTGCCACCTTAATGGTTATGTGTGCACGTTTGTCTTCATTTTTGCATTTAAAGACCTGTTGGGAGTCACCTGAGGCTCTTCGGTCGTGTAGGCATTCTCTTACACTGCGCATCTTCGCATAAAAAGCTTGTAATCTGTTTGCATTCCGTCAGAGATTTGGCAGTCCCAACTTATTAATTTGATGGACCAGGTACTATCTCTTGCAGCCGGCAAAGGTGCATGAGCCGTACCATGCGTCGCTCATAGAGCACGCGCTCGGACACGACGCCTTCACCGGACCAGAAGGCTTCCTCAGGCGCCGATCTGTCCAGGTGCTGTGCCATTGTACTTCATTGTACTATCGCTAAGTGCCTCTGCTCAAGCAGCCTTGCTTGTGCGCACACTTCTGCTCATCTGCGTTGTAGGCAGCTGTCATGCAGACCGCCTGACACGCCGTCGCAACATGCCAGCATGCACATATCCCGACTGAAGTAAGATCAGGTCCAGTCAAATAGAGAGATTCTGTCGGCACTGGGGATGCAGCGCACAGAGTTTCAGCACATGATGTGCGCTGCAGGTGTGCGACATGCACGATCGCCTGAAAGCCTACGATCTGGGGGGCGGGGAAACGACTGCGGCGGCCGCTCACATACCCCACTTGACGAGATCAGCGAGTGCGGTTTCACCGGACAGCACTTCCATAACACTGGACATGCAGAATGGGGCTGCCACCTCCAAAACAGATGTTGAGAAGGTATGGCCCCATGACATCCCTGTGGCTGCTTTGTATCAAACGCCTTGTCACTTTTAATCCTTGCTCAGGTCTTTCGCAATGCTTAGTTGCAGTGGTAAGTGTGTCACGGCAAGTGTGTCACGGCAAGTGTGTCACGGCACATGCACAACAGATGCATGACATCATATTCTGTTTGATGTACTACAATACATGCATCGATCATCATGTAGCTGAGATGCCTACCTGCCTCACTAAGCGAGCTCCACGTTTCAAGCGTTCTCTTTGATTAGTAATGTCCATGCGGGTGCCAGGTCAGCGCGCAGGATGACCAGAGGCTCCGACTGGATGCGCTGTACAGAGCGGTGGTGATCGCAGATCAGAATGCGAAACTGTCGGTGTTTGCCACCCGGCCCGGCATCCGCTCGCCCTTCTTCAACTGGATCGTGGTGCGCTGCCTCTTCTGGCAAAGTATGCATGCCAAGGGTTTGTCAGGGGGCTTTCAATTATATGATGGGATGATTCAGAATCGTCTGTTGTTGCCACCTTGCATAGAAATACTCCCCTACCAGAGGCCAGGCCAGTTTTTATGCAGTCAAGGCCCTGGTCTATTGAATGATGGGAAGTACATGCGCAGTGCATTTCAGCTTGCCTTACCCTTTCTTGATCATAGGAAGGCTTTGGTTGCCATGGCTGTCAAAAAACAGTGAAATAAAGCAAGCAGACAAAGGGACACTACAGCTGAAGCGTGGGTATACAGAGATCAGCACAACAGAGTGAAAGCCTGCCTGAAACACGTGCAGTGAGTGTTAATCAGCAGTAGCCTCCTATCCGCAGCATTAAATCTGACGAGTATAAATCCAAGCAAACAAAGCAGATGGCATGCACATGAACTGGCTGAGTCATGAGAATGCTGCGCAGGAGTTTCTGGCGATGGCGGTACTGTTTGTTGGGGCAAAGCTGATTGATGGGCGCGGTGCAGCGCTGACTGGGGAGCTGGCTGCTCTGTGGGGGCCCATGAAAGCATTCTACGTTGGGCTGTTCATTGTGGTGCTACTCCTCGGCACTGCTGGGCCCACAGGTATCCTCGGTTTTTTCAGAAATGACTATGAATATTGTGAAATGAGAGGATAGCAACGCATTTAAATTATTTATGATGATGGCATGGACAGCACATCATCCTGGCTTCATGCACATCTGCGGAAGGTCTATGTTATGGAAGGGCTCCCTTCTTCTGAGCCCCCTGTCATTCAGGACTGCAACTTGTGCAAGAGATTGCATGCCTGCTCAATCACGCATGAAGCCATGCAAGCAGTAGTTGTGAGTACGTTTGGGCCCATTGTTTCCCCCGGCTATCAATAGTGAGCCTTGTGCCCAAGATTGATTGGGTCTTGCTTGCATCTGGCGAGTCCAACAATGGGTGGAAGTTAAGCAGCCGTTGACATGCAGCTTGCCTGCATGCGCAGCTTGCATCTGCAGGGAAACTTTATAATATTTTGTTGTATGCAGGGAATGCTATCAATCCGGCCAGGGACTTTGGGCCGCGGCTGATGCACTGGGTGCTGCCGATCGCTGGCAAGGGCCCCTCCGAGTGGGGTTACGCGTGGGTGCCGGTAACTGCAAATTTTGTGGGCGGCCTCGTGGGCGGAGCGCTGTATAAGAAGATCAATGAGATCTACATCGTGGCCCCGGTGCACTAATGGTGTGACTGAGGCTTACATTGCCCTGCAGACTGTGGGCCTTGGGGCTGATTGGTACCAGGAGGGTTCTCGTTTGTTTCTCAGCCATGGTGATTCCCATGACACTGGCAGTGTCATTTAGAAATCATGCAGGGTGCAACTGACAATGTCGCGGCCAGCACTGTACATCTCTAAGAAATGCCGAGCTTTCAGCTGACAGCAAGGTGTAGCCATTAGTCATGGGAATACAGCCTTTCAACAGTCTGTGCGAGCAATATCATGATGGGTAATGCGCATGCCATGCTGATCTGTGATCATTAGAATTCGACTTCGAAGTATTGAGAAACGCCGGCGCATGCGTGTTTTGCTCTTGAGAACTACTGCAAGCATGGCTCAACTTCGGTGTCCCTGCACTGTTATATATGATTGATAGGTACGCTAGCATGCAGTATGGGCTTGAAGATTTTGAAGCGAAAATGAAGATTTTGCTGTGCTTTTGCGAGCCACAAGGCGCACAAGTGGATTCCCCTTGGTCAAAGGGTGAACCCTCGCTGGATCAGTGGTTGCTTATTCGGACAGTCCGTAGAGCATTAGAAGGCTCTCGTCATGAGCAAAATCGGCACGGATCTTGCCGTATGAAGTAAGAAATTATCTTGGAACGTTTAGGAATTGCCTTCAACTTTAAAAACAATCCTATTTTGATCTTCCGAAAGATTTCATCTTGGCTGAACTTCGATCTGCAACCTTGTGACCCTGCTGACAGCGGACTCGAGGACGGAAAAAACGGCACATTGAGTGCGAAATTACTGAACATTTAATACATCCAATACAATTATTGCAGTCCAGGTGCGATTGCGGATGCTCGCAAGAGTGCCGCAATGTAATGACATGCATAGACACCCCAATGCCCCAATCGATACGCTATAGCCAGAATGTTAGAATGAATGTTAAATTGGTGATTCAAATCCTTGTTGAGCTGTGAGTCACACTCTTAATTGGCCTTGTACAGAATGGCAACCGTCTTCGGCAAGGCGATGAAGACATCCGATCTCTTCGTCGCTGCCCTTGAGAACGAAGGAGTGGAGTTTATCTTTGCACTTCCAGGTGATTTCTCCCTGCTCATGCTGGTCCGCCTCACCTGCATGCGTCCAGGCTGATGTACACAGCATCTAGCACGTCTCATGTGCAACCCAGCATCGATACACAAACCAAACAAATGCTGGGATGCAAAATCATAAAATCCTCTTTTTGATGCTATTTTATATCATACATGTGACACTGTGCAGGCGAGGAGAACATCGACCTGGTGGAGTCCCTGAGGACGAGCAAGATCAAGCTGGTGACAGTGCGTCATGAGCAGGCTGGCGGCTTCATGGCAGCCACCGTGGGCCGCCTCACAGGTGACTGCTTTTACTCCACAGTCTCAGCTCTCCCTACATCTACTCCCCTTGCATTCAATGCACCTTTTTTGGCACTGCTGTCCCGAGAGCACTTGCATGCTCTTGCATGCATGTGCGCTGATGCTTACTATTTGGAGGTGCACCTGGGGTTCTGGACATTTGTCGCCTGCAAGTTGTAAAGGCTGCAAACTTGTGGTCACTCGTTGCCTTGTGCTGAGTCAGGCAGGGCAGGCGTGGCGCTTAGCACGCTGGGCCCCGGTGCCACCAATTTCTCTACAGCTGTGGCATACTCGCAGCTCGGTACGCTCTATTTCCTTATTCTCTCTATTCCTATCTGCAGTGCCTGCAAGCTTCTGGCACTTTGATTGCTGTCCATCTGAAAGAAACCGTCTTATGCTGGCTATATTCCCGTGACGAGGGCAGAATGTTTCCCTTTTTTTGCAGGCGCCTTTCCGGCACTGTTCATCACGGGTCAGAAGCCCATCCTGAAGAGCAAGCAGGGGGCCTTCCAGATCGTGGACATCATCTCCCTGCTCAAGCCCATCACCAAATTCTCCAAACAGGTGCCTTGCCTGGTCCCTCGTTTGCTTGTCCTGTCCTTGAGCGGTTCACAAAATTGCACAGCCTTGTGTTTAGTCTGAATATCATAATAATCATCATTATTCAGATCGCCAAAATCAAAGCCAAAGTCCATAGGGCATACACGCAGGCCACATCTTCTGGGCCCTACATGTGCTAACTATTAGATTACCTGCTTTTGGCTAAAGAAGTGCTGTCAGAGCTGGATAAATTCACGTTGGAGCTTAATAAATTGATGCTCTAGACCCTCTGCAGTCTGATACTAACGCTTACGAATAGTCACTGATAAGAAATGTTTGATGATGGCAGATAGCGGACGGCTCCCTGGTGTCCGCCGCAGTCAGAGAGGCTTTCAGGAGGTCAGAGGAGGAACGCCCCGGTATGCACCACCCCCTTTCGCACTGCACATGATCCCCATATGATCCCCATAGACCAAGCAAGGACTGTCTTTTTAAGCATCCCTGCCTTGAATGTAATGTTGAAGATTGCCCCACCTAGAGTTCATTTGTGGCCTTAGGGTCCAGACGAAAACTCCCTTTCTGGCAAAATAGAAAATTTTCTCTGCCCTTTCTCATATGTTCTTGAGCACTGACTTTCTGTTAACAAAGTGATCTAAGATTGATGGCTCTGGACGGGGCAGGTGCTGCACACATCGAGCTGCCAGAAGACATCGCACATCAGGAGGTGCAGGGCCCTATGACTTGCAGGCTCTAACCTCATGCAAATTGAAATCTTCACAAAACCTCTGACATTCTTGATCGGCGCAATTTTATTGCTGAGAAGTGGGCTGGAGAACACCTGATTGGGGCCTATTTCCCTGAGCCTATGTTCAAACATTTTAGCGTGAGCATGTGTGCGTTGTATGCGGTGCAGCTTCCCTGTAATTCAAAAGTATTGCGCGATAGGGATCCCTTTAGGCACTCTTTCCTAAAATTACATTTGACTTAGGGTTTTGGGAGAATAATTCAGGGTTTATGGAAGGGTGAAAAACCGATAGAAATGGGTTGAGATTAATGAAACTCTGGGCATTTTTCTGCGCAGGTGCATGCGACTGATGCAGTGGTGTATCACGTGGACAAAGTTCGGCGGCCCATCCCAGAGGACAAGGCCATCAAGCGAGCAGTGGACATGATCAAGGTAAGAGATCAAGCTTGCATGCTTAGCTTATGCTAATACGGTATGCACCCTCGGCTATACTGTGGAATATAGAGTGCCAAGGGGGGTCAAGGGGAGACCAGCAGCTGCTTAGGGGAAGGCTCCTTTGATCGGCTTCCCCTGAAGTGTCCTGCCTTGCTGGAGCATCTTGCTGGGGTCTTGAAGGAAAGGCAGCACGGCAGATTTGGCAAGGCACAGGCAAGACAGATACGTCCTTTGTTTAGGAAAGGGGATGGTCATGCTGCTTGGCAGGACCCCTTCGCTGGTGACAAATAGAGTAAAAATTGCAGGAAGGCATGCTTTTGTGGAAAATTTGAAGAATGCATATGCAGAGCACATGCTTGTTTCCTTTGACGACAAGGAATTGCATTCAGCCTAGACATGTCATATTTGTTATTATATATTCTAAGGTCTGTCACTGCTGCGCAGGCGGCGAAGCACCCGCTGCTGGTGATCGGCGCGGGCGCCAACAGGAAGATGACAAGCAACATGCTGCGGCAGCTGGTGGACTCTACAGAGCTGCCCTTCTGCGACACCCAGATCGGCAAGGGCGTCATCGACTCACGTGCGCAACGTTCCCTTTTTTTTGTTAAGCTCTGTAGTTCTACTGGATGTCTTGGAAAGGCTTGAGCAGAGTGCGCGGCCCATGCAAAGAGTTTTGGGTGCCTCGGCGCTCTGCATGCAGCTTGCCTTGCTTCAGTACTTTGCAAACACTGCTTCTGCACCTTTTCAATCATGCATACCTGATCATCAGTTGTCTTGGGATTTGTGTAGACCTCTTTTCAGTTTCTCAGAAGTCGTTGTTTATGCATGCACGGTCATGAGTGAAAGGTTCCTGCCTTGATCAAGTGCCCTGTCAAGCGACAGAGTGAGAGCAAAGCATGCAAGCAGTGCAAGACTGCTGTTTGCATGATGTGAGTGTTGCATGCTTGCACAGGGAATCCACGGTACATGGGCACAGCGGCGATTAGTGATGGTGACTTCATCCACGTCTGCATCAAGCACGCTGACCTCATCATCATGGTCGGCCACGACGTGAGTCTATGCTCAATGCCTGACCTCTGCCTGGTGTTGAAAATTCGAATTACACACCCCTGAGTGCCCTTTGGGGTCAGGGTCTGGGGAAGAGGGACGATTCAAAACACAAGAGTCTTCGTGCAAGAATGGGAAGCGGCACGTGTCATGCGTGGAATGTGCTTGTTGCTGATAAGGACTGTGTGCATGGGAAAGCATCTTTGGCGTTTGAACCATGCAATATTCCTGTCATCATCATTACTTTTATATATAGGTCTGTGTTTAAGTTTGAATTTGAATTCACAGACGGTGGAGAAGCCGCCATTCTTCATGCAGCCCCAGGACGAGCGCAAGGTCATCCACATCAACTACTTCTCAGCAGTGGTGCGCTCCTCTTGATTCAAATCTAAATAAAATCGCTCTTAGAACTCATTTAACTCGACTTATTGTCCCAAAACTCCTCTGTTCAGTCTGCTCGGTCAAGAGTAAGTTGCACCGGTTATAGCAGGCCACTGGATCCTGAGCTTGAGAGTGTTGCTGGGTACATAAGAGATAGCATGCCCTGAGGGTGCCGATAAAATTTATTGTTTTCAAGACGACTGTGTTTGTAAGAAGAACTCGCAGGTCTAAATGAGACTCTCTGGAAAGAGGTGTCAGGGACAATGCATGTGCAGTGGAAAAATGAAAAATAAATGAAATTTAATGCTGCTTATTCAAATTGCAGGTGGACCCGGTGTATTTCCCCCAGCTGGAGGTTGTGGGCGACATAGGCAACGCCGTTTGGCAGATCAAGGAGAGCCTCAAGGACTGGACACCAACATGGGACCTCAGGTAGAGGTTTGGACCTTAACAATATTCTGTGACTCTCACAAGATGCAACGTTATATATTGAAACTTCAGGTCGGGTTTTTTCCTCGAAAGATTTCAAGAGAGAGGGGAAGGGGTGGAGCAAAGTTTATGCCATGGTGCTGCTTGAGATGCAGCATGCACTGTGAAAATGCCAGTGAAGCACTTCACAGGAAATTTCATGTGTGTGCTCCATCTCAAGTTGCCTCAAGCCTGCCATGAAGGCAGCTCTGCACTTTGCATGTGACATTCACACCGCGCTGTGGTTCCCACTGGGCGTGGGCCTGTTCTTTTGTCATGGCAGGACTGCAGAGATTGGCATGAACACGGCGAAAACATTTATTCAGGCGACATGGATCAAGGGTCAAAACCATGGACCCTGGCCAGGATCCACCGTTTGACCCTGGTCTTGACTCTGAATGAAGAAGATCATTAATTGTTCGGGTTTGGGGTTTTGAACCTGGTTTTTCTTTTCAACTGCGTGCATGCAGGTACTTCTGCTATGTGAAGCAGCAAATGGCGCAGCACGTGTCCAAGGGCACCGATGACCGCAGCATCCCAATGAGTCCCCCTGGCGTCGTGGCTCTCCTGCGCCAATCCGTGCCCGAAGACACCATCCTCTGCCTCGACAACGGCCTCTACAAGGTAGGTGAAATACTCTTTTGGGGCTTTTATAAGTTTTGGGGCGTATGACTAATTGAAGAAGCATGCCATTCTGTGCCCGGAGATCATCCTCTGCCTCAACAATGGCCTCTACAAGGTAGGTGAAATACTCATTTGGGGCTTTTTAAGATTTTGGGGCGTATGACTAAATGAAGAGGCATGCCAGTCTGTGTACCCGAAGACACCATCCTCTGCCTCAACAACGGCCTCTACAAGGTAGGTGAAATACTCTTTTCGGGCTTTTGTAAGTTTTGGGGCGTATGACTAAATGAAGAGGCATGCCAGCCTGTGCCCGAAGACCGATCCTCTGCCTCGACAACGGCCTCTACAAGGTGGGTGAAAGACTCTTTTGGGGCTTTTATAAGTGTTGGGGCGTATGACTAAATGAAGAGGCATGCCAGTCTGTGTACCCGAAGACACCATCCTCTGCCTCAACAACGGCCTCTACAAGGTAGGTGAAATACTCTTTTCGGGCTTTTGTAAGTTTTGGGGCGTATGACTAAATGAAGAGGCATGCCAATCCGTGCCCGAAGACACCATCCTCTGCCTCAACAACGGCCTCTACAAGGGGCGCGACATTCTTCCTTGATTCTGCTGAAGTTGATTTTCAGAACCAAATGCATGCAATCAAAAGGAAGTAATTCATTCATGCCTGCTGCTGTGATTGTAAGCAGAATTTCTTCAAAACAACCATTTCTCTGTTCTGTTGCGCTCGCTCTGCCTTGAAGATTCCATCATCTTTCTCTATAATTTGATTTGGGTTTATTTCTGGTTCTCCAGATAAGATGCATGCCAGCAAGGGAAGGGCTCGACCTTTGTCAGGCCTGTGCTCATGCTGTGCAACTGCCTTGCAATTCTTCTTTTCTAATTTTAGCATATTTCCTTTTGAGGCCATTGCGTTTGGCACATGGGCGGCATGCCCGCCAATTCATGCAAAGGTGTAAGTAGTAAACTGAGCACAGTAGGATCTTACTGGCGTGTGCTTGCTCATGAAAAAGAGTATGTTCAGGAAAGCTGCACATACATGAAGTCATAGTTGCACCATTCGGTCAGAACACTTTTTGGGGACCGTATATACGGCCGAATATACGGTCATACGGTATTAAAATATATGGAATACGGTCAAAAACGGCCTATTTTGGCCCAAATTGCCGAATATACCGAATATTCACCGTATGCCGAATGGCCAAATCCGTATGGTGCAACTAAAATGAAGTGCATGGCTGGTGTGCTGGCAGGTGTGGTTTGCGCGGCAGTATCCAGCCTACAAGCCCAACACGCTGCTGCTGGACAACGCTCTCGCCACCATGGGAGCCGGTGAGTCACACTTCTTTGAATATTTGTCACTTTCATTGTGGAGGCACAGTATTGTGCTCCTCGCAGAGGCCAGCTGGCATCAACCCTAAATCCTAAACCCTAAACAAAAATTAGAAAGAAATTTTCACAAGCAGAATATCCAATCGACGATCAGGGGCGTACATCTACGATCACTTCAACTTCCATGACCAATCATCAATAATCATCAAGGCCACATCTCACGATCAGATTGACACGTCGTCTGTGGGTGTGGAGTTACAACCCTGACAGGTTTCAAGCAGTGCTCTGAGCAGCCAAGTCCTGCAGCATATTTGCATACGGTAGTCCCTTGCCTCAGGTGGATCCAAGGAAGACTCACTTGATAGCAAGCAACATTTCAGGCAGGGGTCTCTAGCTGGTGTGCAATTACAGTGAGGGTGTCTTGGGAATGTGCAGGGCTGCCGTCTGCCATTGGTGCCAAGATGGTGAGGCAGGATCACACGGTGATTGCTGTTGTGGGCGACGGCGGCTTCATGATGAACTCCCAGGTGGGCTCCTTCAGCAACCTCTTTTCATGGCATTGTGTACTCTGTTCGCCAGTGATTCCAATGTGATCCTCCCTAGCGCGGTTTAGGGCGCAGAAATTCAAGTTTAACACCTCTGAATTCGTCATCAGATTTGCTGAACAGTCCAGATCTGAGCTCTGATCCCCAGCACTGTTTTTAGATTGGCATCAATTGCCAGAAAATCTCTACTAAGCTCTTGATATCTGAGATGCAAGCTCACGGGGTACACCTGCAGACAGCTCGCAGCTTGTGGTAGAACTGCAACACATTCGGTGCCGACCACCGGCATCCAACAATAATGAGAGGAATTGTGCGGATGATTAAGTACGAACAATTGCTTGACCTGGGCAGGAGTTAATCACGGCGGTGGAGCAGAAGCTGCACATAATCGTGCTGCTGCTCAACGACAGCGCCTATGGCATGATCAAATGGAAGGCGGTGAGCTCTTGCTCTCCTACCCCCGATGAAGCACGTTGAGGTGGTGATTAGCAGTGTGGACCTTGCTAACAAGAGGCACGAAGAGGTGGTGTATGAGATGTGGCTTAAGTCCAACGGATTTCAACGGATTTCGCACGCCGTGGTGGCCGGTTGAAATGGCTATCATTGGGGTTCTCTGGATTCTTGGGCCTCTAGTTTATTCTTGTATGTCATCTTAGCTTCCTCTGAGAACTCCTGTTTATTCATCTGCCCATGGCTTGTGTTCCCTGGCACCTGGTGAAGACTCAGCTCGAGGCCCCCTGTGCATGCACGCCAGGCATCAACTTATCATGCATTGAAATCATTGGAAAGGTGCTGTTCCACCTCTCCGGCCCAGCGCCTTTCCTAAGTGCTCCTGCTGGAGGATGGTGGCGTCTGAGAGCCTGCTTTCACTGTGGGCGTGCAGGAGGGCGTGGGCTATGCTCCCTACGGCCTGGACCTGAGCAACCCCGACTTTGTGCAGTACGCAGAAGCATACGGCGCTCGTGGCTACCGCATCAGCAAGGCAAGCGCTGCCCACACCCCAGTGACAGACATACAAGTGATGATCATAATTGTTAATTTCACTCTTTTCCTGCCAAGAGACAAGGTGCGCCCTGCAGACAAGCTGCCGGTAAAGGTTCCCACAGTCCTACCCCTTGTTGGACTCGCCAGATCCAAGCAGGACAATTTTCAATTGCAGGCACGGTGCTCAGTGTTCATATCGCCCCCAATACAATTATTAGCCTTCAATATCTTTGTGACTTTATCATATGCTGTCCTGCTTACATGAGGCAGTCAGAGCATCACAAATAACGCTTTCAAGGCATGACATGACAAATTTGGTAAAAAAATGACCCTTTTGGGTCTGAGATCCAGTTATCTGGGCCACTTTATAAGACAGAGTCACCGTGTCTGCAGCCATTTCGACTGCCTTCATCGTATGGGGAGGCAAGAAAGGAAACACCTTGGTTAATATGTGAAAGGAAATGCTTTGCTGCAGGAGGGACAGTTTGAGGGCATAATGTCGCACTGCCTGTCGACAGAGGGAGTGCATCTGATCGAGCTGCCCATTGACTACTCGGTCACAGACCAGCTGCAGGTCAGAGCACCTGTTCCCTTCCCTCCTCTTGTTTATCCAATTCATGCAAAATGGTGTATGCCTGTATTTGTCGCTGTTCTTGACCAGTACGCAAGCTGCATGCATGCAAAGTTACAAACATTTATATGTGCCCGCAAGCTGCATATCTTTTGGGCCAGATGGTCGGATGAGGGTCTCTCTGCTGTAATCCTCAGGCTGCGCATCTTCTGGCGAGCGGAGCTCTGTGTGAACTGCCTGCCATAAAATGATCCGCCTTGAGGTTTGAAGTATAGAGAGGCAATGAGAGGTGCCTGGATTTGATCAAACTGGATGGTTTGAAATGCTCACAGGTGCCGGCGCTGAAGAAACAGCTGGCAGAGATCCTGAAGCAGCCTGAGGAGTTCCTGAAGGAGGCAGATGCAAAGCAGACGGACGGTGCTACCCCGGCTAAGGAGCAGAAAACCGAGGCAAAGGACGCGGGCGGCCCCGACAAGGCAGAACTGGTGCGAACATCATGCTTTTTCCAGTTTTGTTTTCAAATGCTGAGCGCGCCAGCATTTGCATGTGTGCATACAAGCATGCATATGTTTTAGCGGTTTCGTTCACAGGATTTTCTTGCCGTTGGATTGCCTATGCAGAAGTCATGCAAAGAGCACCAGAATTTGCATGTGTGCATACAACATTGCTTGGATCTGGCGAGTCAAACAAGGGTGGTTAGGATTGTGGCAGCCTTGAACTGCAGCTTGTCTGCAGGACGTGACTTGCCTTTTGTCAGGAAAATCGTGCAATATAATAATACAACATGCACGCATATGTTCGTACAGTATCGCTCAATGGGAGCCTTTGCTGCTGGAGTACCAATGCAGAGCGTATGCATAGCAGACAGCCTTGTATTTCGAGTTCTTCCCACTCCTCTGTCCTGCCTTGAGAGACAGGACAGAAGGGGTGGAAGCGCTGAGATTACATGGCTGTCAACCACTGTCTGCCATTTTTCTCAATCTTCACACTTGCCCCCTCCCTTGCAGGCTGAGGCAAATAAATTTGTAGCTCTACGCTGCTGTATTGCGTTACCTTGGCGCCTGGAATCCTGTAGAGCACAAGGAGCCGAGACAGCCGTATGAAATCAGGGCTGTATTCATCACGGCATGCCTTCAACTTCACAGGCAGTGCATGAGGAATACCAGTGCTGAGTCTCCACATGTCCAAAGCTGTGTTCAACTCTCAGATTTTTGTAAATTGCTGCACTGTGCAGGCTGAGGCGAAGGCGTATCCCTTCTACTTGGCAAATGAGCCGGTGTATGCGAATGAGGAGCTGCTGGTCACCGACAAGTATACCAACAAGGTGGCCTACAAAGTGGCAGTGGCCAGCCCCCAAGACATTGACAGGTGACAGCCTCACCGCTCCATACATCCTTGCTGTTTCAAAGATCTGCAAGCCCAACTCTTGGCCCTCTTCCATTCGTGGTACAGGAGCTGGGGGCATCCAAGTAGCACCCAAACAGGCCTGGGATGTTTGCCGAATGCAGATTTTGCCTGCTTCAAGTCCCAATTTAACATAGTGAATAGGCTCTTGATATAATTTACAGCAAAGCACGTTTGCGATGTGTGGTGCAGCCCAATTTCTCAAGCAGGCCTTGCATGTTCAATGGATTCGATATTTGCACACCTAAGCTTGTCACAGTGCCTCAAGATGTGACAAGAGAATTTGGATTTGATATTTTAATGTGCAAGAAGAATTTTGGCTGCCTGGTGCATTCCAATTGCTCCTGCAGGCCTTGCATTTCCTGAGAATTGCTATTTGCCCGCTTGGACGCCTGATCCTGTTTAATGGCCACCTGTCAATTCTGACAAATAAGGAAGTCGAATTTCAAATATTTAATGTGGCGCAGAGCGATTGCAGCTGCTGAGGCTGCAGCGCCTGCATGATTTTGAAACATACTTTACCCGCTTGGAGACCTGAGCTTGTCAGATTTTCCAAAATTAGCAAGAAGAGGATTCGAATCTAGATTTGAATGCAAGAAAAGAATGTGTAAAAATGGCGCAGGGCGATAGCGGCTGCTGAGGCAGCGGCGCCGGCGATGGCGGCTCTGGGCTCATACCAGCGTAAGGAGATTCTGGAGCACTGCGTGGCAGCCTTCAAGGAGAGGTTCGAGGAGCTCGCCATGAGCCTCTGCATCGAGGCCGGCAAGCCCATCAAGGTGTGCAATGTGGTCTAACCCCCAAACATCACAACATATCCCTCAAAAGGACCTGGAACCCCATGTGTGTTGTATGTCCCACATGCCACCTGTTCTGCATGGTTAATGTTCCAGGCAGGCTGCAAGAGTCAGGAAATTTGCGTGTTCTTCTTTTGTTGTGCATGCAAGCACCCGCGTTTTTACTTGTCCCAGGCAGGCAGCAGAATATCTGCGACCCGTGCATGTTCTCTCTGTCTGACATGACCAGTGGTCATGGACTTGCCATGTCTTCGTCATGCTGCATTTTCTAAACTCTAGTGTCAGCCTGCTCCTCAAAGAAAGCTGCAGGTCTCCGTGGCAGCTGCGTCACCATTTGCACATTCTGCTGAGATCTTTGCGCAGAAAATTCTAAGATGTCAAATGGTTTGAGTGGTGCGCAGGACTCGAGAGGCGAGGCGCAGCGGCTGATAGATACCTTCCAGATCGCAGCAGAGGAGGCCACACGCATGTACGGTGAGTCACGAAATAAATCAGTGGCAGTTTCTTCAAAATTTCTATGACATTTGGTTCTCACCATGCTACCCTGCAGATTCCTGTTACCAAGAATAGCACGCTTCAGCCTCTATTTAAGCAAGCAGTCAGTTCCGCTCAGTGTGGCTTTTGTGGAACAAGCGGCGTTCAACTCTATGCACAATAGTGAGAGGACGTGCTGCTTGCATGCTAACAGTCCAGCAAATAGCCCTCCAATATTTCCTTGTGCAAGAGTGCAATCTGCATTGATGCGCAAGGATCTTTGGATGGCTGATTGCTGACTAAGTCTTGCTTGGATGTGGGGTCCAGAATCATTGAAGCCTTTAAAGTACAGCTTGTGTGGAGAAGCGCCTTGCATCTTCCAGCAGGGGAATTTTAGCAATAAGTTAAAGTCCAGAATCATATTTTAAGTGTCTCTTATTTTGACGCAGGTGAGTATGCGCCGATGGACCTAGGGGCGCGCACGAAGGGGTTCCAGTCCGTGACTCGCCGTTTCCCAATTGGCCCCTGCTCATTCGTGTCCCCCTTCAACTTCCCCCTCAACCTCGCCGCACACAAGGTTGCGCCGGCCCTTGCTGTCGGGTGCGCGCCCCCTGCAGGGTTTGCTTTTCCCAGGGATTTGGCCTGCGGTGTCTTCTTATCACTGTCTTACCTTTCCTAACACATGCATTGCGTCAGTCCTTGCCGTCAGGTGCGCACCCCCTGCAGGGTTTGCTCCTAGGGGCTTTGCCTTTGCAGGGTTTTCTTATCACAGCCTTATACCTTCCTTTGACATGCACTGCGACAGCGCTCGTAGTCGGATTTTGAGTTGCTGCGCCTCTGCGAGCTCCCTGCAGGGCATTGTCCCCAAGGGATTTAGCTTGAAGGGTTTTGACATTGGAATCATATGGCCTTTGCTTTCATGTGCTGCATTTGTCGCAGGGCACCACATTCAATGTTATCCTTGCTAGACTGTCTGCACACATGCACTTCACACACTGTTCCAGAGCAATGACTGCTGTGCTTTCCTATACGGGCTACTTGTGGGTATTGTGCAAATGACAGAACTGGAATCTTTGGTGGCCACTCAAAGAAGCCACTCTGCTCCAGCTGCACCATAGCGACTAGCCCTGCTTGAGGAGCTGAAGTCTCCGGTATTGCCGTTGTTGCAATTTCAGAATAAGGGCATGTCTACATCAGAATCACTGGCAAAATGAGACTCAAGCTGCATCAAGGGTTTGTAGGCGCCTCGGTGTCTGATACCTCCTTTTACATCGAGGTCGCTAGCAGGCTTCAACAGTGTGGAAGTGGTTACCCGCGGGTGCCTGCTTGTGATGATAGTGTCAATCCTATAGACCCCCGAACCCTATGCTTTCCAGCAATATGACTCCCTGGCAATACACCCGCAGGTGCCCCTTCGTGCTCAAGCCGGCTTCGCGCACTCCGATCGGGGCATTGATAATTGCCGAGGTGCTCTCAAAGGCGCCGCACCTTCCCAAGGGAGCGTTCAGCGTTCTGCCCTGCAGCCGAGACGGCGCCGACCTGTTCACCACGGACCCGCGCTTCAAACTGCTCTCCTTTACCGGATCACCCAGCGTGAGCGCCTTACTCACCCTTTACACCCCTGTACCCTTGATTTGGGGGTAAAATCACTGATGCAAACCCTAATTGATGGTGCACATCATGCACCGACCCCCGCTTCAAGCTGCTCACTTTCACCGGATCCCCCAGCGTGAGCGCCCACAATAACCACTTTCTAACACTGGTGTTACATTGATTGTTATTGTACCTCTCAAGCAGTGCGTTGCAGACTGCTGATGCATGTGTATAGATGCTACAGAAGCCTCTTGCTGTTGTACTGCGGCAAGAAACTGTTAGATTCTGTTGCCTAGCTTCCGCAAGCTTTCTTTTCCGGTCTTATTGCACAATCTGTGAAGTGGCAAATCCGGCAAGGGAGAGCATACCCGATGGTTATTAGACCCTGATTACAATGCAGTGCCCTCCGACATCAATCCTTCATTGATGACGAATAGGCTACGGTGGAAGCATGTGCCGGCACATGCGCGCAGGTGGGCTGGGACATGAAAGCGCGTGCTGGCAAGAAGGCCGTGGTTCTGGAGCTGGGAGGGAACGCAGCCTGTCTCGTGGAGGACTTCAGAGGAGATGACGAATTGGAAGCCATCATCGGTAAAATCACCTTTGGCGCCTTCTACCAGAGCGGCCAGTCCTGCATTTCCCTGCAGCGACTCATGATCCGCCAGGTGCGCGGCGTTCCCTTCTTGGCCTCAATTCCACTTTCATTTTTTCACTTTTGAATTTTGAATTTTAAGTTTCCAATATCTCATATGCAGCTTGTCTGGAGACGCACCTTGCCTCTGTCAGGCGCAATGTTTGATACCACAGTGATGATTTCTTTTCGAGATCAGAAGTTAGGAATGAGGGTGGTGGGCTGTAATGCCTCTCCTCTTTAATCTGTTGGGCCCACTTAGCTCCCCCTGTATTGTTTGGCCTAGGGAGTGTGCTGGGCTGTGAAAACTTTTGCATGCTGCAAAGTCTTTTGCTGTGTTGCCTTTAACGGTCAGGTTAGGAGGGTGAAGGCCCAGTGTGAGGGTAAAAGCATGAGGCAAGCAGCAAAGGTGCCTGCTTGTGTACATGTGATCTGCAAGCTTCATTCTACAGAGTTGCCAAAAAGATATTTGGGTGCTTATATCTCCCACAGCTTGTGGTATTCAATTGAAGTTCCACCATAATGATGTGTGCTGCAGGATCACTACGAGGCTGTCAAGGCAAAGCTGATCCCGGCAGTGCAGAAGCTGAAGAGCGGCGACCCGAAGAGCGAGGAGGTCTTTGTCGGTCCGCTCATCTCTGAGAAGGAGGCCAAACGCATAGAGGACTGGATCCAGGAGGCCGTCTCCAGAGGTGTGCCTGTCCTTTGAGCTCGCTGCCTGTGATTTCTCCAAAAGCTTGCTCCTGAGCATCATATTGATAGCAGTAACTCCTTGTTTTGTCAGCTTTGTACTTGGACACAGGCTTCCTTGCTCGGTTGCGCCAGCAGAATTCCCCAGAAGGCGAGAGACGATTCTGGCTCAACAGTGCTGGAAATTTCTTGCTCCTCTCACAAAGTTGTCCCTGGCGCACTCTCCTAGATTAGTAATGCCACCCCTGTGGGAAGCCAATATTTAAAGCAATCAGAAGGGGCATGGACAACACGTATCTATTGATATTGTGTGGTCGGTTGATTGGGTCTTGCTTGGCTCTGGCAAGTCAATAAAGGGGTACCATGTTTGGCAGCATTTACCTGCAGCATGTCTGCAGGACGCACCTTGCCTCTGGCAGAGAAACCGTCTAATAAGAACCAATAATTATATTATGTTGCAGGTGCGAGGCTGCTGGTTGGGGGCAAGAGGAACGGGGCGGTGGTGGAGGCAACGGTGTTGGAGAACGTGCCAAGCGACTGCCACGTGGCATGCGACGAAGTCTTCGGCCCCGTCATGGTCCTGGACCGCTACGCGTCCTTCAAGGACGCCGTCGCCAAGTGAGCAGCTCAATTCTTTTAACGTGGCAAGATGTTTGGCTGCAAGTCGAGAGCTTTGCGCTGGCGTCTGGGCTTGCAACAGAAGCCGGGTATGCCATGGGCACCAGCTCACGGTGGATTTGGGCCCCAAGGAGCTGGTATAGCATGCGCATGCAGAAACAATTGGTCCCACCGGGCACACTTTAGTCTGGACATTCCTGGAATGTGTTGCACATGTGCCATTTGTGATGGGCATCTTGCTGGCTGTATTTGAGGCACGGAGCGTTGCTGTGTGCGCGCAGGGTGGACGGCAGCAAGTATCAGTTCTCAGAGGCTGATGGGCCTGCACAGTAGTTAGACATCTTTGTGTTCTCGCCAGGCATGCAGGCAGCTGTGCCGGTAGCGCCACATGTGCGCAGCTTTACCAAATATTAGTCGCCGGCATTTTCTCAACCAGAACATGTGCCCGTGTGCGCGCAGGGTGAACGACAGCAAGTACGGGCTGCAGGCTGGAGTCTTCACGCACGACCTGGACAAGGCGTGGCACGCGTTTGAGCACATGGAAGTTGGCGGAGTCGTATGGAACCACGTGCCGAGCATACGCGTTGACGCGCAGGTGCGCGCATACTGCAGCCACCTGTGTACACGGTGTATCTGTCAATATTTTGAAATTTTGGTGCCCTGGCGATGACAGCGTGCTGCTGCTTCCGGCACTTGCCTCAGCCTTGCACTTTTTCTTTATATTTGCAGAAAGTTTTGAGAACCTGCAATCTCCCCACAGATGCCACAACATGGACTGCATCCTGTTGCGGGGGCGTGAAAAGCTTAAATACCCCTACGCACTCGAACACATGTCTCGGTCTAAAACGTGCGGTAAATGATTGTTTTTAGGCCTGCGGGCGGGGCTGATTTCAGGTTTCTGGCATGCAGAAAATTGCCTGCATATATATTAGTTGGGAAAGAGGCAGCAGGAACGCTCATATTTTGAATTGGTTGGCAGCCTACGGGACAACCCTGTGCAGTGTGGAAGGCCTGCCTCGGTCTCAAAAGTTCCATTTCCTGGCAATTTTGTGCAACATGCATGCAGATTCATGCGGACTGCTCGAAAGGCTACGGTTGGAGCCTTTGTCACAGTCTACAGAATACGTCTGCTGCAGACTCTCAACTCCTGACTGTTGTTTTTATGGCCCCGGCTGGCGGGGGGCAATATAAATATTGAGCACTGTACCCACGGAGATTGGGTCTTGCTTGGATCTGGCGAGTCCAAAAAAAGAGAGGATTGTGGCAGCCTTTAACTGCAGCTTGTCTGCGGGACGCATCCTGCCTCTTGACAGGAAAAGCGTGTAATAACAATAATTATAACAGTAACAATGATTATGCTATTGCAGCCCTACGGGGGAGTAAAGGACAGCGGCCTGGGGAGGGAGGGAGTTCGATGGGCGATGAAAGACATGACAGAGGAGCGCGTGCTGATGATGGCCGGCCCAGGGCAGCTGTGAGCAGCGCGCAGGCGTCGGACAATGTCAATTTTGAGTTTCTTTTTCTTTCTTTTACATGTTTGGCGGTCGAAATTGGCGTTTAATAGCACTTGTCATGTTTGGCTGCTCGGTGCCACTGGCACATAGTGAGCTGGAGCTGTCAAGAGCACTGGGATTAGGTGGCAAAGCATCGGGAGAAAAGCTCCTCTGTCAAGCTGATGTTAAGTGGAAATTGCAGCATTCTTATCATGCATAGCTGGTAGACATCATTGGGCGTTCCATATGAAGGACAGCAACTCTCATAGAAGCTTCCCATCACCTTCCCACTGGGTATTGGCAACGGGAGGAGATCAGGATCTTCTATAAATTAGATTGGGAAGACTAGGAAGTGATGGGCAGGCAAATGTTCCAAGCATGGTGAAAGGATCTGGAAAGGAACGTCACCACTGAGCTGAAATGACATCGAAGGCGTTTGTATATCACGCGATGCGCCGAGATATACTATGATGATTTTGTAGAAGGCATGCAGCAATTTGGCAAGAGGCGCTCGGGGCGTTTTCAGCTATGCCATACAGTGTAGCTTTTTATAAAAGCCAATTTGGTGAAGAGTTGCGGCTCAAGCTAACTGCAGCGCTGCACGCTAGCAGCCGGGTTCAAAAGCTTGGATGGGCATTTTGATAATTAGTGAGGACTTCAGATTTCTTCAGGGATTCCTGGGGCCTCCAGTTCTTCTCCGCTGTCCTTGCTTACCCCCTAGGTTTGCATGATGCAGGATACCTAGTGTGAACGTATGATGCGTGACCCCTAAAAACCTGTCATACCCTACATAATTGAGAAGCACTTTAGAGGATTGTGGGAAGTAATAATGAAGATGGATTGTGTGATCATCCGCGACCCATTTTTATGTTTATTGTATAGGCCCCATCCTGCAATATCAGCGGATGCGCCTCACATTGTAATCAGGTTGGTTTGGATCATAAATTGAGCACCGCTTCCCGTAAGGCTACTCTTCCACATACAGTTACCCGAGTGACACAGGTTCCAGAGTGTCACACGATATGGTTTCACGCTAGACTGAACCTTCACCCTCGAACCTTGGACCTGGGAGTTGCCGACCTCAAGCCTGACTCGCCAAGGCTTGTGTAGTTTAACCGTGCAGGTTCGCAGTCTCCTGCACTACAAATATGTAGCGAATCATGCACGGAGCGTGCTTATCCGTGCTTGCGATACTGATCAGACTGCTATGTTGCGTCGGGAGAGTCAAACCGTGAAATTTGTAGGCTTCTAGACTATATTAAGTCGGACTCACTAATGAAAGTCTGGAAAAAGCGCGTATTACATATGATTGCAGGCTGCCTTGACGCCAGCTTGTCCTTGCCAAGTAAAGGCTGTCTCGGATGTGACGCGCAGGGCAGCTTTTCTAGACTTTCAGCAGGAATGGACCTGGACATCCTCTTGACACGAGACAGAGAATAATATACGTGAAGCCCAAAATAGATCGCCTTCGGGTGGAATATCAAGAGCTGTTTGAGAGGGAGTTCGCAAATGAGCTGAGCAGGAAGCCCCTCAACAGCCTTTATGAGGTACTTCAGTCGAAGATACTGGAAGGGGAGAACACTTGCAGATTGTCTGTGACCAGCCTTGAGCTTCTTGACACGCTAGTTAGTTCGCTACGCACGCTAACCAACCTTACGGGTTTGCACCACCCGGATGATTGGTCTGAGGCAAAAGAAGCTGCAACTGAATCTCCCTGCAGGTTAACGTGGCCCATCTACTGGCTCTGCTTCAGCGCATAGCCCCGGTAGACCCTCCGGCACACACTAAAGCTGGAACCATACCATGTAGTACGCAGCTTGCCTGTTGGCAGGAAAAGCGTGTAATAAAACAAAAAGAATACCCTGTAGACTATGATACTGACTCTTGATACGTGTTTCTAGCAACCTCTCTCTGGCATGCACTGCAGCCTTGTGTTTCGGTTGCGAAACCTCCTGACTCATGCAGATACCTCTTGTGAGGCCTGCTGACGCTTCATTTTCCCTTCCTAACCCTTAGCCCAGGGCAAGAAAATGTCTAGACGGCCGTGGCCCTCCAGTCACCTGAGGACTCCTCCAGGACTAGCAGTCACTGCCGACTCGCCCGGTGTTCCCATCATGACTTTTGGTGCACCGTGACTTTCAAAAGTCATGGCGTGATTTCTGTGGGCAACGTGACTTTCAGAAGTCATGGATAAAAGGTGTCTTCTTTGCTGCACTCTCAGAAGGGCTGACTACGGGCTACCTTTAACTTGCATGCGTGTGGCCATGCATGCCACGAGGCAGCCAGCCGTTCAATGGCGGTGAAAAATCCAAGTTGTTGAAAACAGATATTGTCTGGATCAAGCGCCGCTCATGACCTACACCCCAGCAAGTGCGCATGCATGCGCCTAACATGAGCCTTCTCGCATGCACTTTGAACTGCCCCGACCTTATTCTTCCTCCCCTGTGAATTAGGGTTCAGTGAGTATGGATTCAGGGTTCACGATTTAGGGAAGGGACCATTATAGTGATGATGTTTCACGGAGAATGCAATGGTGGATTTAAGGTTTAGAGTCGATGAAGGGTCGAAAGAACTATATAACACAAAATGGATAAAGTCTAATGCCAGCGGAAGACTGCCGACTGACTGCAGCCCCGCTGGCAGGCCGGCGCCAGTGTCATTACAGGGACGGTCTCTAGTGACTGCAAAAAGGGAAATTGACAAAGCGTGGTGGACCCTGCATCAGCTTGTGTTGCTGGGCGTGGCATGGCAGCTGGGAGAAGGCACTGCCTATTACCATCAAGTGTTCTGCACATGATCATGTCTCTGTTGCATGGTATGATGGTGTTGCCATTTGGTTACGGCAGGCCACGTGTTGTGCACACCAGCTGTCAGCAGCTTACAGATCAGACGAGGAATTGCAACGTGCACCTTCAGCATGCCAGGACCAGCACCAACTTCGCAGCAGTTTTCACCGCCAACACAGTAGTGAACGAAACCCACAGCAATGCAATACTTCCAATCGCACAGTTCAAGCCCGATAACACATCTTGCTTCGTTCACTTATAGCCTATACTTGCAAGTTAAGAACATAGAACGCAGTGCTCAAATTTCAAAGGAAGTCCCAAAAACACATCTTAGTCCTCTGAAACCCCAACTATCAGAGCAGACATTCCAAACGTCCTCGCAAATTCTTAAGAACATGCTCGTTCATCAGTGCAGCTGCTTGCAAGCGCTGCTAATCGGCGCCTTGCACCTTGAGTCTCCACTGTCAAAATACTTCAAGTCGCTTTGTCTCTGAGAGAGAGTATGCACAACAGGGTTCGACAGTGCCGTCACAGAAAATGCGTGGCTGCCCAGACAGCACTTGCCCACGTCTCTTGGCGTACCTAAGGATCCCTGATCTGCCTAGTAGATTTGGCTGTCAGTGTGCAAAAGGGCAGACCAGAACCCCGTCCCAAAAATCAAAAGCATGAGCCCAATCAAAGCCTGGTCTCCAAGTGTCTGAGACAGAGTCTGCACAAAGTGCAGACTCCGCAAGGTCTGTGGATGCCATAGTGATGCAGATGGAAAACGCGCATCAATGCATGCATGACTGTGAAAAGTGTGCCTGCGCCTACTTTCCGCAGCCGCCATTAAAGGGGTTTAAGACGCATTCGCGCACGCTCTTTTCCGTGGCAGCGGCGCCGTCTGAAATCTTGTTGGCCACATCGGAAGTGAGCTTTGCCGCTCCGTCGATGAGAGTCACTCCAGCACTGAGACAGCTGTCCTGGCAATACATCGGCACCGGCATGACAAGGCACGCCGCCTGAGGGATGTTTGCACAGGGGTCGATGCACTGCGCGTTGCAGTAGTCCTTGCCTTCGGCGTAGAGGCCCGCGGCGCAGAAGGGAGTCAAATACTCTACGTAGATGGCTGCGGCGCAGATCGTGCTAAGCACCTGCACCGTGTTGTGGCTGAAGATGCAGACCTCCTTGCCCTGCGGTGCACGAATCAATTTCAATTTCAAATTTGAAATCGGAAGATGGTCGGGGTCTTTAATATGCTGCACGTTTGCCCAGACAGCACTTTCTCAGTTCCCTAGTAGGCAAGCGACTACTGGAAATCAGCTGAATCCCATCATCCCCTTCAAGGTAGAATGTTAGCAGCTTTGTTTCTTTTCCCCTTGCAAAGCATTGTATTGCTTTCCTGCTTGGGAAACCCAGGCATTGATAATCCTCTCCGCAATTTTGGAGATCAAAAGGGTACATTACCATTCTGGGTAGACTACAGCCTGTGACAGGCTGCCTGCTTTAAAAAGCAGAAGCACATGCCCATTCTATGGACATCCACTTATCATTGTTTTTTTTCATATATATTTTTTAACACGCTTTTCCTGCCCAAGGCAAGCTGCGTTTGCAGACAAGCTGCAGGTAAAGGCTGCCACATATCCTACCTCTTGATGGACTCGCCAGATCCAAGCAAGAGCATTCAACCGTGGGCACGGGGTTCAGTAATTGTACCGGCTACCGCAAGTCGGGGCCGGCTGAGGACCCTTGGGGGTTCAAATTTGAATTCAGATTGCACCTGAGCGGTGCAGGCGTCGTAGCACGCGCTGGCGATATCTTCGTCCTTGCCCCACACGTTCAGGCCGTCGGGGCAAGTGACCTCGGGGGGCGGCGGCGGCGGAAAGTTATCCGGGGGCGGTGGCGGCGGGGAGGGGTCTGCGCGCAGCACAGCAGTCTTAGCCTTAATCTATTTGCGTAACTTCCAAAAAATGGTGGCCAAGTGTACAAGCAGGAGACAGAGAACTGCAGCCATGCATCAGTGTGGTTACTGGAGGATTTCCTGCAAGTGAGCTCCTGCTAATTCGTGTTGTGTCATCCTAGGGACCCCGGACATGGTATGATGTTGTACGTAGAGCAACCAGTATGCCCGGCAAGACCAATATTTTTGGTCAGAGTTGAGTGAGCCCTCCCCTACTTTAGGAAAAGCTTCGCACAAAATAGAAAACTCACTTTTCAGCCCCTCAGTTTTTCAATGGCCACCACGATTTTAACGTAATAGGGAAAGTAAGCTGCTGTACCTGAGAACTGGTAGTTGGATTTTCCAGAGGAGCCAGAACCGCCGCTTGATCCACCAGAGCTGCCAGAACCGCCGCTTGATCCACCAGAGCTGCCATCATAAGTGCTGCCAGATCCCCCAGTGTAAGTGGCGCCGCCAGCATTGGCGCCGCAGGCAATGCTGCCTGATACGAGCCCCGCGCAGAAGCCGTTCTGGCAGGAGGAGAGATAAGGGCAGCCGTCGCCACAGTTTGGGCCGTCCAAGAGACCGCACAGCAGCCTGCGGCCCTGTGCTGTCAGGCCAGCGCCAGCTGAGGCGGCCAACGCCTGCAAAAGAGCAGTGCAAATATTCAATAAATGTGTTTTTGCTGTTCTCGTGTATGGTAAGATAGCAGGAGACGTTCTCGTAGATGTCTGTACACAAGGGTAGCAGGATTTCAGGTTTATCACTCATGCACAGGGAAGGCTTATGTTGCTCTGAGAGCACCACGACTAAGGAGGACTCATGTGCATCGTGACACTGCGTGTAAATAAGACGCTAGATGTACCGCTGCGCACCTGGGCGTTTGTGTGCGTTCCTGAGACAGAGTGCAGAAGCTTGCGCACAGACGGGAGGGCGACCTGCAAGATCCAGGGTTGTATCAGACGTGGCCAGACTGGCACCTTAAACACGGGACCATAATATTTGCAAAACAAAAAATTTCAAAGCTCCAGCTTTCGATGTGAATGCTTGCCTCCGCGCCAGGCAACGCAGCAACCGAAGAGGCCAAGATCGCAACGATCAGTACGTAACGCTTCATTACTGTAATCCGGGAGGGCTACCTGAGCGCACAGGCACAACATTTATGTCAACAGTTAATCGTTTTCCGATACGTGTGCAGCCTGATTGGGGGTGTGGGGGAGTTAATTCTGACGCGAATTGCGCGAGATCGGGTAACGCCGATGGGTCCTCAAAGAGCAACACTCGGCGACAGCTATGGGATGACGACGCTAGCAACCATTCTCTATATACACGCATCCCGTCACATATTTGGTTTCAATTTTTCTGGATCCGCACTCTGTGTATTCGGAGTCCAGCACTGATTTTAGGGAAAACGCACACACAGCAGAGTTGGTTAAGGTCTCACCTGTCTTGGTTGGCAGCAGCCAATCTTTTGGATTTTATGGGTATCCCAGTTTCCAGAAGCTTGTCTTACATCAGCACCTTAAAAGTTGCAGTTCTGAAGTCTTGGGCTGCTGTCGACCGCCGACGTCACGTTGCTCTCCAGGGTTCCATGAAACAATCTTGAGGGTTTTGTTTGTCAATTAGGTCTCTCCCTCATCATTTGGGAAATACCCCTTTCATGTATCGAAAACCTGCCGTTACAATAGCCAGCCAAGTCTACAGCAACCTGCTTGAGTGGTATTTGACAGCTGGAAAGGATATTTCGGACAAAGTGCATCCGATTCAGCAGATGCTGCGAAGAGAAACGCCGGCATGCCGTTGCAAGCTCTGCAGACAATTGCAGCACTTCTAGCTGAAAGGCTGAAAATCTGCAAGCGCCACTGGCAATTGACTAATGGTACAGCTCCCAGCACTGCTTTGCGTAGTTCAGGTGCTGGCTCTGGCGCTCCTCCAGGGTTGTATATAAGTACGAGTCCATCCTGGCAACCTCGTCAGTCAGGGGTATGTTTTTGATGTCCGCCTGCACAGCGCAGCATGAACATTAGTAAATTCTCAGCATGCATGACCTTCGCGTGACCATTCCACGCCACCAACTCCCTTTGAGGGCATCCCTGTTACTGCAGCGTGCGCACTATAGCTACAGCATTTGCTAGACACAGCGCAGGCGCTCGAGTGTGCAAATCTATGACAGCAATGAGTTTGCCAGTCTCGTTAAAGTGATCTCATTTGCACATGGACTGATTTCAGTGCTTTTAGCAATAGTGCCACTGCAGAGGTAACTTAGTAAGGAGCCTGCAGCGTTCAGAGGACACAGAGCACTGACCTGGGCGCCTTTGCGCTTCTTCAGGAAGTAGGTGGTCTTCTTGTGCTCAAAGGCCTTGTCGGACGCGCCGGCATTCTTCTTGCCGCTGAGCAGCATCAGGTTACCTAAGCGGTGCACCCACTCTCCTCGCTGCACCTCGTCCGGAAAATCTCTCTCCCACCCGCTGCCGCGTTTGATGTTCTGGGGCAGTATGTGCTCCACGTGCACTGTGAGAGTGGTGTCCTGTGCAAACAGAAATATGGGAAATTACTAAATACTAAACCCTGACGGGTCACTGATTATGAACAGGCCAAATATTTAGGGCTGGTGTGCGGCCGGGGGTCCCAATGCACTTCTTCTAAAACCCCCACCTAGAAATTTTGACATCAGGAGATCTTAATGTCAGAGAGAAAAGGACGGGGCTCGTTTGTTCTTGCCAGCTTTTGTACTGCACAATCTCTGACCAGGCGATGTACTGAAAGTGAAGACAGGTAAAGCTGTCAAGCAGCGTATTCAAAAAAGGGAGATGAGGGCACCTTGACATCATATTGGACGTAGCTCTGGTCGATGCGGCTCAGCACAAACTCGTTGAGTCGGATCAGCAACGGCCGAGGAACGCCCTTTATGGTGTAGATCGGGCCTTCCAGCCGCCGCAGGAATTCGAATTTCTCCTCTGGGCTCAGCTCCAGCCCGTCTATTGCGGCGATACTCTTCCCATCTCCCCCTGCGCATGCAAACTTGACGGGAATTTTTAGGGTTGTTAAGGGTTGACGATGAGTCAGTAACCTCTCAAAACAAGCACTTACAGGATCACACTCGTCGCACTTACTGGCAGTTTTGATCCTCACCATCATCTCCATCAACGTGTGGTTGAAAGCAAATATGTCACAGCACAGCAGCATGTAACTTTGTGTTGTGGTGCAAAGAAGCTCGAGAATCTAGTTGCTCACAATAAATTCAGACAATGTTCTGCCCGATGCAAAATCACCCAGTCACTTTTTAGTGCAGTCTGCGGTGCTCTTTTTTATTATATTCTCGGTGTCAGGACAAGCCGGAGACAAATAACTTCTGCACATATGGCGAGCTATTAGTAAGAAGACGATGCAGAGAAATTCAAGCCAGAGAAAAAAAGGGAACGCTGACCAGTGCGCAGGCTCTGCGTGACTCGTCCAAAGCGTTCATGGATGGCGTTGAGATCAGCTCTGCCCAGCAGCAGAAACCACGCAAGGCGCTCCAGCTTCCTCAGAGCTTCCACCTTCATCTCGGCGCTGAACCTGCAGTCCGCTGCTAGCACTAGCGCTGCCGGCACCCACCCGTCGCGCGCCCTCTCTGGCAGCCGGCTCAAGCTCCTCAGGAAGTACTCCACGCCCCTCTCCACCTGCAATAGAGGGGGACATATATCAGGATTTCCAAAGAGGGTAACATGTTCTTCGAGACCCCTGAACAGGCAGCATTCCCTCGCTGATGTCCTGAACATTCGAAGTGAGTTGTTGAATGTCCGTCTGGATGTTATAGTCGGTGCCATCATGCGCATTATAGAGGCTACTACGAATAGAAATCTGATGAGCAATGCACCTAAAAGAACAGTATTTCTGTCTGTTTGTTTAGCTTCCTGCAGGGAGGAAAAATCAAGCTGGGCATTGTCTGAAGCGCCGGGGAGTCTGTACATTTCAAGTGCGGCAGATGCCATCGCGTAGCTGGGCAGGAACTCCTCAACAAACCACATGCCCGCAGCTGCCGTGGGGTTGCCTTTCGACGTGTCGCAATGCCTGGTCCATGCCTGATAAAACAACTGCGCCAAAGTTTTCCTGGATTTCAGAGCTATGTGGACCCCGGTCAAATCCGCAAGGTTCTGATTGCAATCACTGGTGGTCCAACCTTGGGAAAATGATGGAGCAGAACAGGTTTGCCATGCGCACGATACATGAGGGCATGACTGGGAGGTGCATTCCAGACTTTAGCAGACAGAGTACCCTGTAGGCATGGGTGTACCTCTGATATATTGATCAAGGAGTTATATGTGTTTCAGTCACATGCTGAATCCCAGTATGTCGAGGATATGGTCATAGAATTTTCCATACAAGAGGTTTGAGCACCTGATTCAGGTCCACCACTTCTGTGTTGATGCTGTGGCGCTTGTTGAGCTCAATAGTGATGAGGTGCCTGAATAGCATGCTTAGCTGCTCCCTGCCCAGTTGCTGCTCCAGCTTCTGCGGCACCAAAATAGAATCCCTTCAGACAATCTGACAATATGCCGTCATGGGGAAGAATCCGTTCATCAGGAGTCAAGTGCATGTATGCCTGACCTCAGGACTTACGCTATGTGAAACTGGATTTCTCAGCCTAGCCGATCACATCAGTCACACTGGCTTGAGCCTTGTAGAGGCACGCATGACAGACACATTTGCATTGGTGTCAGATTAAACACAGCAGCAATGATGTTGTCACCTCCCAGCTCTGGCTGGCTGACAGCTGGTCTTCCAGAGGGACAAGTTCAAGCACTTCTGCTTTCAGCAAGTCCATAGCTGCCAGCTTCATTCCTGTGGTCATGTTGCCAGTCCTGTACACCTGAAAGCAGGCCAGAAGACGTCACTCACGTCACTCGTTGCAACAAATTGTGCGCTAATCAGTGATTCCTAACTCTGAAGCAAACTTGCTCCAGCGCACCAGATCAATCGATCAGCGTAAGAATATATTATGCAGATCCTTAGAGGTGTCACTCCTGCACATAGGCTTTATTTGTACCTGCAGAGCGGCTTCTGTGTCCCGGTACCTTGCTACAATAATGTGCGTCCGGGTCATGATATACTTTGTCACAGCAATGCACTGCTGCGGGGTGCAATCCTCCAGCCTGTTCATGATAGCCTGCACAGACACGCTGAAAGTTTCTTGCCTTGTCACCCTGGCACTGCATATTTATCACTGCGGACGGCATGTTTGTCACAAGAGGACGGTAAACACAGTATTCCGTAGCACCGTACGGGTCATGATCAAGAAGTGCAACTTGCGGATTTGCCCTTGTATTTTCCTGGGTGCATCCCGCTGCCATCCTAAAGAAGATGCTTCAGCTAGTGTCCGGCATGCAGGGCAAGTTGCACTGCTGCTTGTGTAGATTACCGATGGGAGTTCACAAATGCACTAAGAAATCACCTTCAGGTTTGCCCAGATGTTCTCCTGCGTGATGGTGGGTGGGCTGCTGAAGAAGGGAGATCCCTCCACAGCAGAGGGCTCCCGTGAGATGGCGTTGAAGAATGCCACGTCAAATTTCTTCAGCTCCAAGCGAGGCTGAGCTGGCACCTCCTCGTCTGCTTTCTCAGGCTGCCAAAGTCTGTCTGTGATCCTGCCCATAATAGCGCCGAGACATTTTATGTTAGTCCTTGTCCTCACAGGTAAATGTTGCGGTTCAGCACCAGTATGCGCAGCTCACTGGTTCATCACCGATGAACGGCTCAGCACTGCGTTTCTTGGAGTGGGCGTGATGCAGGTACAACTAACAGAAATGAAGATGAAGATTGTTCACAACCTTCAAGAAATACCGGGGGGTTTCAAAGACTACCAGTACTAGTAACCCCTGGAAATACATTGCCAAGTGGGTGGAAACCGGGCTGTACTAGGTACGGGGCAGTACTTTGATGGGATTACGGGGACATGGAGCACTTTAAGGGAGTCTGTGCTGATCATGTGGGTCTTGTGTGTGCGCAGCTGTCAGCAACATTGAGCCCCGTGATCATGTTTGGAGCTGCCAAGCCATTCTTTGCAGCAAGGACGCACCTATGCGCAAACCTGGCTTCATCCTTTTCGCCGCCATCCAGGAGCTTCTTGCGGATGGCAGCCAGGATGAGGCAGAGGGTGACTAAGCGCTGCTGGCCGTCCAGGATCTCCAGCACTGTGCTGCCGACTTTGTCCACCACGCACACGTTCATCATGCTAAGGCTGAAAATGCCCAGATTCCTGAACACAGCGACCAGAGCTCCTCAAAAGTCACTTCTGTTTACACCAGATTCGGAGGCTTTTGGTCCCATTGCGCAAGTATCTGAGGCAGCTTTGCGTATATCCCAGAAACACTGAGTATGTGCAAGGAATCTGCTTGTCAAGCCTGCGGAAATGCTCAACACTGAGCGAGGTTGGTGAGGAAGAGGATGGAAGAGAAGGGAAGGGGATCTTGGGAGATCACTTGATGGGGGTGGATCCATCCTCGATCTGGCCCAAGAAGTCTTCCAGAAGTTTCAGCGCCAAGCCGTCGTCCCACAGGTACGGCCGCTGCGCTTTGAACAGGCTGAACACGTGGCTGCTGAAGGTCTCTGACAGCCTGAAGTCGTTGGCCTCCATCGTCTTTCCTCCAGGGGTCGCGTCATCAACTGGCTGGTAGAGATTCATTGGACCAGCACCGTTCTGGAGCTCGCTGCGATCGTGTCCTGGCTCTGTTCGTGCTGCTGATAATCTTATCCTGGCCCATGTACAGGGGCGTTTCACGAACCTGCTCAGCCCAGTCGGAGAATGCAAGGAGTGAAGAGATGTCAGCGAACACTGATTGCGACTATGAGTATTGCAGCCGTATACTTCATGTGTTGGGTGTTTGGGCGTGGAAAAGGGTGTTCCAACACATCGCAGCACTGCGGTGCGAGTTCCACACAAGGTGTAGACTGAGATGCCGTGGATAGCAGTGATATATAAAGCGTGGACTTAAGTTGATTTGATTGAATGAAAGCATTACTTTTCGCTCGTACAAGGTCTGCAAACTCCCGTCGATGCTTCCCAGAGTGCAGCAAAGAAGGGGAAGCTGAGGGAAGCTTCCAAGTTTGGCGAAGCTGGAGTCCCATGTCACGTTGCCTCATCTCCCTTTCTGGAACGTCTTTCCGATTCTCGGAGGGAAAAATTCACGATCCCCAAAGGATTAACACTATTTTATCGTTCCAGATTTCCACTCTGACATCTTGACTAGGCTCACGAGCGCACACATAGTACAACCAATCTCGGATGCTTGTCGCCGTCCCGGTATAGCTTGAATATTGCCTTTGCGAGGTGAGGGACGTCCCTTTGCTATACATCAAACGCAAACACTTGAAAAAGTGCTCTTTCCGGACGTTCGGCATCCTCTTGCCTTACTGCCAAAGTCTTTAGTTTCTGACATCTTGCTGACTATTGTGTCTGGCGGCACGTGTATACACTCCATTTTGGTGTCTTTTTCAAGTTTTCTTTCTAACATTGGAAACGCAAACGTACTTGTTCAGAGCCTGGCTGGAGGAGCTGATCATTGCATAGTTGGTCTCTACACATTCTGGTCCTCTGCATCCTCTGCATCCATCCTCTGCAAGGGCAGTCCCATTCCGGTCTTCTTCTTTCTGATTGCAGGTACTCCTCACATTGAACAAGTGACAGCAGCTACATCAGCCCCTCAAGCAAAGGCAGTCTTGCAGCAGGCAGCTGCTGCCTGAGCAAGAGCATTAGTGAGAGCCGCTTGCAAAAGAAGTCAGCAAGCTGGCATGAGCACGACGATTCACAGGCTGTACAGGGCGGCACAGCCGTCAGCAAATGACGTGGATGTGCCGGTCCACCCGCCGCCCACATCAGCGGCCACATCAGCGCGGCTTACCTCGCGAGAATATGCCCTGAAAACCAACGCCTCAGAGGTCGCCGTCTGCGATGTGGCCGTGCATCCCCCTCAGCTCAAGCAGCTTGTTGCAGGTGTGTTGCTTTTGGCACCCCTTCCTTGTCGATCCTTGCATGGCGCTAAGACTTTGCTTTTCTGCTGAAATTACTGCAGTTGTGAGAGGCATCAGTCTCACTGTTCCTGCCGCTGTGGCTCCATCTGGCGTGCCTGTTCTTTGGTGCTCAAGAATTTCCCATAAAACGGAGAGACTCTTATCCGGTGATGTGACTGCTTTCTCATCATTTTGACTGTGCGACTTGGCGCAAATTCGCATCAAAGATGGCCTTTCCTGCAGTGGAAATACCTGCAGAGCAGGCTTCTAGATAGGCTTACCAATATTGTGTAACGTTAACATGGACGGGCACCCGAGAGTGAGTGTGACTGTACAGCGAAAGAGGGTGTGACGCACTGTTCTGTGCCTGCGCCTCACCAGAGGTTCAGGAGAAGCTGCACCGGTTCGGCTGGTTCGAGATGTGGCTTGGGCTGCTGATGGCACTTCTCCTGGTAGGCGCTCTGGGATATGTCGGCTGGGCCTGGAACGAGCGCAAAAGGAAGAGGGACGAGTTCCGCACCGCGCACAACTTGGAGCACAACATCGAGCCTCGCTGCCTCGCTCGCATCCTCGGAGAGGTGCGTTTCTTTTGCATGCTTGCATGCATGTGAATCTTGCTTGAGCAGAAATGTTACGCTAGGAGCTGCAGGCTAGTGTGATGTCCAGTTCTCAGCCCCCTTGCGGAGTGTCTTGGCATGGTGTATTTGCAATCTGCACATCAGGGCGTTGGAATTTTGCCGCGGTCTTGGAGGTGCTACTTGCATGTGCCTTGTCCACGTTATTACTGCAGACGCCTGATGTGCATGCATGCAGTCAAGCTGTTCTTTTCCTTATTTGATCCCAGTGTGTCTGACCCTTTTCAAATGCTGGATGAAACCCCCCTGATTGTTTGCCCGTGTAGCGCGTTACAAACTGCAAGTCTTTTGACATCAGGCCTCGTGTGAGCTGCAGTTCCAAGGATTAACAAACATCATACCCTAAACCCTACATATATAGGCTGGTGGTGCAAGGTCTGGGGGTCGTCTTGACCACAGCAGCCCATGCGGCTCGGACCCCTGCTGGATCTTTTTGTGTCTGCTACGGCCACGCATGTTTCGTATTCGAATTCAAAGTGCATATTCCGCGCAGGATTACACGCCGTCCTGGGTGAAGTACCCAGACTATGAGCGCATGGGGTGGGTCAATGACGTCATCGTGCAGCTGTGGCCGCACGTGTCATCGGCCGCGGCCGTCACCGTTCGCGACATGGCCGACCCGATACTTGCGCAGAACAAGCCCAAGTGCGCCCCTTTCCTTTTCTCCCCCTAAAGTTCCTTCTGCCCCTCTGGAGTCGGGGGAATACGCGGTATATCTGGTCTCGTGCTGCTTAGATGCAAATCCCCCTGCTGGGGTAGTGCTGGGGTCTGTGATCGAGCGAGGGCAGATCATAAGCCGGTGCAGCCGTCGCCTTTTGCGACATGGCCAACCCGATCGTGGCGCAGTACAGCCCCAAACACAGCGCCTCTTTCCACTTTTTGCCCCATTGGTCACCTGGTTATTGGTGTAATCTGCCGGCCTTCAGTACATAGCTGATCTCTGGACAGGGCCCCTTTTACTACATGCATAGCACAGTGCAGCAGACAAGCCTGACTGGGGCAAAGCTTTCTGATCGGGCTACGCGCAGTGCCAGATGCACTGCTGGAGGCTTTCAAACTCCCCGAAGCCGTCATTTCCATGAGGGTTTTGTTAGAAGCAAAGGATGAGAAAAATGGAAGACAGAATAAGGACAGAGGGCCTGTTGATGGCGTTGCATCCTGGGAAAAGTGGGATTTGTCCTATGGTTGAAGGAAAATTGTAGGAGTGAGTCATGCATGGCTGATGATGACGGCATGGCGGGCTGGCATGTGCAGGTGGATCAGCAGGATATCGCTTCACACCTTCACCCTGGGAGACATCCCCCCGCGCGTCTCCGGCTGCAAGGTGCGGCCTGTCAGCTAGGCTTCAAGGCGTGCAAGAAAAAAAGTATCCCATGTCCCAGCCTATTCAGGCGTACCACTAAAAAGTGCCTGTCTGTCCGCCACGAGTAGTCCTGGCTTCTAATGAAGCTCCATCCTTCACAGGGGTGTCCACAAACCGGAATTCTTTCTGGTGTTATGTCTTTTTAGTGTCATGACTGCTGAGCTGGCATGCTGATGTGGCAGGTGTTTAGGCGGGAGGGCGTGCAGCAGGAGGTGCTGGTGGAGATGGACTTCTCCTGGGCAGGCAACCAGAAATTTCAGCTGCAGGTGCGAGCTCTGCGCCCTTTTATCTTTCTGGTCACACCTTCTCACAACACTTTGCTCCTCCCACCTTTTGTGCGAGTCTGTGTGCTGCTACGTCTGATGCATGCTCATATTGAGAGGGAAGATGTGCCTGATTGTCTACGGACTAGCCGACCTGCCGCTGCAAGGGGAGAATTACGGTGCACTCATATTGTTGGAGGCCTTCAATGTGCGCTTTGGTCCCTGTTATGAGATTTCAGGGCAGCAGGATCATGCTGTGCCCTTCCACCTGGTGCGGACTTACCAGGCATGAACGATGAACTGCCTGAAGTGAGCATCAGGACAGGATTTGACACGAATGTATACGTATTCTCCATCACTCCTTGAGCAGGATGCATTCCTCTGACAAGCATGTGGTTCTCCTTTTGTGCGCAGATAAATCCGCTGCCCAGGCTTCCAGTGCCGCTGGGAATAGGGCAGTTCATATCGGAGTGGCTCGGCATGCGCGTCGGGGTGAGCGATATCAATCTGCACGGCCGCGTGCGCATCAACATGCGGCCCCTCATGGCCAAACTGCCCATCGTCGGAGGCGTTCAGGTGCATATCTGTCAGAACTTCGATTTCAAAACAGGCAGTTCTTGCCAAAAGGCAAGCTTCCGCCGCCTTTTAGGTACTTGCCAGGTGCTGAATAAGTGAGCCTTCTCTGAAGAGAGAGCTCCAGTCACATCATGATGTACAAAAAGGACGCATGCATGTGAAGGTACACCCGTTCTATGACACGAAAGTGACGATTCTTAGTGTTGGTCATGCATGCATGCGCGCAGGTGTCCTTGGTGGATCCGCCGGACCTGTCATACGCGCTGATCCTGCAAGGCGGCGACATCACTTTTCTCCCAGGGCTGGAGGTGTTTATAAATAGTCTGATCAAGGACGTCATCCTGCAGCCCTTCATCTGGCCCCACGGCTACACCATCCCACTCGCGCCGGGGGGCGGCCGCGAGGTGCGCTAGTTTTTGCCTCCTTCACTTTTCAATAGATTTTCAGGTCACCTGAGCAGCCTCAGAGCATCAGGGCTGCCCAGTCTGTGCCTTCGGGCAGCCCATTCACCGACCTTGCCTTCCATTCCTGCGCAGATTGGAGCAGGATGGATCAGGATGCATCTTCGTGACATCCCGCGGTTCAGCTCATGCTGCAGGATATCAGATATTCTGCAGCATGGTACTGAACTGCAAGATGTCATGCTGATGGGAACGCTTGCTTTTTTTCTAACGGACGCGTTCCTACCAGTCCCTACCAGTCCAGTGCATACTGTTTCAGCAGAGCCCAGATGAAGCCATCTGGGCAGCTCTTGTGACTGCCCATTCGGGCAGCCCAGTTTGTGCCCACCGGGCAGCCCATACACTGATCGTGTCCTGGCTCATCTGCCAAGACCACTCTCCGCAAGTCACGGTCAGCAGGAAAACAGACATCTGCGTCGAGCTGACACGCAGCAGAATGCAGGTCTCAACCAAATTGAGCATTATTTTTTTATTTTTATTTTTTATTTAGGGTTTAGGTCTTGTTACTGTGCTCCGCAGATGCCGGCGGGGATCCTGTACGTGAAGGTGATAGAGGCAGAACACGTCCCCAACATGGACCTCTTTTCCAAAACGGACGCGTATGTGGTTCTGTTTGTGCGCGGCCGCCGAAAGCGCAAGACCAAGATCGCCTGGAACAGCCTGCACCCGCGGTGCGCCAACCCTTCGTGGCCCCTGGACTGGCAGCTTCTTAAATTCATGTCTTGAATCCCCCTGGCAATGCGAAAAGTAATGACGTCTAGAGGCCCCCGCATACACACTCTCCAGGTTGTTGTCAGCTTTGCTTGACGTGTCTGAAAGAGTTGAATGTGGCTTTTTGTCCACCGCATGCAGAGTGTGTTCTTCCTGCATGGCTGATTCTTTGTGCCTTCATCTTGAACGCTCTTGATTTTCATTATTCAGACGGTGCAAACTTCTTTAGGCTTTGATGGGAAGAGGTGGCACTGCAGCAGGAAAGGATTCGGTTAATTTTCTTCCTCAGTGTGCACCACGATAAGCAATGAACACATTTTTTTCCCAATATGCTCCTGGCGACTTGTGACCACTATGGGCGAGCCTCTTGATCATTCATTGCTTATTTTGAGCAGCTTTCAGGCTGTGCAAGACGAGCGGTGCCTGTTCAGGCGGCTCCATTGCGTGGCACGATGGCTGCAGAGACACACCTTCCTGCTGGTTCATATTTGTACGTCAAGAGGCAGTGTATATTTTTTAAATCCCTGCCTGGTTAGAGTGTATCTACCTGCGGCGTTGCTGTGTCAACATTGGGTGCATTGGGCCGGGCACGCATTACTAAGCAGTGTATCGAAAATGTGGCACTGCAGCCCATCAGGACCTCCAGCAATTGATTCGCTGCATATGTATCGGGCGGCGATTCACTTGCTTGAAGGCCTCCTTTGTGCTGCAGTGCAAGCTCCCAGCCATAGAGTTGCATCTATTTTCCTTGATCTCAGCTTCAGGTCAAACAGTCATCCTTGAATTGTTACACGCAGGCAAGGTGCGTCCTGCAGACAAGCTGCAGTTAAAGGCTGCCATAATCCTACCCTTGTTGGACTCGCCAGATCCAAGCAAGACCCAATCAACCGTGGGCACGGTGCTCAGTATTTGCACCGCCCCCCCGTTAGCCGGGGCCATCAACGGCCATCATCCTTGATAAATCCCTGACAGGGGTGAGCGATGCGATGCGCAGGTGGTGCGAGGAATTTGAGATGTTGGTGCACGACCCGGAGCACCAGGAGCTGACAGCGGTGCTGTACAACCACTCCTCTTTTGGCGCGGACGAGGAGATAGGGCGGGTCACAATCCCCCTGCAGGATTTACCCCCGGGGGAGGAAAAGGATCTGTGGCTGGAGCTCGGCCCCCCGGCTGGCTCCAAGCGCGGCAATCCCCTCAGCGCCGGCGTCCGGGTGCGCGCGTTCTCTCCTCCTGCATACAGTACTAGGGTTATTGAACACAACGTTCCGGGAAAATGTAAAAGGCTGGCTGGATGAGCCTTGATTGATTCAAGATTTAGGTTTCATGGAGGATCAAATATACTATGAAAGACAAAGAGTGAATGAACTCTGATGCCAGCGGGTCAGCTTGTGCCAACATAAATCTGCTGGGCCTTTGGAGACAAGAAATTGTGTCTTGGACTGTAACGAACTTCACCTCTTCGATGTGCCAGCCCCCTGCTCTATCAACATGTTAAGGCTTCCGCCTATTGAGACTAGACTTGTTCCACTGCAGGCGGTGCGGACGGTTGGGCGCACAGTCGGCCACACAGTGACGAGCGTGGTGACGCTCGGGTGCCTGCAGAAGCGCGCAGAGCCGCCGCGGCTGCACCTGGAAGCCACCTTCTTCAAAGTGGGCGCCGAAGAAGTCAAGGCCATCACGCGCGGAGAGTCCAGCCAGCAGGTGGCGTTGCCTCCGCTTGCTCTCTGCACTTTCCCCCACTCGTCTTTGCTTCCCCAGTGTGCAGGCTTTGGCATACAAGCTCTTGCATAGAAGCTACTGCCATTGCATTGCTTGCGCCTGCTCTCTGCTGCTCTCTCTTTGGATTTTCTCCTGGCATGTGTCTCTGGGCACTGACAGCTTCACGTCACAGCATGTTCACACGCTCGTATGTTGCTTGGCAGTCAGCTAGAATCTACTCCTCTTGAGTTTCTGTCATCAGGGAACTGCTGCCGTCCACGTTTACATGCTTTCAAAGCCAGGGTCCGCAAGTGCTCGGCCGCATGTTTTTAGGTCAACTATTCGGCCGAGAGAAGTCGGCGACCCTACTGTATAGGAGCGCTCACTTCATCTTTCCCTTCGTATATTTTAGGGTTATTGTTTAGGGTTTAGGGGTTTTTAATCCCTGAATAAATCCCTGCTCGTAGGTGGAGGCATCGGCATCGGCTGCCGGGGGCGAGTCGGCCGCGGCGCGCAACCCGAGGGTCATCAACATGCTGCGCGGAGGAATCCTGTACGTGAAGATTGTCAAGTCCATGCAGGAGACGGAGGACGGCATCCCTGCCAGGGCCACGCAGGTGCGCGTTTCAAAATTTCAAATTTGAATTCGAATTTTGAAGAGGGAAAAATGTTTTCTAGGCTTGAAGCGGGTGGCCCAATTTGCGGCATGCATGGAGAGAGCCTGAGAGGCTGAGGCCGTCAGGGAGTGCAACATGCTACTTTAAGTTTCTTGTTGCGAGGTACAATCCTACTAATTCTGCGCATGTTGGTAAGGGACTGCTTGCAGCTGGGGTTCCACACCGATGAGCAAGCGGATTATCTGCTGTTCTGCTCATGAGTTTAAAGTGTAATGGTCGTCCGAAATTTCGAGTGGCGGCTTGTGGTTGGGTGTGGGTTTTGCGGACCTGGCAAGAGAGAGTTTGCACCGAGAAATGTAATTCTGGGTGTTCCCTTTCCATATGTGACTGCTTGCAGCGCTGGACGGGGACAGCATGCAGGGGTCATTGACCTGACTGATGAGCCACAAAGTGCAGTGTGCTCCTTGCTCAGTACTCACACCTCAATATGCGTTTCCGAAAGGCCACAGCCGTTCTTTGGCTATACTTCTGACCCTGTGCCGCGGCAGCGTGGAAATGCGCAGTCTAAGGGCCTGGGGTATTTTGGGTCACCAGCAAGGGACAGCCCAAGATCCACCACCGCTTAAGTGCTGTTCATGACCGACTGTGACACCAAACTTCGTGTCTGAAGTACTTAGGAGTGCTTTGTTGCAGGTGCGTGTGCGGGTGGGCAATGATGAGAAGAGGACTGCAGAGGCCGAGGGCAGAGAGAACCAAGACTGGTGCGGCCCAGAAAATTTCTGTCCTTCAAAGATGTCTGCGTGTGTATTGTGGATCTTAAGTGTCTTCGAGACAGCATTACAATCCCTGCACGCCAGCCAGAGAAGCAGGCGCTTGCATCCTGCTCAAGGTGGATCCATAAGCTTGACTGCTTGGACTGCGCACGACAATTCCCAAGACTGGTTCAAAACATGTATAAGCAGGTGGTGCCATACAGAAATGGCAGCTCTGCAGTGATTGCGAATCCTGCTTCTCCCAAACCAAGCATATCTTCGCTTGCCTGATGTCCATGTGAAAGGTTTTGAGTCCATGGATCCAGGGGTTCAAGGAATTGTAGTCTCCAATCTGAGAAAAGGCCCGCGCAAAGGCAGGGCGAAGAATAGAGAGGCGCTGAGTGGGATCAAGAAACGCAGCGACCTTTGGCTTGGGCATCAGACTATGGCAGCAGCATTGCATGAGCTTGTTTTCTCGGCAGGTGTTCTTAGAATCGGTATTCTTTGCGTGCAGGGAGGAGATATTGGAGTTTGCAATTGGTGGCGATTTGGTGGACAAGCCTGATGAGCAGATTGATGTGGAGGTGTGGGACTACCACTGGGTTAATCGGCCGGGCAACCTCACCTGGTACGACGAGTGGTACAGAGATCCTGTCTGTACATGCGTACCCCCCCCTGCCTTGCTATTTTTGCCATCTATATCTAGTTATACCTAGAAAATGTCTACCCTGTGAGAAAGCATCTGCTCACTCGCCTGGACACAGGCAGCATGCTGTGCCAATTTGCACCATGGGGTTTTTATCATTGTCCGAGCAGAGGCTTAGCTCTTTGCAATCAAGTCTCTTGAGATCACTGTGTGCAGTTCCTTTCTGCAAGAGATGCTTTGTCTTGTTGGCTGCTTCCAGCACACGATTCTGCCCTTGTGTCCTTTCGCCTGTAGGGACAGGCCCTTGCTGGGCTGACATGCAGATTATTATATTGGGCCAGCCTCCTTTTTAAAGGTCAGATGAACAAGACATGCTGAGACGTTGTTTGCATTTTTCTGACACTGCAGGGGCCCGGAGATCGGGCAGCCGGATTTTACGGGCGCCGGCTGGGTGGAGGTTCCTCTGAGGCAGGTCATAGAGCGGCGTTCCATGCACGATGTGTGGCGGCTGAATGATGTCCCCTTCGGCTGCGTCGAAATGGATCTCCAGTGGCTGCCTGTGCTTGAGGAGTCCTGAGAGATGTCTATACATCAAGATTCAGTACACCCAAAATGAGGGTGACAAGCGGGTGTTGTTACTCAGGCTGCCTGCATGCTGGACAATTATTTTCATTTTGGCAGAGGCTGCAGTGACTGCCTGTACTGGAGGAGCCCTAAGCGTTGCGGGGTCATTGAGGTATTTCAAAGAAGGGGTTTTTGAGCAGCCAGCGATAAGAAGCTGTGGCAAACGTTGCGTGAGGCTTCGGCTGCAGTGGCTACATGTGGTTGAGGAGTCCTGAGTTCCAAGGGATCATTGAGGGGGCTTGAGGGAAGCATTTCACATCAGGCAGTATTTTGGGCAGAAAGAGCACAGATCCGCATCTGCAGTCGCTGGCAGTGCTGAGAGCGGTCTTTAGCCCGGCATTGGAGCCAGGACTTTTGAGCAGGTCTTGTGGACCTGCTTGCATTTTTTGTGCTGCGTCATTCAGCAGAGCTGCGGAGAGAAAGGGCTGCAGCGGCACCGCCTGTGCTGCAGGAATCCTGAGCAGAGGGAGCAGAGGGGAGGGATGTCAGTACATGAGAGGACCCTGAGCTGAGGGTCATAAGGTGATTTCAAGAAACGGATTGCATAGAGTGGTGCGAGTATGGGAAACACTGGGCGAGTCGGCAGTGATTGCTAGTCCTGGAGGAGTCCTCAGGCGATTGGAGGGCCGTCTAGATATCTTATTGCCCTGGGCTAAGGGTTAAGAAGGGGATTGAAGCGTCAGCAGGCCTCACAAGAGGTAGCTGCATGAGTCAGGAGTTTGGCAGCCGAAACACAAGGCTGCCGTGCATGCCAGAGAGAGGTTGCTAGAACACGTATCAAGAGTCAGTATCATAGTCTACAGAGTATTTTTGTTATTTTATTACACGCTTTTCCTGCCAACAGGCAAGGTGCTTACTACAGGGTATGGAATCAGCTTTAGTGTGTGTGCCGGAGGGGTCTACCGGGGCTATGCGCTGAAGCAGAGCCAGTACATGGGCCATATAGTAGTCAGTGTGTTGGTTTTAGAGGTGAGTTTTGAGTTTGCCAGTCAGATTTCCAGCCGCCACTGCGCGAATTTTTGTTGGTGTTCAGGTATGAACTCAGCCAAAAAAAGGGACTTTGCATTAGACAGCATCTGCCACTTTGTATGCAGCAGGGTCACTCTTGACTAAATTAGCCTTCAGATATTACATGCATGTATCACATTTGGTATGACTTGTCTGACATGACACCAAGACCCAAAGAAGCACCTGGACTTGGTCAGGCAATTAAAGCTCAAAGTTTGTATGCATTTTTCATGAATCAAGAAGATCTGGATGGTACATCATTCGGAACATCTAGAATTTAAACCCTAGAGGAATAAGGTGTATCACACAGCTGAGCACATCCTTATTGTATTAAATATGACGTATGTCCGAACAATGGGGTATCACACCATAGGTTGTGTTATATTATGTTAGGAAAATAGTACATCTCAAGTTGGCTTGCCAATTTGCTGAATACTTTGTCACGCTAGCCTTGGCGCTTGTACAACATTACAACAATAAGAGGCAGCACTGAGGCGGCAAGCAATGGCCCGGCATAGAAGGACAGATTTGGCCACAAGGTGCGAGGAGCTTCGTCGGAGGCTTGAGCTGTCCGGGCCTCAGGTGCAGCACCGGGCGTTGGAATTTCAAGCTCTGTGGGATCGACAGGCCTTGGTGTCGAGCGCATGCTCCCGTCATAGAGAGTGTATGTTCCATCGAACGGTTTCCCGTCTCGCCATTCGCCAACGTACATGAAGACCGTCTCATATGCGCCTGCGGGGTAAGTACATACGCCGTACCCATGCTCCTGACCATTCTGAAAGCTTCCTTTATAAATGCTGCCGTCCGTGAAGTGGAATTCTCCTGAGCCGTGCATCTTTCCACAAAGCCAGTCCCCAATGTAGGTGCCAAATTCAGGTGACTTCCCAGTGCCCTTGCCACTACGCACCCCCTCCCGCCAAGACCCCGAGTAAAATGTGCCATTGGCTTCTTGCATTACGCCCTCGCCATGCCACTTGTTGTTTGAATATTCTCCTGTATATTGTTCGCCACCTGGCAGGCGTTCCACTCCGTATCCCTCTCGCCGGCCATGCATAAAGTCTCCGGTGTAGGAAAGTTTATCGGCAATTTTGAGTGATCCCCGTCCATGGTATTTTCCCTCCTTCCACCCGCCGTCATACTCAGCACCTGACAGGTGCGTGAGCTTCCCCTGTCCATGGTATTGCCCTTCTTGAAATCCACCTTCATACACGTCTCCCGACGGGTACTGAATTTTACCCCTGCCATGCGGGAAGCAATTCTCTGTGTCTCCTTCGTAAAGAGACTCCTGCCAACCACATAGGTTCCATGAATTGCAGCCAATTTTCTCAACCCACTGTGAATACTGAAAATTGGCAATGCTTAGGATTGCATTCTTGCAAAGATGAGAAGGACATCATTTGAGATGTACAGTTGCTTGCAAGGCTCCACGCTGAGGACACGCACCACTCCGTTCGCAAGGTATAGCCTCACTGCAACCCTGTCCTCGTTGCTGCATTTAGCCCAAATGAAAGCATAGGATGAACGCTTTCGTAGCATCTCTGATTCCTTCTGCGCAATGAACTGATCACACTCTGTGATGACGCCGTAGTACAAGAGTGGCTGTGACACATCGGAATATCTTGCCACTGCCAAGAGGGTAAAAAGGTCTCGTATCCTGCATGTGCACTTATGTTGTCATTTACCCTGCTTCATCTGTCCTTCACTTCTGCACAATTGACTACATGGCTGCAGTGGCCTTTGGATTATAATTAGGAGCTAATTGGAAGCTACCAAATCCAGGTCATGAAAAGCTTGGATCATCGGATGAGCCAGTCACAGAGCTGCCAAACGCCAATGCATGGATTGCAAGGCATGTTGCTATATGAAATATGTCACCTGTACGCTACTTGCAGCCAGGGAGATGCAGTTGCAGCTTCTCCTGCCTCAGGCCAACCATCCGGGTGGTGTAAACCCGCTAGCGTGTCAATAAGCTCAAGGCTGGTCACAGACAACCTGCAAGTGTTCTCTCCTTCCAGTATCTTCGATTGAAGTACCTCATAAAGGCTGTTGAGGGGCTTCCTGCTCAGCTCATCTGCAAACTCCCTCTCAAATAGCTCTTGATAGTCCACCCAAAGGCGATCTGTTTTGGGCTTCTCTCGTATTATTCTCTGGACTCGTGCCAAGAGAATGTCCAGGTCCATCCCTGCTAAAGTTTAGAAAATCTGCCCTGCGCGTTACATCCGAGACAGCCTTTACTTGGCAAGGACAAGCTGGCGTCAAGGCAGCCTGCAACCATATGTAAGACGCGCATTTTTCAGACTTTCACTAGTGAGTCCGACTTACTATAGTCTAGAAGCCTACAACTTTCACAGTTGACTCTCCCGACGGAACATAGCAGTCTGCTCAGTATCGCAAGCACGGATCAGCACGCTCCGTCTATCATTCGCTACTTATTTGTAGTGCAGGAGACTGCGAACCTGCAAGATTGACCACACGAGCCTTGACGAGTCAGGCTTGAGGTCGGCAACTCCCAGGTCCAAGGTTCAACCGAAGTTCGAGGGTGAAGGTTTCAGTCTAGTGTGAAACCATATCGTGTGACACTCTGGAACCTGTGTCACTCGGGTAGCTGTATGTGGAAGAGTAGCCTTACAGGAGGCGGTGCTCAATCTATGATCCAAACCACCTGATTGCAATGTGAGGCGCATCCGTTGATAGGATGGGGCCTATACAATAAAAATAAAGGTGGATCGCGGATGATCACACAATCCAGGTTGACCACCACTTCCTCTAAACCTCTAAAGTGCTTCTCTTCACACTTTATAACTATGTAGGGTATGACAGTTTTTCAGGGGTCACGCATCATACGTTCACACTAGGTATCCTGCATCATGCAAACCTAGGAGGTAAGCGAGGACAGCGGAGGTGGTAATGCCCCCTGGCATACTGTATACAAATTCACGGGGCTTCAAAAGACTATCGTCTCGGCCTTCTGCAAAGCTGCTCATATGCGGGTCACTCAACTCTACGTTGACAATGTTGTTGACGGCGTACTGGTTGAGGTAATCACCCACTGGACATGGCATGCTTAGCAGCTATCTTGAGTTTGCTGCTGCAGCTGCCGTGTCTTTCTTAGCAGCTCTGCAGCACAGGTGACGGATTGCATCCTCACAATTGCAATGGTGATTATGTTCAAGCATTTGTGGCCATTTCAGCATGTATGCATGGCACAAGGATGCATAATAGCAGATCATGGTATCGCTATAGCTGGCACATATTTTTGGATATCAGGGGCCTGAAAAGCTTATTGATGGATGGAAGGACAGACAATACTGCAGGACATTTGGTTACGAGTAGCGTATGCTACCGGATGAATACAGGAGACTATCTTGATGCATGAATCACCAGTGTAAGGCAAACATGACGCATGCTGCTTGATAAAAGCTTGACAGTGGGAACTTACTGCGTACTACTGGCAGAAACTTACTAAGAGATCACGATTATCCTTACTGTCTTCTCTCAGACTCTGAAAAAAGCTGCGGTAGACATGGCATGCAAGCATGCAAAATCTTACAAGCGAAATGCACATGCCGTGACTAAACATCCTGACATGCAACTGCTTCGGATCTATGGCACAGGAAAAGTAGCAAAGCGTTCCTCTCAGTAGAACAAGCAAACCATCATGCAGATAATTGCGCAGACACAATTCACACATCCAGAGACACCATGCTCATGCAACGACAGGATTAAGCTCATTATGCTAGAACCTTTTCACATGATTCTTCTCAAGTCATCTAATGTCAACACTGGCCCAGGCAATATTTCCATCACACGGATTTAACCTGCAAACCAGATATGAATAGACACTCTTACCCCGGCAAATCCCATATTCACGCAATTGCAAACCTCCTCAAGACCAGATAATGCGGTAGAACACATGCAATGCAAGATCTCAAGTCTTCAGCACCATTTGGAACATAGGCGCATGCACGCGGCAACAGGTGCTCTGGGAAATTTGTTGGGTGCAAACAAAAATGCTCCTCAGTTGCTCACATTGAAACGAATACAGCCACAATACATAAAGCAGGGTACAGATGAAGAAAAGAAAATGTCATTTGCCCAGTAGACATAGCACCATACGTCCAATTTGCTCAGCAGGTGACAGCTGCAGGCCAGGCAATAATGCGAATCCAACGCTCCTCTCTCACAGTTCTACCATGCCTAGGATGCACTGCTGATATTGACACCAACTGTCTTATCAATCAGACACTGCAGAGATCACACCATAGCCTTAAGCATCGTGCCTGTACACAGATGCAATGTACAGGCAGACATTGATAGCGCCATGCTCATGCCTTTCCCTCCTGCACTCCTTAGGAAATGGACTCATCTGTCTGGCATACTCTCTGTGACCATGCGTACGCCTAGGAGAAGCACTAAGCACTAAGCACTGGCACAGGTGCAATCTGCGCATGCACGAAAAAACAAAGCAGAATCTTGCATGCGTCCCTCTTGCACAATGTGTGGCAGGATCTCCTGCGAGGGGCCCTTTGGTAAAAGGGGTGCCTCTCGAACCAGCCAAAAGAGCCACTATTTCTTAGATCGCTGTCTTTTTTGGTCCCAAATATGCTCCATTACTCAGTACAGGCATGCGCCCAACGCAGGCAGAAATATAAGAATGCAGGGATTGCGCTGAGGCGCCAAAAGAAAGAAGTACATCCGTCCGCAAACTGAATGACCCAGTGCCTCCACTGCACTTGTGACAAGGGTGCGCATTATCCCCTGCCGATCTCAGTAAGCAACCATCGGTGCTGTCCAATTCTCTTTGTGCGAGGCCAAAAACAGCCAACAGCTGGAATTGCAGCTTGACCTTGTGACTTGAGATTTCGCCACAAGCCTGCACAACAGGCAAATTGCCTGGCGGGCACAGTATAAAACTCCCCTTCGATGTTGTAGCTCCCCGCGCCTGATCAGGACAGGGGGTGTTGCAGTATCAGCGCGGCTGCCAGATCAGGCGTGGGGGCCAGGTCAGCGCTGAGTCATCTCAGGCGATGCCACGCAGGCTGCGTCGGAGGGAGGTACGCTGCGCGGGAGTCACCTGGTCCAGAGATTTGCGCCTGCCGTTCCTCTCTTGCACCTGCGCAACCAAACAGCGTCAGAGTCCTGATTCCCAATGCTGAGTGACCTATTCATCGCCTTGACTCTGCACTCTGCAGGCAGTTCGCACCCAATAACAGCTGCGCAGCGTGCAAAACATGCTAGAAATATATTGCAGGCCGACTACAAAAGACACAAATGATGCCAAGCGATGACACTATGAAATTGTGCCCACAGCCGTCTTTAGTCAGGACTGCAAAACTCCTGAGTGACTCAGCCGACAGCGTTTCACATACGCCCGTACATCAAAATCAATGCAGACCTGAAAGAAATGCCATGTGCACAAACTCATCATCCAACACACGACCAACTACTCCACAAATCCCTAGTCAACCATTTCCATCCATGCATGGCCCCTCAATAATTGCAGCAGATATCGCACCTTGAGGTTGAGCATGATCTCGGCAACCTCGCTCATATCCTCGTCATCGCCAATTGTGCGGCGTTGCCTCCCGGCCACCGCCAGATTTGGCCCGGCTACGTTGCCACCGTCATCAATATCCATGGCGCCCACAAACAGGTCGTCCTCGTCCATCGCACCGCCGGCCGAGTCCCCGCTCGCGTCTGCCGACTCGCTGCTCGCGAACGGCGCCTGGCCGTCCGCGGAAGCTCCGTGCCTGTAGAAACGGTGCATGCCGCAATTCAGTGACTGCCCTGGAGTGACATGAACAGGCGGAGAGGAGAACGTTGGGATGCCCGTGATGTACCCTAGCGATACCTCTTTGCCAGTGTGGATGCTGCAATCAGACAAATTGGCAAAGCTGAATGTTTTCTCCACTGTGCAACAGGGTTTGTCACACATATTCCACTACAGACAACAGGTAAAACATTCATCAGCAGCGCATTCTGCAAATTGGGATGTCTAAGGCAATTCCGTTGTTGTACTGGGAGCTGGCCTCCCCCAATGTAAGGCTGAGGGCCCACGCGGCACGATCTGGGGCAAGATCATGCACAGCAAAGTATCGCTCCCCAAATACTTCCTGCGGCAGAACTCTGGTCGCAAAGGAGAGATCACAGTAATAGCGCCGACAGCCCCCACCTGAGCGCGGAGGCGGGCGGCGTGAGCGGCTGCACGGCAGCGCTGAAGGCGGCCACGGGGCTGGACCCGGCGCCGGCCGCGCGCACCGACCGCGTCAGGTGCATGGCCATGCTGGCGGCTGCAGGGAACGCCGCCGGAGCGCTGCTGCCCGCCACGAAACCGCCAATGCCAGCGATACGGCTGGCGTCCTTCGGGTCGCTCCCCTCGCTCGGCGCGTCGCTCTCCTCCCCTCCCAATGCCGCTGCGGGTGACAGACGAGAACATTCTTCAAACAGGTGACAGGCAAGAATATCCTTCAGTCTTGGCAATGAGTCATTCATGAGGGTGCTGTGCTTCTGCTGGATCCGACCAAGATTGCACTTCGGCCATGACAATGAATTAGTCAGAAGCATTTTCAGCTACCACTGCACCACTTGCATCAAGTTGCTTGTAAAAGTCCTTGGCTGTCAGGGCAAGCAGCGTCCTTGCTGCTTTTTCTGCATTGTAGATTGCTGGTGTCGCTCGCAAGGTAGCAAACCTCTCACTCTCACAGTGATACACACAGCACTGCAGCACCTTCTTGACATCTGGCGAATGCCGTCATTACGGGCTATGGCATAAACAAACGCTTGTTTTCTCAACACAAGTGGCGATTCCTTACGGCAGCGTCCCTGATGTAAGACCTAGCGCACCTGCGAGGAAGTCGAGGTTGACGGGCGTGGAGGGACCCTCGCCCGGGCGGAAGTTGGTGATGGCTGCGTCGCCGCGGATTCGCCGCGCGGCCGCATCGTACGCCAACGCAGCCTCCTCCGCCGTGTCAAACGTGCCCAGCCACAGTCGCGACCCCTGCGCGCACACATCAGCCACCTCGTCGTTATTTGAGGGCAGAGAAGTCCTGTAAAAGACCATGTAAGGAGCACAGTGCTTGCACCAGCAACAGCAATATTTGGACCCAGAATCTGACTTGGGAGTCTGAACGTGCAAGGACTGCCGCACTTGGGCCATTGCCTCCAGCTAGTTTCGGCAAGGCTTTGAGAAACCGGCAGTTGAAGCGCATGCATCAACACCGTGTCTTCAAAGAAGCGAGGCGATCAGCCAAGGCTGGCAATGGCCCAGGTTGACCACAAGAAGAGAATGTCTGGGTATGTTGGACCTTGTCCAGATTTTTGTGACCAGATGCAAAGAATGTCTGGCGCATGTGCAGGCTGAACCAGGCGCACCTTGGATGGATCCCTGATCTCTGCCGCAAATTTGCCCCAGGGCCGCTGCCGCACGCCGCGGTACTTGACGGGTCCGCTCGCCGCCTTGCTCGCAACGCCATTCACCTTTCCCGCCCCTGTCACGCCTGTTGGAACAGCCAGTGCCAGATCGTCGTCAGGACGAATTCAAACAGTGCCACCTCGTACTACTAGGCATCACAAAAATGATATGTTGGGGGGCCTGCAGCCTTGGCAAGCGAAATCCAAGAAGGATACTTGCATGAAGGGCAAATTGCCAAACCCCCATTCTGTAAGTGCTCCTTGCCTCAACCAAGCTTATTAATGATGCAGCCTCACAGGAAGAACATGCCGCTGAGCACCAAAGCATGCGCACAAGACTTGCGAGCCAAGCCACTCAAGCACACTACAACATGTTAATCCATGTTCAACCACAGATGGATTGCCTGACTTGCCTGACCACTGGGCGGCAGCCGCCTGGCAGCTACCCCTATGACACTACTCACTGCCCAGTTGGCATTCAGAGCTTTGCTTCCAGCACCAGGTACGCACCGGCGATCTTCTTCGTGATGCCTGCGGCGGAGCCCTTGCGGCCGCCGGCTGCGAGCTGGCTGGAGAGCGTGGAGCGTGGCCGCCCACCCTTCTCCTCTCCACTGGCCGCCTCCGACAACGGGCTCTTCATGCGCTGCAGACACAACGTAATACACACCCACTCAGGACTGCTTGTTAAGTCGGTCACCAATTGCAGAATATTGATATGTTGGGAGGTTGTCAGAGCAAGTGCCCCGTAGTATTTCGCTCTCAAAGACTCACATGGCTGGTGATTTTAAAGTAGGGACGCAAGGAGAAAGCGCCTTCATGTATAACACAGCCCTGCACCAGCGAGGCAGACCATGCCAAGGAATGAGTGTCATTGCAGATAGATTCTCCTGCCTCCCATGCACATCAAGGCACATTGGTCCAGGAACGTTGACAGCAGATTGAGTCCAGCAAGCGCATCCTGACAAGGGGCAGGTGCTCTCCTTGTCAGGAACAACCCCCCGGACACAACCAGTCGCTATATGTCCTCACTTGAAGTCCCTGACCAACGCGATGCAGTGCTCCATTATAAATCCCCCAGCGTAAAATAAGTGGGAAAGGGCACCTGCTGCGGGGGGTGGATTGGAAGCACAGTGGCGGGAGCCATACCCTGACATCTATCACAAATCCCTGGTGAAACCCCAAGGGAGTTTCACAGGGGGCGTTAAATGTATATATTCCACCAAGCCAAGTGAGTACAAAGGCAAATCGACTCGATTCGATTGGCCAAAAAGAACAAAGGAAAGGGCAGGTCCTGCTGCGGGTGGTGGATGGGGAGCAGTGTGGCGGAAGCCATACCTTCACATCTGTCACGAATCCCTAGGGAGATACTAAAACAAAGGAGGGAAGAGGCACCTGCTGCGGGTGGTGGATGGGGAGCACGGTGGAGGGAGATGGGGCGCTGGAGCCAAACAGGGCGTCGCTGAAGGTGGCCTCAGAGTCAACGCTGCTGGAGACTGGGCCCAACGAGCCGCCATTGCCGGCCACGGATGAGCCGAGGTCCAGCGGCGCAATGTGCAGGTTCGACATCCCGTAAAGGCCTGCGCAGTTGTGACAATCAGTATACAATAATGGGACATATTGACAGTCGTCAGCATCAATTTCAAACATTGTGAGCCACTCCCTGCCTGCCCAGGAGTGGCATCAGAGCTGCACACGCATCAGCTCGACTGGCATGCCTCTGGGCTGCTTCAGTCCCAGAGAGCTCACAGGTGCAAGAATCTCTCAGCATTGTTTGCTAGAAATCATTGGCATCACTACCCCGATTGCAATGGTAATGGCAACACATTCTGTTATGATCAACTTTGCCAGACTCAATATTCCTTCCAAGTTTCTCCCCAGTGTGGAGAGAGCCGTCTCAATGGAAGGTTCAGCCTAAGCAGGCACTCAAATTGTACAGATGATCAGAAACACATAGATAAAGCGAGTCACGCACCGGAGCGGGGTAGGTGAAGGGGCAGTGAGCCGCCGAGGGGCCGCAGGCCGCTGCGCTGGAACAGCTCGATGGACTGCAGGCCGCCGGTCCCCCCGCTGCCGCTGGGGGATACCCCGAACAACGCCGGCCCCCCCTGCTGCAGCTGTGGTAGCGACATCCCCGACGCGCCTGCGAAGAGCTCCGCCGGCATGCCGAGCGGCAGAGAACCCACGCCTGCACAGGACAGCACAACAATTGGATCAATGCTCGCCTGGATTTCATTGCTGCCGACAGCTTCTGAACGGCTGGATGCCCTGTTGGGACCAATGAGAGTAGCTTCTGCTCCCTGTTGGGCTCCCAAAACATTAGGGGAAACAAATCGTGCCCTGAACGTTGCATACTGCAGGTCGTGCAACGAGCCAGAAGGTGACGCAACTGTGTGGAAGGCAGCTACAGGGGATCTGCAAAAGCGCCCATCAGGACACACACACTAGCAAGACTTGCCACCAGCACCAATTGGCCCAACCCCTTGTAATGGCACTCTGCACTCTCCCTCCCCACTGCCAAGCTGCCAAACCACTGCAATTGCACTTGCTAAGACTAGCCGAGCTCTGTTGTGGGTCTTGGATTGCTTGGGCTCCCCCAGTGTGATGCTCTACCATGCTAGAGCTCTGTGCCTCGAATACAGTTGCTTGGAGCAAGAAAAAATTTGAAGTAGGTTCCCTGAGGCTTTCCCCATTCTGCTCGGAATTGTGTGAGGCCTTTTCTCACAGCGCTGCCTATTTTGCGCGGGTGAATGGACACGGGTGGAACAAGGGTGGCACCTGGGCTGTTGCCGTTGAGGGAGGAGGCTGCAGGGGCAAGGGGAGGCAGAGAACGCTGCTGGGGGATGGCCATGGGCCCCGAGGAGGCCAGGCTGCGGCTCAAGCTGCCCGCCGCGGCTGATTGGACCGCCGACTGGACTGCTGACTGGACCGGCCACCCGGTCATCAGGAAGGCTGGCGCTGGCACTGTTGTCGGCACCTGATCAGGCGCCGGCTCTTCCAAAACAGCTGCATGCATGCAAGAGTTTGCATGAGCCACACTGTAGGATGAAACTTGCTTGCATGATCCAATAATGCATGGGCGTCAGAGGAGGCACAGCAGGTACTTCAGATCACACCTGCCTCTCACCTCCTCCCCTTCAGCCAAGAGAAGGCAAGAGACGTGCAAGGCCAGTGCGAGTGCCATGTAAGAAGAAAGGGCTGCCTCACGTTTGATGGGGTGGGGCAAATATATAACACCTCCAGTCCAGGAGCATCTGTAGCAGGACATGCAAGGAAGTAGAAGGGAGCATAGGCATGCATGGCCTGAGGATCAGTAACACTGACCTGGCAGAGTAGAAGACACTGGGAGTGTTGTGGAGATGGTAGTGACACTAGAATTTGCTGCTGCAAATGGATTGCTGTGTGGCATCTTGGCTGGTCCGACAGCTCTGGGGCTACTGCTGCTGTTGAGCAGTGATGGCACGTCTGCCAGATCCAATGTCATGTAAGCACAGGCGAGAGCAGCAGAACGAACTGGCGCCCCTGGTGCAAGAAAACACGAACACAAAGTTCAGCCAAAAGAAGTGCGACATCCCTGAGGACTCCACAGCCCATGCACAAGAGACTTACAGCAAACCATTACTTCACTCCCGCATGGAACAGTTTGAAGAACGATGTAATTGCCCGAAGATAACCCCCCAATGCAGCTGGTGGGAAGGTCAAAAGGGATGAGGGGGGCAAGAGCAGTCAAAAATAATCAGCAGAAGCAGACGACCTTGGATGATCACTGTATGTACGCTTCAATCTTGAATAATAATCATTTAAACTTGCGTCCGCTCAAAAACTTCATGACAAATGTCACCTGGCATATACCTGAAGCTAACACCACTCAGCAGTCAACACTCACACAAGGCCCCCATATTGGAACCTTGTGATAAGGATGACAGAATATAAGATCCTGCATGCGAGATTGATGAAGATGTGGCGGGGTGAATGCTGAGCGAGAGCCCCTACCTTGCTCAAAGTCTCCCTGTAGCAATGGTCCAAAAACCCTTCGACTCGTGGTGAGCTGCCGCCAGGGATGAGGCAGGAATCACCGAGCGTGCGTTGAACACGAGCAATGGATCCCTAAAGATCGCTTTCTTGCCCAGGCACAACTTGTTGCAAATTGCCGATGGCCAGTCTGCACGTCGCACGGCCCTGCATTTGAAAGACCGCGATGTTACAAGATACTGTTCCACTTGCTGTGGAGTATATTCCTGCACACTCATCATTGGAGATGGCTCGTGATCATCCCCAAAATAAAAAGAACCAGTTGGATGTTCCGGTGAAGCCATGTAGCTTCTTTTCCAGATAAGCACATCCCCTATTTCCCAGGTGCGGGCGGTCACGAGCCTCTCGTAACTGCCGAGAGCAATCACAGGAGGACAGCAACTCACGTCCCGCAAATGTCGAACCCCTCCGAACCCCAGATGCGCCAGATGTTGTACAACAAGGTGCAGGCCCGCACAGCAGCTAGGTCAAGGCGCGCGGGGCATTCGAGGACTTGAAAGCTCGAAGCTGCTGGACCCTGAACCGGAGAGGCCGGGAACAGGCTGTCGCCGCTGACAGGCAGCTGAGTTCGCTTTGCCACTCTTGAAATTGCCGTTGGGGCAGCGTTCGATGAATGTGCTAGGGATCCTCGAGAATCGTCTCACTTGGTGACTTGGCGCAGCTTATCAGAAAGCAGACAACGCCGCCTGACGGTCCTGCATCTCCACAGTTGACAGATGCCAATCGTAGGGCAGCCATTTGACTTTCTCTTTATGTGGCATCTGATGGCCCCTGGTGTCAGTGTGGTAACAAAGCAATCGAATCGACAAATCAAGGGATCACACACTGCAGAGCAATGGGGTTGATTCCAATCCTTCTGCCCCAGATTCTGTGTGCTTTCAGTCACCTTTGGGAAGATGTTCCTCTGACATGCGTGATCAGCAGCTGCTCTTTTGTCCGCATCAGAATGTCGGACAGATCAATCGCTGCAGAACTACGCAGATGGCTTGAGAGACAGAGTCACCTTCAAAGGCACCATCTGGATCGTAGTAGATCTATTGCGTGGATCAAACATTTGGTGGAAGCTTCTTTTAGTTCCTACTTTTCATAAGCACGCACGTTGTAACATAAAACCAAAAATGCAGCTCTTTGTATGATGTTTTTTGGTTCTTTACGCTTTGATCCTTGGAAGAGCTCAGGTGTGAGACTTAAAGGACTGGATTACAATTGCATCCATATGGGACTGTGTTTGGGGGCATCACCAAGCAGCATAGACGTTCCAAGCGGTCAATCAATGCCTGACAAGAGGCATATGAGCACAACATATGCTTATATGTTCCAGACCCCTTCTGCCAGAGGAGCGCAGTGCGCTTGTGGCCAACAAGTGAGGCTGGTCACATCGGTCACAGGATTGCCAATTGCCAGACAATGTATCAACCCCTGACCTTAAGCATAAAATAATACCATTGTTCACTAGGTTGCAGCCCTAAGCGGATGCCTTGCTGCAATCTTGCAGCAAAGTCACACCACCCTGCCTAGAGGAGATCTGATCATCACTGTGGTTTTAAGCTGAATGATTGTCCCGCTGTCACAACTTTCCTACCAAGGCATCAAATGTTGTTCATAAAACCGAAAACTCCCAAACCTCACTCTTTGGCAATTCTTACATGCATGAATGTTCATTTGCCTTCACTCCCATTTTCATCCCACCATAATCTGACTGCATTACTGAAAAGGTTGTCTTGCAGAGGTCACACTGGGCATGAGTGTGCCCCTGTCGCCATCAAGCCTTGCCCGGTGGTCCAATCTGCGCTTTCAAAATTTTGGTGTGCTCAATTCTGCCCCACCACTGGCTGCAGCTTCTTGCCCTGGTGCACACTTCTCTCACAACTAGGTTCAGGCGATGAAACGGAGGCAATGCTCCTCATAAAATCTATGCGTGCTGCTCTGCAAACAGTAATAGACCCCTCATCTTCTGCGCAACCTCTCATAATATTATAAAATCTCTGTTGCGCGCATGGCGGCGGCTGAGTCTGCATGGCAGGCGCGGCCTGATGAGGCGGAGCCGCCATGCTGTGTCGTCCAGTCAGCAGCTGCCATCTGGAAGGCAGGGGATATCAGGGGTTTGCCCATTTAGGGTGGGGGCACTGCCAGACCCACGGGGTTTACGGCCACGGCTGTGTCGCCGATGGCTGTGATCGTGGGTGCGACTGCGATCAGCGCCGGGGCGATGTTGACTCCGGTGGGACTGCGCGCACAAGCAGACACTGATTCAGTGTCTGCTTGAAGGAATACATTGACCACATTGACATTGACAGATGCACAGACACAACAGCCCCGGTCAATGCCTGCTGGAAGACACCCAAAGCCAGTGACAGATGCACTGATCAGTGGCAGGCTAGGAGGCAGGATGAGGCACACATGCAGCTTGCTGAGCTTAAACAAGTAGCCAGAGGCTTTGAGGACTTGGCAGGACACAGAAGCAGGAACAAGCTGTCCACTGACAGGGGTCGCTCAGACTGGTTCAGCCAGGCCAAAAGCAGACAGAAATACAAGCGTGCTCTGTCCGGAAAGCAACTAGGGATGGACTAGGGGTGCATGCCGCGGCATATGGACGCATATTGCTTGCTCCTGACTGTGGGCCAGGAAACAGAGTGAAACTCTACCTCCCGTGCAGACAGAAAAAGTGACATTTTGCAGAGTCGCATGCGCGCACCTGACGTTGAGGCCCCAGGGGTTGACGTAGATCAGCGCGGGCTGGATGTTGATGGCCTGTGGCCACACGGCGAGCCCCTCGGCCAGGATCTCGATGACGTTCGGCTGGAAGTTGATGGCGGCGGCGGTGGCGTCGAATCCACGTGCGCTTGTGCTGATCAGGCAGGGCGCGTAGTTGATGCCGACGGCCTGCACGCAGCGCACACACCCTTGGTCTATGGACAAGCTTGACAATGCATCACTGCTTTTCCTGCGAGGTGCGTTTAGTACCAGCAGGTCAAGCTGGTCCAGTGGGGTACACAAACACACGCTATCTGCTAACCCTACAACCTATTTATACCAGGGTCATCACAAAGGGCCACAGCTGATGCTTTATTCCAGTCTTTCTTATACGGACTTTTCCAAAAAATTTGAAAGCAGCAGATGGGTTCTGCAAAGGCTGTAACCGTGGCAGCGCAGGGCTTGATGCCATCACAGTGTAAGCCTCAAATGCGCAGGCTTCAAGGTACCTAAAATTGAGTGGTGGAGGTACACTTCACAGACCACAGACCACTTGAGCAACAGCTGTTGTAGCACTGCCAGGGCGCAGGGCCTTCAGAACAAGTACATCAGAGGAATGCGTACAAGGGACCAGGCCAGGCGTGCCCTAGCATTACCGTTCAGACTGAGCATTTACAGCTTTTCGTCACAGTAGCTGGTGCCCTCAGACTCAGTCAATGACAGTAAGGACACAAGAAAATGTGGGGAGAGTGCCCACCGCTGCGGCGGCACCGGCCAGGTTGGTGGAGATGTTGGCAGCGCCATTGTTGAAGAGCACAGTCGGGTTGATTGACACCTGCGCAGGTTTTCACACCTCAATATTGTGCCGTACACAATTTTTATTCCACCCTAAAGCCTACAAAAGTTATAGGTCCCGGGTGGCAGGGGAGAGGTATAATTTCTGAGCATGGGGTGCCCACTGTTGAATTGGGGGTTGCTGCTTATTGTGCTTGCTCTATTCTGCATATTTCACTGTCCTCTACTTCAGCCCACTATTCTCTGGGGATACTGCACACAGCGGCTCTTATAAGTACCTCCTGCTGAGCTTATGAAGCGGTCTTCAAGATCAAGATTGGAAGGGGTTTCGGATATGGTGACTGTCTGCACCTGGGGCTTCTGCTTGCCGGTGAGCACCTCGCCCAGTCCAGCCAGCTGGTTGGCGATGGACACGAACAGGTCAGCGATGGCCTGGTCCGCACGCTGCAGTTCACAAGTACACAGGGGGGCATCAGACACATTGCCTGGGAGAGATTCAAGTACCCACAAGAGAGCTGCACTGTGCCCTGCCCGCATGGAACTGAGCTGTGCATACCATCACATATAGCGCCCAAGGAAACATCTAGGAGCTTAGCAGGCAGGACAAGTTAATGCAAGTTATTGTCAGCTACAGGCCCCTTCTGCAGTGCCCAAATTTGAATACAGAGATATGTGGACTTCTTGAGCATACAAGGAATGGCTGGCATTGGCAGGTCAAGCAGGGGATCTCGAGTGGACAAGGGGTTGAGGGTATTCTGGTTCTGACCTCAAAGTTGAGCCCATTGCTGAGGAGCATGACAGGGGCCAGCAGCTCAGCGTATTGCTGGTAGGCAACCTCGAAGTCCTGGGCGTCAGGCAGCTTGGTGGCCCCCTTGATGTCCGATATGATGCCTGCAATGTCGGTAATGTCCCTGGAGGCAGAGCCAGCCACCAAGAGGGATGCCAGGAGCAGGATGGACAGGGCCCCCCTGTGAACAGGCGTTTCCACAGCCTTAGCGGGCAAGAATTATTCTCACACATTCAATATGACGCTACATAACTCCGAAGGCAGTGCTCTTGCAATATTCAGACACTTCGCAGCAAAAGCCGGGGGGCATGGTGAGGGACCAAGGTGTATATAACAAGATGTACGCCTGGACTCTGCGCACCTCGCCATGCTCGGTGCTGCCGCAAGTGATTTGAATTGGGCCATTCCGCTAGATCTCAGTTCCACAGTATATACTCCTCCTGCAACGGGCACAGCCGCCTCGAAACAGCAATAGGTGTCCTGCCGTAGGAAACCACCTCGAGGAGTCGATGGTGTACCAAGCACTAAGTACGTCAAGGACACACACTGTTGGGTGCTACAAGTCCCCAAGCTGCTTATTTTAGGTTTGGTCGACTAACGCTGGCCCCAGTATGAGGACGTTGGTGACCCAACCCTAATCCTCGGCAGATGACGGACCCAGCAAACAAGTATATGACCCAAGTGCACAATTGAATGACGCATTGGACACTAGGATGGAAGTCTTAAAGACAGGCGCCCGCACCTTTCCGGGGCAGTGTTCCTTCGCGCAGTGTCAAGATTGTACGGAGCGACTTGGTGGATGCTGCACCCTTGTTTCAGGCTTCCGTGCCGCAGGTACAAACCAGCAGTTGGCCTTGAACAGCAGTCTACAATGATTTTCCACTTTTGCTTGCGAGAAAGTGGTCGTAATGACGGACTTCACTGCGTATGAGCAACAAGGGAGGTAAATGATGGACCTTTCGGAGCTGAGTCACTGGACTTTTCACGACAGGATAGAAGTCACTCCTTGACCCCTGCCGTACAGAAATTGCTCTCAAAACCGCTCTGAAGTTCTTTTCTCGCCACATTTTCATCGGACAACCAAAGTGCTGAGTGCAGCGTCCAGTGCAAGGTATATTCGAGGCTCGCACAGTGACCGTGCGACCTTGTGACGAGACAGAAGCCTTCTTACGAGCACTGTGTTCCAGCAATGGCGTTCTCCACAATGTCTAAACGGTGAGACACGAGAGACGCCCACCCTAATCCTACCTTATTTTGGGGGCCCAACTTCACCCATGTGTACTGGACCCCATCTAGGTCTCGGGTGTGACTCGTTGTTGCTCCGGCAACCAGGCCCTTCGAAACTGGGTTGCTACTGTCTTGCAACAGTGTCCCACACGGTCATACCATGAATAATGCCGATGTATCGCTTGCGGCTGTCGCACGGTCGGAGAACTGCATCTTGTTATATAGATTTGAAGGAGGTGCCATGTTGGGGCGAGGTGAGGCGAGTCAGTCGGTCTTGCGGCTTAAGGCCCCGCTGTGTTTGGATTTTGGGGTGCCATGTCCCGCTTGACACCCCTGCTGTGGACGAACAGGGCCTTCCAAGTGTTGGCAGCAGCCACATGCCTGGCTGCCATGGCCTCCAGCGCCTCAGCAGCAATGGATGCCCCTGTCTACACCAAGTCGGAGGACTACCCTCTGCCAACAGGCCTTGGCAGCTGGGCCTCTGTCATGTCCGAAATACTGCTAAACAGGGTACGCAAACACCTCCCCCCCTGTACATCCTTCCTTTGGATTCCCCTAGAACCTACCTTACGTTGCCACCTCAAACTTGCAGCAGCAAATGACTTCAATGTGCATTTGCACCCGATGTCATGTGGACAGTCTAGACACTCCATCTCAAGGCTTAGCAAGCACTGCACTTCTCCATATTGTGGACACCTGTCCCCAGCACAAGTCCATGCTCCCTCCTGGCAGGCCCACCCAGGACTTGGGACACTTTTCTCTCATTGCTGGGAATTCAATCTTTTGCAACAGCGCAAATTTCGTGCAGTCTTTAGTTGTGCTAATGCAGTGCCATTGCCAGTCATGCTGTAGCACCCAATGGCATATCAGGGCCTGACTTAGCAGAGAACATACGCGATTTCAGGGTGTTGTAAGATTTTCTCGTTCTAGGCCTTTTGTTAACCAGATGACCTCCAGGCAGGTTCACCTATGACACCAATTTTCTGCACAAGCAAGCGTAGCTCTCTTGCCTCGACTGATTCTGGCAGTATGGTATCTACAGGAGGGCGGTGCTTCAGCGGCTGCCAAACAACTGCAGTCGTTCCAGACTATGGTGCAAACGCAGCTGCAGAAGCTGCAGACTGACTTTGCTGCCGGCAAGCCCTTCCCCGACCTCCCGGTCATCCGCGACCTGAGAGCCTTCCAGGTAGGCACTGACCTCAGGCCCCTTATCTACAAGGGGCACATGTAATGTCGTCCTTTATACAGTAGTCTTCTTGCCTCAGCAAAGATTTTCACAGCAGTTGGCTGGCCAGTGTGGGGCCCTTACTGCATTCTTAGCCATGCCTCCATCCTGCTGGAAATTATGTTTACAAATGTCCCCGGCGTTCCTGAATCTGCATCGAAGACAGCAAAGGCCTGCTGAAGGGTGTGAAAGCCCCTACTACAAGTGCAGGAAACCCACCTTGTGTGCGGCTCTGCTCTCACTAGCTTGACCTGCATGCATGTTGTTCCTGCTCACGGTCGCTGGCACTCTTTGTTGTATGTTGTATGTCAACAGTCCTGTCCTATGAGAGCACCCATCAGAGGTGCAGGTGTACAATGCACTTCTCTGCTCTGAGCTTAGAAGACGGCTGTCACTGACACTTCAGTCTGTGTGCGCAGGGCGGCCTCGACCTGAAGCCCGCCAACGTGACAGCGCTGAGCGTGTCATCAGCTTTCATCAACTACGCCCCTTGCCTCGTCAGCCAGGATGCTGTCGGAGCGGCCGCCACCGCCGTCGGACTCAACATCGTGCCCCAGGTCCGCTGCGTTCCCACCCTTGCTGAACGCACAGAAGAATGCTGAGATGTTTAGGGTCCTGTGATGTCCACGGTGGCTGTTTCTTCCGCTGCGCACTCCATGTAGGAGCTGCAACAGACCCACGAAGTTTGCTGCATCCCCCCTTGTGGATGATGCTTAACACAGGGCACTTATTGACTGCAACCTTGCCACTTCTGTAGCGTTGTGAGGTCCGAGGTGCGCGAGCAATGCAGAGTGATTCAGTGGGCTAACATAGCGATGAGTAATACTTTTTTGCGCAGGTGATCAACGTTGCTGCCAAGGGTGCTTCTATCCTGCCCATCGGAATCAACATCAACCCCTCCGTCATCATCGTCAACCCCCAGGGCGCCGCCATCTGGGTAATGCTCGATACATAATCATACATATCCAATGGTCTTCGGCCAAAACCCTAGCAATATGTACGCCATGGCATCAACTTCTGCATGCATTGCCGCACACAAAGCCAAGGCTCATGCATGCTGAAGCAGAGATCTCATACCTGCCTGACGTAGATTTGCAGCAAGTGCACTCACCCACTCTGTCGCTCTGCTCTGTCTTTTGATGTCACATCTGCACCCATTCCTTCAGATGACTGTAAATTAACGGACTCTAAGTCATTCCTTGCATGGAGGTCTTGAGCGGTGCACTTCTGTGTCTTGCAAAGCCAAGACAGCATGTAGCTGACTGACGTGTGTTGTTTAATTACTGTGCAGCCGCGTGGAGTGAACATCCAGCCCACCCTGATCGCTGTGGTGCCTACCGGTACCGCCGTGGCGCCAAAGGGAGTCTCAGTCACACCCACCGGAATCGCCGTCACCGGCAAGTAGAGGCTCAGGCAACAAGCCCGGGCTCGCTGTATAGCTGATGCGAATGCAGTCCTGGCAAGGATTGCTCGTGGCAGCTTCACCTAGAGCCTGCTACAGGACGTAGGACTGATCCCAATGCTAGAATTAAGAGAGTTTGATGGGCAATTCATCAGTGGTTATACAGCGGACAAATCATCTCAGGCGTCCAGATTTTATGAGTGCAAGCTTCAGGAATGTGCCAGTTTGCAGCTCAGACCACCGAGCTTTAGTGGCCTTAATACCCTTTTCTCCTGGGGCGATTAATTTATTTCATTCTTGGGATGCATGGTGCGTCGGGGCATTTGCCGCGCACCCTGCAGTAGATACAACTCGAACACGTGCCGTGAAGAAGAAGTTTCAGGTCAGGCATGTCATAATGCGAGGGATGATGGCCGGATAGGAATCTGCACTGGACGAAATTTTGGATGGCACATGCCTTGGCCCTGCATGCATGCGCATGACTAATGTGAAGCCAGCGCGAGAGAGTTTCTGCTATTTTTACAGAGCGCCATCTTCTGCAAATCTCGATCGTGAGAGTTCACTGGACACGGTATCTTGCTGGCTGGAAGGCACACCAGATTGCGCTGTTGAATTGGACAACACTGTGAGTGCATTGCACCTTTGTCTTCTGGTTGACCCACAGACAGATATGTTGAGGCTTCTATGATACGAGTGGATCTGCTGTCTGCAATGCATTGGTACTGCAGATGGCCATCCAGAGCCGTCTTGTAAGAGCATTTGTTTGCAGAAGTGCACACCCACTTATCGCCTCTGTACCGTTGCTTAGATTAACTTTAGATTTAAAACTTCAGATTAACATTGCACTTCCAACCTGCAAAGCATCGCCGCATTCACATACACAGGCAACCCCCTATCACTTAAGAACTTGTCGCAAGCGGGCTTTTGCCATGGCAGTGCCTCCCATACTTTACATGCACAGTGCAATGCGGACAAGCAATTTCAGTTCAAGAGAACCAGCCATCAACATCTTGTCATCCATGTGCAAATGCGCTGGCTGGCTGAAAATTGGTGTTGAAATGGATGCCTGGGCGCTCGTGCCTCTGTGCAAGTGCCAGCCTGAGACCTGCACCAGCTGCTGGTATGAGCGTTGCGCGCTCTCTTGCGCTCACAGCCCCGCCCACCTCAATCTTGTTGCCAAACCTGCAGACAGAAGCATTTCGCCTGGGCACAAATGCTGGCATTAGGATTGCTGTACTGGCAGGGCCTGTTTTGCTGGAACGTGCCTACAATTCTGAGCACCAGGAGGGGTGAACACGAAGAGGTTCCTTCTTCTTGTCACCCTCGTGTGTCACCCCTGCTGCACCCTGCCACATGGCTGCACTCAGTCATTTTGATAATGACACTGCAATTAGCAATCCCGGGAGTTGAGACTGAGCTACTGAGTTTTATTGGATTCAAGTTCTGAGTTAAACTGCAGACCTGCAGCAACCAATTTGCAAAGCATGCGCACCTGGAATTCTTATTTAAACGCCAATTTTAGATTGACAGTCCCCTGATGCGTCACCGTGTAATGGGTGATTGCAGGCCCTCATACCCCCTGGACCCTATATATAAGCACTCGCACCTCTTCAGAACAGCGAGCTGGTCGATCTTGGAGGGGTGTGAGACGCCCGCAACGATGAGGGCCTGGGTCCGTATACGGCCCCTGAGGATTGCGGACCACTGCGTAAGGAGCTCCGCGCACACAATTGCTGACTCGTAGTGAACCTTCAGCAGAACGTCCAGCTCATCTGCGCGATAGCAGCATTGCATGAGTTAAATATGCACAGGCGTAAGGAAAGCTAGTAGAAATTTGTGCAGGAGTTGGCCAAAGACTTGCCTTGCAAGAGAGTCCTTGTACTGAATGACGCATGGGCACTCCTGCTCTGACAAGACGGTAGCAGTAAACCATGTCTGGGATTTTACAACCCATTTCTTCCCTTTGGATTCCTATTCTTGGTCATGCCGAGAGCTTAAACCCCAAGTCTTGGCACACCAGTCAACCACATGCATGCCCACTTTGCAGATTCAGGAGTGATGAAGGGCGTTGAAGGGCGCACTTGCAGCTTGCCTGCGAACTCAAATTGCCTCTTGTCAGGAAAGGGGCACATTTTGTATTCATATGTGTATATTGAGCGCACCAATGTAGAGGACGCTGGGCTGCATGTTGGCACCAATGTGAAACGCAGCTCGCAGCACCTTGCGAGTTGCGGTGGCGCACCCCTTCAGAGGCCGCGCCTGCACGTAGATGAATGTGGCTCCCGCCTCTTTGGCCAGCGCCTGATCAGAGCCAATTACAATAGATGAGAATTATCTGAGCGCCAGCAGGGAACGTGCAATGTAACGCTTTAAGGGTGACTCAGTGCATCTGTAATGGTGCAATCTGCCGAGCAAGTACCGGGTCAGAACAGCATGTGTGCAATCGAGCAGTACTGCTGAGAAGTTATACTTACCAAGCCCAGGGACTGACAAGTCAGACAACACAAAGTCACGACGCATTCAAAAGCTCAGATTCGAAAATCTTTCTGAGCTAGTGTTAGAGTTAACGACCTGCCAAGAGTTAGATGCCTGAAGGCGGACCCGTGTTTTGTACGCGCATGCAGATGTCCTCATTGATAAGTTAAAGCATTGATTGGAGCATCAAGTATCGTACCTTGGCAACAATTGCCCTGCCGGAGGGAGATGTGCCGCACAATAGAAGACCCCGCCCCTGGCTCAGCAGAGGGCTCTTGCAGAGCAAGGGGCTGCGTAGCGGCCGCACTATATTAGTCACCTGTGCATGCATGACTCACAACTTAGACATAAGGAATCATCCCACAGCATGGATCCTGGATTCCCAAGCCTGAATCAAGCAAATGTGGTCCTCATTGATTATGATAACGGATCTTCACTACGGAGAGGATCTTCACTACAGAAAGGAGCGCTGCTCTGGTGTCTTAAACATGACTCTCTTCCTGCATGCAAGCAAGAAGGACTTTCAAGACACAGCAAATGGGAACAAGAGGCGCACCAGCCAATGCTTCAGCCTGGCACAGCCGCCTACAGCTGCAAGAATGTTCCTTGAAGCGATCTCACGTGGACTGGCCAGCTGGAAGGCGTTGTCTGTCAACGGGCCGATGAGACCCTGCACAGAACGACAGCATCACTTTTGGTGATGTCTGCACTTGCACATAACTAGCATGAACGCAAGGATTCAGCCTGCATAAGATACCATTCTGTCACGGTTCCTTAGTCTCAGAAGGATCTCATTCGAAAAATAATGCCATAACAAGGGACTCAGAAAATTGCAGCTTCATGCCCTTTTGCGCCGGGCTATGCTGTGTGGCACAAAAGGGAGGGGCTTTGGCTAGCAGCTCGATGAAGCAAGATTTGGCATTCTCCAACTGCGAGTGGATTTGAAGGCTTTGGGGAGGATTACTCACCCACCAGGAGCGGAAGGCCTCATCCGTGTAGGCCTGTTTTGAAGACAGCATACCTTGATTCTGGTGAGTCTGCAGACATAGCATTCTTGCTCAACAAACGATGACACAATTTTAGGTAATCAGGCAATGGGCAAAGAAGGAGCACATGCCAGATGAGACAGAGCGGGGAAATAGAAGGTCCTGCCAGGCAACTTTTGAAGGAAATTGAAGACAACCTGTCATCTATTCAGCACTAGGTGGTCTCACCTCATCTGGGTGAACATATGCCCTGAGCCCTTTAGCTGCGATATTGGTGTAATGCCAGTAGTAGTACCCCGAACTCCATCCGGGCAGCTCTGATCCATCCAGCATGATCCGCAGAGCTTCCAAAAGCGCATCCCACTGCCAGGCACGAAACAGCACAAGCCGTGGTCAGTGCTAAGCGAGTCAGCTCAACATCAGCCATTGTTGTTGCATTACAAGCTGGCCACCTCAACCAAGATGGAGAGAGACCATAGAAACGCTGCTGCGATGCACCTGATCCTCATGGATTGGAAATGCGTATAATAATATTAATAATGATCTCAACCAAGCTATGTGCTTTGCTGGAGCAATTACAGGATGCGATTTGCACGCTGTGCAGCTATGAAATGGCAACTGAGCGAAACCCGGTGGCATCTGCACACGCAATTTGAGACTATAGAGACCCCACCTGGCGCCTTGTTCTCGTTGAGCAGCGGTGGCTGCCCTCGGTATTAGATATGTTCTTCACTGAAAGTCTTCTCAGCCGCTTTCTTGCTGCACGTATGAGGCCTTGCAGGCAGTGGTAGTCATCCTGTTGCAGCATGGCACTGTCACCTGCTACTTATGTACCTTGGACACCCAGATTGGAGGAGGACACACGCCAGAAAGTCAAGGTTTCACTTTGGTCCTTGATGCAAGGGTGCTGCTGCAAGATCGTCACCTCGACGATGTTGGCGTACTGGCCAAACACATTGTGATGTGGGACCAGCCTGTGCCTCAAAAGATTCAAGACCGCGACCGTCACAGTGACACCAAACGCCACCGTCACGACCTGAAATCCAGCACACTGGTTTATTCGTGCGTTTTTTATGATAAAAATTCACGTATCATACTATTCAACCTTTTCATTCAACGAGGAGACGCATTCGCGGATCACATGACAGCAAGATCCTAAACGCAATACTTACCTGGCTGGTTCGACGCATCTACGCTTATCTGTAGATATCTGTAGGTATTCCCGCTACTTGCTTGATATCAGGATCGTGGGTGCTGAGAGTTTATCAAATTTTCAAGGGATCATTCAGGTCCTGCTTCTTGGGCATGCCGACCTTAATCTCACCGGACACAGGAGACCTTGACTCGAAGGCCCTGTTGGACAAATTCTGTGTACTAGGACAAATAATTCTTTGCACTGAATGAATAATCCGTCTCGCTATGGATCTCAGTCGTGACAAAAACAGGTTTCGAGGTTTCACTTGGGAGGACCGATGCTCTCTTAGGATCAGCTACCGCTTTCGCTGCAAGTATCACAAGAACGCAGAAAGGCCACGGACGGCCGATCATCGAGATATGATCAGTATATGCGTTGCCTAAAGATTCAAAACTAAATTTACGATTCAGACAAGAATGCGAGGACATTGCAAACCCTATCAAGGTCAACCACCTGGTACCAACATTGAGTAATATCAGAGTCTGGCATGCATCAGTCCATTCATTCCCTTTCAACAGCTTGGTGCACCATCCGTGACAACTATGTCCGTTGGGCCAGAGACTGGCAACCAGCACATGCCACAAAATCGCCCCTGCCTGTCACTCTGCAGAATTTGCATCCAGCTGGCCGCAGCACCCTTACCTGCGCTCCTCCCCCTGCAATCCGGTGCACTTGTCTTTGTTGCAAAGTAAGAGGGAGTATGAGAGTCATCTGCGCTACTCGACTGCTGTGCAGCCGTATCCTCCGCGTGTGGTGTCAAGATCCAGCCCGCCCTGATCCATGCCAGTGGCACCACATGCCATTCAAATGATGCTGCGAATGGCAATGCAAATCAGTCTTGGAATGGTTCAGTAAGGCACACCCACAAGTGCACTGGCTGGGGAATTAAGTGTGCTAAGTGAATTTTTCAGTCTTTTTACACCGTGTGGCACACTGTGGGTACACAGGCTGTATCACAAGCCCAGCACTCATGTGCGCATCAGATCGACTCCATCAAGTCCAAGTGCTCTTGCTGGCTGGAATCTGGTATTCAATCTCACACTTGGCGGATATTGCCTCTGATAGACCGTCATTGATTGAGCTTTCCTAGCTCCTGTTGTTATCAGCAAGGCGCGCCACCTTGCGCCATGGATGGTTGGGCAACATGTGCAGTCCATAGCCCTGCCCACCTGGATCTTCTTGCCAAACCTGCGTGCAGCAGGACACAGTTGCACCGTGTCAGACAAATTAAGGCGTAGATTAACCCTGTAGGCAGCCAAAATAGGTGTACGGACCATGATGAACCAGAATTTTGGGAGTTGCACTTTGTCAACATGAACGACGATGCCCTGCTAAGCATCCTGCTAGAGCATCCCACACACAGCGTGGTCGGTTTTGTTCAGTCTGTCTTCCACCCTAGCACCTCAGATTAGCATGCATGCATGGCCTATAAGACACAAAATTGTACTGTAGTTGACAACTATATAGCAAAGTACTGCAATGGTGAGTAAATCTCTCGTGCATACCGCTTCTGGACGACAGGATCCAGCTTGGAGGGGTGAGTGATGCCCGCAACAAAGAGCACCTCGGTTTGTGCTTGATCGTGCAGCGATGCAGACCATTCAAGCAGTAAGTCATTCAGCGCAATGGCGCCAGCGGATTGCAGATCCAGCAGAACATCCAGCTCATCTGCATGAAATAAATAGCCGCATTCAATATTGATATATATTGCCGCATGTATATTACTGGAACAAATACACCGATCACACCTGGTGCTGTTGACGTGACGGTGGCATGATGTATGATCAATCTGATGCTAGCATCGATCAAGGACAACCACACTTCTACTCTCTCCTGGCATTTGTCTTTTGCACGCCAGATGCATGAACCCGATTCCAAGCATGTCCACATCTTTGATACCTTTTTCATATCTGACATCAAAAGTTCGGTGCCAGAAGGATGTTGACAAACCATCAGATGGTTTTCAGTCAATACTGACATCTTGTCTATACAATGGAGGCGCTTCCAGATCCACAAGAGAGCTGGTGATTTGTGGCGTGCCATGATGCAGGAGGCTAAGGAGAGCAAAAAGCGTGATATGCAAGGGGACGCAAATGCATCCTGTGACGTCGGCGAGCATTTTGGTATCAATCTTGAGTACATTGGTTGGGTTTGGCGCCGTAATCGCTGCCCGGGATGCCTTCTACTCTTGTGCAGCTGCTTGGAATCGAAAAAGCTTTCGAATTCTCCGAGGGAAGAAGGCATGGTCAACACTGCCCTTCCGCAGTACCCCAACTGGGACCGCCGCTCTGATTACTACCAGAGCATGGCTTCAGATACATCATATGAGTATTGCCTCCATGAGCTCGAATTCGAATGAGCCCACATGTGACATTTATAATGAATGCTAGAGGCTGCCACATGTGTGCTGCACCATATTTTGGCAACTGGGCATTGGCCTTTGCTACTTGGCTGTTCGCGGCGAATGTCTCATATTGCCAAGTTGGGCATCACAGCCAACATTGGCGCTATGGGAGCGTCTTTACAGATGAGTTCATGAGGGCATTATGTAATATATTGTATGAGAGGGCGTCCTCCTGAAGCATTGGTGGCCTGACCAGGCGCTAGTTCTCGGAAGTGCAAGCCTGATGGGGGTCCTAAATCGCGGGCTCAGAAAGTTGGTGTCTTCAAAATCCTTCCACGATCGCCAAGTAAGGATCAGTGTGGCAACATTGGCTGCCCAGTGCTTTAAATTTATCTTGTAATTTGAATGTGACCTTGGCAGCGTTGTACATTCAATGATTGATGCGTCAATTAACAATCTGAATGCGGTAGTGCCAATGAGGCTAAAGCAATGCAGGGCTTGCTGATGGGCCTCTATCACGTCTCTGCTTTGGGAGCCCACGCATTTCTGAGAAATCGACCGTCTCTAGAAAATCTCAAATGTTCCTCTTGGCCCCGGGACTTCCTGGAGCAACCCAGCCCTGGAAATTCCCGGGCTTTTCTCCTATTTCTGCAAAATCCTAGGACTGTATTCTCCTGGGAATCCCTAGGCTCGACAAAATTCCAGGAATTCCTGGAAATGTGAAGTTGTCTACTGCATGCTGGGAGCACACCACTGTGCAAAAAAGAATGAAAAAGTGAACGAAAAAAGAGAGGCAGAACGGGGAATCGAACCGGCAACCGCCTTAACTCACGGGAACAACATCGTGCACTGCGAGCTTGGTACAAATGTCACCCTGTATGTCTAACCCTAAATGTCTTGACAACTACGTGTTTATGCTTGCTTATGTACAATGATTTCTGACCCAAAAAATAAGCATTCTCGCCGAAAAATGGCTCTTCGAGAGCTTTTAGCTTCGAAGTACGATGAAGGATAGTTCTTCGACACTCATGGCAGGATCTGGATGCCGCGTGAGGAGGTTTACAGCCGGGACTTTTTGCGCAGTCCCGGAATACGCGGCATCTCGCACATCCCTCGAGTCACGAACACGCTTTGGCTTCGAAACATCAAGAGAAATATTATTGTGGCACATCCTTAGGACTTTAGGACGGAGCCGGGGCCGTAACCCCAGTAGATTTCAATTGATTCGGATTTTTTGTAGCCTCTTGGGTGGACTTACGACTGCGACTTCCCGAGCAGGCGACGGGAACCAGGAAATCTTGGGCCATTCAAGCTTGAGAAGTCCTGTCTTGATGCTTACATCCAGGAATTCCCAGTCTGACCATGCTCAAAATTGCTCAGCGGCAGCACATCCCGGCAATTCCTGCGGTCAGGGGCTCCCAGGATTTCCTAGGAACAAGATCAATTTTGGGAATTCCTTGTGCCGGCAAACCCAGGATATCCCAAGGGCAGGCCGTTTCCCGGGAAAACCGAAGGCTGGGTCGCCTGTAATTTCTTGAGGGTGGGGTAAATCTACAAAATTGTAGCACTAGAATTTCTCAGCTACTCCTGGACGTAAGACTTGCCTGGCGTTTCTTGACATCGGGCGCTCCCAGGATTTTTTAGGAACAAGAGCAGTCCTGGGATTTCCTTGTGTTGGCAGACCCAGGATATCCCAGGGGCAGGCCGTTTTTCGGGAAATCCCAAGGCTGGGTCGCCTGTAATTTCTTAAGGGTGGGGTAATTGCTGGAGATCCCTGGAAATCTAAAACACAGACGGCTTGCATCCCGATACATTCCTTCCTTCCTTAAAACAACTCCCCAGTCGGGAATGACACCGTGCAAGGTCGTGGAACCTCGGATGGACAAACTTATCGCTTTTGACAAGGTAAAATAGTTCCGCAATCTCTCTCTGATTTCTCTTCATCTCGAAGAGAGGTTCTCTTCAGCAAAAAGGCGAGGCTTGAGAAAATGGCGATTCTACGTAGGCGGTATACCGTCAAGCCGGGTTTGGAATCTCAATTGCACTCCTCGCCTGTATGGAAGGAGAGGCAGGGTAATCGTGCTGTCCTGAACGTCCTAACCCATATTTGAATAATGTTTTGTGGTACCATCTCTGTCCATTCCAGGGTTTCAACTTCTCCGTGACGGTGATATCATCAACAAATTCTCGCAATATCTACCTGCCGCACAGAGTCTGTGCGTCTTCATCGCACAGGTCTTCGATAGCACGAAGAAACTAGATCTACACATGCAGCGGCCAAAGCGACCACTGGTGGCACCTCTTGAGATCACCAGATCAACTTCACACCTTTCGAGGCTGTCGTGCCAAGCCAGAGAGCAAACCAATTCGACTGACAACCTCCTGGTCGGAAATTAAAGCCCTCATTTAAGTATCGAACAGTGCTTGGCACAGGCTTACTCAGAGCCATTTCGAGCCAAATCGTGGGCATTTTGTGTCTAGCAAGAATATATATTTTTGCAAGCAATTGAGCGGCAGCACAATCACGCAAATGACAGCCATGGAGCTGCTTCATCGGCTTCAAGCTTCACTGAATGAACTTGCTGCACAGGAGGAGCACTTGCCAGCTGGGACACTGATATAGTGCAGCAATGTGCAGGCTCCAGTTGAATCCACGTCTTCAGCCCTGCATGATGAGGCGTCTCTGGAGGAGAACCATCGCACAGCAGCGGAGATAATCAGGACCGGGAAATTGCACCAGGCAGGAAAGCTCCTGGGGCATATCTTGGATGGATCCGGGCGCATGCAGCCGCCAAATGATGTCATGCGCGCAAAAGTGCTGCACGATTTGGGGTCTGTGCTGTGCAGCCTGCAGAGGGGCTATGAGGCAGAGCAGCTGCACAGAGGAGGCCTGTTGGCGGTGCGCATAACGCTCTTTGCCTCTCTGAAGTGGAATATTTATATTCTTCTCTCACTGTAAGGGACCCAAACATCACTTGCGATGCAATCACTCTCTGGGATACATCCACCCAGGTTGTCAAGCATTCCATGGCCACTACATGTCGGTCCACAAGACACCAATATAGAGTCCAACAATGGGCCAAGGCAATGCTTTATTGGTTCTCTTCGCCACACTGCTAAGAAATTGAATAACATGCGTATTGTGCTGGCTGTAGGAGCTTGAAGCACAGGACCCACCGGCAAGCAGCGCAGCGATTGCGCAGTGCAAGAGGAGCTTAGCGGAGGCCATCATGGCAGAGGTGGCGGCCCCTGCGGTGGGAGGACTCTGCTAAGGCAGAAGAACTCACAAAGGAAGCGCTTGCCCATTTCCAGCAGGAGGCTCCCCTGGACCGCACCGCCCTTGCTAAGATGCAGGCAAGCTGCTCTGGAGCGTGTGAAAATGTAGTTATGTCTGAATCGTGTGCTTGTTTCACCTGTATACCCTGGTTGTCATCACACCTGGCCTGGATCCTGGAAAAGGCTTGTTTGACGGGCTACAGCTTTGTATCTCATTGATTGCAATAGTCTGATGCCGCAGGTGGTGCTAACAGAACTGCCTCACACAAGGATGATCTTGTAGAAGCTTTGAGGGTGCGCTCTTTTCACGGGGCAACAACCGAGCCCCGAATCTACTGTGGATGCTTTTTGCTTTGCTCAAGTAGTGCAGAAATTTGCAGAATATGTTAGGGATGAAACATACCTGCAATGAACTGAACGATCCATGCGTGTGAGGTGCCGATTTAGGGGACGTAGTCAATGGAGCCTCAGTCTAAGATCTGCACCTTACTGTTTCGTTACTGAGTTAGGAGGTGGGAACTGGGTCACAAGAGTCCACCTTAGAGCAAGTGTCGGTATCTGCACATGAGGAAGGTAATGATGTGCACACGTGCTATTGTTCGCCGGTCTTAGGCAAATCAGCTAACGAATTTGCCGCGCAAGAAGCCGCAGATGCTGCCTACATGGGCAGTTCACAAATATTTGTAAGTACAGCAGAGCGCCATTCTAGTCATTATGGGCCAAAGTCAAGCTGCACACGATGTATGTGCCCTTTTACTGGTGCTTCCTTTCTCTGGATAGATCATATGATAGCTTGACAAGCCCAAAATTTTGGATCATGTAATATATCACACCTACGGTAATACCGTATTACCGTGGTGACTATTGATAGTCCTAGTGTCAATATGCGTCATAAGACCTGCCCTGTCATGTTTGGAGTCCAGCCTGGGTGCCTTTAAAATTTCTCCTGGAAGCACTTGTACAATGCACGGTGCGTTTGAATCTGGCATGGACATTGTTGCGCAAACTTGCCCATAACAGCAGACCTTTGGGTTCGGCTTCAAGTATCTGAAATCCTGCCTGTGTTCACACAGGTGCTGCAGGACACCATTGATACATTATCTGCAGAAGCCAAAGCTTGCGGTGACCATAAATCACTGGCATGGCAGAAAGCGAATGACAAGCTTGCCAAGGTCCTTCGCGTGCAGGCTTGTAGCCTGCCAGATCCAGACACAGGTTAAGTTCAAATTTTATCAGAAATAAAACTGATCAACTACAAGTAGCGTTGTCGGTACAATGATCGTTCTTCCATGTTGTCACACAAGCAGTACTCCGGGCAAGGCAGGGCGTGACATCCTGTTGATAACATAGTTAAGGACATCAGCACAGTGCGAGATGTTTCGCCTCAACATGAAAATTCGGGGAGCAGAGTTTCTTAGGAAGGCGCTGGCAATATGGGAGGAGATTCCCTTCCAGCTGATCCTGGATTGGTGTGGATTCAATCCAAGTTGGTGTGGAGCGCTCAAGTCCATTACCTATTGCATCTCCACGTAGAGGCATGTCAATGCGAGGCTAAATCAATATTTGGAATGTCAATTTTGCTTTCGCGAGGTGCCAACCCCGTTGGGGCCTTTTGATGTATGGCGTTCCTTTCTAAAGATTTTGAGAGGGATTATTTTTGGGACTTACCAGTATCTTCTTGGCCCCACAGGGTCGGGTTGATGAGATTTGGAAAGCACGGAAGGAGATCAAAGAAGCTGCTGTGGCCGGCCGCCTGAAGGAACACGCCAAAGAGGCCCTTGAGTTTGTGAACAAAACTTTCTGCAACCTCGGACTTGTGACAGAAGCCCTTGAGCTGTGCCAGTCTGTCATGAAACACCTGCGTGTGCGATTTCTCTGCCCAAAATCTTGTCCCAGTTCTTTCTGCTACATGCCCTCAATTGTAGGCTAGGTTCAGATAGTATCATATAATCCTCAAGCCCGTCATCTTGCTGCATCATGTGCAACTTCTTCCAACAAATTTCAATTCTAGTTTCAAATCATTTTTAGGTGCTTTGGATGCAGGATGACTTCGTGGGCACTGATGACCTGGACATTCTGCTGTGGATCTCCGTGCAATATTTGAATCTCGGGTGCCAGCTTGCAAAGATTTGCACTTTCAACTTGGCGACTATGGTCAGGCTGAGAATTGGGCTCTCGTTGGAGTGTCACTTTTTTCAGGTGAGAGGGTTGAGCGCATGGTTCAAGAGCCCAAGAACGCCTGGGCACTTCATGCCATTGCAGTCTGCCAGATGGAACTGGCCAAAGCCATTTCCCACTTGGGCCCAGACCATGAAGCTATTGACCTGTACCATCAAGCAGAGAACCTCTTCCAAAAACCTGGCGATGTTGACTACACAATGCTAAGCATCTGCATGCAGAGGGTGGCAGCTCTGCAGGGGAAGAACGAGAGCAGGTCAGTCCCACTTTCACTTGATTGACTATGGACCAACCATGATTGACGCAGCCATAAGAGATTGGGTTACCACCGTTGCTGTGCTGCATGCTCTTTCATTTTGGATTTCACTTCTAGCAGGTTCCTGCTAGGCAGCCTGGCTGCGGTACTACCATGCAAAAGACAAGCTAGCAGCAAATGTGCATAAAAAGGATATGTTGGGATGAACATTTGAGGTGGTTGTACTGTGTCCTGGCTGGCGGGGGCCGGTATATATACGGAGCACTGCGCCCACGGTTGAATGGATCTTGCTTGGATCCGGCAAGTCCAACAAGGGGTAGAATTGTGGCAACCGTAAACTGCAGCTTGTCTGTAGAACGCACCTTGCCTTTTGGCAGGAAAAGCGTTTGTTATTATTATTATTTAGGGTTTAGGGTTTAACCTAGTAATATTGCGTCTGCTGGGGTTTATTCTCATCTGATAATCCGTGCAAATGCAGGGAGGAGCTGGCGGAGGAGCTGCAAATTCCCAAGGACAATGTCCTCGATGGCAACAGCGTTCCTGGCTGAGCAATCCCATGTGCAATCTTTGAGCAGCTGAACATTGGAATGAGATCCCATTGGAACCCATAAATCGGTATTGTGTACCGTAATTGCTGATGAACTTTAGCCTCCCATGACTTCTGAAAATCAAGTTAAAGCTTATGCTAAGCTAAGGATTTCAATGACGTACGGAGAAGACAAACTTCAGCACTCTGAAGACTTATATATGATATATCATAAACCCTAAGCCCTAGTATATAGATATAGAATAATCATACGCAATAGATATCTTTTTTTAGCCTCAAGTTGAGAATCTCCAAGAGACTGTAGAACAAATTATAAATTCACAGTAGAGGGCGGCCTCGGCCAAATGTACACCAGTGATAGAAGCCCTGTCGCAAGCAGGCTGAATGCATGCAAATTTCCACATCCATATTAGACTAGAAGTTGTAGCTCACTGATGAGCGGCAGACTTGCGTCTCTGCTTTGGGAGCCCGCGAATTTCTGAGAAATCGACCGTCTCTAGAAAATCTCAAATGTTCCTCTTGGCCCCGGGACTTCCTGGGGCAACCCAGCCCTGGAAATTCCCGGGCTTTTCTCCTATTTCTGCAAAATCCTAGGACTGTATTCTCCTGGGAATCCCTAGGCTCGACAAAATTCCAGGAATTCCTGGAAATGTGAAGTTGTCTACTGCATGCTGCGAGCACACCACTGTACAAAAAAGAATGAAAAAGTGCACGAAAAAAGAGTGGCAGAACGGGGAATCGAACCGGCAACCGCCTTAACTCACGGGAACAACATCGTGCACTGCGAGCTTGGTACAAATGTCACCCTGTATGTCTAACCCTAAATGTCTTGACAACTACGTGTTTATGCTTGCTTATGTACAATGATTTCTGACCCAAAAAATAAGCATTCTCGCCGAAAAATGGCTCTTCGAGAGCTTTTAGCTTCGAAGTACGATGAAGGATAGTTCTTCGACACTCATGGCAGGATCTGGATGCCGCGTGAGGAGGTTTACAGCCGGGACTTTTTGCGCAGTCCCGGAATACGCGGCATCTCGCACATCCCTCGAGTCACGAACACGCTTTGGCTTCGAAACATCAAGAGAAATATTATTGTGGCACATCCTTAGGACTTTAGGACGGAGCCGGGGCCGTAACCCCAGTAGATTTCAATTGATTCGGATTTTTTGTAGCCTCTTGGGTGGACTTACGACTGCGACTTCCCGAGCAGGCGACGGGAACCAGGAAATCTTGGGCCATTCAAGCTTGAGAAGTCCTGTCTTGATGCTTACATCCAGGAATTCCCAGTCTGACCATGCTCAAAATTGCTCAGCGGCAGCACATCCCGGCAATTCCTGCGGTCAGGGGCTCCCAGGATATCCTAGGAACAAGATCAATTTTGGGAATTCCTTGTGCCGGCAAACCCAGGATATCCCAAGGGCAGGCCGTTTCCCGGGAAAACCGAAGGCTGGGTCGCCTGTAATTTCTTGAGGGTGGGGTAAATCTACAAAATTGTAGCACTAGAATTTCTCAGCTACTCCTGGACGTAAGACTTGCCTGGCGTTTCTTGACATCGGGCGCTCCCAGGATTTTTTAGGAACAAGAACAGTCCTGGGAATTCCTTGTGTTGGCAGACCCAGGATATCCCAGGGGCAGGCCGTTTTTCGGGAAATCCCAAGGCTGGGTCGCCTGTAATTTCTTAAGGGTGGGGTAAATGCTGGAGATCCCTGGAAATCTAAAACACAGACGTTGTATGCATGCACTGCAATGGCAATTGCTTTGAAGAAGTGGTTTATGGTTACAGAAGTTGTCAAGTGCCGTCCTGGTCAAGCACACCGTCCACAACATGACCCTGAGGTGTGTGTGTTGCATAGAATTATAGTTCTTCTTTTTATTCAAAGGCACTCTTTCATGCCAGAACAAAACTGTTCAGGACATGCAAGGCCCTCAAATCTTCATTATCATGCGCACCCTTAGGAAGCAATGCTGCCTTCCAGCACAGTATGGCTCAAAACTCATTGCATCTCATCCCTCAGCTCGTCTTCTCTTCAACAAGATGCTGCGTGGCTCTGATTGTCCGCTTTGTCCCGAGCGCAAGCCAATCCCGCAGCCAGAACAGCCCCGACACCAGTCCCACAAATGCAAAGCAGCCCGCAAAGATTCCACCGTACGCCAAAACCGCCCACGGCTGATTCGCGTCCAGGAACTAAAACAGTGCCAGCCACGCAACAAGTATCATTCTCTGTTGTTGGTGTTTTCAACACCAAGTTCAGACATCTTGCCAGAGAATACTTGGTGACTAAGAAGGAGTGCAAGGTATATATGCCTTTGCGGCAGGACAGAGAATATGATGATCAGGTTCACAGAGGAAAGCTGTCAGCCACAAGCGGCCTACGTTGAATGCTGCCAATGGCATGCAGTAAACACCTGCTTGGATGGTGAAGGTAAAGCAGCTGCGCGCGGATCTTGACTGAACAAGTAAAACACCGGCACAAGCTCCTCACAGAGGGCTGTCAAATGATGCGATACAGGAGTTTGGAGGTGCGCACCGGGTATAGCCAGAGGCCCATCAGCCGGAAGTAGGTGAACGACCAGAGGCCAAAGGTGGCCACATAGATGCCGAGGTAGCCCATGAGGTAGGGTACAAAGGGGATGGAGTTGAGGAACAACTCCCCCAGGATGAACGCCATGTTGGCTCCATGCTGCAAATAACAAGCCCCAGAGTGTTCAGTAACACTGTGCTGCCTACTTGGTGGCGTCTTGGAGTATTTAGTAACTTTGTGCTGCATACTTGGTAGCCTCTTGGAACCCGCTCAGCCGTTGTAAGAGGTAAACAGAGCAACGCAAAGACAGGAATGAGAAGATGACACTGAGCTGCGTCTGTACAGCGCATCAGACTGCATGCTTGTGGCAGTGGTGTGCTGCGCTCACCGTGTTGTAGGAGTAGAAGTTGAAGAACATCTTTTCGGCCCAGCGGACCTTGGCAGCATCTGGGTTGCTGCGCAGCATGGGCACCAGGACCAGCCAGGTCAGCGTGTCAACCATCAAAACCCCCTGCATGCACCAGGGAGTCAAAGCAAGCATGATACAAATCTTTCCTATGACTCCACTTGCCGCGAGCACATCTTGACGTTCCGCAGGCTCAACATGTGCCTTGGAGGTGATAAGGCAGTGCAACAGATCCCGTGCTGGCTCCCCAACATTCCAAAGGGTCACACATCTGCACTTTTCCGACTGTAAATTGGAGTACTCTACTGTGTAGATCTACTCAATGCCAAATATGGCTGACTGCACTGCAGAGGGGTCTCACCGCCACTGCCACATGCAGCACCGCAATGACTGCAAACTCCAGCCGATCCACAGTCTGCTTGGCAGTTTTCGGCTGTCTCAAACTCCGATAGCTCGCAATTGTTGCTATCAAGAAGTAACTGGTCAGAAGCCACCATGTCCTGCAGTCAAAGAGAGTAATGTTGACTGCTGCTTCACCGCAGGTCCAGGGTGCAATCATCCCGGAGAAAGTGACAAGTATTTCTGATCATGCAAGTGCGGCAGCACTTAAAAAACTTACCACATGGTGAAGTAAGCAAAAATGTAGGGGCCCACAGAGACCGTGTGGGATACTCCCAGTCCGAAGCACCAAATCAGCAATGCCAGGCGGTATAGGAATAGCCATATTGGAGATCCTGCAAAGCAATCGAAATTTTTGGCCATGCTGCATGGTACGGGACCAATAATGTTACGAAAGGAGGACAGTGACTGCACTTCTAAAGACAACGTTCTGCAGGTGAGGGCATACCTGCACCCCAGCGTGTCTTTATGACTACAAGAGAAGAAAAATCCCAAGCGCCATTGGCACTGCAGGCATCAGCTTTCAGTCAACATTGGTTCTGCAGGCCAGCAGTAGGTAAGAGGCTCCAACCACCAGTCAGCGCACCTTCTGCTGAATGGCTTGATGCGTAGGATGTAAGCTGAAATAACAAAGCCGAAAGCTAGAATTGCAACGATCGATGCAGGTATCTTCGGAGTTTCTGGTTCATGAGACTTAAACAGATCGAACATTTCCTAGGCACCAGGCTATGTCTAACACTTAGCCCAGATGTGAGGGGCAAGGCTTTGAACGTTGTGAAGTGTCAAGTCTATCTAAGACTACTAAAGCTCCTAAGGATGCTCAAGTACATCAGAAGTGCATTGCTATCATTCCAAAAGGCGCAAATTTGTGTGTGTTGTCTCTAGCTTCTAGGCAGGGTCGCGTCATTAGCCCTATCCAATTTCCTCAGGGGGTGCTGAAGACTAGGGTAGTGTTCAGTATCCCCCTGATTTCCTCATTTCGAGGGTCGATGGTAAAATTGTAACCCTCATCAAATCCTTTGGCCGTTGAATTTTCCACTTCGAACATGTCACCAGCGAAATTAACAAGAAGCATTTTTGGATTTTTGTTGAGTCTGAAGGTACAGTACAGGTGCTACTACCCTCAGGGTGCTGAGCATGCTTACAACCCCAGACCCGAATTTGCCTTAAAGATTTATATTTGCCTCAGGCTGGGCTTCAAGGTCAAACTTGATGTCCAAGATCAAAAGTTTTCAAAGTAGAAGTAAGTTACGGTCAAGTGTCGTTGCCACAACCTGTGCACTGCTTTCATGCATGGCAATATGATACATGAAGCAATACTCGCAAATACCCTTATGAAGGTAAATACCTTTGAAGGTGCACATCCGAAGTCACTGGCAGAGTCTGTACACCACATGTGCACCGTGCGCTGTGACAGCTGAGCACGTGCACGATGTGGCAGACTCTGCCAGAAGTCATGACACGGACTGCCAGCCTGAGTGTGCTGCATAATTATTATAAGCTGCCACTGGCTGCCAGCTTCAAGCGCTGCCAGGGCAAGGGCTAGCCTGAGCCTTGCAAGCTCAACTAGCATCTGAATTTGCTCAACTACCATTGCCCTGAAAGCCTTATTGCAAGGCCTGAACATTGATAAGATCCTTTGGGAACGGAACACATCTGTGCATCTGGACCTATGTGCTTGTCCAAGCGTCAATGTCCGACAGCCTGTAAGAGTCTCCGGTACCATGATCCTGCCTCGTTATGCGGACAAAGTTCCTAAACATTTTTAAATTTTAAATTGCAAGCCTCCTGCTGCAGCAGGACCCCTAAAGTTGCGTCACATGAGCCTCCTCCTCAAGCGCAAACAGCCTCTCCTGCAGTGCATGTCCCGTACCACAACTTAATAAAATAAGAGCATCACATGTGATTGTACAATCATATGATGTGCCTCACTGTGCGAACAACAACTCTGTCTTGCCTTATGATCCCTTGACTGGATCTTGCAGGACAATTGTGCATAGAGCAAGGCTAGCTGAGCAGCAGATGAGAACAATTTGAAGTAAACAGAGAAATACACGGTAGGCTCACGAGTGCGGTTTTGATGTTTATTGCTGTCACCCAGAGCTCAATATTGTCACCATGGAATGGGACAATGGCCGCCCATACATCACTAATCGTATGATCTTACAAATTTTAACAGCAGGACCGATGCACACATTGAATGCAGCCGCTGCGTGTCACACGGTGCAGCACACGAATACACGCACTTCCTTTGATTCCTCTCGTTACAATACTCTCAATGCATCTTCAAGGGTTTAGGGTTATATAAGGGTTTTTAATCATATAATGTCACATGCACGGTATACATGTAGAGCGCACGTACCAGGTACCGTGTGATGCTCTGCCGCAGTGCAGCCTGCACAGTGACAGCCACCCCCCAGCGCCAGGCTGGCAGCGACTCAATCTGCCGCAGCCGCACCTCCTTGGCAGCTATGGTGCGCTCGCATGCTGTAACCACCTGGAAAGCACGGCATGCATATATTGCCGTCAGATGGCAGTCACAGAACATTCATTGTTCGCGTTTAGAGACATAAATATGCTCCTCACGCACTTCGAGTGAATAGGCAGCTGCAGAATATGATAGCGATAGCATGCCTCCCTTTTGTGAAATCATGGTTGCAGGCGCAAGGTGAGGTCCCTGCATTGGTCAATTCATGGGGATACTGCAAATTTTGCCTGAAGTATTGTCCGCTGGGCCTGCCGGTGCTTAATTTGAGCAGAGCAGGATCGCACTTGCAGCCAAGGATCAGTAATTTGAATGGCAATAGCAATTAGTGATGCATCACCTCGTTGCTGATGGGTGGCAGCGCTGTATTGTGCTGCATGCCGACGGCAAGCATGGCCAGCAAGTCCCCAGCCCTGCAGCCATGCACCCACAAGTCATCTGGCTGAATTTCCCACTTCCCAGTGCCACTGTTCTGCCAGATGAGTGCATATTGTTATCTTGTGGCCGCGACTTTCCAGTAGATATGCACTCGTGCCACTCAAGATCCGTTTCTGTTCTTTTTGATTCAGTGTTGCTTGCATGCACGCACAGAAGCTCTTTTTCTGCCTCTTTCCCGAAGAAAATATAAGTGGAAGGCATTGAGGCAATTGAACATTGGCATGAGTGCGCTTGCACCTGTATGCAGCCTCCAGGTCAGCAATGCCCTCGCGCGCAAAGCCGCTGCCGTCGCAGGGCTGCAGCTGTAGGAATGCAGCAGAAGATGCTCTGGATCAAACTCCCACTCACTCTGTCCGTCTTGCTGTTGGCGGAACTTCCCCTACTCCGGCTGATGTTGCCGGTCTGATCAGCTGCGACTGCATCGCTCCAGGGCGGGGTTTGTGTGAGGGGAGGGAATGGGCGGCGGACCAGGATGTGGGCAAAATCCCTGCTGAACACCTCGGAGTAGCGTGCCAGCCGTGCAGGCGCCTCTGCCAGCTCAGCATCCAACTGCCTGTCCTTGTGCAGCAGCTGCAACAGCCTCGGGTCTCCAACCTAGCACAGTGTAAAGAGGACACCGTTATTGTCTGCTATCCCAGACATCTCAGGCTGAAGGGCCAAATGTAGAGCCTGCACTGCACTGCACTGCCCGGCAGGGGTGGTAGTTGGAATTGGACAGTGGGCATAGCAGTGCAGAAACCACAGTTGCCAAGGTGAATTCACAACTCATAATAATATCTAAAGTTCACAGTCGATACACTGCAGGTTCCTCACCGCATTGTCAGCTTCTTTTTCATCACGATCGAGGCTGGTGTTTGGTGGGGCTGGTATGGGATAACTCCAAATAAAGTCCTGCAATATGCAGATGCAATCTTGTTTCCCTATTTGAAACATTATTCTCACCAACGCCTGGTTTTAGCTGGTTGGAAAGCAACGGTTGTTTACAGACCTTGTACGCAAAATATTTACTGTCAATAGAATTGACTGTCAAGGCTATACCTCGAAGCCTGGCATTTTGATCTTGACAGCCAAACCTCCTGGACGCCGCCTGTATGCTCTCCATATCAAGGCCAGGCCCCCTGCAGGGAGGATCCAGTGGAGTTTATCCCAAACGAGCATTCCAGCGTGGGAAATGGTCTCTGGCAGAGTTTGAGGCTCAGGAAACGAATCAACAAAAGCTACCGAGATACGAGGTTTAAATTCAGGTTCCATACGCACACAGCTACCGAATAACCTTACATCGTGCGAAGGTCGTGTTAAGATCTTAGCAGCCTAGGATAGGCACCCTGTTGCTGTCAACCTCGTACACGTGCGGTTGCTTCCAGATAACAGTAACTTCTAATATTGGTAAGCAAGGCAATGTGAGGCCATGTTCATGAATGCGGTTGCCATATGCCCAAATTGATGCCTGGCATCTGACCTTCCAAAAACATCCTGAATGTATACCTGCTGTTTCGAGAACTCACTACTCTGTACAGCATCTGAGAAATTGTTGGGTTGCTACAAACTTACAAGGTATTGAGTTGGGTCTCTTTGATTCTCGCCGACCAGTTCCGGTTGATCTTTACCTCCTTTCCTTCAAAATTTTACCGCTCACTTATGAGATTGTTTTTTCCAGAACCCTGGCAAAGAGCCAAGTCCTGATCATCTTGCGCTTGTTTCGAGGCAATTTATGTATGATAGGTCTGCGACCTGTAAGTGACGTATAAAATGTATGGCTGATATTTTCTGTGCGCTCGCTTGCACCTAGAAACAGGTGCTCCTCAAGGATACGCTGTGCACCATGTACATGTCTGCAAGGGTCAATAATCGCTGCCTCTGCCGGGTTTTTTGTGGAGAAGAACTTCTGTCCCTGAAAAGTCGAGAAATTTTCAGGGACAAAGCGTGTCAAAAAAGCGTTCATGGGCGCGGTCCTTGCAACGGTCTTCTCGGCTTGTGACGTATGTCACCAGGAAGAGGTGGCGGCGAGGGAGGCAGCTGTGAGGAAGGCGGAGGCCAAGTGCGCCGCGGCCGAGCAGAGCCTGAAGGAGGAGCGCAGCAAGGAGGGCAGCTTTTACCAGTACCAGCAGGTGCTGTCACTCTGCATATCCTTTCTCATATGTGACCCAAAGAAAAGGTCTGCTTGATCTTTTCAGAAAATGATGAAAAATGTGCAACACTGGGCCCGTTTAAGAATATTCTGCGGGTGTCCAGAGACTATGCTCAGAAGCACTGGGGTCCTCAACACACGCCTGTGATGAGCATATGTACAATGCATGTCAAGATCGCCTGAGCAAAAGGGGCTAGAGGGATGATCTGTTCAGCACAGCATGCAGTCACCGACTGATGAGGCCCATGAAGATTGACGTTTTATTTTTAAAGGATCACCACTTAGTAACATTGTGTGCTAAATGCACAAGATGTTGTGGCATGAGCAGGAGATCAAGCACCTGAGGGCGGAGGTGAGGACGAAGGAGCAGGCACTGGAGGATTACTCGCGCCAGCTGGAGGCTGAGAGGGCCCAGTTGGAGGAGCTGGAGACCTCCCTCCTCATGCAGGTGGGAACCTTTGTTCCTGTTCATTGCCCATAGCTTTCATGTCAGCTGTACATTACAGTGTTACAGGGCAATTTCTAAACTGATTTGAGGTGTGTGCAAGGCCGCAGAGTGCTGCTTTTGCCACATGTACAATACGTACAGAGCTTACGATGTTTCTTTTCCTGGCTCTCTGAGCTGATCTGGCAGGTCATGGGGGACAAGCTGCGCCCCTTCGGCGTGCATTTCTTCAGCACACCGGGGTGGTCCTTTGAATACAATGGGTGATATTAAATACCCTGAGGTGAATAATGCGCAGGGCTCCACCAGGGAACGCCGCTGAACCTGGTGCGCGAGCAGCTGCTGCTGATCACACACAGAGCGATGGCCATTCGCTCATCGCCATCCAGAAAGGCTGCAACGTTCCTCTACCTTCCACCAACACCTCAGCACCCCCGCATCACCCCCAGGCCTACCGCCCAGGCACGCCACGTGATCTGCACATGATCATTGCCATGTTGTGTCTGTGCAAGTTGTCCTTCAGCATCTTGTCCTCAAGAACCAGGCTGGTCAGTGAAGGACGCTGCGCACAGGCGCAGAAGGGCAGATGCCCAACTGCTGTCTGAACTTACTGCTGGGCTCTCTTGCAAGCCTGCATGCCTTAGTGACCCCACTGCAGATGCAGTTGCTTTTATGTATGGCCGAGGCGTGATAACATTTGCATTCTAAAACTGGATTGTCTATTGCAGACACATCGGAAGCATGATAGCGCCCGGGCAGCAGGAGGCCAAGCACCAGAGTGTTTGAGGAGACCGTACAGTGTACAATTTTGTCCCAGATATGCAGCTTGCATCTTGTGTGGCTTTCTTAGCATGGCTATTGGGCTGCCAGTCCTTGCCAGTGTACACGTGTGCGGCACATGCCGGCAGGTGCCGGGAACTTGCTGCCCTGTCAATGAACCTTTTGCATTGTCATGATTATGCTGTGCTACTTGTATAAGGAGAGTAAGGAGAGTGTAAGAGATTACTACAGACCCCAGTATGCACTGTGCACAGTGACCCGTGTCTCCTCAGGAACAGACGTAACTCAAGGCACGATCGTCTCTGGGAAAAGCTGGGGTGTTCCCCACGACTGGGGATTCCTGATCAAAGTGATCCTGGTAAACCTCAGCATCGGTATTCCCGGGATATCCTAGCATCAGGTGTGAACTCGGGATTTCCCAGGCACGATAGCGCTCGGGATTTCCCAGAATCGAGAGCGAAGAGTGTGTTTTCCCAGTCGCAGGAGAATTCCAGGGATTTCTCAGGCTGCCAAAACACAGACGTGTGACATCACCGAGCAGAAGGGGAACGACGACTTGTTTCCTCTCAGTGACAAGCTTTATTTCCTGTCTGTACATGTGTATTGCAGGTGCTTAGCGAGATATGGGGCCCCTGGCAGGCCGATGTCGTTGCCTTCGTGGAGGTGCAAAGCTTGGGAAAAGAGGCGTCTAAGGAGTTCGTGCCGGGAATAGTGGAGGTGGCAAGGGAATTCTCTGCTATTCTAGCAGAAACAGAGCAGTAAAAATATAGGTAAGGGCAGGTCGCTGTGGGCTCCGCAACAGAAACAGGTACGTTCAACATCGCTTTGGAAGGCATTCTCTGTGGCCCCCTCGTTGGTTGGTTGTCACACAATAAAGGGCCCGACGCCGACTTCATTCGTTTACAGGCAAAGCGAAAGACCATGTGGTATTCATGCGGGACACAAGGAAATGGCCTACGTACAAGCAATCGTAGGACGTCACCGAACTTCCCAAGGGACTTGCGTTCCCCAAATTCGAGCCTTACACCAAAGTTTGGAAAAGAAGTGATGGAAAAGACGGGTATGGCCCTGTAAGACGCGTTGTGGGAAGTGCTGTTGACGATACACGACGCAAAGCATTCGCGATTCGACTGGTACGATGTTCCTTTCACCTTGGCAGGCATCAAATGCAACGATCACAACATACTCATTCGCACTATTCACCTATGCGGCATTAGTTAAGGTTGTATGACGGCTTTAGCTTCAAGATCATTATGATAAGCTGGCAATGACTTATCATGAGGTAGTCTCTCAGGCTGAGAGATTTTTCAAAGGAAGTTCTAGCAGTGTGCTTGCCAACATCCGCCAGATCTCCGATGGATTTGACTTGTTACTAACCAAGTAGCGCTAATAGCAATAGAACTGTACTAAGGCTTAAGCAATGGTTTTACTGGTTTGCAGGTCTCTGCGCAAGGTGTTTATGATGCCAATCCGGAACTGGTGGAGATCTACGCTTTCCATGTACCATCCGAGTCCATAGGTGTCGACATGTCCCCAGCTTGAAGCTCAAAGACATCGTGCAGAAGTTGGGGTCCGGCACAGATCTGCTTCGTGAAACACCTGGATCAGACATCGCGCGGTTCTCTATTTTTGCTGGCGACATTTAGTTGAAAAGGTTGTTCATAAAATCCAAAACTGCATGGAAAGAGTCCATTGCACCGGTGAGACTTCTTCCTGAGATAAAAACCGTGCATAAATCACACTGATAGTTTGCCTGGCTTGAAATAATTCAAAAAGTTTCACTTTATATGGAACAATCTCTTTTGCATGCATGCGCAATCACGCAACTTGAAGTTTCAACTGAATGCCATTCAGTTATGACAGCAACATCATTATGAGGATAATAATGAGTTCTAAAGTTTTTAATAATAATTACTTTTGAATCATAGCTCCTCGATGCAAACCCATGAATTATTTTTCTTGAAGCTCTTCCTTGCCTGCGGTTTGAGAAGGACGGTTCCAAACAAATAAGCAGCCATCAACATGGCTTTACGCTAGTTCCAAGTTATGGACCTTTCAATGTGCTTGCTGGTCTTGAACGCAAAAAACAAATTGTATTAGAGGGAAAACCTCTCAAAAATTCTGATATCCCTCTGATATATATACACAATCGTCACTGAACCTATTTTGACGTCAGAATGATGTCGAATTTCCATGCATATCAAGCAGACATCGATCTTCCCCTTTGGCCGACATCAATTGACGTTGCTAGCCCATGTCAAATCGATGTAAAAAGGACATCAAACAAGGGTTGTTGAGAAGAGCGCAATTAATCATCATTTGATTATGATCATCATTTGATGTCAAATGCATGACAGACGATGTCAAAAGCATGTGCATGCATGCCATTATTACCTTATGGATGTTTTGTGTCAATAGATAGGCACTTGACAACAAGTGATATCCAAATCACATCATTACACGCAATGCCTTGTGTACATGGTTTCACTGTCATTTGATATCATTCTGCTGTCATCTGATACTCCACATAGATCCTAGCTGATATCACCACTGCATCACTTGACCACATAATCCCATCTTCTGACACTCTTATGTTGTATCCGACTTAAAAGGAAAGATGGACTTGTGCTGCGCACACAAGGGGTCCGGTGATCAGGCTCACATGATAACTCACACTCTGTTGCTTCAAATTGACCATGATGGTGCCGTTCACTTCTTGTGCTGCTTTGACTTCTTTGCCTTCACCACCAGGGCAGTCTCGTTGATGCCAGATCCTGCTTTCGCCAGGAAGCGCGTGTGGGCCGCCCTGGGAGGACCAGGCGGGCGCAGAGCACCGTTGCGCGTTTGTGCGCTGGCTGCGCACGGCTGAGGGCGCGCAGCTGCCCATGCAGCGCCTACAGTGGGCCACCACCACTGCTGTGAGCGGCGCCACCATCCCCTGGTACGATGTCATCGACATCTGCACCATTGAGCGCTTTGTACTCCTGCAGCCCAACCCGACCAAGGCTGGGTTCTTTTATTACAACAAGTATGTCGGCAGATGAATCCTGGCTGATGAGAGCTTGGGCATGACTATGGGTGCCTCGGGCGCGGTTTGACTGGCGTGCATGCAACAACGAATCTCTGGTTGTGCATGTGACGCATTGGAATAAAGGGGTGTTGTCTGCTGGGGCGCTGTACACATGTGACATTTCAGGGAAAATTTGATTGATGCTTTAATTTTGCTTTCTGAAAGCCATGACCTTGCCACGGCCTTGATCAGTGATCAGGCGCACGAAGAACCCTTGAACGATTTCTTGTGGCAATAGCACAACTGACAGTGTCAGCTACCGCATTTTCTGTAGAAAAGCCATAATGTGCGTGTCACCAAAACATCTGCAGGAGCGCCTTGTAGAAAGCAGCCCATGTTAGAGGTGTGGTTCCGTTTGCTCCAGCTTGCTTCTGTTCATGACCTGCCAAGAAACAATCCACAGCAAAATTAGAAGTTTTTCCCTGTCTGCAAGCTTGGCGATGTTCCAGGTGCCACCAGTGCCCAGGGACTAAGGTTACGGGCCCAATAGTGAGCTTGAAGAACGACAGCACCAGTGTGGATATTGCATTGATCAGCGTGATAGCTGGCTTGTGGCTCTCAACACAAAGGCAACACTGCCAGGCTTGACAGTGCTTAATTGCAGCTCTTCTTGTTCAAACTCAGATCTGGACTTGACAAATTTGCTTCAAATTGCCAACAAGTTGTTCAGCATGTTCCACCAACTGCCACAGTGTGCACAGCTACAGAAGATGCCCGAGACACTCAAAGTCTAATCAAACTCTGTATTATGAAGCTGGCACTTGTTGCAGTGTACAGGAGACATACCTGACAATAATGCAGGTCCAGTGCTCCTGCCCAGGGGCACCCCATCAGGTCGTCAGGGGTGCACCTCACTTCAAAGTATGGCTCTGCCAGCATCGTGCATCATGGCATGGTGGCACCCCTGGATCGTCCGCATCGTCTGAGTCGTCTGCAGCTGCCATATTCTCCTCTGGTTCTGCATCTGATTCGTCTGAGTCGTCCATTTCATCATCTGAGTCGCCACCGTCATCTTCAACCAGAGGGGCCAGGCCAGCACGCCGCTCCAGCTCTGCCAGACGCTGTTCGACATCCGAGAGACGAGACCAGTAATTCTGATTGGTCTGCAGTCGGCACATAAGCGTCAGAAGGCCCTGAACACCGTTTGGGGGTGATCTTGTCATGCCTAAGGTCGAGGTGTCAAGGGCACTATCCATCCTAGCATAGTGCAACCGAACGGGACCTCAACCTGAACTTGTTGAACCCGGGTTAGGGAGAACACAAAACGCACCTTTATGAAGTACATAACCGTAGTTGTGAAGCCAAAGAATCCAACGCACAGCGATATCCTCTCCTGTCTCGTCAGTACTCCTGTCATTGTGAGCTTTCGCCGAATCGACACAGTCAGGCTGACTCCCACTGGAAGTCGGGACTTCAAGAATGCTTGCTTGATGGGAATCACAACAACACTGGAACAATGGGTCCAATAGAGATTTAAGCGCTTTTAAAGAACCTTACTTTGCCAGCTCGAGGCACTGACCTTGATGCCTCGGGCAAGAAACGAACTGGCACCTTCAAGATTCCTATTTAGGAATCGCCTCTCAGAGTCTGGTAGTTGACAGGTATCCTCATCTGCCTTATCTGCTTGGGCAAGTTCGTCCTGTGACAATCGTCCTTTGCATAGCATTGGACAGGGTCACAATTACAGGCATGGCAGCTCCATCTGGATGAATGAAATGCCCAGAGTCCACCCTTCCATGTCTTGAGCCATGTGCGCTGTAGTCCTGGGTCTCCCATGCTGCCGCTTCCTTAGCATAGTCGTTCGAATTTGTTGTTATATTTAAATCTGTGCTCAATGATACCGCGTGCCAATGCAATCATACTAGCAAGCTTGTGTCCTGCTGGCATAACCTGGATGTCTCCATAACCAATGGTTGTCAATGAAGGCTGTGGAATGAACCACCAATTATTGCAACCTACAATGTTAGTGGCTGTGGCTGTGGCTAGGATTGCTGCTCATCTGCCAGCAGCGTTGGATCCTTAACAAAAATTTGTGCACCTGCAAAAAAGTATTGTGCCAGAGCATCAAGCGCCCACATGGTCAGATTTGCCGGGAGCGCTGAAACATTGTCAGAAATAGTCTTTACGGAATGAAGTGCTGAAAAAGACACTGCTTGCAAGCAAGTTACAGGGGAACTATAGGTTATACGGGTTGGCAAAGTCCAGCGTAGAAAGTACGCATGGCTTGGTGGGTGCCAGATCTTAGACGATGGGTGCAGAGTATGAGCAAGAACCCTGAAGGGACAGTTCCCGGAACAGTTTCCATCATGGGCCATGATGGCACTGCCACTTTTTCAATTCAAGCATATAGGAAACCGGTTGCAGCAGTCTTAGCTAGTCGCGCATGCGACACTACGGTGTACATGCAGTGTTCATTTCCACTCAGCGCTCCACTGCTGATTCCAAGTTGGCCAGTCAAATTCATATGTGGGCTCACGGTGACTCACCTCGGAGGTGAACCAGATGTTGTGAGGCGCATGCGCAGCCCCTCGAATGGGGACCCCATTAATGTAAGCCTGATCCTCAGGACACGTCCAATCTTGTCCTTCATGTCCTTAATAAAGTCAAAGTGCTCTTCAGTCAGATTGCTGCATTGTAATGAGAAAATTTTCCTCAAGAGCGGCCCAGCCCCATCTTGTCCAGATCAGCTCCCGAGCCCTGATTTTTTTTGTTTCCTCTTCTTTTTCTTTCTTTCTGGTATTTCTTGCCTGGCCCAACTCATTATACCTTGAGATCTTCAATGAGGTGAATCCAGCTGACTTTTGGAACTTTGTGTGGTGCATCAGCCAGTCTAGGCAACTCAGAAGCGCCAAGGGGAGTATAATGTTCTACAGCTTGGAAGCGCAGCTTGAGCTCAACTGACTCAGCATTTGCATCAAGAGTCTCAGAACACATGATCTCGAATCCTGATTGTTCATGAAATCCTTTAAATAGAGAACACCTACAACCGCTGCACAACTTCTTGAGGTCCTTCTGTTGAGAGAGTGTCAGTGTCCGTCCTGCAGGAGAACTTGTCTATAAAGTATTGCAGATATGCAGGCCCTTGGTCCTGCGCATCTTCTTGATCCTAGAGAAGCTCAGAGGCTGAATCTTGCTGTGCTGAAGCGTATCGACTCGGCGACTGAGCAGGTGCATAGGAAGTAACAGGGCTGATCTAACTTGTTGTCACAGCCATGTCTTGTAGGATTTTGTTTTGCAGTTAGTACAGCATGCAGCGAAAACTTCTTCTTTTGCGATTAGAATGTGCTACTGCAGGTGCTAGCTTCGGCCAATCATGTTGCTTTGTATGACTTTGATCAGGACGACAGTCGCTGGGTGCGCCTCAATTCGCTTTGAATCCACCCAGATTCTTCACAATATATGCTTTTCGTTTATTTTCAGTGCTGTCCAGGTTGAAATGTTTCTAAAATCAATCTTGTGTAACTGCAGGTTCGCAAGGACGTGGAGGGATCACTTTTTCTCATAAAGCGCAACGTTGCACCGTTGTATCAGATCATCATCCTGAACAAGAAGAGCCAACGTAAGTTTAAATGCAGAATTCTCAATAATAGCAAAGCCACCCACTGTGCTGCATGTCACAGCTTGCCTGCCACCCTTGGATCTGCCACTCTTGATTTCATGCTGCAGAAAACTACGTTGAGGATGTGCTGGGGAACTTCCAGTTCGAGAAGTCCAGACCATACCTCTTGTACCGCAACCGCAAGGACGAGGTAGGCCACCCTTGCACTGAAAATGACTTCCAGCCACTGCCTGATCACTGCGCTAGTCTACTGTTTCGTTGGGATGTTACATGCCGCTTTACTGCATAACTGCATTTGCCTATTCATGGAAACCAAAACTATCCCTGCTGTTTCCACTGTGGACAGCATGAAAGGTACACATTGCTGCAGGTGGTGGGGATCTGGTTCTATGAGGAGGAGGAGGCTGACAAGGTGGAGGCTGTGCTGGTCCAGGTCCTGGCTTCCTACCCAGGCAGCCCCAGCGCTCCTCAGCAGGTGCGCCCCATGGTTGTGCCACCCCTGCCTCGAGCAAAATGCCATTCTTATTTGCACCAGCAGCATGATCCGCGCAGACTACTAGCCGGCTCCCTGCATGCATTTGAGCGCAGTGACAGGAGCCTTGCTCTTTAGTGGTCCTCCTTGCTTCAGTTCATCCTCTTGACAGGCAGATATTGCAAATGACGACTGTGCAATCAAAGCATTTTCATTGGAATATTCTCATGCATCTCACGCCATGTGGCCATTGATTGTGCTGACATGCAGCAGGTGCCGGAGCAGCCCGCAGCCTCGCACCCAGCTGCAGCCGGGGATGACTCCTTCTGGGGTCAGCGCGCCCCGTCACCGCCGTCCGACTTCGACCCTTTTGCCGGCCGCGCCGCTGTTGCCACGCCCTCCTCTGCGATCATAATGATGACCCCCGGACCCCCCGCCATGACCGCCACGCCGCCCAAGTCCCCCGGCAACTTCCTCAGAGGTGCGCAGCAGACGGGCGCAAGTTTCTGATGACTGCTGGCGGTACTCTCAGGGGCCTGGGTGTGTGCATGTGAGAGGAGAACTAATTACTACCTGCAGGGTGATCTGCCAGTTTGGAACTCTGTCAGATGAAATGAGGTCCAGCCGATGCACCCACGCTCATAATGGTAGAGATCAGCGTATGCTCAATCATAGCCCCAACCTGAACCGTCAGAAGCCACGAATATTGCAAAGTGGTCCCTTAGGAAAACACCCCACGTTTTGACAGCGTTACTCCGGCGTCTTTAGATCCTGGAATGGCAGCTGCCTTCATACGCGGAGATTCACCGTCTGTAAGGGGCAATATAAGGCTCCTTCTGGACCGTTGCATGCCCGTAGGTGCTTGGAGCTCTAAGGAAACCCCAACACAATGCCTGCAATGACTATGTTTAATCATTGAATAAAGAAGGGCTTATCAACTTCATGCGCGCAGGAGTGAATGGGCTGCGGGACGGCAGCGTGATGACCCCGGAGCAGTCCAACCTGGCCAAGCTGCTGGCCAACATGAAGGTGTCATCGGGCTCCTCCGGGGGCGCGCTGCCCACTCCCAGCAGCGCTGCGACCGCCTCCACGCCGCCGCCGCCACCGCCGGGGGGACCCCACCACTCCGCCTCCACCTCGGACCTGCAGCGCCCCACGCTGCTTACCCCAAAGTTCTTTGCCGCCCGCGCCGCGCCCTCGCCCACTGCCTCCGCGGTGAGTGCCTTGAGGTTTCTTCAGCTACAATCACAACCTTGTGGACATAGTAGGATGTGCAGCAGAAGCTTCAGCCCAGGAGTAGCGATTTCTGCAGTTGACAGTTTTGATCAGGAAACTCATGTGCTTTGGGCAGTTAGATGCGACAAGTAATGCGCCTCTCACAGCTTAATCGGGCAGCAATGTTGCCTTTATATTGGTGTCCTTGGCCAAAAATCGTGCTGCGTGCACATGCCAGAACCTGTCTGGAGGCCTTCTTATGAGCGCTTCTGGATATCTGCGCAGGCGCGGACAAACGGCGGCAGCAGTGTCATTGGCCCGGAGGAGGCAACGCTGTCGGAGACGCGTGGCAGCACCAACCCGGACAACTCGGCGTCGTCGGTGCAGCGCGCTCTGTCGGACCCGCTCTCCGCCACATCAGCGCTGCCGGAGCCTCAGAAGGGGCTGATGGAGGACACCTCCCTATCGCGCTTCTTCCCCTTGTAAGTATTTTGTACCCCGTGGCGGCTACCCCTTCGCATTTTGTCAGGGAGTACAATACCTAAAAACGCCTGAGAGATGTAGTCAGATAGGATACCTCCTGCAATTGCGAATGTCTCTGGATCCTGAGTTCCATGTCCTGGAGAATGCAATGGAGACATGGATGGCTCTGTGTTCCTCTGGGCCATCCACGTGTCTTTCAGTCGTGAGCCAGATCTGCCCCTGATCCTTGGCTTGTGGTGGCATTTTAGAAGCCAGCAGGGCCAGCACCTGTGCATGAGTGCCTGTTTTCGTCCCAGCATTGCTCCTTGCTCGTGATTATGGGCTCCCAACTGCTGCGTGTCTCAGTATGCCCCTGCTCTTCTGGCTGTCTGTATGGAGGTCAGGGCTTTGCCCGGACCCTTGCTGAGCGGGATTGCTGCTGTGCAGTGTCTTACGGCAGGATTGAGGAATGTTAGAGAGCATTCCTGTATGGTAAAAAATCACGGGGCAGAATTCATATTCGGTTGCGCTGCACAGGGCCGGACTTGCTGGAGCGGCAGGGGCATCCACGCCAGCATCTGCATCAGCAGGGAACGCTGTAGCACAGGCGGAGCCGGCATCGCCAGCTGGCGGCCAGCGGGAGCGGCTGCGGCAGGCCATAGCCGCGCTCGCCAAATCAGACGTCTTCCTGGACTTGCTCGCCAAGGAGCTGTCCGCCGCAGGGCTCTGGCGCTGATGTCAGCGCGCCACATCAGCTGACAGCTCAGTGCTGCTGCTGCTGATGTCAGCGCGCCACATCAGCTGACAGCTGCTGCTCAGTGCGCTGCTGTGTGATATGAGCCGCTGCAGAATGAACGGTTTTTTGTGCTGTAGCTACTCGAAGATGTACGGGCAGGCATGTGTGGCAGGACAGGTGCAAAGCTGCGTCAAGGGGTGTCAGGCCGTCCATCTTTGGAACAGTAGCAATTTCTCTGATCTGTCATGCACCACGTCCCTTTCAGAGAAGTGAGCAGGCGATGAGCAAACCCCTGCAGCTTGTCATCAAGTTTGCTGAGTGTTATGAGACCTCCTGGGTTGTTTTGGAGCGATTCGCAACAGCTGTGCATGTGGATGTCTGAACCTGGCTGTGTCAGTGGCCGATCGGCCCTCTTACGTATACTTAAATAATATCCCTGGGAATGGAGTCTGTGTCTGATGATAGCTGGGCCAATCGGGGCTAGTTGTAGTGCACTGAAGGAGGCTGCACCAAATCGATTACATCTACTGCAGCTTCATTGAGTGACGAATGGAGGGAGGGACATCCATTGTCCCGTCTATTTTCAGAGTGCTGCATCGACAACGGATGCGGTCTGGACCTAACTGGCTTTCTTTCAGCTACAGCACTCTGCTGGATGCTGATCTGGAATCTGCTTTCCAGCGATGCGTGAGAATCCCTGTAGATATTTGATGTGCGATGGTAGTGTCTGGCATGTTCCAGCCAAAGAGATTTTGTTGGTTGGTGTTGCTGCCATTTCTGGGCACTGTGGTGTGTGATGCCTGCTTGTGATAAGCATAGTGCTGGTGTGCTAAGGATCTATTCTCTGATTAACGCATGGCAAAGGCAAAGTGGAGCGTGTACATAAGGCACAGCATTGCGACTGAAAGGCGAGATGCTCTATGCATTGGGATTTTGCATTAGTTTGTCCAATGTGAGGTATGAGGCGTCCTGATATGCTAGTGCATGGCTTGTGCTAGAGCTTTGCTCATGCAATGGCTTTGCATTTATATTCCATGGGCATGACTTGTCTAGGCATGTGCATACAGCTCCTCTTCTCCTTTTTACACGTGTAATCTTCCCATCTGATAACCCAGTCGGCTCGACTTCACAAATCAACACAGCGCAGGCCTCTGCCCCACCGATACACTCCGCAAACAAACATCTTCTGTACAGCTTATCACACATACACTGCCGCAGCCCCTCTCGAAAGTGATCTTCTCATACAGTACACTCCAGCGCAAGCAAACATGACTCATGATAACTCAGTTGCCTGGCACAAACTTCTGGGCCCCAATAGTGAAGCCGTTGACCGCAAAGGGGTCGGCCAAATGGTCCTCCAGGTTCTGGATGGGGCCCTGCGCATGCATGCAGCACCCTCTGACTATCCATCCAAATTCAAATTTGACAGCATAACTGTTGCAAAAACAGCTGAAACCGACCATCACCCCCTCAGCCAAGGCAGTTCAACTGAAGGCCTGGACAGCATGCAGTCACAAGTGCCACATATGGAGTGCTGCGGAGTGCTGTGAAAGCCTTGGCGCAGCAGTGGAAAAAAATGAAGGCTGGAAGGCAGCTCCTGGGGGTGCCCTAACCAAGCTGAAGAAGAGCAAACAGGATGCTGCAATATGGATGGCGCTTTGACAAGGTGGTAGCATGCAGTGTGAGAACAGAATGGGCAAGTGCAAGTACCTTTCCGGTGACGATGGCCTGGACGAAGAAGCCGAGGGCGGCAAATTGCGCCAGGCGACCGTTCTTGATCTCTTTCACCTGTAGCGGCAGAGACAGCAGTCAGCAGTTGTTGCAGCCACCGCCTCTGATCCAGCTCCATTGCAATCCTAGCCCTATACTCAGGCTGTGCCATGAGGGAGTACTTCCGCAACAATGGGATGCATGCACTCATCATTTTTTTATGCAAAGTCCCTTACGAAAAAACAGAATGCGCAGCTGTGAGCAGACCACCCTGCTGGTGCAGCAAAGCCCTCTGCGAATAAGACATTTGCTGCTGACAGGCCAGGTGTTGGGTGCAGCACAAGCGCTGCAGCACAATGGAAGCATGTACTGCACTGTGAGATCCAGTCTGGGGCACCAGCTGATCCACACTGATCCACTCAGACATGCAGAGTCCATACATGCAAGCGGAAGATTTAACCAGATTCTTACGAGCAACGTGAGCTCTTGAGATTGGCAAGATTGATACGAGTATTGAGGGTACTGAGATACGAGTAATCGTCAGTAAAGGTGCGGGAGGGAACGCGCAGGGCCGCGCCTTGAGCTCGGCGAAGGTGTCGGGGTCGTCGGCGAGGCCCAGGGGGTCAAACGCGCCCCCCGGGTACAGCGGGTCGGTGATCTCACCGGCCGGGCCGCCGTTCACGCGGTAGCCCTCCGCAAGACCCAGCAAGATCACCTGTAGGCATGGCAGCAAGAGGTAATCAGACAAGCGGCTGCAGCAAACCACATTTCAGGCAAGTAACATCCAGCTGTGTGCTATACTTCTGTCCTATGTGGGTCAGACTTGTTTGGTGGTCAACCTAGGGCAAGCAGGAAACACAGGCGAAGAAGAAAGGGAATTTCTGCAATAGGACGAGATGCTTGACCAGGTGGATGCAATTAGGAAGAGAGCACACACGCGAGAAGTAAAAGCACTGCACGCGCCGTCGCCTGTGCGCATCTCATGCAGTACTGCAGTGCATGCTGTGGCTGCATGATCAGCTGTACACACTTGCCCTGCCGCTAAACCTTTCGCACTGAATAATTAGTGAGTGCAAGGTGAGCTTGTGCTGTGAGATCTCACCTGGGTGGCGACGGTGGCGATGATGGACTGGGCGTGGACGAGGGAGGGGTTGCCAAGGTAGTTGAGACCGTCAGCACTGAAGATCTGCGCGCCCGCCTTGAACCAAACCGCCTCCTGGAACTTCACGCCCCCGTACTTCTCCTGCGGCAGTCGACACATGAGCATCTGTCAGGGACGCTCAAATCTGACAATGCAGTACAATCGAGGCAAGCACCTCTGCCAGGTGACTCCCCTCGAGCACTTCAAATTGCGTCACGTGTGCAATGTGCAGCAGACATGCGCGGTTAAGGCCGCAAGGCAATTTGTGCAACAGATGGAGATGTGGCGGCGACGGCACCAGGACCAGAAATAGCGACAGTTTTTGTGGCAGCCGCAGCTCACAATACAAACAGGAGATATCAATTAAGGTCAAGCTGATGCCTTAGCGTCCAAGAGGTTTGAAATCAAGGTCAGAGGGGAGATAAAAGGGTCGCGCACCAGGAGCTCAGGGGTGACGATGCCGAGGGTGCCCAGCAGCGCCCAGCGCGAGTGGATGACCTCAATCTCACGGTAGCGCGAGAACGTCTCCGGGTCGGCAGACAGACCGGCCGTGTCCCAGCCGTAGTCACCTGCGAGTCAGTAGCGCTGTTGTCATCAGCCCACCAAAAATTTCATGTTCACCTGACTGACACACTAGGGAGATTTGCAGCTGTACCGGTTGGCAAGGTGCTGACCTGGCTGACAGGATGGGTGGTGCTTGATTTGAGGCACTTGCAGGTTGGTATTATGGTAGAGATTTGGCACATGGAGTCAGACAATGTCTTTTGGAGATGGCAGTAAGGGGGAAGCGGGGCTCACCGGGGTATTCGCCCTTCAGGTACGACGGGGTGGCACCGTCGGAGTAGGGTCCCAGGAACTTCGGCCTGCACACAGGATACCCAGTTTCATACGTGCGACAAATACTCGGGAGCTTGAGTGTTGCAACAGAGCGCCTGATGCCTGCCAGCAACAACGGAAATGATTTTGGGTTTTGATCGGTCTTCTCACCTGTCAGGACCGTACCACTCGATGCTGGCGCGGGTCACCTGCTTTCCCTGCAGATTAATAAACCTTGTCAGGCACACCGCACGACTGCACCTGCATGAATCCCGAAGATCACAAAGACACGAGCCCAACATCGTCATTCACGATTATTGTGCTGCTCAAGTTCCTTCTCTGCAACAAACAATACTCTAGGGCGTTGGAGAAGGCCTCGAGGACATGTCAGAGACTCCGGGCAGAAGCCACCAACTTGGCAAGATTGCCATCTTGTACTGTTCAGGTGAGTGGGACCCACTGTGCAGCAATAGAAATCTACCGAAGCACAGTGCAGTGTTTAAATAACGTGATTCAGGCCATCGAAACAGGTTCAGATGTCAGTCGCACCTTGCTCTTGGGGGAACTGACGGTGCGCCGGGCGCTCACGACGAAGCTGTTTGACAGGAGGGCGGAAGCCATTGTAGCAGCCTTGGCGTCAGAGACGGCAGAGAATATAAATTGAAAGCTGGAAAGGTGGCAAGATGTTTATGGTTTGGTTTGGTCAGCTCTCGCCCTGCGGTTTTGATCGAGCACTGCACGTGCAGGCACACGCCATGGCAGGTGCGGGCACGCGGTATCTTTGTCCTGATCACTACGGATTGGCCCAACAGCACGTGACACTATCTCTCAAATTTGATCCAAACGCACGGTTGGCGCAGGAGCTGATGGCCTAGCATCCACTGTTGAAATGCTTTCGAGTGTTTGAGACAGCGGAGGTGAGAGCGCTCTGGAAGTTGTGGCAGAAACTTTGCACTAGCATGAAGCCGTGTTGCGAGCACGTGCACAAAATGCTCCAAATGGAGGGAGCTTTTGGTTGAGCTGAAAGAAGAGCATTGGAGTTGCCATAATATATAGTGCTGATCGCATACAAGCAGATTTGTGTCCGTGCTGCCATCAGCTATGCACATCATTCTGGCGGTTACAGCAACCGCTCAAATCTCACAGAAGAGTAGAATCGTCCAAAGTGCATTGTCGAAAGGACAAGCGAGGGCGTCTGCATCGCTGAAAAGGGATCACTTGGGCAACATGAGCCTAGCGAGCTTCCACTACGAGGTTTTTGGAAAGGTGCTTTCTGAACAAGATCATCTGCACGCCGTGGCCCGAACACTTTCTATTGCCCATTTAACGGTGTTAATGAGGCAATTCGTTCAACATCGGAGCGTCGCTTGGTCAATATTGGTCCTTTCCACAGATTCAATGTCTTGACTGATCCTGCAGGTGCAAGGCGTATTTTTCAGGGCCTGCACAGCTGAAGAAGCAAACAACCTGGGGATCGTGGGGTGGGTGCGCAACACATCATCCGGTTCTGTGGAGGGTGAAGCTCACGGTCCTACAGCCAAGCTGGCCCTCTTCAAGGTGACCAGCAGAGCCTCACAGATCTCGCGTCTGGCAGCACTTAACCACGCACCATACATTGCCGAATCACCTCTGCCTTGAGTATCCTTGTGCAGCAGACATGCCAAATGCAGATGCCTGCTGAAGTCCAGTGCTTTCTCTGCGGCTTGGTCTGAATCTGATGCCCGTTCAATGCAACAGCTTCACACCCCGCATAGCGGCCTTGCCCAATCAGCACATTGCTTGGCAGGTCCTGCCTGCAGCATGTCATGCAATTTTGAGCAATTCTGTGGGATGCTGTGCAGGACTTCTTGCAGCACAGAGGATCGCCTGGCTCGCGCATTGATCGGTGTGAGATCACGCGGGAGCAAAAAGACTTGCTGGAACTGTCATATGATGACTTTACTGTGCGAAGATGAGCGCCATTTGGCCGACCGGATAGGATAGCTGCATGTCGTCTGGGAAGCATATTGCTCAACGCTGGGGCACATGCTGTTGCACAGTGCATCACTTGTGTCTTCGAGCTGAGCTCTGGGCTACTTTCATATTTATCGAGACCTGCAGAGTGACAGGTCAATATAAAGGTATTTCTGCAAGCACTTTCATAATGCAAAGCACATCAGCTGTGCGCTGGTGCTAGCAGATACCATCATTTGCGCAACTAGGGCATGCGCTATTTGGTACTCTGGAAGGATTGCAGATCTCTACCAGGCTGGTAGCAAAGGCTATCTTGTCAGATCTAGGTAGAGCATGACCTGGATTCCACTATTAAATTAGAGTTTTTTTCGCCCAGCATCGCAAGAGTAGGATGCTGCACACTCGAGCCAATCCAACGCACCGTCTTTAACGGCGTGAGCTCAATTCGAAACAAATTGCCTGCAATATGTTCCAAGTACGCTCTCACTCGTTGTGGTCGTCACAAGGAGAGCTAGGAGAGCTTTTAATGACAATTGACAGCGACGGGCGTTACCAGGGGACCGTAAACTGATTTTGGTAGGTTAGATTATCCTGCTTTTCCCGAGTGGAGTAGAAGAATAGGAAACCCCATTCTTCTACTCCCCTTACTTTTATTTTGATGATACCACTGATGAGTCATGGACTGGATCGGAGATTGGGAGGTCCTCAAGGTCCCAACTTGGAGGTGCAGCTTGCAATTCATTGAGGCATCAGGATAGCCACCAGCAGGGCAGGAAGCTTTGGGTGCTCATGATTGGGCAGACTCATCAGTATGCAGCATCAGGAGTTGGGCTGGGGTGGGGCATACAGGAATGGCATCGGCGGCCCATCATGCATGGTACCAAACAAACCATAGCCGCTACTGCGGCAGATCACTGAAGTAAGCTGTGGGCAGCTGATTTCCTCCAGACAGAACCCTGACACCACCTTTGCGTAGTGGTCTGGTGGTGCCGCACAAGTGGGGCGTGGGTCGCTGCACCTGTGAGACCTGGCCATAAGCTCTAGGGGCCAGATTCAAAATAATCAAGAGCAGTTCTTACATTGGTCCATCGGTATGGCATCACAGTGGGTACAAGAATAGTGTACACAATATCAAACAAAGACTCGACCAACTTGGGCATGTAGGGCAATTTACCAGAAATATTGATGAATGGCCCCGGCTGGCGGGGGGCAATATAAATACTGAGCACCGTGCCTACGGTTGATTGGGTCTTACTTGGATCTGGCGAGTCCAACAAGGGGTAGGATTATGGCGGCCTTCAACTGCAGCTTGTCTGCAGGACGCACCTTGCCTCTTGGCAGGAAAAGCGTGTAATAATAATAATAATTGATTAATGTGGCCCATTTTTTAGCACTGACAGGCCAAGAGCAGCGGCGCACACCAAAATATACTGGAATAACAAGCCGCTTGACATGATAATACAAACAAAAGAGCACACAAGAAGAAGAGATCTTTAGTCCCGGAGGTGGCAAACCAATACTCTTCTTTGAAGTGGCATGCGCCACACTTTGCACATGGCTGACATGGCGCCTTGGCCATAGGTGCTGCAACGGTCGTATATTGTATATTTGCGCTGTCTGCCCTAGATTGTAGAAATAATCAGGACCAGCAAGCGTTGTTACCTTGCAAAGAGAGAATGTCACTAGGGGGTCTGCCTGCTGAGTGTCTTGGGAGAGCAAGGCAATCTGCCCTGCAACCAACTCTCTGTTTGCATCCGTTCAATTTCACCCGTGAAGAGTGCCAAGCTAATGGCGCACACCTGGACACCGCTCCGCCTTTCGCACGGGGTTCATCAATTCAGGCACATCCTAGCCAGTAACTTCAGTGGCAGCAAAGCCCCAGCTGGCCATGGCAGCCGCCCCATTGCAGGGTTGTCTCGTGCGCGCCTGTCTTGGGTAGCTATCTTGTTCAGGCTGTGACCTGTTCTGATGCAGTACCGATAAAATTGCTCAATGGGCAACGCTGCGCCCAGCGCTTGCGGTCTCATTGATGAAATATTTCACTATCAGCCCACTAGCTTGATATTGTTCTATTCGGTGCTGTCTTGTCTTGTCCAAGCACAAATTTTTGGCTGGGCCTATCTAGCAGCGGCCTGTTTTGGCGCGGCCTGTCATGGCAGCTATCCCGTCTGAATTCGAATTTGAATCCTCAGGCGAAGAGGAAGCGCAGATCGTCCTCGGTCAGCCGGCCGAGCGCCTCTGCGTCGCGTCCCACCGTCCCCTCAAACACCAGCTGCTTCTTCTCCTGCACAGAGTCAGTCCACCACACCCGTTTCAGGTATCCTGCTTATACAACCCGCACCTACAGTGGTACAGGCAAAGAATCTGCTCTTTCCACAAACCTGAGCCACAATGTGACTGATACGTCTGGCATGTGTCTGGCCACCGAGGAATTTCCTCCGAGCTGGCGATCACCCACTAGCAGACGGCGAGCTGCTCCATGGGAGCACCCTGTGTGGTGCTCCACTGCAATCCAATGCATCCATAGATAAGCAGACATGCAAAGCGCCCACCTGGTGCTTGAGGTTTTCCTATACTATCTACCCAGCCCCTTTACTCTCACCCCTGGTCTCTAGACCCTAAAAGGAAAAGAAAGAAACAATAATTCCTAGATTTCCACCCACCTGCAGCTTGAGGATGCGTTCCTCGATGGTCCCCGCGATGATGAAACGCGTCACAGCGATGGGCTTGAACTGGCCCAGGCGGTGGATGCGATCCTGCGCTTGCGCCTCCACGGCAGGGTTCCACCTGCAGAGCAGCAGCCGCAGCATTCAATTTCCTGGCAGCATTTGTTTTAAGCAGGGTCACGGCGTGCTGTGAATTCTCAAAGTATGATGCGATACTTGGCGGAAAATAAGATGCGCTAGACACATTAGGAACGGATTCGCCAGTATTGTTTTTGCAGGCAGAACATATGTATTTCCAGGCAGAATAGAGCCTACTTTGGAGAAACAAAGTAAACTTCTTTTCAATTTCTTTTCCTCTCTATTTGAGTATGCACAGACTTGGAGATTTCCCTGGTGGGTAGGCTGGGACCAGTGTGGGTGGCCTGCTGGCCCGACAGATGGGGGATAATCCGCTACAGGCCAAATTCCTTCACCCCGATACATGAAAGGTGATATACAACGCGATAGCGCAAGTAATGCTTATATTCTGCAATGCAATGCTTATCTTTTGCAGATAGGCAGATCCCAGAATCACCCACCCCTTCCCAACCTCCCGAAACCCACAAAGCTGCTGACAAAGGCATGCATCAGACGCAAACCGCCGCAGGAAACCTCTTTATAAACAGTGACTCACCAGGGGTCCATGAGCATGACGTGGGAGGCGGCTGTGAGGTTGAGAGCGACGCCGCCGGCCTTGAGGCTCATGAGAAAGACCGTGACTTGGGGGTCGTTGGTGAATGCGTCGATCATTCGGTCGCGCGCCTCCATGCTCATGCTGCCCTCCAGACGCACGCACCGGATCCCAATCTGCGCAAAGAAGCTCATTTCATGGAACTAGTCATTTTGTCATCTTCAATTTCGATGCTCTCTGAGACGGGCATTCAGCATTAAGATTGCACTGCATGAGCGCAAGGCACAGGATCCTGCACTCGTTGCCAGGGGACCCGTCTGGTGCAGTTTATCGGACCCGAGAGGTCTCAAGACGTGCATGCATGCATCTGTTGATATACTGCACAAAGATATTCTGACGCTTCCTGCTCTTGAAAGCATCACAATCAAGTCCATCCAGCTTCCTGGGAAGGACCAAACAGTCTCATCCAAGGCGTAAACACCTTTGCAATCACCAATTTTGCAGCAGGTACATAAGACCAGCTTCATTCGAGATAAGAGGCACACAACATGTCCCTGGCGATTCACAAAGTCCCCTGATCTCTATTCACCTAGTACAACAAACATAGAGAACCTCCGATCCGCTCGCCTTCAGGGCGCACCTGCTGCAGGCGGAAGTAGATGAGGTCGAGCATGGACGTGAACTGGGAGAAGACCAGCGCCTTAGCAGAGGGATCAGCCTGCAGCATGCGGTGCAGCTCCTCGCGCAGCGCCTCGATCTTGGTGCTGCTCTGGAAGTCGGCCAGCTTTACCCGGTTCAGAATGCTCGCCTTGCGCGCCCCCGCCACCCGCGCCGGCGCCTGTAATTAATACATTCCATTGGAAATCATTTTCTGCAGATTTACTGCAGATGCGCACAGCAGGTGCGTCAGCCTTTGAAGCATTGATAGACTGTCTGTAGTTTCCCACTCAAATCAACCATGGAGGACAAAGCAGCCTGGCCGCGCCGCGCCAGCCGCGCACTGCGTTAAAGACACAACAGATGCATTGTCCCAAAAAAGTCCAGACTTAATGATGGTTTCACATACTGGCTACTTTGGTACAGAGGAAGATGAAGGAAGCGAAAAATTGTGACCCTCAGTATGCTCTTCAGAATAAGCCTGCCAGATATTCTTTTCAAAGCACCTAATAGCAGCCACACCAGTGAAAGCAATCACACCAGTCCCAAAGCAATACAGCGCCCCAGCAGCCAAGGAGACAGCCATAGCAGAGCAGATCTGGAAGATATCACACCGGCGTGGCTGCGGCGAGGTCAACAGAGAGCGGCCGCTGGCAGGAGGGGCAGGAGGCGGCGCCGGAGCAGCCATCCAGGTACTCCGCCAAACACACCCGGCAGAACGCATGCCCGCACCCGGCCACCACCTGCCATCAGAGAAAACAGCGCATAGCTTAAGCACAAAAAACACAAAGGCGCACTTCAAGCCCTCAGCAAGCAAAGACGCACTCTGGTGCAGGATCCCACAACTCATGAAAACAAGGTTCGGTTTGTCCAATTTATATATTTATTGATTTTATAATGATTGTATGTTTACCGGCTGCTCCAGGGGGTCATGGCACACGCCGCACATGCCGCCGTTGAGATCACTCTCGTCGTCAGCAGCCTTGGCCGCGGCCTTGGCGCTGGCGGCAGCTGCCGCGGTCGCGCCCGAGGCCGAGTGCACCACCAAGTACGGGTGGTCCACTGCCTGCATCATGTAAAGTTTGCTGTCAACATCTGTCCAGATGCCCAACCATTTATACTCACTTCTTCGCTGCACATGAGAAGCAAGTGCAGCGCTCGTCAGGGGACAGGTTCCCGGCGCTTACATCCTACACTTCTGCTGCAAAATTCTGTCTGGATGCGCTTGTCATATGTCAGTCGACAAGAGAACATCTGCCAAACCCGCTGAGCCAGGGATTCCAACAAGGTGAGCATGGTAACAAGCAACGTGCTGATGCCCGCTGCGTCAAGGCCAGCACAAGAAGATCTTGTGGCATCCTGTTTGCAAGTCTGAAGCCCCAAATTGTGACACCCCAACCCTACAGATTGCATGTGCGCCAGATGACACAGACATCTCGCACTGGCAAACAGCAGGTCGAAGCCATGTCGGCGCAGATGTTCTCAAAGCCTTTCAACAACTGATTTCGCCCCCCAGAGCAACATCCCCGCATACAAACCCTAGAAAAGGGGTCATGAGATCCTGACCTGGCGCAGACGGATGAGCAGGTCAAAGATGTGGGCGTAGTTATTAACGACGGTTCCGGCGCTCACATAGGCCCCGAACTGCGCCTGGCTCTGTGTGTACAGCGCCTCGTAGAAGTCCGCCTCGCGCTCATCAAAGCCATCCTTGCGCATCACCACAGTCCTGGAGGGGGGGGTGGGAAAGGTGATGTTAGTCATTGCGCCAGATCAGGCATGCCAGGCAAAGCATGCGACATCAGGCATTTATGAGACAACCTCTGCCGCTCTGCAATGTACCCTCCTCACACGATTTTCCAAAATTCTGAACAGTCTGACATGCCGATTGCCGGTATTACCACAGCACTGCTGGCATGAGGATTTGAAGAACAATTATGTACTTTCCAACCATCACAGACAAAGAAAGAAACAACCAACAAATAGGCAAGACTAAAAAGTGTGAAAGTAGATTGATACTTGAGAGATAGACTAAAGATCCCCTTGCCTGGGTAATTGTGCTGGACACAACAAGACACTGACATGAGCGGTGACTCACCGGGGCGGCAGGGCGAGAACGTCTGCGCACTGGACCTTGGTGCGGCGCAGCAGGATCTTGGTCAGGATCTGGTGCTTCAGCAGCATCATCGCCTTGCGCCCCTTGCCCACGTACCCCCACTTCTTGATGGGGTTGGCCACGTGCTTGTTCCACCAGCAGTAGTGCTGCAGCGGACCATGCCTGCGCATGATAGCGGGCTGGAAATACGTGTAATAATAATAATATTGCCCACAATCTCCTCTGCACACAGGCAACCTCATCATTGTCGCATGACAGCAGCGCTTGTGACTCATTTCCTTGCTAAAGGTATCCTGTCGAGACTACATACCAGGCCCCCATGCACTGGTGTCAATTCACATCTGGGTCATATTCGTAAAATGACGTTCAGTGTACTTTGGTGACATAGGGAATGACACATGTTGGGCTGCTGTGACAATGGAGGTCACTGGTGGCACTATGGAAAGATGATGAGGTGGCATGAGCCCCATTCTCAGCTTAAGGAACAGGCAACCTCATCATTGGTGCATAGTTGCACCTGTATGACACAGCGTCACAGCTGCTGACTCCGCGGTGCAGCCTCAAAGGCTGCATGTCGAGCCATATGTTTCCCAGCAAAAGCTTCATTGCTTCCAAGCGATACATTCAGACGATCATCGCCATGTCATCGCCAGGCATGTACACATCCTGGCAGCTTCACCTCACAACCAGAGACAGTGAAGAGAGACGAAGAGTGAGCAATGCCCCCGCACATGCCGAATCTCCACTGGGGTGTTGCATCTGACTGCTGCTGTTGTCGATGCAGCCGGTCAATGCATTCGACCAAAAAACATCTGACAACATGACAAAGAAGCAAGGCGCACCCGCAGTGGTCGCATTTGCGGTGGTTGCGTGAGAAGGGGTAGTCGATGCACTTGCAGGAGCAGGGGTCCTCCTTGCTGCTCTTGGCCGTGCCCGCGCCGCAGAAGTAGAAGGCGTAGGGGAAGATGCGCAGGAAGCGGATCAGGCTGTACAGCTCGCCCACCCGATTCTGCGCACGCGTCATACACCCTCAACGTTGCTAACCCTAAGAACCGGTACGTGTCAGGCAGTGCAGCTCCCCCACCCAATTCTGCGCACGAGTCATACACCCTTAACATTGCTAACCCTAACAACGGGTGCCTGTCAGGCAGTGCAGCTCCCCCACCCGATTCTGAGCGTGTATCTCAAGAAACCCTCACGTTGAACTTCCAGCATCACAACCCCTACTGACAGGGGCCTGGATTGAAAGTGCTAATGTGAGGCCATACTGCTCTACCACACAATACTGCTCCACACAAGTCAATGCCTGGGGTAGTGTCTGCTAGCACGCTTCATGAGTGCTCATCCGCGACTTGCAGGAGGCCCTCAAAAGCCCCTTCTCAGCTCTAGAACTCTCTGCAGTTGCCTGCGGGCAGAAGACCGGCAGAACAGCACCAATTGCACCATCCAGATCCGCACTGTGTCCATGTTAAATCAACGTTGTACTCTCAGAGCAGACCTGATAATGTAATGGAGGCAGCACTGCTCGGTGTATGGCCACAGGTACCAGCTATTCTTCCGAACGAGTCCTGCTAACTCTCAAGATATACTGGGCAGCTATCCAGCCTGTCGGCATGGGGGAAAACATAAAGACACTTAAGTAGTTTGGCTTTGTTGAAGGTTCTCTGGCAGGACAAGGGGCAGGGGCGCGCCTGCAGGGGCGTTCCCGACAGCGCCCACTTGTACTTGGAGTTGAGCGCGAAGACGGCTCGCGCCGTGGAGCAGCGCCGGTCCTTTATGGAATGCGCCTCGTCGAGCACCACGCGCCGCCACGCCACCTGTGCAAACAATTACTGACCGTTAGATTACTGATCTTAGTAAGGCCAACATGTCATTGTCAGTAGCATACAAGAAAGACGCGGTGGTTGCCATACATGCCGGCTCTTGATCAGATCAGCGGATTTTCTGGATCTGATTGATTGTAAAAAGAATAGAGCCAGCTCGCATGCATCAAGAGCGCTGATAAGGGCTCTCTTGCAGAACAAGCCCTTAGCTAGATGCGATAGCTTCAACAGTAGCAGACCCTGCCACACCTGTTTGAAGACACAATGCTCAAACCGTCCAGCATCTTTGCAAAAAGTAGAAAAGAAGATAGAAAGAGAGCGGCATGCCTCGTGCAGCACAGAGACGCCGGGGCCCTCGCTGGCCTTGGCCTTGGCTTTGGCCTTGGCAATCATCTCAGCCGCCTCCTTAGACGCCTCATCCTTCACATTGGACTCGCCCCCGCTCGCTGCAGGCACACACCAAAATGCGCTCAGCAAGTTGCAACATCAGAGTTCTCGCCCGGATGAGCCAACATGTGGGCAGCTGAAGCATGGGTCTACATGGGTGCCATCATGCTGGCGTCCCCTATTGGAGGAGACCGAGCCTGAGACAAGAATAACTAAAGTGGGCATCCGCTGCTGCGGTAAATGGCTGCAGAAGGGATTTCTCAACCGCGCAAACATGGGTTGGGCCAGCCACAGAATGCTGAGAGGGCATTTAGTGCTCACAGCATCAGTACTCACCCTGCAGCCTGAGGCTGAGCCACCGAAACATGCATCCATGCAAAATTCCCTTTTGCGACCATCGCCACGATGCCCCACCCCTGCAGATTCCATCATCCCTACAACATGCTGCCCCTGGATCCCTGCACTTTGCTGACGACCCTCCAGAAGTCAAAACCAACGCCCTCCGAGCCTAAGGCTCTAACGACTAGCAGTACAGGGTTTTGACAACCCCTGGATTAGAGAGGAATGAGTGCGCTCACCGCGCCATGCGCGCCAGGCGGACTTCCATGCGCGCCGCTGCCTGTGGCGCTCGGCGCCCGCGTCGTCCGAGTCATCGCCAGACGCGTCCGATTCGCTGAAGTCCGGATCGCTGTCGTCCGCCTGTTGCACATACACTCCCTTCATAATCATGCACATCAGATGAATACCCAGATGAGTGCCCAAGCCACCATAGCCACTGTTGCACCATGTTCAAGTGGGTGGGTTGCAGGCACCATGCAGTGCCTGAATTGCAATTATAAGAGTGCCCTGAGCGTCAGTTCACAATCATTTTTAAATTGACGCTGCTCTGCATGGTGTGTTTTATATTATAATATATAACAATACAAACATGCAGCACCAAGATTTGAGCGGTAGACCAGTCTGCCGGGATGATAGCAATTGTGTGTTTTTGATTGTCCCAGATCGTCCCACCTAGAGGTCATTTGGTTAATAAAGGCCACAAAATTACACATGTTGAATTCGGGAGGTTGCAAATGTTACCTTGGCCTTGCCCTTGCTCTTGGCGTCCTTCTCGAAACCCTTCTTGCCCTTCGCATCCTTCCCCTTCGCTCCCTTGCCTTTCACCGCCGCCACTTTCCCCTTCTTGGTCTTCTGGGGCTTTGCATCCTCCTCCTCCTCCTCGTCACCTGAATTGGACGCGTCGGATGACTCATCGTCCAAGTCGCTGCCGCTGCCAGATTCGACATCGCCCTTTAACTTTGACTTTGTTTTGGAATCGCCGTTGCCGCGCGGGCGCTTCTTCTGCTGCTTGGCCAGCGCCGCGCTCTTCTTGGCGTTCGGCCCACAGAAGAACCTGCGCAGAGACAATGCATATACGAGTGAACCAGACTTCCTGGCTTCATCAAGGCACAAGCTCCTTGGCAACCCTTGTGCACATATTCTTTGTACTATTTTCCCAAAGAATTTGCGGCAAATTGCTCCATGCAACCAGAACTATCACAACATCACATTCAATTGTGTCATTGCACCACTGAACTACAGTATATGATAAGCCTACCCATCTCCCTTGCATTACTCGCCGTCAAAGCTGCGAGTAAACATTCCATCCACATGACCCCATCCCATCATATACAGCGCCTTTGCTTGAAGGCAATTTGAGGACATGAACAAGTGAGCGCACACCTGAGGTGGACCTCCAGGCGTTCTGGCTGAAATTTACGGGAGCAGTACTTGCAGGGAATCTTGTCGGGTTCCACGTAGCGCCGGTGCTCCCCCTCGATTATGCTGTACGTAGTCAGCACGACGTCAGCGCCCGCCAGCTCAGCCGCGTCCGCCGTCCTCTTGTTGCCGTGGAACACCACCACCTGTATGGGACAGCACTTCGTTTCAAATTTGAACTTTAATTGTCTTGACCCCTGGCATGCATATGACCCATGTGACTGCCCGCTCGGCCGCGCGGGCAGCCGCGGGAATAATGACGCCCGCGACAGCTTAGTTCCCTGAACCCTCATACCTTGTAGCAGAAGCCCCTGAACACTATACCGTTGACCCCACCAATGACACCTAACATACTAAAGTCCATGTCTGGATAACTTCCTGATGTTGGCACCAGAAGTCAATCAGACATGCAACTACAGCAATCATGATTGCCGTCTTTGCACCAAAGCAAGCCACCAGCTGCCATTCCCTGAGGTCCTCAAAAAGCTTATCACAATACAGCTTCTCCTGGCTTCAAAGAGGGCCAACCAGCTGCTTGCAATCTTGTGCCCATGCACTTTCAATATTTCGGTAAACATCCATTAACATAAGAGACAGAAGAAATAGAAAAGCACATGCCTTAAGGGTGTTAGGCTTGGTGAAGCGCTCAATCTCCTGACGCCACTGCAGCACCGCCACCAGCGGGCAGACCACAAGCGTCGCCCGCCCATACCCCCCGCTGCTAGAAGCCTGCTCCGTTGTGCCCACCCCTTCGGACCCCCCGGCCTCTGCTGCCACACCAATACATGTTTTCAGCAGCACACAGCGGTTTTGTCTCCCTGAACCTGATTACAACATCCCCAACAAAGTATATAGGTGCCAACAGGCCATCAGTACCAGAAACTCCTCCTCTCCTAATCCCTATTTAGTCTGTACAGCTTCAGACTGACGATGACTCACACCCTAAGACCCTTCATTGGCTTGACAGGGGCACCACATCCACACCACTGACATCGGATAGATCACTGACAACATCTCTGCATGCACGCCTTATGGGAAGGTTCTATTACAAGCTTCAGTTCTCCCTCCAAGTCAGTATTGATGCGCTTCATCGATCACAAGACAGCATGCAGGAACTGAGAGTCACCATCCTTGGTCGGGTGGCCGCCGCAGCAGCCGGCGCCGCTTGCCGGCGGCTCGGACGGCCCCGCTTCGTCGGCCACGCTCTCCCACTCCACACCATCCTCATCAGCCTCCAGCTTGCCTGCACCACAGACTGCCTCATCTCAGCGCACAGCTGTGGACTGCTCAGTTATGTCATAGCAACCTCGTCCCATGTACAATGGCTTAACAGAGTCAGTTGACATCTCTAGCTCTCTGGCAGCTGGTCAAGTCACGCTGATCCAGACAGCCCTCCTACAAGACCCCCACTTTGCGCATGGATACGCGCATGTGCAAACCAGGACATTACCGTATACGTCTGCAACACTGCAAGATCCGCTGATGCAAGGGTGGCGCTATCTGCACATTGAGATTGTGGCAGAGGCTGTTCTGAGAATTTAGGGGTTAGACACAAGCTTTCTACAGACTGCGCACCTTCCTCTGGCAGCACAGGCGGCTGCTCAACGGCGAGCGTAGAGGGCGCCACGACAGCAGCCGCTGACATGTCCGGCACAGGCGGCGCGGCGTTCCCTGCCGCCTCCGCCAATTTAGGCCGCATGCTCAGCAGCGCCAGTTTTGGCCGCGCAGCTGCAGTCGCCTTTTTTGGAGCGCGCGCGGATTGCGGCGGCTGCACCGGGGGCAGCTTGGACATGTCGTCCGTGCGGTGCGTCACGATCAGCGTTATCGCCTGCATAGACCGCGAGGGATGCATCAGTCATTTTCAGAGCACCCAAAATAGCAGATGGGTGAACAAAATGAACGGCAGCTGCCTGATGCAAGCGAGAGACACAAGCTGCAACTCAAAGCTGCCATACTGTGGGAAATCCTAATGGTGGTAGCCCAACCTGCAGCACTGGCAAACACATATGCATTGCCCTTCAACTGCCAATAAAGTTCTTGCCAGGAGCCACGGACTCCTTGATGATCAGACCTGCCCAGCGCCTCAGCTCATAATAGCACAAGGTTCTCTCCGCTCACAGCTTAGGAGCCGGCGGTAGCCAGGACGACATGACCGAGCCAGGCGTGTCTTTCCATGCCGCTGTCCCCAGAAAATCATGCTTAGCAGGTCAGGCTGGCACGTTGGTGTCCAGAACAGGCCAGAAGGGGCGTGCAAACCTGCAGCGTCTTGCCCATGCCCATTTCGTCGGCGAGGATGCCGCCGCGCACAGTGGAGCGCTCCTGACCCACGGCCCACGCCAGGAACTCGCCCTGGTACGGCAGCAGCTTTGCCACTATCTCCTCTGGCTGCTCCATCGCCGGCATTGGCTGCGCGCGTTTTAACAATCACCCTTTACATCCAGCTTAGAATATACTTGCCTATTGCAGTAGACTCGACAATGGACATCGCGTACACATGTTGGTGTATAGCATGTTAAAGCTGGCGTCTTGTGCTTCAGTGCACAAGATAACCCAATCTGCCTTCTCGCTCAAGACATGCCCTGGCATTCTGCATGCAAGAAGTTCCCACACTTTGCCACAAACATGCATAAGTTCACCAATCCATGCAGCAGCATCTACTGAACAGATTGAGCTGGAAACAGCCCCTAGAGACTCAGCCAAGAGCGCTCACCTTGTACACGTAGGGCGCCTCGTCCTCTTCGGAGTCCTCATCGTCGGTCTCGCCAATTTCCCGTCCTTTCTTGTCGAACGGGCCCCATGCGTTTTCATCGTCAGGCGCCACCGAGCCGGCCGCCGCCTTCTTGTCCTTTCGACGCTGCTTTGCCGCCGCCTTGATGGCGTCCTGCGCCGCCTGACCGCCTCGTTGCTTCTTGGCCGGCTTTTGCTTTGCCTTGCTCCCGCCTGTGCACACCATGGCTCAGTTCAGTCTATATCAGACCATATCAGACACTTGCCCTGTTGATCGCCTGAGAGTACACCTCATGGCGCGCCCATGATAGGCAGCAGAGCAGCGCGCGTCACTAAACCAGATATCCAACGTAATGATGGGTCATGCTGAATCATGTTTGGTGTCAAAATGAGTGTGATTTCTGCCCCACCTGCTTTAGTAGTGCGCTGCCGCTTGGGCGGCCGCCGCACAATCGCTTCTGCCTCGCTGTCGCTCACAAGATCTTCCACCTCAGAGTCAGCGCCAACCTCGGATGCGCTGCCAGGGTCATAGTCTGAACCTTCAGATTCCTCCTCCTCAACTTTGACGGCCTTCTTGCCCTGTCACACCCGACCAATTCAGCTTGCTTCCTGTCTCCATTGTAGGAAAACCCACCTCACTATATTCAGTTGCATCTCAGCAGACAGTCACATCCTAGCATCAGGTAGATCGCGGAAACAACACCTTGGGCCTCCCCCTACTTTCAAGCAGCAGAGTGACTACCACAGACTAGCTATTCAGCCATCTTCTAAAGCAAGACTCACCTCAGCAACACTCAGTAGACAAGAAAGTCCCACACATAAGATCACATTGGCGCACCTTGGCGAAAGTGTGCGCGGCGCGCGCCCCTTTCCGGCCCCCGGCGGCGCTCGACAGCATCGCGGCAGCTGCGCCGCCCATGCGCTCCACCACCGCACGCATCGCTGCCTGCACCACAGCGTTCCCTCCGCCCGCCGCAGCCGATGCCGCGCTCCCTCCGCGTGCAGCGGCCAACACGGCGTTCCCTCCGTTTGCGGCAGCTAATGATGTGGCGTTCCCTCTGCTGGCTGCTGTCTGCTTTGCCGCATTCCCTCTGCCTGCCGCAGCCGACGCAGCATTCTCTCTAACGGCGGTAGCCTGCACAGTGGCGTTCCCTGCGCTTGCAGCAGCCAATGATGCGGCATTCCCTCTGCCGGCCGCGGCGGCCGCAACCCCTCTGGGCGGCTTTGCTCCCTTTCTTTTCACATCGCCTGCGCTCAAAACGCGCATAATGAGATTTCTCCCTCGCTGCTAAACTCGAGGCCAGGCTGCTTCAATACTAGCAGAAACCTACTACAGTTAGACATCTTGGAGCTAGTGTCTGCTGCCCAAGAGCTGAAACCTGCTGGCATTTCCCCAAATAAGGCGCTTCCCGCTAGTAGAACTTTCTCATGAAGGAGCCCTGCATGATGTAAAAGCAGCACCTTTCGCGGCGCCTGTCTTGGTTTTGCTGCCAACCGTAGCGTCAGCAGCAGCAGTGGCGGCTGGAGCATTAGGCTTTGCAGGCGCCGGCGGCTGCCGCGCAGGTGCGCCAGAAACCGAGCGCGCAGGCTCGCTCGCAGAACTGACATTGGCGTTTGTGTCGAGTCCCTCCGGGGTGGGCGGCTCTGGAGTGTCGCCTGATCAGGCAAGAGGAAGGTCATCTTAAACACTCTCTTCCTCCTGCCCTAATTGTGAGCAAGCTCCCCAGCTGACAGATTGCTCAAATAGCTGCTTTTGCGAGGCGGGCCATTTTGCCATGCTGGCCTCAAAGCACCACCCCATGATTATTGCAGTCAGGCCCAACATCCTCAAAGACAGGCAGGACTCACCAGTCCCACACCATTTCACAACTCTACTGCATAAGTATGAGAACATCCATGTGTCCAGGTGCAGCATGTCTTCTGGTGCAGATCTCACCGTTGCTGCTGGGAACCTCTGACACCAGACGCTGGCGCGTCCTGCGGCCACTTGTGGTACCGTCTGCTCCTACGCCATTCCCAAAGCGCGAGCTCTGCGCCAGCAGCTCCGCAGCTTCCCTGCACAAACACAAGAAGATGCTGTCATCATCCAAAGCAATATGCCACAGGAAGCAGGCCACCATGACTAACTTTCAGAAAATGTGAAGAGTTCCCTTAATATCTCCTGCTTGTGTGCTCAAATCGAAGGGCAGGCTTGCAAATAGCTGCTTGCGAGTTGTTGCCCTACAGACATGTGAAGACGCTGTTCAAGTGATGGCTTGTTCAGGTCTTGGTACAGCATATATTGGCACCAAGGCTGCAAGGTCTGACCAGCCATTGCAAGCGTATAGGGGACTTTCAGGTCAACGTAAGTGGTCCAACATAAGATGACAGGCGCCCACCTGGAGAGCTTGGCAGCGCCTTTGCTGACACCGGCTGCAGCGGCAGCGGCGCGCTTGGGCGCCGTTGCTTTGGCGGCCTCAGCAGCCACGACAGGGACGACTGCAGCAGCGGCGACCTGGGCAAGGGAGGCTGACTGGACAACAGCCGCCGCAGCAGGCTCAGATGCAAGCGCTGTGGGACTTGGCGCGCCAGCTTCTATTGCCTTGCCCGTATAGCCAGCTGCGCGCGACCGCGTGGTCCTCATCAGATATTCGGCCTCAGCAAGCCTGCGGGCAGTAAACGTGTGTGTATTCAGTGGACACCTCCACTGAATCAAAGAGTAGTAAAGAAAAGTCAACCCGTGATATTTATGTGGCACGGAAGGCCCGCGGGGAGAGAAAGTTTCACAAGTCTCTGAAATATCAGTCAACCAGGTGTCACCGGCAGGAGAGCACAGGACAAAGCAAGCATGACAGGCACAATGACACCCATCTGATCTTGTACAAAGAACATTGTTTGGTACCACCAAGTCCATGCGGAACGATACATTATAGATCCTTACATCATTTCGATGATATCGACGAGATCGGAGAAAGCATCAACGAGAAATCAGCATTAGAGCGAGAAGCCCACCTCACGGAGATGTCAGAGCTAGCTGAGACTATTCGCAGCGCAAAGCGATTGCAAATTGGCTATATGCTACAGTTCTATCAACGATTGCTCATGGAACGGACGGGAAGCATTGTTCCCGAGCTATCCAAGTGCAGATTTCAGGCCTTCCTGGCGCGTTTATCGCAGCATGAAGCGGTAGGCCGCAGCAGGTTCCCAAGTCATAAGCCACGTAATTGAGCCTAGACAGGAAACATATCTTTCCTCCAAATTGGCATGTGACTTGGGCTTGCAACTTTCTCCATCTCTTGAGATCAATTGCAGACATGCTCTGCTAAAATACATCAATTGCAACCACAACACAAAAGCATATTAGATGTTTGATTGACTTGGTGACCCTAGATCTCTAATTCTGCACATTGCAATGTTCAGAGAATTGATTGCTGATATCCATGAAGGTGTCACGTGACGGTCATAGCTGCAGCTAGGTAGCCAGGCCTAGGCCCGATTGGGTTGCAGCTTATTGGACCGTCCGAGATCGGTGGCCATTTCAGTTATGTGTATGTTTACAACAAATTTGTTGCAGCTACAGCTCAGATGAATACATGTACAGCGCATCTATAAGAACTGTAACGGGTCTGCCAGACGCATCATAGCAAGCCTGTTAGTAATGGCTAAAAGCTGTACTTATGGCAGGCTACATCCAGCGCCATGATGGGATCCCCGGTGGTCCAGTGCTTCTGCTTAGTAAGTCGCTGCCACCTTCTTTCTCACGTGCCCCTCCAGCCTCCGCGGTCCCCCTGCGCATGCACAGATGGCCAATCAATCACCGATGACTTGTTCATTCCCCCATGAGCGTCATCGTTGTTGATCTGCTGAAACCGCTATCATGGCCCAAATCGCAGGCTTCAAGCAACTTAGACCCTCATGTGGAAAAGGATCTGGCTTTGGCAGGACTTACTCCATGGTGCACTCCTGTGAAGCCTGAAGCCTCCAAACTGAGTCTGCAACCCTGCTGTGCTCTATGAACGGCTGCCATAAAAAGCGCCTAGAAGAGAAGGATCAAGAATAAACGCAATGCAAGTGCTAGTAAGGCAGTCACCAGCGGGGTTCCTCATAGCTTTCATGTTCCAGGGCCCAAGCGGCCTGGCATCTGAGGGGATCTCCCGGCCCACCCCCCTCCTGTTGGGCCCCCCAATCTTCTTCACAAACTTGATGCCTGCGCGCACGTCACGTACACCTCATTAGCTGTTGCTGACAGCAGGCATCTGGAGCAAGGAATCAAGAACGTTTGCTTAGGAAGCCACACTGACAAAGTCCCTGATGCGGCAAGATCAAAGTGACCTTTTCTGCCAGAAGAAGCAGGGCACAGAACAATGGACATTGATTCTGCGCACTGTTCTGCGCGCTTTTGAGAGCGACAGGTGCTCCATCAACACATTGATGCCAGCCTGAGGAGATGGCACAACATACATGGAACAACAGCTGGAACAGGACTAAATGTACAAAAAATCACAGCGCGCACCGAGGATGTCTTGGAGCAATAACAGTGATGTCACCCTGAGAATATGCAGGCCCATTCAAATTCAAGTTTGAATTCCAGATAAAAACACCGCACCAAGAATGTCGCGGATGAGCTGGTAGCGCTTGTCGGTGAGCTTGCCCTTGGAGAAGAGCTTGGCGTTGCGCGTCACCCAGCGGCTGGCCTCCATCCAGCCGGGCTCCTTCGCATTTGTGTAGCCCGCAGGAATAAGCGCATGCCCGTGCACCTCCTGCAGGTTAGCAAATCCCGACTCGCGCTTGTGGATCAATTTTCACAGAGGAGAAGGTTATACTGGCACAGCACGGGCACCCAGCATGTGCGTGTGGATGAAAATGTATAGAGAATGAAGCTGTGGCGGCACAGCAAGGGCACCCAGCTCTTGTGTTGCTCAGACCCTGGCCTCTCAACATGTCTGTGCCCGTGCACATTCTTCAAGAATAGAAAGCAATTGCGTTGAATTGGACTGAACTGGACTCGGAGATGAGTGGCAAGGCGAAGATCACCCAGTCATTTTGTCCTACATAACAGCAGGCTTGAAAGGAGCGGAGCATGCTGTTGGCATGCAGAAGGTGCCTCAGAGGCTGCCCATCTGGGGATAGCTAGCAGTGGTAGCAGCGTGCAGTATCTCTGGCAATCCACCATGTCTCTCGAACACTAGCAAGAAGGGTAGTCCAGAAGAGACACAGACAGAAGACATTGAACATTAACAGGCAATTCTGCTGCAATGGTCACTTTCCAAATTAGAGTCACCCCACCTTGAAGCGGCGGGTTTCGTGGAGGTTGTGGTGCCACTTGGCGCTCTGCTGCTCCATCTTCCATGCGAATATTAGCTCGTCTAATTTGGCGACCTGCCAGCCTGGCAGCCGCCCCTCCTTGTGCACCTTGCGCATTCGGTGAACCCAAGCCCCCAGCAGCGGCGCATCAAACACCTGCGCAATAAAGTAAGCCTGCTTAATTCTGTGAGAAGTACCGTACTTGTCACTGTTAACACCGCCGAAAATAAGATTTCAGGCCAAAAAGGGTTGACAACTAACGCCCTGTCTCCCTATGACATTTTATAAATTAGATTTGGAAAGCTCTCGACAAGCCCGATTTAAAGGAGCAAGTCCCTGGTGATAAATATGCCAGAAAGAACCCTCGGCGGTCCCCCACCGCCGGGGGTTCGTGGATTAGAGCACCCAGTACGGGTGTTCAACCTGCATGCTTGCATGACAGATGCGCGCAGTACCAAACACCAGCGCAGTCGCCACAAAAAAATATTCGTTGTTCCTCACAGGATTCTGCACATGAGCATGGTGCAGCACAACCCAGAAAGCTTCTTGCAGAAGACGCTAGGCACACAGCGCTCCGGGCAGGAACAGTGGCTTGAAAGTGGCAGAAAGAACATGCATCCCTGTCTCAGCGTGCAGAATCCAGGCTGGGAAGGAATGTTGCGGAGAAGTCTAAATAGATCTGCCAGGGAGTCCAACGATGCCAAGTGGACTCCAAATTGGAAGAACTAGGAAAGGGAGGGTATTTCATGGCGTGTGCGTGCCAACAGCTGCAAGGGCCGCACCTGTTTTGGCACGATGGTGGTGGCATACTTGTCGCGCCAGGCTTTGAGCTCCTTGTACATCGTCTCAAACTCAAAGTCCGTAGTGTCCTCCTGCGCCTGCATGGAATGAGGACGCCCAGCGTCAGCACTCTCACTTGAAGCATTACTGCACCGCTGAGTGAGCAGCAACTTGGTGCCATGGCGGGCATGCATGGAATTCTGCATGGGCACATGTATCTCTACCAACTTTAGCAAGTGGCAGACAGCTTGAGCCAGCCACTGTCAGACACTGCAGTGCTGTACTTTTTATTGAAGCTGAGCAGCCACAGGTTGGCATGGTGAGTATGCATGGGAGGCAGCTTGGACATTATCAGACCTGCTGACACCCTAGATACTGCCTTCGCGTGGCCAAAAATTCTTTGCACAACTTCTAGCAAGGAGCAGCAGCTGTTCTAGTGCTGACTGCAGGGACTGGACTACGTATTAGAGACGCACCCCATTGTGCTCCTTAGCATAGTCATCCTCGCTGATGTCATCCCCGGTCGCCGCGCGCAGGTCGTAGCCAGCCTGCTTCAGCTTGCGCACCTGCACACCCCTTGCCATTCTCAGACACCCAGGCAAAGGCCATCCCTGACTCAGTGCATGCTTGCAAGTCCCCACAATCGCCCCACGGGCACTAGCAATACTGCACGCAGCAAGCTGTCGGCTTCAATTCAGGAGGAGACCTCATTGCAGGCATCAGCTGGAGCCACACTCTGAAGAAAGGACAGAATCTGCAAACATGTCCAGATGCGATAGCAAATTGAGAGCCAGTCTAGACATGGCAACCATTCTTATTCACCGCACACACTCCACCGTCGCGCCCAGCATCCCTACAGTACCGTACTGGTCACTCAACCCCGCACACTCTGGCGGTGCGGGGAACTTTCCAAAGCAACACTGAGAGGCCTTCCTGGCATTTTCATCCCCAGGGGCTTGCTCGATTGGAATGGGCTTGTCGAGAGCTTTCCGATCTGATCTAAAATTCGTCATAGGGTTTATATTCTGGGAGATAGGGTCTAGATTATCAACCCTCTTCAGCCAAAAATAAATATTTTCTGCGGGGTTCACAGTGACCAGTACGGAATTGGGATTTCAGATTAGGCGCTGCAGTAGCAGAGATTCCCTGCGCCTGATGCCGGCAAATGGGGTGCACACACCTGGGAGGGTGACAGCAGGCGCTGCTTGAACCTGTCCGGCTGTTGGTGGTACCACTTGGCCAGCGCATTGCTGAAATCTGCGTTCGGGTCCCGCCACTTGAACGGCGGCGCATCCATTTGAAATTCGATCCTGAACCGCCGCAGCTCGTGCAGCATGTACTCCCACTCGGCCACTTGCTGCGCGCATAACCCAGCCAGACATCAGCACAAATCCTCCAATTCTGGCAGATGGGAAAGTCGCCTTTCGAGATACTGCGGCAAGAAGCTTTTTTTTTTGCCCGCTTTGCTCTGAAGCCTAAGAAGGGCACACTGCCTGCAAGCTGAGAGGGGACAAAAGACCACAATCTGAGAGGGATGCGAGGCTTGATGTCATTGCAGCCATGCTTCAGATAAATATTCCATACCCAAGGCAATGTGCACTGCTGCTGTGACCCTTGCTGAAGATCCCAGATCAACCAGAGTGCTGTTGGATCAGGTCCTGCCATTCCCTAGCAAGTAAGCACTCACAGCGGCTGCCGCAATTGGCAGTGGCAGGGGAATGGCAGGTGGTAGGGTGCTCCCCGCACCTGGGGGACCTTCCAGGGGAAGCCGAGGGCCTCGAGCGCAGTGACCTGCGCGCACGTGAGCCGTTTCTCTTTGTAGGCCTGCCGCGCGTCGGCGACCCACTCGCCTAGCCGCCAGTCCCCCCAATACCGCCGCGGCACCAGGCAGTCCCCCCACTCCTCCTTGTATCTGCAGGCAAATTGTGAAAAGGCGTCAATATACAAGATTTTGCCACATACAGGGCAGCCTTGTGCAGAATACTAGCCTAGATCCAGACATTGCTGCAATCAAGATCCACCTGAAAATAATGAAACGATGGAGAAAGATCTGCGAGCTGTGTTCATTAAGGAATGCAGCCCAAAATCTAGGCACCTTCAAAAGTCCTCAGAATTGTTCCCCAAGCTCTCCAGGAAGCGACTGGGAATCCGGCGGTGTTCCCTATGGGAAGGGTTGCGTCAACATTCCCATGACATGGTACCCATGAAAATCATCAATTCCCAAGTATGACATGCCCCAATGTCTTGCAGCTTCCTTCCTGGCAGAATGGCAAGCCGCGCTCTCTTGCAGCTTGCTTGCTGACTAATTTTGACTGGCGTCTGCACTTCAGGCAGAGCGAAGCATGATTTAGCCTGACTGCACAGCGCATCACCTCCTGAGCGCCTCCAACCGCTCCGTGAAGGCTTCGCTAAGTGGCTGGTCCTCTGGGGGTGACCTGTTGCGCAGGCGCCATTGCTTCCACTCCGGCAGCTTGGAGTCCATGAAGTGCGGGGATAAGCTGTACCAGCGATCATCCACCCCTGCGCATGCATGCATGATCCCCTTTTGGCCATCGGCGTACCAACCCTTGCATGCGGCTATCCCCCATCACAGCCTAATACATGAGGCCCTCTCAACGCAACACCTTACTGCATAAGAGGCCATCCGCTGACATGCAAGACAGCAAAAAGCATTGATCAAGCTTGTTGAGGCTCTCAAGTCATCCATGAGTGTTCAGGTCAAGAATTGGGTCATGCTGCGGTCCGGGGCTGCACCCCACCTTTAGAGGGGGCTCTCCACTTGGAAGTTTTTTTCTTACTGCCAATATTGCTGGTTTCGCTGGTGCTGGCAGACAAGCCGCTATCTGCTCGTTCCTTGTGGGCGTCAGTCCCAAAATCCTCTGAGCTTCTGTCATCCCAGTCAAAGTCCAGGGCCCTCACTACATCGCTCAGCTGCACAGGCTTGGGCTGCTCTTCCGCTCCCTCTGCTGGCTCCTTCGGGTCAGACATGCTGACAGCTGGGCTCATAATAAGCTTTTGGATGGTGCTGCTTTGCATGTCTTGGTCAGTTGCTGCTGAGGAACTGTCAAGGTCCTGGTCATGAGCAACTGCTGGCTGTGCAGCTGCAGCAGAAAATCGTGCGCAGTCTGCAGGAGATGCTGCTTGGCTGATTCGCAATGAGTTTGTCAGCCATATTGACGACATGCCGCCATACTGGAGCTCAACAATAGAGCTGTGCAGACATGCTCTTCTGGCAAGCGATGCGAGCTTGCAAAGGCGCATCGCCGTACTGTATCGGCTGAGAAGAGCAGCTTTTTAAGTAAAGGGTTAAATTGTCAACGATCGCGATTTAGTCTAATATTATCAGCGTCAACTAGCTAACTCTCGCACACGTGGGCTGGTCGAAAAAGCTTGCAATTTGCAGTATCATGCGTTTCGATTGTTATCGATACTTAGAGACAAAATTCATTGAGAGCTAATGCCAGATCTATAATTACCCAGTCCTTGGCTACATCATCTTTGTCCTTAAGCATGCACACACGGCAAAATCAAGCTGCCGGCACAGACACTGTGACTAGAGTGGTTCACTTGCCGAATTATGCTTTACTGCACTCACCAAAAAGTTTCAAACTGTCCAGTGAGGGCGCATATGCTGCAATCTGGGTGATCAAGGCCACCCTGGGTTCGTCGACCCCTAAAAGGTGAACCCTTGAGGGGAATGTTTCGGTCAAAGCGACGCCTAAACTGGACGAGCCGCTGGTCAAAAACTGAAACACCATTGGCAGGCATCATGGGTTTCGAGCGTGCCTGAATTATGATCCAGACAGTACTAGACGCAGTGGCATGTCCAGGCATGGTGTTTTGAGGCAATCTGCGAGGGGCTTGACTGGTGTGTGTTCTACTTGGATTGAAGATCTGAAGTGGCAGCTGGGTTTCGGCATGGTGTTCTGGCAGCCTCCTGCGGCCAATTTGCAGCACAGTGGTCTCTTTGCACGCGCTTTGCCATCAGTCAGCAGTTTTCACGCCCTCACTGGCCGCCGTCAGCCAGCAGACATAAGAACAGAGAGGCAACATCATCCTGGCTTTGCTAGCTGCAGCTCTTCCTCGAACTTTGAAGCCGGGTCGGAAGAGAGCGATGGCAGATCATCACCAACAAAGAGGCGATCTGATGGCAGGAGAGGGCTGCAGAGTGTGGCAGGGATTGGGCCGAGGAACGAACAGCGGTTGGTGTCAAAGGGCATCGAGAGCGTGGACAGATTGAAAGAAATCTTTTACATGCAGAAGAAGCGGAACGAGGAAAAGATGCTCACCTACCTCCAGGTCAGCACCTAGATGTTAGTATATGTTTCTTTCTGTTGAAACCCTGCTGAATGCTTTGGCAGCTGTTCACGAAGCAAAGCACGGTCATCATATTGAAAGTCGCAGACGGGATGATTCTGTAGACTTTACCCAAGGCTTTCCAGACAGGGCCTTTTGGAAAATCGGAAGCAAGGTTCTGTTGCAAGCCTGTTTGCCTGATCTGGTACAGGGGGAGATCGGCATCAGGAACAAGCGGCACTGCACGGACATCGTGAAGCATCTCGCAGATCTTGAGATGCCTTCCCAGAATCAGGAAGAGGCGGAGCGAAGGAAGCGCAACAAGGTGACTCTGTGCGTGGAAGGCAACATCAGCGCTGGCAAGAGCACCTTCCTGCAGAAGCTGCTCAAGAGCAGCGTCGAGCTGCGGGACATCATCGAGGTGCTTCCCACTCTCTCGCTCCAGGGACTGCTTAAGAGACTGCGGATATCAGTGCATTTTTCTGCCCTGGAGAAATATAAGACTTGGGGTCATGATGAGGTGGTATTTGTAGTACTCCCAGCTAGCAAATGTCCTGCTGCCACCACATAGGACATCCAGGCTCTGTATTGGCCCCTGCGGCTCTGCAATAGCGCCCATGCAGCTGAGAGGGCTTGCGCGCACAGCACTATTCACGAGCGTCTGAAATTATGCCAAAAATAACAGGAAGTAAAGAAGGTGACTGGGTGGGGGTGCAGGTGGTGCCAGAGCCAGTCGACAAGTGGCAGAATATCCAGGACACGAATGGGGGTCAGCCGTCAAACCTACTTGAGGCATTCTATCGCAATCCCGAGCGCTACGCCTACACATTCCAGAACTACGTCTTCGTCACCCGCCTCATGCAGGTGCGATGCGTGGGGGCGCACCTGAAACGTATTTGGTTTCCAGCGCTTGATTGTGTTGATATGACATGGTTAGGGGGTAGTCCTGCCGCTTTCCAAGTCCAGTCCAGTCAGCATTGCCATTGTGACCGTGACTCTTACAGCATCGGCCCCATTGATATGCTGCGCTTGACATCTAAGTGCGCTTGAGATCTAAGTTCATGAGCACACTGCAGAATCCGCCGCTTTTTGGATGCAAATGGTGGATCCTTGGCAACGTACTTTGTAGATTTTGTGCACAGCATGGCACAGGCTACTGTACTGTGGCTGCCGTGTAGGGCACTTTGAAAAGCAGCACGCTTGCAGGATTGTGTAGCAGTCACCAGCGTGCCGTAATATGAGCATGCAGGTCCCTCAAAAAGATGCTCTTTTACTGAGTATGCATGTCCATGATTTGATACAATGTGAACATTGCGTGGACGGGGCAGATCAGGGCCAGTGCGTATCTGGCTTCTGCACACAACATAGCTGAAACTCTATTTAGGCACTGTACTCCTTGTGTTTTGCCTGAGAAGGTAGGTCTAGAGCCATCAGTCATTTCCAGCAAAGACTTGCAGTGTTGACAGTCCCCGCGTGCGCTGTTCCCCCGGCCAGGCGAAGGACAGCGAGGACTGTGCGGCGCCGCTGCGGCTGCTGGAGCGCAGCGTTTTCAGCGACCGAATGGTCTTCGTGCGCGCCGTACACGAGGCCAAATGGCTCTCCGAGATGGAGCTGTCCATCTACGACTCCTGGTGCGCACACGTTTGATACATGTTTGAGACACACTGCACTCATCAGAATCTACCAGAGACAATAAGCCAGTTGTGCCCTCAGTAGACAGAGGTAGGCAGAGAGGCATTCTTCCTCCTGAATAGCTGATCCTGCATGCCCACAATCACTCAACAAAGAAGGGCATGCTTTGCCGACTGACACCCAGTCTCGTATGAAGAGGCACACAGACCTCGGGGACTGCCCTGTCAGGCCGTTACTGCGTCCCTGCTCAGCCTCTCAATATTTCTGATCTGAATGTCTATGCGGTCATCAAGCATCAATGGCACATCCTTAGAGCGCACACTCAACCTTGAGGGTTGATGTCCAAAGTCGCTGGAAGAGAAAGAAAGAAAAACAAACGAGGCTGAAAGAAGGTGTGCGCCGGTGCGCAGGTTCGACCCGGTGGTGTCCCAGCTGCAGGGCCTGGTGCCGGACGGCTTCATCTACCTGGCGGCAAGCCCCGAGACATGCATGCGCCGGATGAGTGCCCGCGGCCGCGGTGAGGAGGGCGGCGTCTCCCTGGATTATCTCGCCAATCTGCACTCCAAGCACGAGGAGTGGCTTCGCAGCGGCGCCCTCCGACCCGAAGAGCTGCAGCTGCTGTCCGATCCCTCGCGCAATCTGGTGCGCACAGCTTGTTTGCATTCTCCCTTCGCATGTGAGTGCCGGTAACTTGGAAGAGCCCACGAGGCTAAGCATGAGCATTCTGTGTCTGGAGCCGGGTGTTCGTGCATCTGTCAGTGCTCTTCTGTCAGTCCATGATGTGGATGGGAAAAAATCGATTTGTCAGATGACATGCGTAACACAGGTGAGGTTGCACAGCATGTGAGGGCACGCTAAGAGTTTGAGCATGTCTTAAGTCTACTGTATGATGCTCATATTTTGTTGTTGGCTGCAGACGACGCCTCAGCCGAATGGGGATGTGGGGAACGGTGCCAGCTGGTACCACACCAGGCCTCCAGAGCCCGAGAGCGTCCGCGGCAAGGTGCGCCTGGCGTCACTGCTGCACCTGTCAAAGAAAGCAGCGGCCCTTTTCATGCGCAGCTTGGTGCACACTTCGGAAGTGCCTTGCGCAGCCCCTTCTGCAGCCACAGGACATGCATGCCTCCGGAGCCAGGGAGTCTCAACAGATTGTGACCGTCATGACTGCATGCTTCCGGAGCCCCTGGAGTGCCATAGAAGCGCCGGCACCGCGCGTTTGCAAATACAAAGAACCATGAGCAGTGGCCGCAGCAGTGGTCACGCAGCACTCTTGACTCTCTCGCACGAAGCTGTGAAAGCCCAGGTTGCAGGAAAGCTTGTTATGATGCGCTGTATGCGCGCAGGTGTTCTACCTGAACCAGGAACGGCAGCCGATGCTGCGCAAGCACATAGACGGCCTGCCGGCGCTCTACCTGGACTGCGACACCGACATCGACCTGGAGAATGACATCTCTGCGCGCTCGGCTTTCGCGCGCCAGATCCGCGATTTCTCTGACCACGTCCGTGCCCTGCGCGAAGCCCGGTGCGCCCTCGACTGCCATTCTCGCTGTGGCGTCGTCCTCCTGCAATGATGTACCATGTCCCTAGACAGTCCGTTTGCAAGTTGCACATCTGACACATCTGTCATTGAGGTGCACATCTGCTTGTTGTTTGTAACGACCGAGGCGACAAGCAAATTGATAAAAAGAGAGCACCTCATGTGCACATTTGACTTTGCGTCCATCTTCTTGTGTTTGGCTGTGGCCTGCTCTTGCTGCGTCCTACAGCATTTAAATGCTACAATTGGGCTGTTCTTATATCGTCCCGCCCTGCCGCCAAATGCTTTTTTGCTCTCTTCTGGTGCCGATTCTGTGTGGATTGTCAAGTGCCTTGAAATACAGGTGCTTTGCTGCTGCACTGACTGGATTGGGCTTGCTGCTTTGTGGGTGGTGAGTCGCGCATTCACACCGGCAAGGGCAATTATGCATCTGGCACTTCATCCATTGTGAGGACGGCCTCATAGGCCCCCAGGCGTCACCAGTGCGTCCATTTCTCACTTTTCGTCTTTGCTGCAGGGTAAAGCCGGGCCTGGTGTTGCCCACTGAGGAGTCCAGGCGGTTGGTCATGGACCGCTGCTCGCCCGAAATGCTGCAGGAGACGCTGCTCCAGAGAGGCCACGATCTGGCGTTCCATGACAGCGTGCACCGGCAGTTTGCAGCCGCCTCGTGAGATTCGTTGCATCCACCGTTCCAGCTGTCGCCCCTTGCCCCAACATGCGTGTTACGTGGCCGCGAGTTTGTGCGGCCGGGGTGTAGGGGTGAACTCAAAATAAAGTCCTCTCAACCCCAAATATAAGCGCAAGAGGAGGGCCCGCACGCTCCTTGTACAATAGTGCTGCGGCGGTTGCACGAGCGGTACGGCCAATTTTGAAGCGGGCTGGCAGGCTGTTGTGCGGCTAGGGCGTAACACGCAATCCAATGCAAAAGCTTCTCTGTAAAGATACCTGCCCGGCCGCCGCTGCGATGACATACCATTTCTCCTTGACTGTCTGTTTGCCAACTGAACATCTGATTTAGACTGCGTTTGTAACGACAAGGCGACAAGCAACTTGATGCAAATAGAGCACCTCACTTGCTAAGTGAGATGGAGTCGGCATTCCCTCTCAGGGATGATGCAGAAAGGGGCAAGTTTCAGGGCGATGAGTTGTGGGTGGAATGTGCATCTTGTTCTTCGTCTTCATGTGACCATACTGATCAGCATTGCCTCATTGCCAGTGAGTGCACTGCGTCAAATCTGTTTGCAAACATGATTGTGGAAGGGCACAGTGTGTGACTTACAGTCCTGCAAATGAAGACTGCGGTGATTCAATAAAAATTCATGACGGTATCCATGTGAACACCATGTTCAGTGACTGCAGGGAGCTCACAGCCAATGCTGTAAGTTCAACCTGCATTAATTAATGATATACTACTTGTGCAAACACGGCAGGTGCACAAATACATAGGGCATATCTCCAAATATCATGCATGTGAGAAACAGAAAGCCAGTGTGAACCATGGTCACCTGGCCAGGGCATAATGAAGATCCAAAATAAACCCCCCTGGTGTGAAAGAACTGATGGCCAAGGAAGAAGTAGCATTGGGGAATCATGTGCTTGAAGATTGTGGATGAGTATTAAGCCCTTGTAAGCTTACACACGAATAGATTTTCTTTGATTGGTTCATCTTTTCTTTCAAGGCGAACATGTCAGAGAAAAATGCATCAGCTAGCGCTAGAGTTGCAAGACAACTGGCAAACACTCGATCTAAAGTCTGCGAATGCACATCTGCTCTCCTGTTTCTGCATTTTGCACTCTAGCCGATGTGTACTCTACAATACCCAGCCCGCAGGGACTCAAAATTGCATAAGAGACACCAAAAAAGAATAGCAATGCTGGATGTGAATCAGACAGCCCCTTCCTGGTGCAACAGCTTGGCTGTGCAAGGGGCAGAACCAAAGAGTCATACTGCACCGGAGATGAAATAAATAAAATGGTAGTCTTTCAGGTACATAGTTCAGTACGGGTTGTGTCATGTCAGCAGATGGACTCAGACCATCGATGCTCTTGATCATGACTCATTCACCCTCGGAGAGAGTCAATGCTTCTCAGGAAAAATGGCTTGGCCCTTTTTCTCCCCTCAACTACTCTGAGATCTAGCACTTGTTGCAGGACAGCTTGCAGTATCCGTTCATCCAGGACTCGTTACATTTGCCCCAGCCAACCTGATCAAAACACAAAAATCAGTCAATGCATCCCCCTCCCTCGAGGCCCCCCAGCTACCTTCCTTTTTGATGCGCAGTGTGAAACCATCAGAATCAGACATTTCAGCTGCAGGCCAAAGCAGTGTTAGCAGCACCATCACTACTGTCGACTCTTGTAGCACAGCTGCATATAGGGACCGGTCACACGAGTAGCGCGATCACATGTGTCACTCCAAGAGTGGCGTCTTGACAAGGAAGTTGCGTGTCAGCAAACAGCACATGCGCAAAAGGGAATAGTCACCTGCTGCTGGCAGGTGTAGGAGGAGCCTGGCGGGGGGATGTCTACGCAGGAAGAGGAGCCGCATCGGCCGCAGCTCTGAGCACAGAAGCCCTGCATCCAAGACTGGCCACACTGGCCCCAGCCAGCCTGCAGCAGCATGGCGCAGTCAATTACAGAACATGAAATGTCTGCAGCGTGCAAGCACCGCAAATTAGGGGAGGCACTCCTATCTGTAGTGGTTGAACTCGAAAGAAATTACCGAGGCTGCTGGGCTCAAGGGACTTGGCCCTAACAGATGTGCAACGCTGTGCGACAGCTCAAACCTTCACCTAGCTACACTTTGACTGCATGCAAATACTGCATATCACACGAGGCAACCCTCCCTGCAATTATCACACTGACATAAACCTAGCACGGTTGCCCGCGGCAGACTTGACCCTCCAGGGGGATTGATATTACAAATAGCAGAGAAACTGCATGTGGCGCTCCACTGCCTTTTCCAGAGTTTTGGTACTGCTGTGCATGCTTCAAGAAGGCGTTCATCTGGCTACTGAAGGCCAGTGGATCACTAACGGCATGACATGAGGGTGAGTCAGGACCTGCTGCGCGCATGTGTAACGGCTGTCTGGTGGGGTGTCAGTGCAGCCGGATGGGGGGCTGGGGGTTGTGCCAGAGCACCTGCCGCAGCTCTGTGCACAAAAGCCCTGCATCCAAGACTGGCCGCACTGCCCATAGCCAGCCTGCAGCAGCAGGGGTGGTTGTAATGACTGATATATTATCAATCACCCCTGGCAGCAGCCACATGCAGAAAAGAAAAGCCCCAAGCAGCTGTTTTCTCAGAACCGACACTGCTGGAGCCTGCACCTTCAGAATCACTGCAAATCTTTCCTAGCTGTCACTCTGCCGGCAAGCCAGCACAGTGTATGATCATATGTCATGACCAAATCTGCTTCACTTGGTCTGTGTGTATTCCTCAGGACTCTGAGGCTGCAGATGTGCCAAACTATCTGGGGCAGCTCAGGTGACATTACATAAGGGTGAGTCGGCACCTGCTGTGCGCATGTGTAGCGGCTGTCGGGCGGGTTGTCCGTGCAGCCTGAAGATGGCGGGCTGCTGGGTGGACTGCCACCGCCGGAGGGGACTCCACCGCTCTGCATCGCATATATCACGTATCACATCGTCTTGTCAGACTGGCGCAAGTTTCATGTCATGCCTGGCAGCATGCACATGCATGCGCGCAAACTGCAGCCACTCAATATCCGAGCATAACCTCTGCAAGGGCCTCACAGGTGTTCCATTCATACGAAACACAGGGCAGGAGACTTTGACATCAGCTGATCTGATGCATGCTAAAGCCCAAACGAGACTGCACCCCTTGACATTTCCCTGCCTAGAAGCACGGCTCCCTTTGGCGCCATGCCCTTGTTGCCCGCTGTGAATGTTCTGTGGCACATTATGTGCATAAGCAGACACTTGCATCCTGCAGCAATGTATAGAAAATGTAGCAGCACCAAAATGGTTCGCAGAATCTGCGCGCACCTTGCTGTTCATGAGGTTGATCTGGGCGCGCATGGCGTTTGAGCCGTCCTGGCCGACGGAGAAGTCGTAGGAGTAGTCATCGATGCTCCACGCGATCCACTCCCAGATCATGGTCGCCCCCGCGTTGTTGTTGTTTGCCTCCCCGAATATGGAGTTCAGCAGCGTGTCGCGGCTGCCCAGGTAACCCCTCTACGGCAGCACAGAAAAGAGGCCCTCAGAAGGGGCGTAGTTTTTAGCCTAGAAAGTGCAGAGCCACAGACGGAGCCCGCAGAATTGTGTGACAGCAAATGGCCAGGTAGTCACTCGGCGGGTCGCAAGATGCAAAGTACACCTCAGAAGTGCACTATTATGCAGACTACGTGCTTGGTGCAAGGTCAGCCCCCTGCTATGGCTAATATATGACAGGTGAACGGGAAGACACTCCGTGTTAGAGCCATCTCAGCCTCTTTTAAATGAGCGGTAATGCAAAAGTTATAAGGTGTTTAATTTTCTGCCTCATCTGCATGGCAAATGAAAAGCCCTTGTCTGCAGGCTCTTTAAAGAAGGATTGGATGCCAAGTATGCTCAGTGCACATGCATGCCAGAGCAGCGAAGTGTGTGACGGTTGTACTTGGCCAGCACACCTGCAGAAAATACAGTAGAGCGCATGGGAAGATACCGGTGATCTGCATGCAAGAGATAGCAGAGGGTACAGACCTTCATGCCGGTTTCCTCAATGATGAACGGCTTGTTCTGCGCGTGGGCGATGGCCGCTCTGTCGCGGATGAAGTTGGGGTTGACCCAGTCAAACTCGTACGCCTCTATCGCCCAGTTGTCCGGATCTGCACATGGAATCTCCACCACATAGCTTGAATTCTCCCATGCACTGATTTTTCCCGCTTGGTGCAGGAAACAATGTCTAATCTCTCTTCGCATGTCTTGTCCTTTAGTAGTGGATAGACTGTGCGCTCCCCATGACAAAGCCAGGCTTGTCTTGCATAGCTGCTTTACCTGCTAGCAAGTCAAGCTGGCACCTTTGGATCCAAAGGAATACGTTGGACTCTCTATCACAATCACCCTCAGGCACATCAAAACAGGGGGTACTAAAGACTAATACTTTTTGGTACACCCTGATCACAAAGACTGATCTGATCCCTTCAGCATACAAAAACTGGTGACTGATCTGACAACGAGTTGTTCGAGAGCCGTGAGATCACTCACAGACATGGAGGGTCATGAAGTCGATGTCAGGGCAGGCGATGTTCCCCACTGGATCCAGGCCCTTGAAGCCTCCGTTGATCCTGCACCGCACTTCTCATCATCAAAACAGCAGCGACAACACATTGTCCATTAAAGAAGACTCTGACGCGCCATAAAACATCAGTAAATCTATGCCGACCGTATAAAAGTGCTGCAGGGCCCTACTACAGATGAATTCTCGTGTCTTGCAAACACTGACATGCTGCTGGAATCGCCAATTCCTAGGCAGTCTTGTCTTGTGCATCCCTCTTTTTATGGCAAGGCGTATCTGGACTCCAGGGTCCAGTCATCCCGATACCTAGGCAGTCTTGTCTTGTGCATATCACATTGATGGCATATCAAATTGATGACATGTATACAAGGCCTATCTGGACTCCAGGGTCCAGATGGACTGAAAGGCAGGTGTAGGGGCACACCAGTTGTTGTGAGGGGGGTTCGTTGGGCCGTCTGCGCGATAGCCCTCCTCTCCTGTGGCCACCTGTGCATGCACACATGATTTGGATTTACCACCCCTGGGTGCAATGGGCTACAGGGTATGAAATCAACCTCGATCCTCTTGTGACTGACCCTTGGCTGGGCAGCAGATTGCACGGAGGTGCAAGGGGCAGGCATCAAATGCTACAGGAAGATGATACAGACTTCTGGAAGAGTGACATGCTTGATTTCCAGGCGGGCAAGGTAGCAAGAAATCAGCACAATACATTCTTATGCTGCATGACAAAGGGTCTCACAGAACACAGAACAGAGAATGCACTCCAACTCAATTATACATATGGACTTCAACGTCTGTGCTGCCCCTTTGCCAGGGTCAGGCCCATCCTTCCCACATCCCTGCTATGCATGCTGTGATAGGGTGCTCCATATCGCATGGTGTATAGGGCGCATGTTGTTCAGTAAACCCAGAGGAACACACATCTAGAATCCCCTGTAATACATAATTCAAGAGTATATTTCAAGGTTGCGCACCATATGGTTGCGGTCGATGCTCTTGACATAGGCGGCCATCTCATAGACCCAGTCGCGCGCCAGCTTGCCGGGTGGCAGTCCCCGGTTGCGCTCGTAAAGGTCCGTAGTGTGGGGCTCATTCTGCGCGCAACAAAAGAGTCATCATGACTCATCGAATGCGCCCCCCTCCCCTTTTCTAATCCTCATGCTGAGGGCAAGTAATCAAATCGTGCCACATTGGACCTCCGATAAACCACTTGGCTCATACAGGTACGTCGTGTGGGGCTCATTCTGCAGACAGAAACAGTCGCAGTAACTGGAGAATCCAAGGTCCCAGCCACAAGTGCTGATGCTAACAATCTCCCAAGGTTAAACTCTGCTGCTCTGGACCTGCATTGGCTCTCGGCAGGACAACAGAACCTGGAGAGTAATTCTGCTTGCCCCTGCCTCATTGCCTGTGAAAACTTATCAGACTTATACAGTTAGTGTTCACCAATCCAGGATCAGCTAATGACATTCTTGCATTGAGTTGAGTTTGAGGCGTGTAGGCAAGTGGAGTGTGAAGAAAGGAACTGCATATGCATTTTTGGCTGGTGGCTCATAGTAACATTGTTAAAGGAGCGATCTCATCTATGCAAACGCACAGCAGGCAGCGGCGCACCATCAGCTCAAAGGCGAACATGGTTGGGTCGTTCTTGTACTGGACGCCGGTGAAAGTGTTGACGCGGTTGAGCAGCATGTAGACATAGTTCTTGTAGGCCTGCTTGCACCTGTTGTCCGTGTAGAAGAGCTCCTTCGGGTTGCCGGAGCCAATGAGCTGCAAGCATGCACATGAAAGGTTTGTCAGCAGCAAAGACTTAACAGGCGCCTACTATTAGATTCTTATTATTATATCACACGCTTTTCCAGCCGAAAGGCAAGATACGTCCTGCAGACATGCTGCAGTTAAAGGGTGCCACAATCCTACCCCTTGTTGTACTCTTAGATATGCACCCTTTGATTAAGGAGCACAGCCCCGAAAGCGACCTGAGCTCAGTTGAGCTGTTGACATCGGATGAACACTCTGCCTGACCTAACTGCTCTGTCATTTTAAGAAGGGCAGATCATTCTGGCAGTGAATCTCAGACACACATGCACGCATGCGGCAAAACCCCGCAGCACCAAAAGCCGAGCATGCATACATGCCGGGCCCAAAACCAGACCTGGCCATCCGCGCTGAAACCCCAGAGGAGCTTTATGGCATCCCTCTGCACGTCAATTGTGAGTAGTGCAGCTGCTAGAAGCGAAGCATGCCAGGGCAGATCCTCTGGTCCCTGGGGTCCAAGAAAAATACCTCCAAGGCATATGCAAAGGGTGAACCCTACACTTTCATGCGTCTCACCTAATACCATATTACAAGGGCATAAGGGGAGAGAAGTCCTTACCTGGTCCACATACCACTGCATGCCGCCTCCAACCGGCTCATAGTTTGTGGGAACCACAATGACTCGGACGTCATTCAGGTACGCTTGCTGCATGATCAGGTCGACTCGCTTGAGCCCCTCCTCATCATAGACCCCTGGGGACTTCTGAATTGGCTGACTGGTCACATCGTAGCCGTCCAGGAAGCAGAACACCCTGACCAGTGTCACCTTCTCCCGGCTCATCACCTGCACAGCAGCAAGAGGAAGCTCAAAACACAGTATTGAGCCAACTGAGATCGACCTTCCTTTTAACGGCTGTTACCCCAAGAGAGAGATCTTGCTACTAAGAACAGGCTGCCTTCTGGCAAGAAGCTCTGCCAAAGATCCACCACTGCAGAAACTTGAGACCTTCACAGACGACCTCACTGGGCACTTTGCAGTAATCAGCTCATTCTCACTTCTCCCCACATCCAGGCAAGCTAGGGCTGCACTCCAGCTGACATGCACTTTGCTGACTTGCACTGCAGCTGACATACACTTCATGAAGTCTCCATGCAGGCTGGTCGTATCTGAAGTGATCGCTTGCAGAGAGCAACACTCTGCTGCAAACCTTCAAGGACCAACGAAGCCACCAAACACTGCAGGCGCCAAGCTCTGCAAACATACCTGGAAGAAGTTGCGCACGTAGTCATCGCTGAACGAAGTCCTGATGGGCAGGTACCTGCAAATACACCCAGCAACTCAGAATTACATCCTCCAAGCCCCAGCATCACAGCAGCGCAAAGCCACAATCACTTGAGCACTTCAAAACCTCAAACTGTGCAGTTGACTCAGCCAGTTGTGGGCAGGCAGGCACAACCGCTGGCATGCAGCAGAGGCCTGACAGCAGTTTTGCTGCCAGCGCAGTCTTAGTTGAAGACTTTGTGACCGTCAGTAGTGTCGCATAATGAAGGAGAGTGTCAGATGGGCGCACCAGGCGTTGGTGCCAGCAAAGTAGACGGTTTTGCCATTCAGGACAAAGTTCTGGCCCTGGCGCTGAACGAAGCCTGACACAGCCTCTATCTGCGCTGAAGTGCCTGTGACAACTTCTGTCTGTGCTGCGCTGCCTGCAACAGCTTCGATCCGCGCTGAAGAGCCTTTTATTAGAGCTGCAGTGGGGGCAGAAGCAGGGCTTTCAGCTGCAGCTCCCTCTGCCTTTGGGACTTGGCTGGGGACTGGCAGGATGTACTTCGAGTCCTGCGAGGGGCTCTCAGCAGCTGCCTCAGCCATGGCCGATGCAATGGCTGCCAGTGAGGCCGTCTGATTGGTGCCTTCTGCTGAGACAGCAGCGCGGTTGGATGGCAGGGGCAGGGCATACTTAGAGGCGTCAAAGTGGGAGACATCTTGCAGTGACAGGGATGGTCTTGAAGCGCTGCTGTCCTGGGCGATGACTGGAGAGGCCTGCAGCAAGCAGATGGACACTGCTGCGACCATACACCATGCTGGGACCTTCGCCGCTGTCATTGGTCTAGCTTTTCTGTACAGTGTTGAGTCTCAACCCTGTCTGGCGACAGCAAATTTCTTATTTACGAGCCTCTCTCCTGCAACGAGCCCCCACCATATTGGATTAGTACACAATTGTAGAGAGACGTGTAGGTGGTATCCACAGCATGAAGATAATTAATAACATTGGCCCGCACGAAGTCTGACAAAGCACATGCGCCCTGCGCAAGGGCCGACCGCCCCACCTCCGCCTTCTCTTAGATGCCGGTATAAGCCGTTAAATGAGCTTTTGTACTGTTGTGAGACGCCCCATGTTGAGTCCCCTGCGGATATCACACGGTTCTGTGGTTAGCAGGAGTGACCCATAGTTAGCCGAACAGTTCGCAAGGTTCCACAGCGTCGCCGGAGCAGGCAAACGTCTAAGCATAGGCTTCGACGTCGGTAACTGACCTTTTTAATGTATTCTTTGAGCTGAGTGGCGCACCCTCAACGGACCAAGCCGAATGTTGTCATATGACTTGTGGATTAGCACACCTGTCGGTGGATGGCGGGAAAGGACTTGAAATTGCGAGCGTATCGGCGACGCCTCGGCGTCCAAGGAACCTTTTCGCCAACCATCCAACCCATCCTTCGCTGGAAGGAGTACTTTTCAGCCTGTGTTAGCAAGCTGTGTAAGCAAATGTTGGGCTTCATCCGCGGGAGCTGAGACATGGCTCAATATGCTGATGACCTACTCCATGCAGCCTGCCCAATCTGAGATTGCAAATATATATATGCATGCAAAAACCATGCCGGCTGAGTCAGCCTGGCGCTTCCAGCGTTAGCTTGAGTATAAAGGCTTGCAGTGCATCTAACACAATGGCAGCTTGCACCTCAGTTTTAGAGCCCTGGGCCAGAATACGTAAAAACCCCCATTTCCACGTGGCAGCTTGATAGATGCATGCATCATATGATCATGAGATCAAGTTTCACCGGCCAAATTTGTTTTAAAACGGCAGCGTGCAGCTGCAGCTTGCGTTGTGCTGGATACATTTAATCATGAAATGCTCAAATCAGGGATATTGAACCGTTCAAGGTGGTAACTTTACATGTAAAGTAATCTTACAGTGATTGCCAGCAATCGGAAGCCTTCCAAGCCTGATCTGAGAGAGTGCCTGAAATCTCTAGACAGCCAGAGCCAGCCTGAGTGCCCATGGGTGCAATTCCGCTCGCACAGCCTTGTATGTCTTGCAGTCACAACAGCTAAATTTTTACCCCTAATCTAGAGTCATTCCTGAAACTGATATAGTAGCCAGTCTTGTCCTGGTGCCTGGTCAGGCTCAGGCACTGCCCTGCGCGGCAGCCCATTGTGCAAGGGTGAGTGCGCCGAAACCAGTCGCGCCCCCCGCCTTCTCATCCCACGCCGGGCCGGCAATGTCGACATGCGCCCACTCCACCTGCACCCACAGAACACCTGCAGTATTAGCTGTCATCTTGTAAGGGGTCAGTTCTTGGCAAGTACCCATGAGCCAGATCCATAGAAAGTATATGCCGGCGTTGCTGGAGAGAGCGTCCACGAGAAGCCACAGGAAAATGCCCGGATGCACATCGAGATGACTCGCAGTGGTCCCTGCAGAAACGCTGCTTCTGCTGCGGCTTCTCAACTCACACAGCTCAACACTGCTGTTTCAACACTAGGCAGAGGATCGCTCACCCACCACACTGCCCTCTTGCGTCCACTTGAAAAATCAGGATTTCCCTAAATTGATGCAGGAGGCGGCCCCACGCTGTACATGCTGACATCAAAGCTGCAATCAGGAAAGACAGCAAAGCAGGGGAGTAAAATGCGAGGCTCCAAGCAAGCGAGGACCTTGTCAGTGTCGACAAATTCGCGCAGGAAGAGGGCTGCGGTAATGGCGCCCCCCAAGCGGCCGCCAGCGTTCTTCATGTCGGCGATGGGGCTCTTCATCTGCTCCCAATAGCTGTCCTCCATCGGCAGGCGCCATACCTTCTCGCCTGCACACGCGCCATGATGTCACAATGATGTCATAATAATGTCACGCTCCGACACTCACTGGTGATGCAATGACGCATTCCTGCATGCTGCATGAGCCGCCTGAGCCCCCTAGGGGTGACCTGGTATCCTCAGATGCCTCAAAAGGAGGCCCTCGTGGCTTTGCGTAAGGACAAGATATGTCATCTTCAGCATCTGAGCAAGATCATGCCTCCTTCCTCGCCAAGAAATGTTCCTCTTGACCGCAGCTCTGTATATATGTGAAACACGTATGCGCAAAGAGTCGCGCCAGACACTGCTGCAAAGAGTGTGTCTCAAGGGTTTGAGCAGTATGTAGGCAATGCACAAGACTGCAGTGGCGCCAATATACCGAGCAAGGTGCGGTGCAGGATGCCTTGCACAGGCAACGTTAGAGGCGTACCTGCAGTCTTGGAGGCATCTTTGAGGGAGGCCGCCATCGCCTCACTGGGCGTGAACACACCAGCCACCTGGACACAGTAGAAGACAATAGAGAGGTTCAGCTTACAGTCTCCAAACGTTGCTACAAAGACCAAAAGGCACACCTCTCACAAAGCTCGCCTAGCTTGGGCCTTTGCCAGGAAAGTACAAGGTGAGCTCTCCAGCTCAGGATGCCATTGTACTATGAATGTGGTGCCCAGAGATGCACAATTTAAATTTGCAATCCAACTCAAGACCATTCGTTGAAGTCAGGCAGACCTCCTATCCCACGTAACGGATCAGGACAAGATTTAAATGTCGGACTTCCAGAATGACAACGAAGAATGCCCACCAGCAAGGAAAGGAGAAGAAGACCCAAAGTCTAAGAAAAACCCATATCAGTGGTATGGATGCTCTCACCAGAACGCAGGCAAACCAGCTACACCGGCAGCAATTGGAAAACTCTCCATTTGCCTGCATCTGATGGCAGCAGTACCCGCCGACAACACAGCCGCAAATACACAGCGCAAACCTCACGCCTCTGCTTACGGCTTCCCATGCACACACATGGAATGGCAGCTTTTGAGGAGCAGTAAACGTTGGGATTGAGAAGAGATTTGCGAAGAAAAGGAAAATCCAACCTGGTTGCCGAGGGCGACCATGCATGCGCCGGTGAGCGTTGCCACGTCGACGACTGATTGCACGCCGCACTTCTCCTGCGCGTACCACAGCGCGTCCGCCAGCGTCAGCCGGCCCTCCGCATCCGTGTTGTTCACCTGGCCGCACACAAGAATCCTAGATCATAACATCAGGTGGCATGAGAAGAGAGCGTGTTGTTCACCTGGCGGCACGCAAGAATCCCGAATCATATCATCAGGTAGCATCAGAAGAGAGCGTGTTGTTCATCTGGCGGCACGCAAAACTTCCAGGAGATCAGGTACAGCAGAAAAGAGCATGTTGATCACATAATGGGTGTCTTATTGATTTGTAGCCTGCCCAAATACAAATCCAAATCAAATTGTCAAAACCGATGCTGGCCAATTCGGAGCACCCAGCAAATTTGCATCGCGACGAAGCTTGAGACATCAGGACAATTCAACAGGATAAAATGTGCGTACCACCCTAGTTTCAACCCTTCAGTGACAGCAACGCGAAGTCACATCTACGGGCACCTAGAAAACTTTTTGGGGGCCCCACCTCGACAGTCTTGCCGTTGGCCGCTTGAAGGATGTCGCCCGGGCGCAAGCCGCGGCCGTCAATCATGTTCTCGCACGCCGCAGTGATGATATGCACCTGCGCAGACACACATTCATTCCTGCTCACCACGTGAAAATACGGTCCAAACCTTATCGACCCCTTGCACGTCCGTCGGTCTGATATGGGTTTTTCCGCCGCCGTTGCCGTCATGGGGGAATAATGTCATAAATATTACGCCCTGCATCCGACCCCTAAAATATCCGCCGCAGCGACAAGCATATTCATACATTGTTATTGCAAAGACCTACGGCTGCAGTGGAAAAAAAATCACAGGAAGAGCACGGGCGCGGAGACAAAGCCAAAATCTTGGATGTTCCAAGTTGCTCCCGCCAAATATAAAACAACATTGCGGCGCAGGTTATGCCACCACCGCGCCTGTTCAGGCGCGCGAAAGAGACTCTGTAGAGAAAAGGTACAGGGGTGCACCTGCACGCCGGCGGGCTGCAGGGAGGCGAGCGCCTGAGCGGCCCCGAGGACGGCTGCGGCGCCGCCCATGTCAAACTTCATCATGTCAATCATGCCGCCCACTTTAAGGTTGTAGCCGCCGCTGTCAAACGTCACCCCCTTGCCCACCAGGCCCACCACCTTCTTCACCTCGCCTGCAACCACGCGCGCACGCACTCAAGCCACACTTTTGCCTTGCAGTCAGTGGACCCGACAAGCTTAGGACTGACGCAAGGTACCGGGGGCTGGAGAAAGATAGGTTCTTTGAACCCCTGTGGACAAGCCTTCATCCTACCAGCCCTGGAAATCCGTATTTCTGCTGACAAAGGAAGACTTCAGGGTTCAGGGTTTTCAGTGATGTAACAAAGGCTAGTCTTGGGACAGTGCGACAGGACGGCTAAGGGCATGCCAGGGGGCGACCTGAAATCCCCCTGGTCTGCAGCGAAACAGGCATGCAGCAGCCCAGTAAGAAAACACCGTTTTCCACTCCATTCTCCCAAGCACCATGGCAAGAACCACAAAAATAAAAGGAGTAAGCAGGAGCACACCTTTGGGGGTGTAGGTGAGGTGGATGAACTTTGCGGGCTCCTCGCTGCAGGCAGTCACGCCCAGGAAGCAGCCCATCCCCATCTCCTCACACGCATCCTCCTCAATGATCTCTAATTTAAACACATCCGGAGCGCTCTCTGCAATGACTGCGGCCACCTTGGCCAGGTAGGTGGGCGTGCAAATGTTGGCGGGTGTTTCCACTAGGTACCTGCAGTCGACATTTGCTAAATCTATAAATGGTGATAGGCACACACAAGCGCTGTGCACCGCGCATCTCTTTATCATGCAAATCCAAGCCCTTCAGTGATCATGGCACTGCCGCATCGCACATATGAATGTAGAGTGCAGAAGGGACCTGCAGGATCTGACCCTCACTCTGTGCAATTTGAGTGTAAGGTGTGTCCATCAAAGTGCATTTCCGGCAGCAGCTTTTATCTCTTGTGACAAAATGCGCACACTTATGCTTCAGCACAGCCACTTCAGTGCCAGTCACAAATATGAGTGTGCTGCGAGAGTCCTTTCATTTTGAAGGGGAACCCCTCTGTGACACAAGCAGACTTAGTATGTGCGGCTTCAGCATCCCACCTGGAGAGCAGGACTCCCTTTGCAGCGCCGTGGCCGCGCCCTATGGCGGCCGCGGCGTCGGCGGCGGCCGACAGGATGTCCAGGGACTTGAGCGGCGGCGAGGCGGCCTTGTTCTTGAAGCGGGACGCCTCGTACCCGCCCAGCAGCACACCCACCGTCAGCTTCTCCACCGCCGTCTCCTGCACGGATGAGTCTCTTTAGTCATCTTTGTCATCATATTACTCACGATCGACCGTCATCAGGTCCCCCTTATCGAGTTGAAAAGGTGCAGCACACCCCATTCCAAGATACAGGAGGCTCGGAAGAACTCAGTATCTGTAAGGTCGCAGCAGGCTCTGGGGCTCGGTGCGCGCGTCACGCAGCACAGAGGAGCAAAACATGATCATTGACCTGTGATGTTAATAACCTCCAGAGACTGGGGCTCTCCTGATGGAAATTAAAGGTCACATGACAGATGTGAAAAGCAGCGCACCGAAAGGGGGTCTCCGCCAACAACAGCAATGGCAGCTGATGCAGCCTTATGATTCTTTGCAGCGGCCGCCACTGCCCCACCAAACGCCTGAGCAACACCACGCAACTTACTCCCTGCTAGCCCTGACATCAGACTGCAATGGCAATCTGCACAGAGCCCTGGCAGAGCTGTTCTGCCAGGATCCAAAACCCCCCCCAGCTGAGAGGTTTGTGGCCACAAACAATCCCATCTGCAAATTTATGCGGTAAAAAAGGCAAGTATGATACTGGCATATGCACACCTGGGTGAGCATTTGGTGGACCTTGTGTGAGATCTAGCAAAATTGCAAAGTCCTGATTAAATCTAACAGAGGGAGCCTGAGTGTGTGATTACCTGGTAGCAAGAGACGCCCCAATCAGGCACCACAGCTGCAGCGCTCTTCTTGCCGAGACCAACGACGCCGACATAGTGCGCGTTGCCTTTGAGCCGTGTGAATGTTGAGCTGCCCTGCGCCACATCAGAAGCAGAAAATGTCACTACGAGGGCCAGATGACATCATCAGAGAGCTCAGGAATGTTAATACATGCACATTCTGAGGCTCCCACTCTGGAGGCATTGAATTTGCGTTTCAGCCACCGGCTTGATTATGGCAGAGCCTCAAGGTTCAAAACATTGGATAAGTTGATATGCACAAGAAGACGATGTACAGCAATCAAGCATTGGGTGACCAGTGTGGTGAGATGAACTTAAGGTGCACCTACCTGCTTTCCCTGGAACTCGGCTTTCTCTATGAGCTCTGTGAGGATGCCATCCAAGCTTCCATCCAAGGCTGCCAGTTCCGCATCCTGGAAGACCCCTCCATCTCCTGCACCGCACATATCAAGCTTGTGTTTTCTTGCAGGGAATGATGGGATCTTGCAAGTAGGAGAATGTGAGCATCCAACGTGAGAACGCACCCGATTTATCAGAAAGGGCGTCCTCAAAGATGCCCACTGCCAGCAGGTCACCCTTCCAGGCTGCTGGATCTCCGCTGCTTGCAGAGATCTGGGGTGTGCTCTCAGGAAACAGGGCCAACTGCGCCACATGCACGGATCTAATAACAAAACGTGATGCAGCTTGCAAATCACACGCAAACGTACTGCAAACAGTGAACAATGCAATGTAGAGTGAGAATCAGGGTGCATCACCTCCTTTGACAGGTCCAGTTTCTTAGCTGCTGACTTGTCTGAGGCAGCCATTGCACTCACAACTAAACCTGCACATCAGAATTTGTGAGATAGCAGGCCAGATCGTTATTGCAGAATACTTTCAATGCGATCCAAGACAAATCTTTGGCGAAGGGCAAGACCTCATTACTTTCAATAGTCACCTCTACTGTGGTGTGGTGTGTAAATTTTGCTCCTGCTGAGGAGAGAGCCGGTAAACGAAGCTCTAGGGAGTACTGAAGTCCTGCAATTAAACAGAGTTACGCCTTCGTGCTAACCAGGTCGCAGTTGTTGTGCCTTGTGGTTCAGATGAGTCTAAGATTACCTGAGCAGTGCCTTGGGAGCTTGATTGCCCGGTTGTGATCTAAGAAAAGTTACTGAGCTCCACGAACATAAGCTGCAAGGAACGTAGCGAATCAGCAAAGCATGCAAGCGTTGGCTTTCAGTAGATGATCAAGATGCACCTCGCAAACAGGATCCTACCGCAGCCGACTCAGAAGAGGAGCTCGCAGAACCGGCCTTGTAGTAGAAACACTGGCAAGGCTTCCCATTGTCTCTGCAGGATACTTCCCAATCCTCGGCTAACCGTTTGCGTTTGCACCACTAACGTTATCCACCCACGTGCGGATGGAGAGGTGAACCTTGAAGGCGCTTGTTCACCGTAAGCAAAATAGAGCGCTTTGGCTCTCTCAGTATCCATATTTGAGCATAATATATTCAGTCTCGCGGCTTCCAGAACATTCCAGGTGATATACAAAACAACAAAAGCTATTTAGCGACGTGCCGACCTTAGCGCACACATGCTGTGATCTTGTCCGCATCCAATCAATAAAGCATCCAATTACATATTTCTAGCACGTTGTAATTCCCTTGTGCGATCTGTGACGCCTTGTAAGCGCTGTGTGAGGTATCTCATCCAAGAAAAATTTACATTCCCGGAGCGTGAACTTCAAGGTCGAACCTTGGACAAGTGAACGACAGAGATATAGCATAATTCCTGCAACGAAACCACGCACGGGGTCAACTTGGAGCAATTTGTATCTGCAGGAATCCGTGGTGGCGTCTGCTTGGCTTCGGGCTTGAGCAAACAAGGACACGACAAGGTCCTTGGAGAAGGAGGACCCCCTAAGATGGAGGTAGAGATCTGAGTTCTTCATCCTCACACGCTCTCTATAAGATTGTACTTCCTTTGATAGATAATGCCTGCACTGGGGAATCAGTAGAGGGAGTAAAGCCGACAGGTCTCGAGGGCACGAACTTCGGTGCGGCGGAGCTCAAGCTTGCCTACAAGCTTGTGCCCTCTCAAACAATGCAATCAGACGTGACCTTTGTCTAATTGCAGTCTTGGAGGAGGTCAGCCCTTGTTGGGGCCACGGTGGTTGCCCTGGGTACACTTGCCGCCATGCTTTTCCTGCGCCAACAAAGGCGCGCGCTGGCAAGAGACGTGCCCAGATTGGGAGGCATTTATGAGTCAGCTTTGGCAGATGACTCACCAGACGATGATTCAGATCCGGCAGATGGTAACCCGGATGCATCAGGTCCAGTGAAGCCTACAGCTATGGTCGTGGGCACCGCTTCTCAAGATACAGCAGCCGGCGACTCTCAAGAACACAAGAAGGTGCGTAAACAGTGCAAACAAGTTGTGCCTGCCAGCTGTCATACGAGCCTGTTGTGTGAGCAAGGTGCAACTTCAAGAAGATTAATTCGGCAAGCCTCAGGCTCAAGGCTTGTGAGCCTCAAACTAGTCAGCTGCCAGGATCAAGCGCTTCCTGGGAAACACGATGCTCAGTGTCAACCTCTGTCGAGAGCAATGAATGTCAAGGACAGTCTTCGTCGGATTGCATCTAGACAAGTCTTGCCCCTATCTATAGATATATGTGCAGTGCATTCAATTCTGCATGCGTGCGCAAATCAGCAGGGCAGCAAGACGATACATGCATTGTAAAGTTCATGACTTACAAGGAAAGTTTCAAGGTGCTGCTACAGGAGAGCGATGGCTCCTGGGAGGATCTGAGCGATGAGGAGAGGCAGGCAGAGGAAGCCACCCGCCGCGCAAAGGGGACGCTTCCTCTGGACGGCCCTGTGCTGGAGGAGATCGAGCGCCAGGAGGCCGAAATGTGCGCCCAGCAGGTGCCTTCTATAATCTCACAAGGCAGTGCATGCAAAGTTCAAAGTTTCTTCAGATTTGCATACTGGAGTCACATCGCTCTCAACGCATCTCACTGCCAGTTCAGCCTTGGCTTTTCCAAAATCGACAAATTTGTGCTCCGGCCTCTCCTTTCAGCATGGGCATTCCAGCATCCGCATCCACCTCGCAGTGTGATTACTAATGAGTAAGCGGTACTGTAAACTGCGAGGTAAATGTCATTTCTCTGCATTACTATCCTCTCGCCTCCTCTTTTGGCCTGCTTTGGCCCCTGGTGCCACTTTCTGTGTCGCCTGCTTGCTCAAAGCAAATTTCAAGAATGTTGGCTGGCGATACAGATACTTGCTTCAGATCTGGTAGGCGCAGCATCTGTTAATGCGGGCGTCATCAGGCAGTTTCAAAGGCTTGTGGCAAACACCCTGCTTGCGATCTGACACTCAGCAATGCGCAGGAGCAGGACTCCACAGACGACCCCCTGATGCCCCCGCTCGAAGAGCACTGGTCGACTTGGGGAGAATTTCAAGGACCGGCTCCAGCAGACCTGCACCAGCAGCCAGGCCAGGAAGCGGCTCAAGACAACGCCCTGCAATCTCCTGTAAACGAGCCGGCTCAAGTTCTGGATGCCCCTCTTGAGGAGCCTGCGACTGGACAACAGGAGGACGAGTCTGATGTGGCAACAGATGACGAGGAGACTTATGGCGTCCTTGTAGCTGATGAGGACTACAGCGGCCATGTGCCCTCTGGTGAGGGGGTTGGGTTTTCTGGAGGAGCATTTCCATATGAAGCTGCCATGCAGCAAGGTCCACAGTGAAAGCATCTGTGAATTCTGAGCGTGCATCTGTACAGACAATGTCAAGCGGTGACTGTGATTTGAACTTAAAATTACAGGCTGTATCCTTGCATGGTAAGCACCGGAATGGTGACCACGAGCATCCTAGGGGATGTCGCACCTGGTTGTATGTGCTGTCACAATAATAATCTTGATGTTGTAGCAGTACTGGTACAGTGAATTCTGGACCTAAGATTGCCTGGACCTGAGTTCAATCAGCTGATGATGCTTATCTGCTTCCATGCTCTGCACTGGCATTGGCAGACGGCAGATTTGCTGTCTTAGTGATGTCCAAATGTAAAATTAGTATTGCGCATGACCTTCGATCATGCTTGACATTGGGTGTACCATTCCCTAAGTTAAATCCACACACATCTCTCAGGGGATTGAAAGGCTGATGACTCACAGGCCCTAGGGTTCTGGTGTGCCTCGACATTGCCGGTCTCCGAGGCTCTGTTCACAAAACGTTGGTCGAATCGCGACGGAACATTGTTTATGCCCGTTCATATGTGCTCTACCGATGACCTAGGGTGCCCGCAAATCTTCTCAAGTTTCAAGAGACGCCGAGCGGTGTGACTCTACTTTTGGATCGTGTGACGCCGTTGGCGAGGATATCGAAGCGCAGCGCCAGAATTTCATTGCTCGTGATTGCCCAATCAGAATACATTCAACGAAAGTCGCTTGCTTTGCAAAAGATATAGCTCGCTCTTGATACACCCTTTACTTCTCTTCGGACTTGTTGCCGACGTGACAGCTTCCAAGGTTCAATCAAGGATCCGTGAACGCTTCAAGAGGTAAGCATGATGTCAATGGTTCTTTGCTAATTCCAACATATCAGCAATGATTTCATGTGCTTAATTTTGCTAGCACTGTTTCAAGTGGTGCGCTGCTTTGCTCAGATAGATCAGCAGGGTCCCTGTCAGGTACCTTGAGACTACCTTGCATGAAGCCCTTTGGGGATGATTCACCGCAAATTTGTCAAAAGCGATCTTGAGCTCAATAGTTGAGATAAGAAAGGTGTCTAGAACAGCGTACATTTTTCTGCATTCCTTCACTGACTACACGTTTGTGGATTGGCAGGCTTCCTGAAGATATGCCAACTTCCACTGTGTTGAGTCGGTTTGGGCACTTGATTTTTCGCATGCAGCAGGATGCCAGCAGCGATCGTCCTTTTCCATGGTTTAGGACTGTTGTCGCAATTGCCATTCATTCCTCATATGTGGTGATGGAGCTGGGGGACAGCGCAAATGGGCGTACTGCCATCAAGTCTGAGGTGTGCATATGCTCCATGCAATGCGTGAATGGTAATACAGCGCACACACTGGCATGGGTGTGACCATCTGGTATCCATCTACAAATAGATCTTCCATTGAATGATTGTGTCCACACTGTTTTACCGGAAAGAGGACTTCATGTTGTCTGCCAGCTCTTACTTCGCTTGCGGATCTACTTTGGAATCCTTACAGGCACAGGTTCAATTAGTTAATAATTAATAATTAATAATATATGTAATTTTTTGAATGTCAAGAAACCCATCATAATTGTGATCCGGGAAGCTGCAGGCAGATCGTACATGGTCACGCACAATTTTAGATGAATTATTTGCGACGGCCATGCAATTGGTTGAGCCGTTTATTCTGATACGTGCGGAGGAAGGTTTGCAAAGCAACTGGGAGGATTTCCAGTCATTCATAAAAAGGTGTGCTGCAACATTCCAGAACAGTCCTTCCTAACCCAGCAAGAGGTAATTTCATGACTGATCCCAGGACACTTGCGCATTTGTTTGCAAAGTCTATTTGCATCACTTTAAGCATCTGCTGATAAGCAATGCTGTCATTTTGCTCAACTTGAGACTGACTGTTTGTGTGCTTGCATGTGTGGCAGTTCAAGGCCCTCCTAGAGGCCACCTGCATGCTTGACGGCACAGAGCTGGATAGCTTCACAGATCAGGTTCTTCCCTGTGCAATTTTGCGTTGAAAGTCTACCGTGAACATTCACAATGGGGACAGAATGATTGGCAAAGAACACCAAAGAGCATTTCGACTGTAGGAACAGCTGGCGATGGTCCGAACGCAACTGGCCACCATGGAGGACTCGCCTGTGGTCGGGGATTCGAGCCCATACAGGGTGAGAGCACTCCTTGCATAAAATCTTGTGTGACTCCAACTTCAACACCAACAGCTAGCACTTCAGTGTATTCCACCAAAAAAATCGCTCAGATTGAAAAGATCGCCTTGGTATGGAAAAGGGTGAAGGTGTCATGAAAGCAATTACACAGCTTGAATAAGATGTTGGCCCTGGCTGGCGGGGGCCGGTACATATACTGAGGACCGTGCCCACGGTTGATTGGGTCTTGCTTGGATCTGGCGAGTCCAACAAGGGGTAGGATTGTGGCAGCCTTTAAATGCAGCTTGTCTGCAGGACGTACCTTGCCTCTTGTCAGGAAAAGCGTGTAAAAATAATAATAATAATAATAATAATAATAATAATAATAATAATAATAATAATAATAATAATAATAATAATAATAATAATAATAATAATAATAATAATAATAATAATAATAATAATAATAATAATAATAATAATAATAATAATAATAATCTGTAGCCATTGTAGGAGATGCTGGGCCACGTGACACACAGGGCCGTCCTACTGGCAACCCCAGATCAGATAGCACCATGCAACATTCTTGCCAGTATTGGTGGCTGCCGAGATCAGAAGCGTTGGTTGGTGCGCCCCTTCACTCTTGTGTCGTTAGGTTCAAGGCAGGTGTCATCCAATGATCGCCAGATGCCTGCGTGGCTCATATAGTGCACACTGACAACAAGTTTCAAGGATGATCCTATTGTCACACTCTACTGAGGCTTTGTCCAGGGCCCGGAAGAATTTCCTCAAGGATAAAAACCTCCTATCCTTGGCTGTTATTCAGAAACTTTTTCTTGCTTTGCTTCATGCGCAGGTGAGAAATGTAGTGTCAGCACTGCGCATGCCGGATGATGCACTCTGCAACAACTCTCTGATGATGCGAGGGGAGGGTCTGTTGCTCTGGGGCAAATTTCCAGCTGCCCAAGCTGTTGTTGCCAAGGTAAATTTTGGTCATATGGGCATGCTACATGCTATTTGGTATCTGTGGCACAAGCATTGCCTAAAAAGAGAGGTGCATACCATGTATAAGCAAATGTCTTAAAGCTCAATGGGTGCCTACTATTGTGCAGGATGCATAACATCCACATCCAGGCAGGACCAAATTTCACATGCTGCAAGAAGCAGATTTGCAAGGAAAGCATAAGAGACCTTTCTTTGTCTGTCCAGATATGCGTGTACTGAGGGTGCTTGGTTTGCTTGGCGATTCAGGCTCTGGCAAAGGAAGCAGGGGCGATTTTAATTCAAGTGCGGGCGCGGGCCTTGCACAGCTCTGGAAAAGCATCGATGTCGCGGCAGTTGCAGGTTTTACAGGCAGCATATCACATTGCTGCTAAAAGTTCTGAAGTGACAACCCCTTCTGCTGTCAACAGGCGTCTACGTCCATGCATTTTTTATATAGGTAGGTGGCATAATCTTTGGATTTGAATGCAACCTGTAGCTACCTGTAGGACCGACGACATTGATGTATGGTTAGCAGTGTCTGCTAATGCAGACCTGTGCTGCCCAATGAAAACTTTTGTAAAAAATCTTTGCTCAGTGCACTGCAAGTGCCTTAATACTCTCTATTTTCAACAGCCTCCAAAATTAGGCAGCTCTGCTTTGACGATCACAGCGGGTTACTTGTGCTATAGCCCTCAGCACCAAGTTGCTCTCATCCAAATGCCGCCTTGCTGCAGTTAAGATCTGGACAGTCACATCTGCAATTAAACAAGCCAAGCAACAAGAGTCTCTAAGAAGAAAGTCCCTACCTTCAAGGCTGTCTTCTGCACGCTACTCAGCACAGACGCAAGATCTTGCAATGCCTGGGCGCGCATGGCACTGTTCGCACGCTGCATGCGCTCACAGCAGTTCACAACATCCTGCAGCACTTGCGCGGCTTGATGTAGTTTGCCAGTTTGGGCCGATTTCAGCGCTGCAAGGCGTTGTTCCTCCAGATAAGCCGTCACTGCGTTGACCTCTTCAAATAACATCATGGCGTCTTGGGCCTGCGAGTACATCCCAGAAGAAAAATTGTTGGAACTTTTGCGCAATATTTCTCTACAACCAAGCTAGTCATTGATGCATTCTGGCGCCATGCTTCATCATCTTGAGAATAGCAATCCCGTAAGTCTGGAAAATTCCGAGACTAACCCCCATTGAAAGTCAATTTTAGTCTGAATTGCTTGTTGCAATGACCACGATGCGCAGGCATTACATGCAACGATGCAGGGTCAAGCAAGCCTTTGAGTCTGACCTTCAGTCTGTTGACCAAACAGGTCATGCGTGGCCCACTGGGCATGGCATGGACAGGAATTGAGCACTTGAGGTGAGGCAATATTGACTGGTGCGTTAAGAACAATTCTGGGCGCCTTGTGAGATGTGTTTGTATAGATAAGTCCTTGCTACCACGGCATGTCAACGGAATCTGCAGCAGGGGGAGTGACCATTCAATTTGGAATGCAAATTTGGTGTGCTGCCAGCTGGCTGTCCTGCTGCCTTCACAACCAGATTCAATTTTGAAGTGCTTCTTCGATAGCAATTGACAATGTCGACAAATAAGTGATTCAGGCTTATGAACTCAAGTATAATCACGTGTTCAGCCATCAGGAAGAGCACGTTTACCTTGTACACCACTCCCCTTTCTCGCCGACTGCACGGGCCGTTCCAAGCACGGTGTCCAGGATGAATTAAGTTGAGGCATCGCATTGCTGCAAAATTTTCCAATCAAGTCTTCTTTATTTTTGTTTTTGCACCAAGCAAATGTCGTCGACACTACGAGGTCCTCAACCAGCCGCTGAGCAGTGCGTACACTGTGGTGCCTCACTCCTAATTAGGCAGGAAGCGCTTCTGTCACAATTGGTTGAACCAAATGCATGTTTCAATAGAGCTTCAAAGGAGACCAAGCAGCATCGCACCTTGTAAGCAATCGAAGTACTGCCTTGGATTCTGCGAAGCCCTAGTCACTAGTAACTGTCCCTAGATCATCTCATGAAAAGTGTGCATGCCATTGAATATATGATTTCATCCCCACAGGCTGTCACTGATGGTCATTATGATGATCTCGCATCCCTCCTAGCGCCTCACTGGATAACTCGGGCTCGCATGCTCTTGCGCAAGAGGCCAGTCTAAATCGCAAAGATGTAGTAAGACACAAAATTGCATCTCCGGCCTCGAGCTGATTCTTGGGCCCCAGCCACAATTTTACTATGATCTGGGATGTGAAACATTCTTTGATATTCACTTAGTGGCACTATTTAGCATGGCAGCTGAGAAGGGAGCCCACAACTGTGAAACAAAAAATAATCCGGCATGCAAATAAATTTTGCAATCTTCTTGCAATCTTGCCACCTCCATCTCAGCCATTGCATTGCTGGTGAGTGCAAAGAAGGGTGGATGCTAGCTGTGACTCTATATATGCAGCCTTCAAGAGCTGCACTGCCTTTGCAGCATTATTTGGCTAGAGCCGCCTATGCCGTGAGGCAAGGGCGGCTTCATGCGAATGGCCTGCAAGGCCTCCATTCGCATTATGCAATCATTGCGATGATTGCCTTGTAAGTAAGTAAAAAAAGAAAAAGACGCCCTGATGAAGCCTGGGGCGTGATTTAGGAGACAGAGATCAGCCATGCCGAAGGCATGGTCGGCCTTGCCACTGCGCTAAGTAAGTAATAAATTGAAGCTGATGGTTTCTTGAAGTTCTTGTGAGGAAATTAAATTTGAGCTTTTGTTTATCAAACTCTCCGAGAGCAGTCACTGCTCAGACTGAGTCGCTGACACTGAGCACTCGGAGTGCGCTGAGCAGTGCTGGCAATACTAGCCAATGTCAGATCGTTGAGTGTACACCTTGTAGAGAGCATCTTGCTTTCGTACTGCTGCAGGATCACACTGTGCCACAGCGATGGCGGGTGGCCTATCAAAGCGTATCAGGAGTAAGAGAGCTCAAGCCAATTGTTTGCAAGATACGAGCTGGCAAATTCAACTATTGGCCATGGGAATTTCCTTGATGTTTTCAAAAATTTGTGAAAATAATTCACTTAAAATGCCAGCGCTGAAAGTTCATCTTACTTCTTCCCCCGCCCACATGTCATTGCTTTAAACCCTCCAAGTGTCGGAACGAGAATGTCGTTGTCCTCCGTTTAGAATGACCATATCTGTCCCCAATATTCAAGACCCACTTTACTTGTCTGCGCTTGTTACAGCAGCCTCGAAGTGAGTCACAGCGAGTCTGGCCTGAACGGAAGTCCATCAGCTGCGTTGGGAGGGCCCCGGAGCCACTACGCTGGAGCAGCAAGCTTGTAAACTGTTTATCCATTCATATTACAGCATCTGATGATGCATTGGCTAAGTGGGACTCTATTGTGTATGAAACGACTGGAGAAAACGGTGGGCTTTCTCGGGGGACTCCAGCCAACGGCGTCCCTTCCAACTTGTGCAGGCCCAGTGCAGCTCTCGACTCTATAAATAGGAGCAGCCCCAAAAATTCCAGGCAACAAATGTCGTCCCTCGCAATGTGTTCTGGGAGCTTTCCAAGACAGCTTTTGATGCGTCCCTTCGTCACTACCAGGTGCCTAGAGGATTGGAGATAAGGGAATCAGTTGGATGACCTCCATAGCTGTGACCATCAGCGAGTTTGGCCACATAAATCAACATCTCAATGAGTCCTTACGTCATGAGCGCATGCAAGTCGCGAAGGCAAAATATCTGGTTGAGGCCATCAAGGTGCACCTCGCCCATCCCACGATGTCCACCGGGTGTCACCTGGGAAACACTTAAATCCGGTTGCTTATGTGTTTCAGTTGACCCTATATCAGTATTCCTTTTCTGTGCAATATGCAGGCCGTACAAAATCTCTTGTGGCTGGCAAACATGCGGACAGCGACCTTTTCTGCTGGGCAGGTAAGCATAATCTGTCATCTGTCAAATTGGCAGTAGCTCTGCAGCTCTTCCCTTCAAAAGACGCTTTATGCTTCCCAGGATATGTTTGCGAGCATTTGGCAGACAACCAGCCCGGCTCGTCTTCGAGAGGCACGATCGCAGACAAGAGAGGTGGTGAGACAAGTGGCTAAACTGACTGACCGACATTCAGCTTTGGAGGTACAGTCCAGCTCAGTTTTACTGTTATCATAGGTGGTCGACAAAGCAAAGCCAGACGAAAGAGGGTCTAAGTCACACTCTATATAAATGCAAGCATATCACTATGCTGCACAGTCCCTGGCGCAAAATGTCTAATCAGAGAACAATCTATTAAAATGATATTAGAAAATTTGAGGCAGCATGATCAATTATCGAAATGGTCTAGTGACACACATGTGCTATATGTGCAGAGTGCATGCACGAATCTGCTTAGAAGACGAGAGGAGCTTGCACACCTCACAATGGAAGCAAAGGATGAGACGATGCAACTAGTTTCCATACACGATGCTTTGAAGAACCAGCTGAACACATTGGAAACGGAGTATGAAAGTCAGAGTGCAACTGCGTACGTTCCCGGGCCGATGCATTATTAAGAGATGTAGAACAAGCTTCAAGCTGTTGTTCCGCTGTGATGATTTTCGTACCTTGTTTGTAGTATGTCTGAAATCATTTCTCAGCATCTGCTGCATATTGCTGTGCAATTTCTGTCTATTTCCATTCCAGCAGATGGTACGGGAGTGATATCATGAGTATTTATTGTGGTCTTTGCAGGTTCATGTATCAAGAAACCCTCACAAATTTGGAAAAATCCACGTCTTCACAAAGAATGTTGCTGCAAAAAATCAGAATTGAACACAATCGGCTCACATTTTTATGCGATACGATAAGCAAAGACATGGGCCATGTTGCTGCCCAAATAGAAGACAGTCTAAATAACCAGGCAAGCGCCCCATTCACATTTG